GGGGGGGGGCTCGCCTTCTATTCTGTCAACCCCTGCTACAGACCGAACCGCCTCTGCTTCGACAACAGGGAGCCTGCTACTAAATTTTATCGACCAACAGCAAGGGAAGACATTGCCCTAGCTGTCAAGCCGGACACTGTAGAGGTATAGTGTAGTGCAGAGTCAAGAGATACGAGATACGCAGTTCGACCGATCGAAGTGCGTTCCAGCTTGGAAAGTGGATGAATATCAACTTTGAATCATTCTCTATCTAGATACTGCTACCAATACACTCGATTGACTCGCCACCTCTGTTGCTTACTCGACAGGGTCTTCCTCCAGCAGAATCTTGAAGCTGAATGGCTCAAATGTGACGCCGTCGCCAATGAAATGCTTACTCATAGCCTCGACCCAATGCAATCTCAGAGAGTGCAGCATGGCACTGGTGCCCTCCATGACACACAGCACGGCGATGGTGAGGCAGAACCAGAACCAGAAGGTCACAACTATCATGATTACCTGCCCCACGCCTGGTGAGGCGGTGAAGGCATTGGACAGAGTCATGTTCCAGAGCACGACCGAAAGCTGCTGATGAGCGAGTGACAAAGCCCAAAGCCGAAGGTAAGACGCCGTGTGAGAGACGCAGTTGAGACAAAACTCGATGGTGTGGATAACTTGGTGAATCATCTCTTCGGAGAACTCGAACTCTTCGTGTTCCTCGCCTTGAATATTCTCCGTTATCATGGCCCCCTCATCCGAGTCCTGGGATGGCCGACCATTGGTTTGTTGGTCGCGATTGCGTGGTTCCTCGTCATCATCAAGGGCATGAGTGACATCACTAGTGTCCCCTATACCGCGGTACCCTTGTGCAGTAGTACGCTGGTGTTGCCACTTCAGATAATACGGCTTGAGGAAAAGCATGATCGGCACCTGAACCACCGCGATGAGAACAAGGAAAGTTTGTAGACCAGCTTGACCGGAGTAGAGTTGTTCGCCAGGGGCGACGTTGCCAGGGGATAGGAACATCTGAATGAGCATGTTGAGAAGAGATGGCGGGTTGCGACCAGCGGCTTGCCAGTCGATCGAGAATTTGTAGACGATACAGAAGGCAAGATAGCCAAAGATAGCTTGGAAGAAGATCATGCCAGGGATAAAGTTGCCCCAAAGATCGATCGGTGACTTGAAGTGGCGGGCATTGACGGCTGAGAAGCATAACGCGAAGGTCATGTGCGCCCAACCCATGAGGATGGACAGTTTCATCTTCATGCTGTTGCTGAAAAGGAGATCATTCTCAGACCCATGCCATGCCCAATCGACGCCGAAGGGGTATCGATAGGAGCCTTTGAGGTGGCCATTGACATTTGGACGGCCCTCTTCAGGGAACTCCCAGGCCGACTCGAAAGGCGTGAAGGACTTGGAGAAGACATCGTTATAGACAAGACCGGTAAACATAGAAAATATGCCCATCATGAGCATGATGTAGCGTCCGTAGAATGCCATGGCGAATAATTCGTCCTGCTTGGAGCGAGAGAGAGGTCGTTCCCAGTAGATCATAGCAGAAGCAGCCAGGGCCATGAGCGTACCATGGCCAAAATCGCCGAACATGACAGCAAATAAAAAGGGGAAGGTGACGATAGTGTACAGACCAGGATTGACTTCCTGGTATTTCGCCGTGCCGTAAGCATCGATGATGGTCTGGAAGCCTTCGGTGAATTTGTTTGTCTTGTTGTAAGTAGGAGGCGTCTTGTTGGTCTGGATCTGATTAACAATGGTGGGAACCGAAAGGCCGGCACGATCATTGACATCCTGAAGAGTTGCGCGAATCTGGGGAAGCGAGTTTGTAGGAACCCATGCCTCGGCAATGAGGGTCTTGCGCGCATTGTCGTAGGAGAAACGATTGAGAGTATCATATACCGCCTTTTCTTTCTTGATAACGATGAGCCAAGCGGCAAGCGACCGGGCAATAGCGTTCAGCTCCGCATCGAGAGTGTTTTTGGTGTTTCGCAGAACACTGGCAAGATCACTAAGGCGGGTATTGACTTCGTGAATCTGATCGCGACGAAGGTCACTGTTTTCATCGACACTGTACAAATCGGCACCTAGCGACTCGGAGATCTTTCTGATCTTGGCGATGATCTCTTTGCCGTGAGCGAAGATGACGAAGACGTTCTTTCTGACCTCCTCATTGTTCTCGGGGTTGATGAGAACCTCTGGGATTTCGGACTGGTTCATGTACAAGTTGCCACGAAGAGTGCGCCACAGAATTCTCTCGAAGGCAGGCAGTCTTTCTCGAGGAATGACACCAGAGACGAAACCGATGTTCATGACAGCAAAGGACTGCTGCTGACGGTCGGCATCGCCATTCATGCCATGGCCTTCCTCGGCTTCGGCGTTCCGCAGCAGAGGAGCATCGTCATCATCGATGCTTTGTCGGATTTCGTCTGTCTGGCCATGAGCCCGGTCGAAGAAACCACCTGCCTCTTTCAAGACCCAGCGCCACTCTGTCAACTCAGTCTCACGCTTCTTTAGCGTCTCGTAACTCTCGTTCAAACTGCTGACACGGCCCTCGAGCTGCTGAGCCCGCTCGGCAAGCTCGTCGATCTCGTTTGCCTGCGGAGCGGACAGCATATCGTCATCAAAGTCAAAACGGCTTCGCATCTCGATACCCTCTTTCTCCATCTGACTTCTGAAGTACCGAAGTTGACGCTCGACATTGTCCAAGCGGCGAATTTCCTTTGTAAAGGTACGTTGAAATGCGGTGGTGTCGGCATTGAGGTCACGGAACTGGACAATACCAAGTTCTCCGAGAGAGGATACGACTTCGCGACCGATCTCGTTGGAGATGTAGAACTGCGTCAGCGACATGTTCGCCGACCGGAACAAGGTGTCTTTGGTGGCCATGCTGGGCGGATGCTGCTATTGAATGACCGCCCAGGCCGAGACGAAGATAGCGTGATCGTAGGTAAGGACAACGAAAGAATGTTGACCTTTGGAAGGCTCTTGATCGATGAAGACGAAGAGGACGATGCTCTTGATCGATGCCTGAGAGCTTCGAAATGCCGGCTGCAGCAATGATGTCGAGCTGCCTCCTTGGACTTGGCGCTCGTTTGATTGTTCTGCCGTCGGATCGAGTACGGTGGGCAGTAGCGACCATTGATTCTCATCTCGGTCATTCCTGGAGACACTGATCGGCCGAAAGTCCACCACTCTCTTTTACTCGTAAAAGATGCCTATACCAATTCACGACCGTGTCGGCTTGGTCGATGGTAGCCCAGTGCGCAAGTGCAACGTATAAATAATGCTACAGCACTTTGCGGTGTACGTAAAAACATGTCACTAACTATAACGGTTGACGTATTGCTGGACGTATTTATATTCACGACCATAACTTCGGCATACTCGTCATGATGGACACCATAAGCGATACCTATATTCCTAACTTCTTTACAACAATGAACAGCATCGTCGGCCTGCTCGCCGCCACCGCACTGCTGGTCGGGGGGATCTGGCTAACGCGTCAACACGGCCAAACTCCTACTGTGCTCTCGGTCTCGTCTTCACCAACGCACGACTTCACAAAGAAGAGTCAGCCGTCGATAAATCTTGTCGCCGGCCTCGGGGTCGAGAACGACGCTCATGCGGGTGTGACAGATCAGCACCTTTCACGCTTGAAACTCCAGCCTGCCCAAAAGAACCTTCGCCAGGTACATTTGATTCACAACGAGATCCTCCAGGAGCACGGCTTGAATCCAGCAGATATTGGTGAGAACATCACCACAAATGGCATCGACCTTCTGTCTCTGGGGCGAGGGACAAGGTTACGTTTTGTCACGAGGGGACGTAAGCACGAACCGATTGCTTCAAGTCGGGCTCCCTGCATTGTCATCACTGGCCTTCGAAACCCATGCCCGCAGATTGAGAAATTTAGGAAAGGTCTGCAAGCAAAGTTCGTTGAAAGAGATGAGCAACGGAAGATCAAGGCCAGGAAAGCCGGTATTATGTCTGTGGTTGAGAAGGGAGGACAAGTGGAACCTGGGATGAGTATCATTGTCGAGAAGCCACCGGAGCACATAGCATTGGACGTGGTTTGAACACGGCTCGAATACCCCGTGGTATCTATTGCGTGCTCTGAATGCTGCTGCCTCCGTGGACCGTCAACCTACCTGAAAATATGCTCGCTGATCATGACCCTCCTGCTGGATGAATAGTGGTACAAGAGCAGTCCCAGGCTCGACCTGGGTACCTGCGCGAACGCCGCCGCCATGCCCTGATGAACTGGTTCGTTGGTCCATTATGCAAAATAGCTCTTCCACAGTACGCCAGACAAATCCTCGATTTGTTCGGGCTTGAATGCCTGCAAAAAGTTAGCTTGAGTTGGGGGAGATGGTGCTGAATAGACTTGCCTTGACATCAATATGCCACGTATCTTGTCGTGTCTTTTTAAAATCACTGATGATGGCCTTGACTGCATTGCCAATCATGCCTGGGTCACCCGCAGCCTTGTTACTCAAAGTGATCAAGATGTCGGGCATCCAATGAGGTGGTGGACTTGAGTATGGAAAAGCTTGAATTAACGATCCTAGGCCCAGTACAGCCGCGTGGCGAGTGATCACCAGGCGTTGATGCTCAGGGGTAGGCGTGCTGGTCCCTGATGATCTCACCGAAGCGAGTGCAGCAGCCTGGCCCTTGGGCTTCTTGGGCAAAGGGTTCTCGACCAACATTTTTGTGAATTTATCCCCAAGCTGCTTGATTATGCGCTCTCGCAAAATCAGCGGTGAGCATCGGATCATGCCAGAGAGGGTAGTGGCTGCTCCGGCGCGGACTTCGTGTTGAGGATCTTCGAGCATGTCGGCCACGCAATCGAAGAGCTTCTGTTTGCTCAGCTCAGACAGAAGGAACAAGCGTCTGAAGAAAATGATCTGCATGTTGATCATGACTCGCAGACGTTGATGCCAGGACTTGGACGTCCTGCCGATGCGAATGAGGGAGCCGATAAGGTGCATATCCTGGCCAATGCGGTGGGGAATATTTGGCAGATGTCTAAACACATGATATGCCAATGATTGTAACTCGGGATCTTCCTTGACATCCATCATGTGCAGAAACTGCTCAGTGAAGACATCAGGGAAGTAACTCAGCAGCTGTGTACACTCATATGAGGAGAGCATAGCGTCCAGCCACAAAAGGATGGTTTTGCTACCAGATGTGTATGCGGATGGAGTCTGCTGGCCGGGGGAGCGCTCGTGACGCCACTTGTCGATGCGTGCAAAGATTTCGTGAATTATGCTGTCAAACTCAGCTGTGGGCATGTACGGCTGAGTACCAATCGGGCCCGCCTCCCTTTGAGCTTTGACTAGAGCTTTGACGTCCTGGTAGGATTCATGATACCTGGTTCTAGTGATCGTCGCCAGAGTTTGAGCCATAGCTTCTCGTACACCCTTGTATGGGTGATCAATGTGGGCAAGGAAATCTGCCGAGATGGGTTTGTCAAGCTGAAAGTGCCAACCCGCGTCCATCACGACTTGATGCAACAAATGGATCTTTGAGCTCTCCTTGAAAGCCGCATTGGAGTTCATATCCAGCCTAAAGTTGGCAAGCCATTCGACCAATGGCCATGCACGTCGAGGATCGCGGCTCTGCAGGATCATGTGGAGAAAGGTTGTCCAGTACCCCGAGTTCTCGGGTGTGAGGCCCTCTGAGAAGACCTTCTGAATGATGGGGAAAGCAAATTCCCAGATCATTGTCCGGCGTTCGATCGATGTGTCCATAACAGCTGTGATGAGGCCACCCAGGATTTCGGCTGTTGCTCGGTGCTGGTGCTTATCACTACCATCCCCAAACACGTCTAGTGTCTCTTCCTTGATATCATCGAATGTGGCAACCGCAAGACCATCGCGGATGATGAGTTCGAAAGCGTAGGTCAACAGCATCGCGCTTGGCATCCGGAACTTGTCAGTAGAAGAGTCTCGAGGCTCTTGCTTGAGATACTTGAAGAAAGTGGAGAACCAGGCACGATCCAGAATCTTGCCCATGACCGTTCGTTTCTTCCATTCCAGCTCATCATAGATGATGTCGTTCTGGATATTAGATTTGTAGCCTGGCATTTCCTTACACCACACTAGCCAGCCAGGGTAGTCATGGTCAATGTAGACATCAGCCTCGGGCTGAGCAAAGTGGGTAAGATATTGGTTAGTGTAAGCTTTGTCCGCCGGGGCGGTAGGAACTTTGACTTTGGCAGGAAATTCTTGAATGCCACGGATGTAATTTGCATAGTTGTGGTTGCAAACGGCTCGGACATCGGTCATGGTGAACAAGGCTACCATACCTTGTGAGTACAGGCCTCTCAGGTTCGGATGTTGGTCAATCGTGCCACGTGTGATCAGCTCGATCATGTTATCGGATGCAACGTGGTCAAATCGCATACCGAGAGACATGACGAGGGTAGAAATGCGTTGAGCCTTTTTCCAGTGAGATGCGCGAGCCACTTCAATGAGCTCTTCTGCAAGCTCTGACTTCTTTCGCTCGATGTTAGTACGCTTCGATAAGATGAATTTCTTCTTTTTCGCAATCTTGTCTCCCACGTCATCCGATGGGGCAATAGTTTCCACGACCGACTGCTCGACGATAGCCATGCGGTCAACCGGCCGTCCATAGTCCATGATTTGGAACAAGCCGCCACTGCACAGCTTCTGAATTGAAGGCTTGTCCGCGCTGCTCGCCTCGATAAAGGTTCGAATGACATCCGGGGTGTATTTCCAGTGGCGTCCAACAGTCTTCGAGAGACTACCAAACAGCAACGCAAATAGTGCGCCTTTGATGCGGGCAAAGTCGTTGCGCTGAACTGCGTTCTTGAATGATTCGAGGAGTGGTGGAATGACAAAGAGACGAGCACCGAAGACCACCTTAAGGGCCGACTCGCCAGCGGCTTGCGCATTGCGTCGAACCTCTGTGTACAGTGACGCTGAAGACTGGGCCAGGTCCAGCAGGAGCTGCTCATCTAGTTCAGAGCGGGGTCTGGGAGCGGCGTTGTGCCGCAGTCGTTGGGTATGATAGACGTTGGCTCGCCGTACCAGGATTGCACGTGGGTAGTCCTTTCTGATGCCACTGACCTTGTACGGCTGCTCGTCGGCTTGCAGCAGCCGAGTTATGCGGTCCAAAACGTGAGCCGAACGTTCTATACCAACATCCACGAACCATGATCTATATGCCGTATACAGCGGAGCGAAGGATGAAACATCGTCTTCACTCTCGCGCGTCAAAAATACGTGTACCTCGTGCAAGACCTTGCCAATCTCTTGACGCGTCTTGTGAATGAGCTTATAGCTAGCGTCCCCGGGCGTCAGGCGGTACCCGGTCGGGTACTGGAATGAGGGCTTGATATCCGTCTCATCAGTGCCGTCGAGTGCAGCTTCAGCTTCGGCAGCGGGATCAGCATCCTCAGGCGCATGCCCGTTAGCTTGCGACATAGAAGTGTCGGCATCGATACCATTGGCAGTCGTGACAAGACCCTCATTAACACCATTGGCGTCGAAGAGCACAGATACGCCCGCAAGCAGCAGTCGAAGGAGCACCAGGTTCCTGGACACTTCATCGGACCACTCTTTCCCGCTTCCATCACGCTTGATTGGGGACGTCCCATTTGCTAGAGCTTGTAGCTGTGTGATGGCAGTCTCGGCCTGATTCTGGAACAGCTCCACGGCGAAGTCGAGCTCTTCCTTCGATGGAACATGCCATTTGGGTTTGATAGACTGAGCTAGCTCGGCTTTACCCCACAGGTCGGCGGAAATGCCATCCTTGATCTGTTCGGGTTCGTACAGGGCGCAGTCGATCGTGAAAGTTCCAGTCAGGTTGAGGAGAAGGTGATGAATGTAATTGGAAATGTGAACGGTGGGCATTCCCTTGCAATGCTTCTGCATGTAGACTGCAATGTCAAACAGCTCCTTTTTGTGGTTCATGACCGCACTACCAACATGAACAATGCACATACTAAGCATGCTGATGTTCCAGACAAGACCGCGGTCGCGTGGAAGAACGTCAGAAGCCGCGTTTCGAGTCGAGCCAGCACCATTCTCATCGATCTCGGTGCGAATGGCGCTGACTAACACCGGAATCAGCTTTCCAAGAGCCTTCTCGGGGTTGACTTTGCATAGGCAGTTGCAAATAAACGCCATGGCGTCTCTTGATTGGTGGATGACATGCGTCGAGACAAAGTCTACGATCTTGTTCAAAGCTTGGTCGTACAAATCCGGTGAGAGCGAGGACAGTAGTGGTAGGAACGCGGCAGGCAGAGTATTGACGATGTTCTCTTCGGGAGAGCCGCTTCTGACTCGTGTTGCATCTGGCAGGTTCTCCAAGAGGGTAAATACCCGACCGAGGAACGAGGATACAAATTCACCAAATCCGGCTGTAGATGATGCAAGAACCATCTCCTCTTCTCTCTCATCGAGAGCTGAGTAGTTCAGCTCAATGGTGGCTCCTTCCTGCTCCATCTTCTCCATCTCGCCAGTGATCCATTGCATGGCGAGCATATTGCCTTGAACATCCTCTCGGCCTTCTGACAGGTCAACGAATGGAATGTTGTAGCAGATATTTGAGAGGAAAGATAATGTGTACAACGTCTTCTCCAAATCATTTGCATCAATTCCAGGTAGGGCAAGACCCAAAAGTGCAGTGATGTGGCATCTGTAGCCCTTGGTTCTGATCATAGTCCTGGCAAGGGACTGTAATGATCTCAAAGATGAGACTGTTCGATGAACCTCGACAAGGCCCTGCATAGAGGGGTAAATCCGCTGCAGGGCGCCTGGGAGGATCAAGTCGGGCTCAAGATTGGCGAGGGCAGACAGAGTAGATAATGAATAGCTCATCGCAGTGTTGCTCTTGGCATAGATACCCATGAAGATGACGTCTCGTAGACAGAGAACGAAGCGGCGTTTGAGAGGCTCGTTGAGTCTTCGATCCTCGGGAACTTCTAGCTCACCATTGTGTTCCCGATTCCATCTCATGACGAAGAAGTCTGACAGATAGAATACGAGCTGTGATAAGGCCTTTGTCCAGGACCCTGCATTGGATGGATGGAAGAAGGTCTCAATGGCCTGGATCAAGCTCTCAAGCAAGGACAGGACAGAGTCCTTCTTTTCGAGGCATTGTGGTGATAGCGACATCACTATCCACCCGGCGATATGATGCGAAGATGGATGCTTTCTCGGGTCGCGATCCAGAATTATGCCCATACCTGCAAGCAGATCAACAAGTGCACTGTACGGTGACGTCGATTGTCCGACAGGGATTTCGAGCAGTCGTAAGACGGCCGTGAAGGTTAGGGTCGCTTGCTCCGGCGAAAAGATACCGAATTCCGAGAAAGGAACATCAGGGCTTGGGAGACAGTCTCGAGCCATCCTGGAGAACAAGTCTAGGAAAGCCACATCTGCTGACTTAGAGCGATTCAATAGAGACCACATGTGGAAGTACGTCGGGAGGTGCTCCTGCGGGAGAAGATCTTTGCGGTTCGGTGGTGGGGGCGCTGTTGGTAGCAGGAGGTTGAGCAGACCTGTTACGACGAAGGCACCCTCGGTAAATGACATTGTAAAGTGCGGCATGATTTCTTCCAACATGGCTGGAACATCTTCCGGGTCGAAATACAATTGAGCAAAAGAGCTCAGCTTTGTCAAGGTCTTGATGTTCCGCTTGAGGTTGGTAGTCTGTATGAGACCCGACTCGGCGGGAATGACAAAGATTTTGATCTCTCTGAACAACGGTCGCCAGTCGAGAGTCAGATCCTTGAGGGGGCGCAGGTAATGCTTGCGCTTCGTGAGCAACATGAACATGCTAGCAAAGCGTTCACCAACGCTTGGGTCGATGCCGGGAGCAAGAGCGAGCTCATAGTACAGCTTGACCAGCTTAACTCGCTGTTCCTTGCTTGGGTCGAACTTGAGCGACAACCAGCTGCGCAACTCTCTTGTCCAATGTACCGCGCCAGGTGTGAAGTCGCCCGCCTGCACTGCAATGTACAGATGTTTCAAGATTTCTGACAGGTCATGTTGGCGCTTCGCCTCATCCTCAACCTCATATGGTAGAGCCTGAAAGTAGGGATAGGTTCGTGGACGGTTCCGGCGCGGCTGCGTGTCTGCATCCCCGTTTCTGCCATTTGTCTCGGTCCATGCACCGCCGGGCGATGTCGCTCTTGAGATCTCTGAACCGAGAGCTTTGCCGTAACCGTCTTCCAACGGCACTCGCGAGCGATCCATGATGGATCACTTGGAGATGAGCTCAGACGCTGTGCAGCGTGAGGAGGAAGTGAAAGGGATCGTTTCGTCTCATGTGAGGGTGTTCTGTGAACGAACGATGAGGGGTGAAGGGTAGGCACACAGCGGCGATTAGTATCTTGTCTACCAGGCAACTGCTGATGACCAAGCCTGTGTATGCAACTGCGGCCGCAGCCTTGCGGCGTTCGACGACTACACGTCACAAACGCTGCCTGGTGAGGATGCGGGAACGAATGTAGGTAGTCCAAGCTTTTTTGACCAGCAGAAGCAATTTGAAGTTTCAAGATATCGAAGACACAGTTCGTCGTCGTGCTGCTGCTGATTGCAGGCGTTGCGGTGTTGCGAAGCACACGACGGCGGAGAAACGACAGCCGCCGCCCTACATCGGCTTGGCATGACGGCGCTTCACGGCTTCATAGAAAAACTTCTATATAGCTAGTCAGCATAGGAGAAGATCTCTCTTGCTAATCTATCCTCTTTCCAATTTGTCATGTAACTATTGTCTCTGTATGCCTTATATCATACAGCTAGCCAAACACCACAACTTATTATGCGGGAGGTAGAAAGGAGGCGTACAAACCAGCCTGTATAGTCGCATAAAGAACCATCCATTTTACCACAATCTTGAGAAATCGCGCATCAGACAGCCCGTAGACATTGGTCAAAGCAAGCCACAAGTACCAGTACGGGTAGCCGGAGGATAGGCGAGTGATGATTTGCACATGATAGTTGGTAATTGCCAACACTGCCAGTACTACCTGAGGTACAGCTAGGTAGACGGAATCAGAATGTTGTGCTTGGGCCTGGAGCTTTGGTGGGGTCAATTTCATCCGGATACAGCCATATGCTGAGTAGAGCAGCACAGTGAGCGTGGGTGCGGCAATCAGGAAGAGTGGCAGATTTGATAGCGTCCAGTATCGAAAGGCACCCACGTTCCTGTTCGCTTTCAGCCGCGATCATTACATCAGCTGGGGGTATACGAACCAATAATGCGACTGCACAAACGTAAAGATTGAAGGTATGGTGTTCTTGCACCATGGCCTCAGCTCGCTCTCCATATGTCCCGTGCAGTATTCAACATAACCTTGATACTGCGGTAACATCATCCCAGCTCCGACTGCACAGCCACCCACGATGAGTGAGAGAAGCCTTGTGACCTGCTGTGTACGCAGGCCTTGGTCAAGTAACGCCAGCAATGACAGAGAGGCGTCCCACCCATAAAGCATGCCACTTAGGATGCCGTTGCTTCGGACAGCCGTCGCGAGGCCCGAAGCGAGGCCGCCACAAACGGTCATAAGGGCAGCGCGGGCTGTGGCACCTCGAGCGTGGCCATTTCGTCCGAGCAGGAAGAGATGGAAGCCCAGCAAATTCAAGGCAGCGAACAGACTTTCTGAGTAAGGCGCGGAAAGAAAGATACCTGCGGGTGAGACAATGTACAGCAGTGCCGCCACGAACGCAACCTGAGCCTTGGCATCAGAAGTCCCAACAGCCAGGTGAGCCGAGATGAGCCATACTAGCATCATCGACATCCAACTGGTGAGATGCGACAGAAGCAGCCCCGAGACAGTGATTTGCCATGTCGAAGGCGAGGATGTTGCAAACAACACTATGGATCGTCAGGAGGCAATGGAAATGGGCATGTGGTACGTACATCTTGAACCCCAGGCTAGCACGGATGTTATGCCGGTTCCCCAGGCCCATTCCTGCTCAAACAGATGACCATGCTGGGCAATTTGCGTGAAGTAGATCGAATCCCAGCGAACAAGCTTGGAAAGGAGGGTGTAACGTTCTGGCCAATCCAATAGTGTCGTAGAAGTATCATATCCTGGGCCAGGGCTTGCCAAGGCCAGGAGTAACAGGACAGCCTTCCAAATGCCGAAGATAACGCTCAACGTCGACAAAGGGTGTTTGAGAGTCAGATGACGTGGTATATGCTCAGACATGACGACTCATCACAGCTTTGGAGGGGTCGAAAAGCCATCAGGCAGAAAACAAAGCCGATGTTCGAGGACATGCCGTGGAAAGAGGGATGATCTACGGCTAGAGCGATCGCCCCAAGCTCCAATTTTTTTTCTCTGGCCAGGGGCTTTGTGCAGGCGAGCTTCAGCAACACTCTCGAAACGAGCAGCTAGTGCACCCAACCGAATCTAGCGGTTCCCGCTAGTCCTTCAACACGTCTGGGAGGACTTCCGAACACCAAAGTCGCATCTTTACCATCGCCAACAGGATGCGACTGCATCGTCCACTCCTTGCTATACCGTCACCGTCGCCGTTGCGGGTCGTGCCTTCCTTGGTCAGGGTCGATCACCGGCTTCCGCGGACATCCTTGTCTTCAAGCCATTATAAGGACCCCCGCTCCTCCCGCCACTTATCGTCTTTGTGCAACTCATCATCTTGCTCTATTCCTTCTTCTTCACAACCTCGCTCTTCATCATCACGCCCTTTTCATCTCCTAAAGTCGCTGCGCAGCACCAAATCGTCGCCGCCCACCGATATAGCTTCAGAAGCAAGTTCTGAGGAGCAGCAAACAGCCATGAGTTCCGGTGCGTACATTGTCCTAGGTCTTTTTTCACTTCAACATCCCCAGCTCCCCCGTTCCTTGGTCTCCTTCGCTCTGCTCAAATGACTTCGCTGCGCATTTCCCCAGACCTCAGAAGCGAAGCACACAAACCTTTAGCCTTGGATCAATATTTACCCTGAGCACGCCAAGCATGGTCTTGTCTCTCCGACGATGGCTCCCTTGTGACACCTCTTGCATGAAGATGTGTTGCCCGAACGTTGCACTGACAACTCAACTAGTCAAAGAAGATGCATATGCTCATGCCTTTAACAACAACAGCGCGTGGCGCCGTTCCTTGGCCGAAACCAATCCTGAGCTGTTCGAACGCTTAGGCAAGGGCCAGGCTCCCCAGATCTTGTGGATTGGATGTGCAGATTCTCGATGTCCCGAAACTACTATCCTGGGCTTGCAGCCAGGCGAGATCTTCTGTCACCGTAACATCGCCAATATTCTTGTTCCAACCGATATCAATTCATTGTCGGTCATTCAGTACGCCGTCCAGTATCTCCAGGTCAAGCACATTATCATCTGTGGTCACACCTCCTGTGGTGGCATTGCCGCTGCTCTTGACAACAAGAAGCTTGGACTGATCGACACTTGGCTTATGCCTCTGCGAACGCTTCGGCGGGAGAATATGAGTTTGTTGGAGAGCCTCAACGAGCACGATCGTGGTTTGAAGATGGTGGAGCTTAACGTCCGTAGCGGCGTGAAGGTTTTGCTGGAGAACCCGATCGTTATCGATGCAGTTACAGACCGTAATCTGCAGGTCCATGGCTTGATCTACAATGTTGGGACTGGCGAGCTGAGGGAGCTGGACATCGAGGAAGACGAGGATGTGGTCAAGAACCGCAAAACTGCTTTCCGTGTCGAATAAGCTGTTGTGCAGGAGTGCCCTGCTAGTGTCCGCGGCAGCTTTTGGTGCCGTTGGAGATCAATCTGAAGACATGCAGCGTCTAGAAACAGTCTAGCTATTGATATTGTATCAGCAATGAGAAATCCTTGGGGGGTAACAGTACCTTCATTGTCAATATCATCTGTATCCAGGCCATATGTTCACTGCCCGCCCCGAAACCTTGCAAAAGCCTCCTTCACGGTCATTCCCTTGCCCAAGGCCTCCATCACCTTGTCGTCCGCTTCCACGAGTCCACCAATCACCTCCAGAACGCTCCCCAGCAATTCTCTTGGCACCACCACCACGCAGCCCTCGCTCCCGTCCGCAACTACCACGTCCCCCGGTTTGATCTTCACACCTGCCACCTCAACCTCACAATCCCGTCCCCAAACCTTGGCCTCCGCGCCCGTCGCCACCGAACTCCGCCCCGCAGCCCAGATCTCAATTCCGCTTGTCCGCTGCTCCGCCAGATCCCGGAACCTTCCGGAGACCACGCACCCCAAGACGCCGTTATAGGCCATACGCTTGGACATCAGGCCGCCGATGCTCGCGGCGTGCGCATTGGCGGGGGACTCGATGACGACGATCGTGCCGGCGGGGGTCATGTCGACCCAGTGCTTGTCCTTGGGCACGGCGGAAGGATGACCCTCCGGCAGCGGGGCGGGCGTCGGGAGTGCATCCGAGGGCAACTTGCTGATGTACTTAAGGGTGGAGGCTGGTGCGACGATTTTCCGTGCGTTGGGTGTGATTGGGAGGATGTCGGCGAGGAAGCCGGCGCGGGGGAGCGTGCCCGAGGGGGTGGTTTGGACGCGGAGGAGCGCGTCGGAGACCTGTTGGTGGCTTAGATTAGTAGAGGATAAGGGCGTTGGGGGCGACGGTGATGTACATCGCAGGCTGTGAACTTCTGCAACTCTTGGAGCTGTTGCTGGAAGGCTGCATCGCTGTCGGAGGAGGCCATTCTTCTGGCTTTGTACTGAGGGGGTAGTATGGTTCGGAATAGAGGCTGGAATGCTAAGGAAGTAGCGAAAGCACGACGAATAGCCACAGTTGACATATCAATCAGGGACTAAGAGTGGACTTGCAAGGAATTATCGAGTCAACGAGCATGTGGGGTGATTCTTGATGTCTTCAGAAGAGTACATATAGGCGAAGGTGATCTATTTACCCCTCGGCAATTGACCGAAACCTCAACTCCAAATCCGAGACCTAAAATGGCAGTATGCTATGGACTTTTTCTCCAACCGGTTTACTATGGCGAAACTTGACCACAAATGCAATTTGTAGGCATGCAAGTAATCAGTTACCGCACTTCATATCGAACTTCGGCTTGTGGTCCGCGGTGAAGCTGCCCCAGAATTTCTCGCTGGCTGCAACGCCGTCGTCACCAACAGCATCAGCCTTGTTGGGCTCATCGAAGGCCTCAAACCAGAAGAGGTCAAGACCCCATTCGAGTGCACCACAGACAGATTCCTTCCAGAAGGTCTCCATGTTCTTGTCCCCGGCCTTCGCTGCGCCGGCGTCGTCACCGCCATCTCCAGGCCAGCCCGTTTCTGCATGAATTAGTATGAAGTATGCGGGCAACGTCCGAGGAAGATACGAACCTCCGTTCATGAAATGAATGTCGTCGAGGCTGCCGGAAACCTCTTGAACGTGGGCCAGAGCCTCGGACATTGTATAGAAAAAGGTCTTTGTCGCGTTATTGATGTCCTGGTATTGCCAGTATGGGAAGCCGTTGGCGAGGATGAGCTTGATGCCACTGGTGATAATCCCATCCATGGAGCCATTGGCCCAGCCGTTCCAGCTGTCGGCGGTACCGATCAGAGTATCAGGAAAGGTCTTGTGCATATCGTCGATCCAGCCCAGAAGGTCTTTCTCAGAATAGGTTCCGCGGTAGATACCTTCTGAACCGACGGTCACGCCATAGACAGTGTCGCCGTACTGCTCGAGGTCCGCGTCAACTAGAGCCTTCTTTTCGCGGCTATAAGCGCCTCCGTCTGGCCTTGCAAGTGTTAGAAGGTGATTTGTCCTGGTCTCATGCTCTTTGCTTACCACATTCCCACCAAAACCTGGAGACCAGCATCCTTAGCAGCAGGAAGAATCTGGCCTGCGGTGTCACAAGGGTTGCCGAATGAATCTGTGTTGGAGTATGTTCGGATCAGCTTCGCCTCGGAGTTGGCCTTGATGGCTTCGAAGTCCTTCTCGTAATCACTTGTAGTCTTGCACTTGTTGTCCGGTGTCGTGTTGCCGACAGCGAATCCGAGGGTACCACGTGCGGCAACTGCAGCAGGAGCCGCAAGCAGAGCGGTGGTCAGCATCGACTTGTAGAGCATCGTGGCGGTCGGGGGTAAAACAAGATCGTAGGTAGTAGAATGAGCGTTCGGTGTTGGAACGTGTAAAGAGTGACGAGAAAGAGACAAAGAAGTTGTCAAAAGAGTGACTACGCAAAGGTCCAAAGTATTCAGGACAAGCTTGTTGGAAGAGGTCGACGACAGGTTGCGCGCGTCGTTGCCATTCATCCCTTACCATCAACGCGCCAAGGCTAGTCAGGGCGGTGATCCTGGTCCGGGGCTCCGCCGGTGCCATCTTCAACGTCGATCGCAATCTGCAGCTTGCACGCTTCCTTCTTCAGAGGCCACACAGTCGAAGATGTCGGTACTATCGCGTTTGATGGTCCTAGTGGGCATGCTGTCATTATTCCATGCGTACGTCTCCCCGGTTCACCCTGCGCATCCCAGGACTGATCTGTCACAGAGCCTACTCAGCCCACGAGTTTTCCTCCCTCTCGAACAAAGTCCACACGACTGCATCATTACCTCTTGACATCCAAATAGAGACGATTGCAGCTGTCTTCTTGTCTTGCTTTGGACTCGTTCTGGGGTCGCAATCATTGAAGCCGATCAGCTGGAGCACATGGGCTGGAAAGATCGAGCGGGAGGGGCAGGTGAATCCATTCCAGTCGCTTGAGAATAGAGCTGGATTCATGGACATTCGGGTAGGATCATATTACCCACGTCTGGAGACTGTCCTGACATAGCGATAGGCAAAGCGAAAAGAGTTCGCAGAATGGGTGAAAACCCAGGACCAAAGATGAACGGCCATGATGTGCTCTCGATAACCTATTCGACGAATTATTCAATATATCGAGAGTCGGCAAACCTCACGGCCTAGAGCACGAGAAACCCAGCGACCGATGGTTCTCGTGTTACGGAGAGCCGGACGCCAAAGTGTCGATCACGAATGGATTGCTCAATCAGCAAAGCGACAGAAGAAAGCAGACGAAGTCTGGATTATTCTTGATTCAGTCCTCTTGTACACTATCTGTAACAGTCTCCATATCAAATCCGGAGCTCTCTGAAGAACAACCAGAACAATTCTGAGCATATCCATTCATATGCTAGCACTCTAATCCAACGCCAGGCCATGATACAATACAGGTCGTTTCCGAAAACCGCCGAAATGCTTCCCATGTTCTCGTTCCAGATCGTAATATCACATTTTGACTCCATATGCAGAGCCAAACAACGTTATAGCATAAAAAAGCCAATCGACACCAATACCAGGGCGAGGCCAGCTCCTGCAACGCGATTGGTGTCTGCGCCATTCCCGTTCACAGGAGCGACAGACGGACTTGAGCCAGCAGAGCTGGTGGCGCTGGTCGTGTCAGATTCGGTTTCGGTTTCAGAGGCGGTCTCCGAGGCAGTAGTGCTGGTTTGAAGGGTCGTCGAATTGGCATAGCTGTGAATTGGGCTGACTGGTTGAGAGGTCTCAACTGATGGCTGCGAAGTGACGACCGCAGGTTGGGACGTGACTACTGTTGGCATTCCTGTGATGACACCCCATTCGTTCGTTTGGCTCGTGTAGACGGTGAATGGATTGCTATAAGGAGCTGTGTCTGTCGCGATGCTGGCGGGTGTTGAGACTGTGGGTACTGCATCTGAAGACTCTTGTATCGGGCCAGTAGGAGCTTGAATTTGGCCATCGCCGATTTGGCTCACAGCATCGACCGTGACAGCGCTTTGGGCCGCAGCCAAAGTAGCGACTGAAGCAAGTAGCACAGTGCGATACATGTTTGTTGTGTGCGGAATAGGTGCGCAAGGTCGAGGAGACGTTTGGAACTGATCAGTGCTCAGGTGAAAGCTTGCGGAGCAGATATGCGACTCGTGTGATTAAGGAGCAGTTGGTTGCTTTGCGTGCGAGTGAGATGCATTGCTTGTGATGGTAAGGATCAACCATATATATTCAGCGCAAGAGATACTTTTGCCCGCCACCCCTTTCATCCTGTTGCGCTCCTGCCACCATGCGACCAAAAACCGTTGGCGGGGCGAAACAGACGCAGCCAGACAGCGCTCGAGCCGGCTTCCCCTTGCAGAATTTGCAGGCTGGAGCTAGCCGAAGAGGGGCTGGGGTCGGAACTTTTTGGGGGTTGGGGCGCTGCGCTGGGGCCTGATAGGCGAGGGTACCGCTAGCCGCGGCAATTGACGCAAGTCGGCTGGGAACTTGCATTGTGCTGATGGACTTCCTCACCTCCATGAGAAGATGTGTGCTACGTTGCTGAGACGACAAACTGAAGGCGGCAAGAGAAAAACAAGTGGCAGACGCTGGAAATTTGCTTGATAGTCGTTATGCGGCGATGCTATTCCGGCCGTGCTTCGAGGCTAGCCGCCCACATTCCTTCCAACCCACTCCAGAACACGTCTACGCCCCTAGAGCGGCCGTGTGCCGGGTTTCAGAATTTGGATACCGGTATTGCGCGTTATAAGGCTGAGCACTGGTATCCGCGCGAGGGGCTTGTATACATGTTGCCTTGCTCTGGTTGTGATGTGGTAGGAGAACTCCTTATGTGTCACAGCTGAGAACACTGACCAACTTGGCGACATCATCAGCGGAAGACTACGTCAATCAACCGCGGTGCTTGAAAGTCGAATGCCCCCTCCGAAGTCGCGGGCAATATCCTTGGACCCACCACCTGCCCTCGCCTAGTATCCAGGGACCGGCCAATAGCGGCCGGCCATGCCCTTATCGATTGTAAGCTCCCCACCGCTCCCAACTTTTTTTGACTGCGAATGGTCTGGAGTGAGTCAGTTTCCTTCACGCCCTACGACCCTTGACATACTGCGTACAGCTTTTGAACACTCGGTATTCTCTCTAGACCTCACATTCAAGCACCTCCTACCATGGCCGAAAAGCAGCGTGTCTGTCTTGCCTATTCCGGCGGTCTCGATACCTCTTGCATTCTGGCATGGCTGATCGAGAAGGGTTACGATGTGATCTGCTTCATGGCCAATATTGGTCAAGAGGAGGATTTCGAGGCCGCTCGTGCAAAGGCTCTCAAGATCGGTGCAAAGCAGTGCTACGTCGAGAATGTCATCGATGAGTTCGTCAAAGAGCTCTGCTTCCCAGCAATTCAATGCAATGCCACCTACGAGAATGTCTACCTACTGGGCACGTCCCTCGCCCGTCCCGTCATCGCCCGAGCGCAGATTGCTGTTGCTCAGAAAGAGAACTGCCAATTCATATCGCATGGCTGCACAGGCAAGGGCAACGACCAGGTCCGCTTTGAACTTGCCTTTTACGCCCTCCAGCCCAGCATTCAGGTGATTGCTCCTTGGCGTATTCCCGAGTTCTACGAGACTTTCAAAGGCCGCAACGATCTTCTCGACTATGCCGCCACAAAGGGCATTCCAGTTACCTCCACCAAGTCTGCACCATGGTCAATGGACGAGAATCTGGCTCACTGCTCTTACGAGGCCGGCATCCTAGAAGATCCCAACATTGAGCCCCCTACAGAGATGTGGAAGCTCACTCAAAGCCCCTTTGACGCGCCCAATGAGCCCGAGGACGTCGTTATTGAATTCCGCAAAGGTCTGCCCGTCAGCCTGATTTCGAAGTCGACCGGCACTGTCACGGAGCCTACTGCCCTGTTCCTGGCTGCCAATGCCCTCGCTCGCAAGCATGGTGTAGGCCGCATCGACATTGTCGAGAATCGCTTCATTGGCCTCAAGTCCCGCGGATGCTACGAGACCCCAGGCCTGACCATTCTCCGCAACGCTCACATCGACATTGAGGGTCTAGTGCTTGACCGGGAAATCCGCGCCCTGCGAGACCAATTCGTCACTATTGGCTGGTCTCGGGTATTGTACAATGGGCTCTACTTTTCTCCCGAGCGCGAATTTCTTGAAGCTTCCATCGTCGAATCTCAGAAGACAGTTAACGGACAGGTCCGCCTCAAGCTCTACAAGGGTAATTGCATCATCGTCGGCCGCAGCTCTGAAACGGAGAAGCTATATGACGCCCAACAGTCATCTATGGATGAAATTGGTGATTTCCAGCCTTCAGAGACCGGCGGATTCATCACTGTCCAAGCCATTCGCCTCAAGCGGTACGGCTTGGCCAAGGAGGAGCGTGGTGAGTCGCTTGTTCAGCCACGAAAGTAGGCTCTCAGCGTTTGCTCAGCGTGTGCGTCGGTATGGAGCGTTTGGCGTTTGCACCGAGGCGAAAGATAGCGGACAGGTATGTGTAACGATGGACGAAACAAGATTGAAGCCCGCCACGATGTCCGGGGGGAGCTCGATAGACAGCTCACGATACAACGTCAAGTTAGCATGTCAAAGACATTGCATTTCCTCAAAGTTAGATCTCTTCTCATACTTTTTGCGTTTTGAGCATCCGCCTCAGGAGATCCCTCCACTCCCAACTCGCTTTCCTAACCTCGTCCTGCGTGCCCACCCTCTCGATGACAGCTGCTGTAACCTTAATAGGCCCCTCTTCGCCAGCGGCTGCCTCCCAAATCGCATCTGCACCATCTTCTGTCTCTTTCCTGGCACCAGAGTCGTCCATGCGCCGGCGCTCGCGTTGATGCGCCTCCGCCTTCACAAGCACAGACCTCTGCTTCCGTTTCACTTCCTCTCTCAGCCGTCTCTCAACCTCCTCCACCTGACCAATCTTCCATCCGCGAAGCACAAGCAGACACGCCGCTCCACCGACATACATGAATCCAGTGAACAGCTGCGGCCGCAGATACACGAAGCTCTGCTGGCCCAAGCTGCGCAGCTGCAGCGCGATGGGCTGACTGACGGTGGTTGGGGGAACCAGCATTACCCACGTCAGACTCAAGGCTCCTGGCAGATCCTTTAGGCCGACGACCTCGGCGCTCACGGGAGCGATTGTTGTCCAGAAGGTCCCTGCTAGGCCACCGCCAATGATTGCATAGACAATAAGCAGAGCATAGGAGTCAGGAGCGACTTCGGTCGGAATCCAGAAGCAGAAAATGGCCACGCCGGCCAGTAGACTGTAGAGGCATGCTAGGTTGATCCTGCCAAACCGGTCTGATGTCAAGCCTATCACGGGCCGTCCTATGGCTTGTCCGAGGTTGACAATAGCGTTCAAAATGTAGCCTTGCTGCGAGGTCAACCCGATCTGCGTGGCGTAAGCAGGGATGGAGAAAACAACAACCACATATCCCAGCATAGAAAAATAGCCCCATCCGAGTACCAAGAGGAATTCTGGTCGCCTCAGAATACCAACATCGAATGCACGGTGCCGAGCGCCGGTCTCCTTGTTCCTGTCACGTAAAAGGTTTGCAGCCACGATGTTGACACTGAAGACACATATTGCCAACATGCGAAACGTCCACGGAAGGCCGATGGTCTGGATTGCGCGTCCGGCGGCGAGGGAATAAATCATCGCACCTAGCCCGGAGCCCGAGGCGGACAGTGAGTTGGCGATGCTGCGATGCTTGAGGAACCACTGTGGTAGTATTCCTACCGATGCTGTGAACAAAAAGCCCATGCCCCAGCCGAAGCAGACGCCCTGGGACAGGCATAGTTGCCAGAGTTCAGTTGAGAATGAAGCGCCGAGTAGTGACAGGGTCTCGAAAAAGATGCCGACGTTGAGGCACACACGTATGCTGGTGCGACTGATGAGATAAGTTGCTAGCGGTGCAACGAGCAATGCCTGACTGATCGACAGTCCTCCTATAAAGGCGAAGGCGAGGGGGGACGTGCCCGGGAAGGCATTCGAACTGAGATAGTGGCCAAGGAAAACGCCATACGTTGAGTTGAGTCCCCACGTATGAGCATTAATAAAACCATTGCAGACCACACATACCCAGCCATACCCGCCGTCTGGTGGAAGTGACTTGTCTTTCTCTTCCTGCAGAGAGTCCGGCTGTTCAGTATCGGTTGTCGGGTCCGAGGGCGCCTTGTCCCTTGTTGCTTGCCCTATGGAGACAGCATCAGTCGCCTGGGCAGGGGCATTTGGAGTTGCTGCCATCGCGTCCTAATTGCAACGACGAACAGCATGGAACAGCGAGTAAAGACACCAACATGGAGGCGCAGAGAAATGACTGTTACGACGGGCCGAGGGGACGCTAGGAGACAAGCACGGGTTGGAGGTGCCGTGGAGTCTTCATGACACACCGAATTCAAAAGTCCTCCAAATCTATGTAGGGAAAGGCGCCGGTTCCGCGCAAATTGTCTGGAAAAGTATTCAGGAGAGTTGTGGAGAAAAGGGTTCAAGCGGCGATGTCCTTGGGTGCCGGGCAGCCGAGGTCCATAGCACGATCTTACAGGAACGGATTGATGCCCATCAGAGTGTTATGGTACGGCGACACCATGTCCATGAATTCAGCAATGCCTGCTGGAAGTTCTGGAGCGTGTGATAAGGCAATAGGCAACGACAAGGCAGCGAAGCCTCAGGATGTTGAGCACGCAATAGCACCGCCGCGCGACGGAGAGCTGGACCCTGGTCCGTCGTCCTTGGCAACCGATAGAGCGTAAACAAAAAGTTCCAGAAGCGGTCGTTCACGGGCACCTCACGGCTATGACAAGCCAGGCTGCACTTCAAAGGTGAGTCAAGCGATAGAATTAATCAACAACAATTACATCTTCTCTACTTTGTATCAGCGTTGCAACTGTTCGTCCATCCAGATAGTATTATCGTGGTTATTTACTTTCGTTTACCTCGAATCCCTTTCCATCTGCATACGCATTGCGAGCGCAGTCTGATTTCCAATTGATCTCCTCAGCATGTTACACAACAAAAGAGCGAGCTTCACCGGTTCTGGTAGGAAGGTGTCGCCGCCGGCTCCCACTGCTTTTACAGAGTCGCAGAAAGGTAAGCCTCTGACCGTTCAGCCAATGCCTCCAAGAAGCCCTCCCTGGAAGACCAGAAGCTCACCAGCTGCATCAGCCTCCTATCTAGCCAGCTTACGAAATGAAAGACCGGCTCGACCTTCAGGCTCGCGTCCGCCGCCTTTCAAGACCGGCACCTATGTTTCCAGCGTCCACGCTACCTTGACACGCTCCGATTCTGCACCTTTGCCTCAAGATCCTGCCGAACTCTCACAGTTGCCAATCGATCGCCCCGAACTGACGAAGCCGAGCTCTGTCCCAAGTAGCGCCACACACAAGGGTCGGCCGCTGGCACATGCACCGACTTCGAGTGTCTCAAGCACCCAGAGCCGTAACATCTCCCCTTCGACTTCGCTACATTCAATCGACACAACAGACAGCCGGTACCGCGAGTCTATGCACAGAAAACTTGAGCGTGAAGAGTCACACGCTTTGAGAGAGGCTTTGGAGCTGATAGATTCTCGGGATGAAGAAGGCAAGATTTACGAGGCTGCCCAGCAGGAGGCTGCCGACCTAGTTTGGAAGCATCGCAATCCCCAGGCTGCGGAAGACGAAAAGAGCGCACCATACTTTAACCCGGACATCCCATCCAGAAAGAGCTACGGGTCCGAGTTGGGCAGCGGCCAGGCAAAATCGCAGAGAAACGCCTCGGACTCTTCCTACACCTCTTCAGGCTCTCGCAGCGCTGCTGATATCAGGCATGACTCGAAGCCAAGGGATCGAACCCTTTCTCAGGCACTCAAGGATCTCCAGTTGGCGTCTGTGGAACGTTCCAAGGCAATTATTGCAACAACACGATCCGAGAGACGTAGAAGCAGTGGCATGCGGCACGTCAGTAACGGCTCCAGCAAAGGTGTCTTTCCCAACCCCGATAACCAGATCTATGAGGAGCCCGAGGCAGTCAATTCTCCCCGAGAGAGTAAACCTGATTCCGCATTGCCTCTTCGGTCAACGACACGGAACTCCATCCTTCGAGGTGCAAGGCCTCTACCACAGAAGCCAGGCGTAACGTTCGCTCTTGAGAAACCAAGACACAACCGCATTGACATCTACAAGAACCCACCTTCGCAGTCGCGCAACGCTGGCTATACGGCCAACAACTCTCGCACCTCACATGAGGAGGCACGGCAGGATGAGGAGCCCCCGAAGTCCGCTGATGGAGTTGAGATTCGCAGCGATGACATTCGAGCGGCCACCAGTATGAAGCTGAAGGACAGAAGTGCAAAGTTGCCCAAGCCTGTTGCTGTAAGCGATCAATTGGGCCGCCCGATTGTCAGCTTCGATCCGGCTTGGAAGCCACCGAGCGACTCTCCACGAGCCAGCCAGGATTTGGCCAGACCTGTCATCAAGCTGACCGAGTCTCCTCGAAGCAGCAAAGACATCGAGCGACCACTACCCCGGCCACTGCCTTCGACCAACCAGACTGTCAATTCCGCACCAGCTGTTCCTACTATACAGCTACCGCCGGAGACTAACGTTCCCACCATTCATGTTGATTCAGGAGAGGCGCCGTCTATCGCGGTTTCGCCTCCTGCAATCAACCTCTCGGGACCCACGGTTAATGTTGCAGCCCCCGAAGAGGGATCAACCAGCTCTAAGCCGGCTCCGAGACCTCTGCCGAAACATGCCTCGACGTCACCTGCCAATATGACATCGAACAAACGCCTGCCATGGCTGAGGTCAGGCGTACCAGGTGCGCCAACCGTCTCATGCTCCAGCTGCAGCTTGCCAATCTCTGGGAGAATCGTTACCGCCTCTGGTTCGCACAACGGATCTCTAAAGGCAAGGTTCCATCCTGAGTGCTTCTCTTGTCATCACTGCCAAACGAATCTCGAATGTGTTGCATTCTTCCCGGAGCCGGATGAGCATCGACAGAAACGCCTGGACGTCGAGGGTATTGCTGAAGGTTCGGAAGACGCCGACATCCGTTTCTTCTGCTCACTCGACTATCATGAGATGTTCTCTCCTCGCTGCAAGTCTTGCAAAACTCCAATCGAAGGTGAGGTCATTGTGGCGGCTGGAGCGGAATGGCATGTCGGCCATTTCTATTGTGCCGAGTGCGGAGATCCTTTTGACTCAAGCACACCCTTTGTTGAGAAAGACGGCTATGCATACTGTGTACGCTGCCACACGAAGCGCACGAGCGCTCGCTGCCGCGAATGTAAACAGCAGATCCTGGATGAGCTGACGGTTGAGGCGCTGGGCGGTAAGTGGCATGAGAAATGCTTCAAGTGCTACGAATGCGAGGGGAGCTTTGGGGATGAAGGCCGGTTCTTCATACGGGATGTGCCCGTCGAGCCAACAGACAAAGAGAAGCGCAAAGGCATCACGAGCAAGATGGAAGAGAAGGCTGTGTGCTCGGCCTGCGAGGAGAGGAGACTGAAAGCTTAGAGTGCTGAGCATTTGAAGATATCTCGGAGCTGGGGGCATTGTAACAATTGAGTAGGCATGGTGAAACGAATGGATCTAATCCGGATGTCATGGTTTTCTATAAAGTGTTTCAACAACTGAAATTGACCGTTAGCCTGGCTCCTGACCATATGATCAGACGATTGAGCAGTAAGGATATCGATCAGAAGGTAAAAATGCGAATAAGAGATTTCGACACCGGCCTATAAAGGCCTTCGGATTTGCAGAATCTCTGTTTGTTCATCCTCAAGAAGCGGGTCAGGTGATAAGAAGCTGGAGACTTACCAAGCATTGAGCAGCACGACGCCAGGCTCACAACTCGGCCGCGACCTGTGATTCGAGTCGTTTATAAAGATGATCAGAAGAGCTTCGTCCGGGCAGAAAAAAAGCTGCGGTGACGCACACGTCCTGTAGAAGCTAAGGCAGGATTAGGGAAGGTGGGGGAGCCAGCACATGGGCTCCAAAGTACACCGTTGCCGGGCAGCCCAGCCTCGATTCGGGTAGCCAGATCCAGACGACATCATCCTATCGTGTACTGCGCACTTTTACGTTCCCAGAGATACTCACGCAGCCCTCGCCGCGATACCGACTACTCGTCTTCACACCATCGAAACTCTTGACAACACTAGCCGAGATCGCAGGAGAAGGGAACCCCCCGGAATACGACATCCCAATCAACACCGACTATGCGGCTGTGAGCCCCGACCATTCCGATCAGACACACCGAGTATGCGGAGCTCTCTCAAGCTCATATCATTCCTTGCCTCTTTGAGAGCAATATCCGCCGCAGCACAAGGCTATTCACCCTTTTCCAGCCCTTTCTACGACTACCTAGACCGCCGAGGACCCGTGCGCCGGCAGAACGATGGTTGCGCGAATAATGGAGTTTCATGTAGTGACTTAGGCGCGGACGGTGTTTGCTGCCCTGAAGATACAATATGCGCAAGAGATGCGGGCAACAATGTTGGCTGCTGTCCCGTCAATGCCGCCTGCACAGGCGTGGTGTCTGGTGCCCAGGTTACAGCGACCGCAACGGGCTCTACCACCAACCAAGGATCGTCGGATACAACGGGATTTGTGCTAGGAGGCACAACAACAATTACGAGCACCACTGGGATCCAGTCTGGTAGCTTACAGATCCCAACCACTGGTGTGCAGGGCGGAGGCGGGACAGTCGCTGCGGCCGGCTTCGTTTGGACCTATATCCCCACTTCCTATGCAAACGCGGCACTATGCGAGACGGCATACTCAGTCTGTCAGCAGTCGTCCTCGGAGTGCTTTGACTCACTTGGTGGGTCTAACGGAGTTACGGTTGGCGGTTTCGGTGGCGGTACTACTGTACCGGGAGCTGGGAGCAGTGTGACGAATGCTGCTAGTGTGTGCAGTTCACTCAGTCAGCAGGCTTGCTATGGTATTCAGGAAAGTGTGTGCTCGAGTTTCGGCGGGGCGAGTGCGACGGGGACAAACAGCAATGGCGGAGTCGTGCAGCCCGGAAATGACAGTCCCAGGCAAACAGCCTGTCCAAGCATGTTGTACGCCGCTGGTGCGGGAGCAGTGTATGGAGCCATGAGGGGTTTCATATAAATGGATGTAGCGATACCTGGATATAGCATGAGAGACTGGCGTTTGGCTGCCAGAGTTCGGCACGAGGCTTGATGGAGGAGGACTCCGAAGCCAGCAAATAATGTTCATACCAAAGATTGCGAGTGGATAGCATTTGATGCACAAGACGATCGATATTAACAGCCCGAAGGAAAATCTGAAGTACCCAATTGACACGAAATAGGCCTGATGGGAATCACGGGGCTGTCCTTGAAGTTCTCTGGATATGGGGAAACGAGGACACCCCTGCTGCTGAGCATCTAGACTATCCTCCAAGCGCCATTTTCAAACTTAGCCCTCATACGGTTTAAGCCACGCCTCCGCCACTGCTTCAACTCACCACTCCAGTCCCGCAAATGCTGACTACCGCATACCACTTCCCACCTGGGCTATGATCGAATCCACTGGGCGGTTACCACCGCGATCTCCTTTACCAACAACCCAGAGCTCATGATACCACCAGCCAGCGAGTTCGTTCTGTCCCGGAACTTCCACCAACAATGATTGCCACGACCCCGCCCGTCAAAAAGGCCTGTGATGCGTGCCATCGCCGGAAGGTCAAGTGCTCGGGCGGGACGCCGTGCAAGAACTGTGGTGCCACCAATCTCCAGTGTACATATCTCAGTATACCGCAGAAGAAGGGTCCGAAGGGTTCGCGGGCCAAGGTCATATCCGAAATTCGTGACACCCAGCAACACCATCAGCAGCAACCACCACCACCAGCACCATCACAACATCAGCAAGCACCGCTCGTCACGCCTCCTGCTCAAAACCGCAATGAGCCCAGCCCTTTCAATTTCAACAGCCCACTCTCGTCGACTCTCGGAAGAACACCCGGCTTGCTCTCACGGCAGACCATTGACGCCTGTCTTGCTTTCTTCTTCGAGCATCTTTACCCCACGATCCCGATCTTCAGGCGAGAGAAGCTTTCCGTGTTGATCTACGGACATGAGTCGGTTCACCCAGACTCGTATTGCTTGGTCGCTTCTCTGTGCGCTTTTGTCATGGTGCAACCAGGAATGACGCTCAACGTCTCGGGCGCTCTGGGAGAGTCATATGCCGGTGAGCCACCGCAAAATCGATATGGCTTTGCAAGCATGCTGCTAGAGGATCTGTTGCGAGTGCGACAAGGCATCGACTACGTCGACGATCCCACCCTCAGCACCGTGCAGACATCTTTCTTCCTATTCTGCTCCTATTTCACATTGGAGAAGCAGAACTCGTGCTGGTACTACTTGCGAGAAGCTAGCACTCTTGCACAGCTGATGAAAATGCACGAAGAGTCGTCCTATTTTGTCGGCGATGCTGAAGAGAATATGCTCAAGCGTCGGACTTTCTGGTTGATCCTGCTGACCGAACGTGCCTATGCAATGGAGCGTCACCGCACGTTAAGTGTACACCCCACCATTGAGCTCCCAGCGGCCGAACAGGTCGAACAAGAGGTCGTCAGTGGCTTTGTCCACCTGACGAAACTGTTTTGTTGCATCGATGACGACTTCATGGCCCTCTGGAACAAGACCAAGAGCGAATGTTCGCCAGAGTGGTTGTCAGGCTTACAGCGGCGACTTCGCGACGTACTGCCACAAAACTTGGATGCCACCGAGCATCAAGTGGCCGACATCCGGATAACACAACAGTGGCTAAAGATCATGGTCTGGCAGCTGAGTGTAGCACATGGTCATATCTCGTCGCATTCACAGGAGCCTGCGTTAAGCTTCACCTATCCCATCGAGGTGGCCAGAGATCTGGTGCACTTCATCGAGAGTATCAGTCTCGCAAGCATGGAAGTACATGGTGTTGGCTTGGTAAGTTGCACCTCTGTCCCAAGAAATATGACTGACTGGGCGTAGATTGAGAAGCTATTTGATATAGCATGTACGCTCATGGACGTGATCACCTGCGTACCGCTGGACGCGTCTCAAAATAGTTCCCAATCTAACGAATACTTGAGTGCGGTCTTGCAGCTTGTTGCGAAGCTCCGCGGCGGTGCCTCAAGGTACCTTCCTCTTCTGGCAGCCCGAGTTAAAGAATTTCCCAACCAATCGCCTCGAGCTCGGCAAATGTCGCTGAGCATCAAGCAAGGCTATGCGGGCGCCAGTGACCATCTTCCCACACCCCTAATGCCAGACACAAACGGAAATCCACACTTCGCCAATCTCGAGCTGGACATGCGACCAATCCATCGTCCTGCCATGGATGAGCAGGCCCTGATATTCGATGCGTATAGCTCAACCACGCAGAAGGCACAAACACCTACAGATGTATCGCGATCACCAAACCACGCGAGAACGCCCATTACGCCCGATGTTTACGGCCCACCAGGATTAGGACCATTGCCCCGTAACGTGGTGACCGGCAGTAATATGTACGGGCACTATCCTGGGTGAGGGCGAAAAAGAAGATAATTTGCAAAAAGACATTGTCCAAGGATGAGGATTAAGCAGCAGTCATTCCACTACTTGGCTTTTCGCTTTGCTACTCCGCCATTTGGTACGGCGCGACGAGTCCTTTGCCTGGCTTCCCATCGACCCCACCCCGCGTCCTGCAAATCCTCCGTCATGATGAGATCTCGAAATCGCAATTGCTTGGCAACTTCCAGATCGAGGCCCCAGTCGATCCAGCCAGCGTTCCGGAGATAGCTTGTGAACAGAAACCACACCACAGCAAAGATCAGCCCGGCGCCAAAGCCGATCCACACCTGTCTTGGAGTATGGTAATTGAGATAGATGCGCGAGACGGCGACGAGGACAGCGCAGAAGCAGGCGAGAACGGATAAGGCGAGACGCTCGATAAAGGTCGACGGACGATAGCTCGTGTGAGGTGTCGGCTGATGTCGTAGCATAAGGAAGAGGGTCAGGGATAAGGAGAAGAAGGCAACGAATTGCGAGTGCGATGAGGGCATGCCATAGCCCTTTCCAACGATCTCTGCTGGAACGTTAGTGGATCAGTAACGGATCAGACTGTGCCGCGCCAGGGAGAAATATGAGTCAGGCAGCGAGTTGCCTTGGATCCACAAATTAGGCGAATACCCCGTGCATTGAGTCACCGGGATTTCAGAGTGACGGTAGTTGTTTGGCCCCCATGTGGGCACTTCATTTCGACCAAAATGATCTGAGGGGATACGCAAATAGTAGAAGAGCATGACACTTACGCCTTGGCCTCTCCTCCCTGATCCACCGCTTCAAGGCGAAATTGAGTGCTTCACAACTCATCTGCCCCGCAAACATCATCCAGACCTCAATCTCGCGGGTTGCCCACATCAACGTCACGTAGATGATACAAAGCCCTTGCGGCACAAGAGCCAGCCATGCCGAAACGTAGGAATATGGATCTGAGGGGTTGTAGGCGACATGTGTGAGGGAAAGGGAGGCCAGGGGCTGGTCATCGGAGGCCATGATTCCCTTAAGCCTTTGTAGGTGAGGGAGGGGTAAGCAAAAGAGGCTGGAGTCGCGGCCAAGCTAGGATACAATCAAACAAATGGTTAATAATGTCGGGCTGTGTTTGCAAAGAACCAACAGCCTCATAGCGACTGCGGAAAATGTAGATTGAGTCGACGTGGACGTGTGAATCTGCTATCTATCTCCTTATCTCCGAGGGCTGCGGGGCGCGTCGCCGGTCGGGAACTTTTTTGGCGTCACCGATGCACCGTTGTATGTACGAAGTTGCGCCTGTTCTGCCACCGCTGAACTGACTCACACCGAGAGACGAGTCACACTGTCGTTTAGTTCAAGAAATTGCGACGCACAAAAGGCTTAGTCCCCTGCCTTCGAGGGATGCCTCTTTAATATCGCACCAGGCCTTGTCTCTGGAGTTTTGGTCTTGACTGATGCAGAACTCCTCCGACTGCCTCCTCGAGCCGCACCGAACGCCGTTCGCCACTCGTCGCAGCCACTAAGCACAGTGGTATTTGCGTCCGCAACACTACTTTCTACTATCGTTAGAATCATACGTGTAGATACTTCATACAAGACCATCAATGGATGATTTCGATGCAGACGATGAACGTGCCATCGAACTTTCCTCCATCGAAGCCATCTATCCCGAACTCCAGGTCTCGCCAGAGAGTCGCTACAATGCCAGCCTCGATTTGGCGGTGACGCCTCTGAATCCACTCAAGATTCATTTTCAAGAAGTCCTTACAGATCTTACGCATCCCCAACTCCCGACTCCTTCGAGTAACGACCACGCCCGAGCCGTTGCGGCTGGAGCACGAGACAAGAATGGCAGAGATGCCACTCACGGTGGAATACACGAGCTGGAGCACCTGCCACCCCTGCACCTCAAGATGCAGCTACCTGACAAGTATCCGGCCGAATACCCTCCCAAGATCGAGCTGACCGTTTCGCCGTGCTGGCTGAGCCAGCGGAAGCTTGACGAATTGAAAGCCGAGTGCGTGCGCCTATGGGAGGAAATTGGCCACGATCAAGTGATCTATTTGTTCATCGACCATCTGCAGCAACAGGCTGAGAATGCCTTCGGACTCGCGGACGGGCAAGCGGTTTCCATGCCTGCTGACCTGAGGTTAGAACTTCTGGACTACGATCTCAAGGCCCGGCGTCGGAAGTTCGAGAATGAGACATTCGACTGTCAGATCTGCATTGAACCAAAAAAAGGCAAGGATTGCCACCGCTTGTTCGCGTGCGGGCACGTTTTTTGCATTTCTTGCTTGCAAGACTCGTACAACACCTACATTTCTGAAGGCGATGTGGGCAGCATCAAATGCCTGGACCCCACCTGCGAGAAGCAGCGTGAAACCTCTGAGCCAAAGCGGAAGAAAAGACGTCGCGACTATAGTCTTAACCCCTCCGAGCTTCTTCAGATCCCCATCGACCAAGAGCTCGTCCAGCGATATGTCCGACTTAAGCGAAAGCAAAGACTTGAATCTGACAAGAACACAATCTACTGTCCACGACAGTGGTGTCAAGGCGCAGCGCGCAGCAAGAAACATCCAAAGCATGCGGATCTATTCGGTGACTTCAGCTCCGACGACGCGTCCGGCAGTGAAGCCGAACCGGAGCCAGAGAGCAATGCAACCGCCAAGAAGCGGATCAAAAAGAAAGATGAGCAGAACATACCCATGGCAAGGCGCTTAGCTGTGTGCGAGGATTGCGACTTTGCCTTCTGCTCTGTCTGTAAAAAGGGCTGGCATGGTGAATTGGTATATTGCAACCCCCGCAAGCAGAAGGAGCTGGAAGCGGAAGAAAAGGCCACACTCGAATACCTTGAGCGATATTCAACGCCCTGTCCTACCTGTCAGGCACCCTGCCAGAAAACTCACGGCTGCAACCACATGATTTGTTTCAGATGCAAAACACACTTTTGCTATCTTTGCTGCAGTTGGCTGAACGCGGACAATCCTTACCAACACTTCAATAATCCGAAGAACAACTGCTACATGCGCCTGTGGGAACTGGAGCAGGGCGATGGGACGGGTGAGGCTCCACGAATTGATAATCGCTGGGGTGAGGTGCCTGACGAGATTGACGAGGACGATTTCGACCAAGATGATCGTGACCAACAGCCCATCGATATGGCCGCCTTGGCGCAGGAGGTAGAGGTTATTGCAGCGAACCCGGTTGGTGACGTTGTCGATCACTCAGACGATGAAGAGGTTGCGCCGGATGTTGTCCGCAATCGGCGGGCGCGCGCTATTGAATTCGTTAACTTTGCCGCCAACGGTCAACAGCAGGCCCAACGTGTGATCTTACCAGATCAAATCGAGGAGCCTGCAGGCCCACTGCAGCCTCTCCCTCGACAGTTACACGATCAGCAGGAAGGACGTGCAGCGCGTCGAGCACGCCAACGTCGGCGTCGGCAACAACAGTTGCCCAATGGCCGTGCAAACGCTAGGGCTCCGTAAGTCACTAACACCCACTCTCTTTCAAATTCCGAATGACTAACTCCGAACAGAATCGGTGCACGTATTGCCCACCAAAACCTGCCTCCTGCTGCTCCGCAACTCCCAGCCAACAACCTCCCTGCCGCTCCTCCAGCCTTGCAAGGAGACCAAGCTGCTCTGCAGCGCTTCCTTGAACTAGCGCAGCGCGACGAAGAAGATGAATGGGACAGTGACGAGCTTCCCGAGGACGTCGACTTTGGTGAACATGAAAGTAGTGATGATGAAGAAGAAGGAGGAGGAGGAGGAGAAGGCGCAGATCGAGATGCGCCGGCCGAGGTGATGCGCAGAATCGTGGCGAGGAGGGGCATGAATCGTTGGAATATGCGATGATGCAGTCCATTTGGGGATGTCTTTCGTTGGGCATGGCATGAGGGAGGGTGCCGAGCGAGGTTAGATCTACGTCGATAAAGCAAATGAAGCGTGGGGCATCGCACTGTCTTTCGGATATGTGTGGAAGGTCTCGGAGTGGGAGATGTACGTCTATCAGCCTCGACACTGCTTTTATCTTCATCCACGCCAACTCACTCCGACGTTCAATGGAGCCCGAATCAGAGTCAGCACAGAATACATCATATACCACAGCAGCGCACGTTACCTTCAGATTCGTTACAGCTCCTGTGAACCACGACGAACCTCCACTGCCTGCCACTACCTGCCACTGCCTTGGGAGGTCAAGGGGTATCAGGCAGTGAAAGTCTTGGCGCATTGATTCCGCAACCGGTGCGCGACTGGGACGAAATACTGTGCCGCCTACGTAGGTACAGATAGAAAGGTTTGGTTGGGTAGGGGACAGCAGTTCAACCTAGAGAAGAAAATCGCGAAATAACGATGTTACGGTGTGATGGGTCGTATGTAGGTGAGGTACTATGTAGTGGACATCGACTAACCTCCGTGCGCCTTTAGAGGGGCATATGTACGCTCACTTCTGCTGTGTCTGCACCTCACGGTGTCTCGGGGCACGGGAGTTTCCGCTGCCGCTCCTGAGGAGGAGCTGCTCGACTACACAGGATATATATATATATACATTGCCAAGGCCATGCAGATTCCTGCTCTGGGAAGCGACAGCCTTGGTGTCCTCCCCCATTCCCTTCGTTCTTGGCTTGATGGCTTGTAAACGTTTTCGCATTGGTCGATTCGCTCTCGAGCTGAAAACTTGTTGTCAAACATACAGTAGCAAAGTATGAGACCCATCAGGAAGAATCACGTAAACCAAGGGTGTTGTGGGCTGTAGATAGCCCTGTTTCGAGCCAGCGTGTTCTCTGGATACGGATACCATGTATAGTGCCAGCGGTCTCCAAGATAGTGGAATGTAGCCATTGCAGCACCGTACTCGCCGTCGGGCCGCTGAAAACAATGTCAACCACAGGCGCTTGGGGAGCTTTGACGTCTTATCGCCATGTGGCGCGATAGCTCGTCGTCGGACCCTATGCGAAGCGAAGCCCAGACCTTGGCAGCATTCCACATGTCTTTTAGTGTAATGGTGTGATACCTAGGCGGAGCGGAGCTAGGACAAGTGCCGAAAAGCAAGGTCTTGGTTATGAGACCCATCTCTTTCGCAAGTCTGTCCGAACTCCGACGATGTCCGCGGGCAGGTAAGATAATATACGCCGCCTTGCGCAATGATAAGTGGTGTCGGTGCGCTGCAGCAATGTTGATCTGACCATAAGCCAGCTCGTGCGAGTTCTGGCCCCCAAATTCGGACAATGCTAGCGGGCATCCGCTTTGGGCAAGTGGCTCTGTACCGTGTTAAGTGGATCAGAAGCTCGAAATAAATCCTAATGTTGTTGGTGACGTATAGCGATGTGTTGGATCGACACACGGGTCGAGGCGAAGGATGCTATCTCGAGTGGTCGGCCAAGGTTGCGTCTAAGCGACAGCTGCGGCCTGATGCACAGCGCGACTGCCTCGAGCCGTTATGTCGTAGAAGGCGGTATTGGTTTCATTGGATTCCTGACCATGTGTACCACCATCGTCCTTTTGAGCAGCTGCTGCCGCAGTGAGGCGCGGGCGCATGGTCGAAGGTTCATCAAAGAAATCGGCATCAGCGGTTGAAGTCGAGTTGCTGAAAAGTGAAGAAGGCCTGGGCATCAAATCAGTCACTATGCTTAGAGCCATCAGCAGCGGATTAGGTAGCTTCGTACAAGAAGAATCCCAGGAGAGCACGAGCCATTTCAGAGATACCGAATGCAGGCTTCCGTGTGAACCAGAGAGGGGCGCAACGCTGAACTACTATCAAGCAGTGGGAAAGGAGGATCTTAATATGGATGCAAAATGGGCTTGCGTCCTGACGTCCGAGCGACTCACCGATAGAGTGCTGTCAGAGCATTCGAAGAGCTGGCTAGAACAGGCCCACTTCTGTTCTTTCATCAGCAATTGTCATTTCGAGGGCAGATCACGCCATATAGAACCATAGAGATGCGAGATGCGGGACACAACTACACAGCACCACGCGGGAGGTCGGCCAGACATCCCTGTAAGTCCGACATAGCCGGTACCTTTGTCCAGTGTGAGGCCTGGAGCTGGGACCACTTCGTCTTGTGGGGCATAAGTCAAAATCGTGGCTCCCGATAGTGAAGCTGGAAATAGCTAGCGAAGGCGGGCGCGACGATGGAGACGCATTGAATTAACGACTTGAACCGTGACTGCGATGTGAGCGGGGCACGGAGCTGGGCCCGCTCGAGGGGCTTATGGAGCGCCAGGAATGGGTGCACCCCAAGCTACGGCCGGACTCAGTCCACGGATTCCCAACTCTTTATTCGCGAGCGGCCCCGGAGGCCCGATCCTTAACTGGAGGCGGTTTAGCTTGAACGGACCACGGGGGGGTGCTAAGCCTGAAAGCCAAGAAGGCTTGCGTGACCTTATTGACAGCCGATCGTCCCACGTTTGTCCAATACTGCGGGTGTGCAGCTTGACTTGAACAACGATCAGTCTAGAGGCTTGTGTTGATGGCGAGAGGCCCCTGAGATGGCCGCTTATCGAACAGTCTCCAGTTCGTCGCCGTAGACGTCTTTCAAGTTTCCGATAGAGTTCGATATTGTTGCCTTTTGGCGGCTGTCTTAGCTGGGTGGCTTGGTCTCGGCCTCGAGCGCCTCGCGGTTTGGTGTTTCTGACCAAGACGTTTTACATTCCCGGGTCAGACAACATCACCGCCGCCTTGCGGATCAGCCAACGTGAAAGCTCAACTTGCGGACACTGGATCATCAGGACCAGACCCCAGCTTTGCGGATAAGCCTTCTTCGTTCGAATAGACTCATGTCGCCTGGTTACATGTTCATAGAGGATCCACCAGCGAGAACAATCGACGTCGTCTTACAAAGTTCTTGCGGAAAATAACAAAATGGTCCGACGGGTGAGTTTGGCTCGTGCTCTACGTTGCTCCACACTGCTAGGGGTCAGCATATTTGGATAACGCGTGGTTTAGCGGGGGACTTACCGCCAAAGATCCCACCAGAGCGCACTCCTCCTGGTTGCACGCCTTCCAACTGCCACTGATCAACTCCATTGTACTCGACGATGATTTTCCACTTGACTTCTCTGCCACCCACGGCGAGCGCAACAAAGCCTTTGATCGTCGTGATCGGAATGGAGGGGTATTCGGACCCGCGGGAGCTACCTTTGAAGTACAACGGAGGTAGATCGTTGCAGATAGGCACGTTTGTTTTGAGAACCGGATTCGCCCGTACTGAATCGTCGAGCTTGAGTTCCATCAAGAGCAAATCGCCACAGACTTCTGGCTCATCTCGTAGATCGAAGGATCGGGTAATCCCGAAATCGACAAGGCCAGCGTTAAATGCCAGCAAGCTCGAGTAGTCCAGGAAAGCATATGTGCCCAGCCAGATTCCAGTAACGCCCGCCCAATCATCGGTTATGGTCGAGCTGCGAAGAGTGCGGTTGGGGATGGAGTAGAACAGGCCCTCTGGCGGTGTAAGTTGCCCATCTACAGCTTCCCCAAAGTTCAAACTGATACAGGCCATAGCCGCCTCGAGCAATGTCCAGTTGATTTGTCCACTGCCGTCCCGACTGTACGGACCATAGTCAGTTGCAGCGTTGGACAATTGCCAATCGTAAACGTAACGCCGGTGAAAGTGTTTTCGATCTGCCTTGTCACGCCGCGACAGACCGTACAAAGTGTGCAGTCTCCTAGCACCATCTGAACGGTTACGATCTTTGGTTGCAGAAGTCATTGCTCGCGTCCGGGGCCGGCCGAAATCGTCACTCATGGTCCGTGCGGATGATGTTGCGTCGTCAAACATCAGTCTCTCGAGTCCCGTTTCATCCTCGAGTAAAATACTTGCAAGCAACTGCAAATTCCGAGATGATCGGTCATCTGCTTGCGGAAGTCTCCCCCGAGCCAGCTCTGCCGACGACGGTTGCGATTTTGCAGTATCAATGATGCTCAGAATAGTGTCGACATGCTGTTCGTAGTTGTCCTTGTCGGCCTGCTGGGGCCACCTCTGACGGAGAGCCTTGATCTGCTTCGTGTCAGTCCGTGTTGAGGAAGATTGCAGCGCAGTCCAAATGTAAATACCGCCAAACTTCGAGACATCAGTTCTCGATGCCAGTCCCAGCTTGATCGACCGGTCTCGTAGGATTGGGTATAAGTTGCCCAAGCATCCTCGGGATGGTCATAGATGTGGAGGAATGCATCACGCCACAGCAGCTGGTTGCTTGAGCCAATGAAATTAATGGCACGACGGCAGCTACGACCAAAGCTGACGATATCAGATGGTAGTAGGAAGGAGAGGATGTTGCCAAGCACTTCCTGTGGTAGTTCGATCAGAGACGGCGCCATGATGGCTTCGATTGCGAGGGGACGACTTTATCAATCTCAGAGCAGAGGTAGCAAAAGAGGCGAGATGTATGAGTGATTCATCACTCGCCTTGTATCAAATGCTTGGTACGGACGACTCCGGGTTTAAGGCAGGTCCGAGAGCGTTGTTGCCTTATCCATGCGGAGGCCTACGGCGGGGTACAACGTCGTGCAAGAAATTTGGCATGGGGGCCGCGTTCGCCGCTGGCCAGTCATCTCCTTCATGCCCTCAACGCCGTGCCAGCGTGCTAGGATCTGTAAGGCTCAGCCGCTGAGCCACTCTTTGGGCGGTCCAAATGCGCCTCGCTCTCTATACCATGTTGCAATACAAAGCCCACGCTCTCTGAGCCCAAAATCGTCTTCTGTCGCATTTGCGCCTCGTTTTCTGTACAAGGCCGACCCCGCAAACGCCCATCATGCCCCTTCGAGACCTACTGAAGAAAAAGGACAACATTGAGAACAACCAGGCACCTGTGGCACCTTCTAGTCTTCCTCAGGCCACCGAGTTCACCTTTGTTCGTACCGACACACAGAATCAGGAGTTCATCCATCCTCCGGGATTCGGTGCAGATAACGAGGCCCGAGCCAGTGACGCAGATGGCTCCCCGAAGAAAGGTTTGGGACGATTTCGAAGACATTCCAAAGCATCTCCCAGGGAGACGTCCCCTTTACCGTCACCCTCAGCAAAGGAGCACAAGCGACTGTCTCATCGACTGCACCTGAACAGAGACCGTTCCGCCAGTACAAGCTCTACACACCTTCCGTCTGACCTGCCGGACATCGCAGACGACTTCAACCCGGAGACCCGAGAGCACAAGGAGGCAGAGTGGGAAGACCGGGCCACGAGACTTGCATCCAAAAGCCCCAACTCGGCTACTTTCCCACCTACAACAGAGATGTCACACCTGAAGACGGGTTCTGCCTCACGAAGTCCAAGCAGACCACGTAGTGTGAGTGATGCTGCGAGCGACGTTAACATCCAAGAAGCCATCCGCCTGCACGAATCTGGTCAGCTTGAGCAGGCCACCCAAATGTTCCATCAACTTGCTGAGCAAGGCAATGTATTATCTCAGGTCCTATACGGCTTGTCTCTCCGCCATGGATGGGGTTGCCAGCCTGATACCCAGAAGGCGGTCACATACCTTTCACAGGCTGCTGCAAACTCAGCCGAGGTTGAGTCACAGGCACTGAAAGCTGGAATGACAAAGGGAGGTGCAGCCAAAGGAGAGCTAGTCCTAGCCATCTTTGAACTTGCCAATTGCTTTCGACATGGCTGGGGCGTCCCCATCGACAAAGTTGCTGCCCGCCAATACTACGAAACCGCCGCGAACTTGGGCGATACCGACGCCATGAACGAAGCAGCTTGGTGCTACCTAGAGGGATTCGGCGGTAAGAAGGATAAGGTGAGTTCAACATCTCCTAAGCAGTGGCAGCCGTATCTTTGCCCATCGCTCATCAGAACACGTGATTCTCCTGCAGCAGAGCCTCAGCCATCCAACAGCTCGTGCGGGCAGGGTATTCGCATTTCGGACCCATCTCATGACCCAGGTTCAGCTCATCTGCCTCATAATGATTTCATGTCCCGCATGGCCCCCATGCGTCATCCAGCCGATACCACTGAAAACGCCATCAATACCAGTCCTTCCGGTTCGCTGCATCACATTGGGCATCAATGCATAATCAGCAATACCTGGCCCAACAGGCCCGTACCTTGCATTAGCTGCACACTGCCCCCACTCTCCCAAAACCAGTATTCACTGTTTCGGAGAAATACTCTGCCAATGGCTTTTCACCATTCCTTTGCATCAATCACTGACTCCCAGATACAGTTCAAGGCAGCGCAACTCCTTCGGCTGGCGGAGAACAATGGTTCGAAAACGGTCGGCAATTCTTGGTACGTTGATTCATTCTCTGTTTCGCTGTCTACTTCCTGCCATTATATTTCTGCTCCCGGAAGATCCATCCCAACAAGCGACTGGACGAAAGAGTCCCCTCCTTCGGTCGCTGTCTTCACCGTCTCTTGGTCCTAGGTCCTGGGTAGCAAGACGGCTCCGCCAAGATTTTCTCATTGGCTACCACTTGGCTCTTACGCAGCATGCGGCCCTCCTGCGACCACGGCCCACCACCGAACGACCCAAAACAAAAATAACGCCCCTCCAAATCGGACCAATAGCAAAATTGCGGTGGTTGGGAAAAAGGCCAAAAGCGTCCATTCCAAGAGTGGGCAAGTCTATGGAGAATTTCCTGTGCAACGGGCCGTCCGCGTCCTGGTCCCTAGTCACCTTTGTGCCAGGCCCTACTACAAGCCACCAAAGCAGCCTGAAACGAGCCATGCCCGAGACCACGACGCCTTGTTTGTATGCCAGACACTGACTACGCTGCGTGATAGGATCTGGAAGGAGAAGTACAACCCGAAATGAAGCCTCTCTTGCCTCTGCCGACCCGCGCAAAGTCGGCTCGGGAGACGACCGTTGTTGCCTCCTCCCACCTCTTGGACAGACCCTTCCGGCTCGCCTCGCTTCTCACCACTGTCGATTCCTCTTCGGCGTGAGACAATACTCTCGCGTATTCTCGTGATCGCCCACCCACCCCGGAAGCCAAGTTTGTGGTCAGACAACATGTTCAGAATGCAGCACCGGCTCAGGCAACGCGGCAACGGGTCCAGCAACTCAAGCCTGGTCGTATTGCTGCTAGGGGTCAAACGTCAGCCGAATCCCAATCTCAGCTTGCCTCTTAGGCAAGTGCTCCGAGTGCTTTGCGGCTTGGTCGGAGGGTGGAACAAATGCCCTGAAGATCAAGTCATCATTACGGTCGATTCTGCTTCAGGGTGGGGAGGAATATGGAGTCACAGGTCGGCTGACGGGACGTCGTTGCCTCGACGTCTTCCATCCGAGTGACACCTCCAAGCGTGCCTTGTTTGCTCCCACTGAGCCCACGGTTGCAGCCCGACGTGCGAAGCATGTATTCGCCAGCCAGCCCTGCTTGTCCAACATATGTCATTCTCAGGGGAACGAACGCGTTTCTACTGTATGCTGGGAGCAACAAAGACCAGATCGTAGTGCCGGTAGACAGAACAACGTATTCCTCTATGTGAACTCATCAACAGCTCCATTCAATTCCTCGACCCTACTACCTAATGCTATCCTTGAAGACATCTGCCTATGAAAATGTCCTGTAGTCGCATCCGCTATTGCTAGCCAGATCGTTTGGTGGCCTCCTGCCTGGGGCCTCGCTGCACAGCACTCACTTTTGACGCTGAGATCGTATGAAACTGCTTCTCTGCCGTGCCCTGCTCTGTCTCTCTGCTCTGTTCTATATCGTTTGGTCATCCGCGTTCATTTGATCCGTTGATCCCATCGTGTCATCAGAAATCTCATCAATATCATCGTCGTTGTTCGTCATCAAACTGCTTAGGAATCTTTTGCTCCCCTCTGTCTCGAAGGGCGGCTTCCTTTGCGGATTCAAAGTAAGAAAGCCGGTCATTCATGCATGCGTGCTTCATCCATCGCTCGCTCGCTTGCGTCTCTCTTCTTCCCCTTATATTTCTTCCTTCCTCCGGTAAATACATCAAGATTCACAATAATGGCCGCCACCAGCAGCAAAAAAGTAGACAAAATGTAACTCAAAAGCTCGAGTAAAAGTAGATAAGGGAATTCGTGAACCAAGGGAGGTGGTCGATGGCCGCTCTGAAGCGTAAAGTTCTGATAAAGGGTCGTGTCGTGTCGTTTGTCGTCAGTAGTTGTTGAGTTTTAAAAAGGTGGAGACAATGTCGGGTTGGGGCTAGTGAAAAGCCCAGGTGATATGAGAGTACGACGAGGGTGAAGTTGGTCGTTCAGCTTTGATGAAACATCAAATGCTGAACATAGGAGAGTCGTCCAGGGGCGATGGGAGAGAAGAGAACCCTGTGAAAATTCAGACATCGGTCTGCTTCCTCGCCTGTGTCTCGGCGACGAGTGCGCGGAAGTCTCGCAAGACCTTCTCCGGCACTCGCTCCAACAAGACTGATCGTTCGCGGGTCTTACCACCAAGACCTGTCAAGCGGTCGACAGTGTCGCGCTCTGCCTGCATGGTCGCAAAAATGGCCTGCAGTGGGGTGGATTTTGCCTCTTTGTCAATATTGTCCACGGGATTGATGGGAGAAGGCATGTCAAGCATCCCATCTGGATTTGTGATGTGTTCGTATTGTGTTGGCGTGAGAGAGAAGGCTGCAGCAGCTTGTTGCTGACGGGATGGGGTCGTCAGCGTAGTGGACAGCGTATCCAGCGAGGAGTGTTGTTGGTTATGTTGGCCAGAGAGCATGGAGTAGGCAGTATTGGGATCAGGCTGCAGGTCGGTGGTGGTGTCACTGTCCGCGGAGAGGACAGCTTTGAGAACGTTGCTAGCTTCCAGTCGATAGTCGTCAGAAAGAGTCGGCAGCGATGCAACATTGGATGCAGATGGGGGGTCGGCCCGAGATGTTGACGATGATGAGGTGGTGGAGTCCTTGATAGTCGTCGTGGCTGGCTGTGAGGCGATGAAAGCGCCAAAAAGGAGACACATATAGAACGTATTCCAACTGAAGCCAGCATCGGCTTTATTCGAGATGGTAGGGGCAGCGGTGGCATACTGTGGTGTTGGCAATGGACGAGGTGTGAGTTGGCGCTGAGGTGTTTCTCCGCCCTCCATCTTCAAGTCGTCGCTGTCAATGAGACTAAATTCGTCGTCCCAGCTATCATCACCCAAATCGAGATTTCCGAAATTTGAAAAGTCGTTGGCGAAGGTATCAGTAGAGGGTTGATTGTGGGTGAAGCCACGAGCAGCTTGTTGGCGCTCAAGATCCCGAACACAGTCCTTGAGGACATTGTTTTGTCGTCGAAGCTCGGCAGTCTCAATAGTCTTGGTGCGGATCGCCTCGTCACGTTCATACTGAAGGTTTTGGATGAAAGCCTCGTACTGCTGTCGCTGCTGCATCATTTGCTCACGCTCTTGGGCGACGACGTTCTCAAAGTGGGCCATCTTCTCCTTTAGGTCCTTCTCCTCGGCCAACCACACTTTCTTGTCTGCTTCAAGTCTGTCGGTATGCATCTTCTTTCGTTGTCGGGAATCAAGCCTGGATATTGTGTTAGTAAAGGGCAACCGGAAGGGCGGTGAAATACGCACGCTGCTTGTCGGTTTCGGAGCAATCGTTTCTGCTGCTTGAGCTCCTTCTTCTCCTTCTCATCAGCCGCGTGAGAGATACGCTCATCGATGTTCAGCAAGGAGATTTCCTTCGGAATCTCAATGCGAGCATTCTTCTTGCGGATGCTATCCGGCCGGAGAACATTATTGGGTGACATTGCCCGAAATTGAGGACTTCCGGGACCATGGCGCTGTTCACCGCTATCCGTCGACGTCGTCGAGCCCCACCCACCCTGGCTCGACTGTGGTGACATAGCTATGGCCGAAGAAGGCTCGTGCTGGAAAGGAAATGTACCGGTAGTAGAGTTGAATTGTACTGGGATGGGGTCTTGGACTGCACCAAACATGGGCGTCGGTGTGCTTGATTCAGAATGACCAGGCATGGGCCAGGTGGGTGAGGGACCAAAGGTGGGAGCGTAGGACTGGCTGTGCAATCGCACCATCTGCTCGGGGTGGGTGTTGATACTAGGAACAGCAGGGGTAGAATAGTGGCGCATTTGAACCATATGAGGGTGTGACCGGTCATGCCACATTTGAGGTGCGCCAAACTCTTCCTCGACTTTGACAAGCGAGTGCCGCCTGCTCACGCTTGGTTGAGCCATAGGATGATGGGTGCTGTGGTCGTAAGGACGATCGCCGGCGAGATTGGAATCGTCGTCGTCAGGATAGGGCCCCTTCACTTCCTCGGGCCACTGTGGGTGCGCATAGACAGCGAATGTCTGCTGAGGGTAACGGTGGGCCATGATCTCGGGACGAAAGGTGGTTGGAAAATAGCGGTGAGTGAAGGTGGGGAACACAAAGGCTCAAGCGCCGATAATCATGGTTTCTGGACGATGCGAAAACGAAGTAGAGAGGTGAAGCGAAGTCAGAACATGGTGATATATGTGGAAGGAAGTAGACGGCAAGAAGTATGGACTGAGGTTGATCGCCTGAGGCAGAGGGGAAGCCAGAGGTCTAGTAGCCAGTCCCGGGGGCGATTGATCTGACGGGCAGAAAGTCGATACAATACCGTACCAGAGCAAGATGAAACGAACTCCCTCGAGCACACAAAGGATCCGGAAGGCTCCTCTTTTGGAGACCGTTAGGCCTGCGGTGGAGAAGCAGAGGGTGAAGGCCGAAGTCGTCGTTGGTGAGCAAGAGGGCGAGCGGAGAGGTTGCCCTGAGCAGGACGAAGAGAGGGCAGTGGCCAGGACGGTCCCAGCCTCGGGAGGAGAGGGGATTGGCAGCAGGACAGTCGGGCAGAGATGGCAGCAATTTTTTACCTTAGCCAATGCACGTCGTATGCAGTGTTGAGCCTGGGCGCCTTCAGTGAGTGGGTGGTGGAGGAGCTAGGCCCATGGTTTCTGCTGCGACCGTATGCGGCCTCCAGGGTTGGTTCAGACTCTCGCTCAAGCCTGAGGCCGAATCAGGTCGATGAAGCTGATGTTTGCTTTGATTCGGGTTTGGACACTGGCTTTGGATCGATGTCGTTCACGAAGCTTCAGATTGGCTCTGGAGGGGCAGCTTGACCGCCTCGCTGGATATGTCTCGGCCGACCCGGTTTCATTGTGTAGGAGTCTCCGCACGCGCAGCACAATTCTTGCTCTTGATGCTAACGGAGATGTTGTCGCATGAGCGAGGTCACAGGTCGCGTAAGGTCATGCGAAGCCGGGATCGCGATGGACGATGATGATGGCCTTACGCGACCCCCGAAAGGCGATCTACGATCTGAGTTCGTCAGCTGCCTGCTCGGCCCAAGAACCAAAACCAAGTCCACCGCCTAGAAAGGCGACTACGGGACGGGTCGCGGGTTAGCTCCTGGGTACCGTCTAAGTAAAGATTCACCCACACGCCTACACCGTTACCAACTTTTGACATTCGCCAGCCTGTGGTCCTTTCTTCTGCCATCCGCATCCCTGCTGTGACATGACCGGCTCACGTTTCGTATGCCCGCCCACGCTGTGCAAGTGACGCCAGCATCTTCTAATCACGTATGTATCCCGCCCCCAAGAAAAGGCACTGCCTGCTTAAGCGAGCTGCCGATTCTGTTCTACTCCCGAACATCGCCCACGAGGGGATGATCACGCCCGGCATCTGACAGGATCCAATCATCAAGTGCGATGGCTGCTTCTGAGAATTGCTGCCCAACGTGAGGCTGCTGTGTCCCTTTTAAGGCTACTAGCAAGTATCACCATTCCTCCTCCTCTTCACTGTGTACGAGTCGAGTCGAAAAACAAACACTGAATCATGGCTGAATCTCACGCGGTGCGCGAATGATCGTGCAATACCTGATTATTACCACACAACATGCTAACACCTGATCATGGCGCCCTGCGCCGTCACATGGGGGAGTTTGCAGTTCCCCTGCAGTAGTACGTCTCCGCAGCCACACTTTGACTCCTTCATCACAGTTCCATCGAGTCCAATACGTCGTGAAGTCGTCAGGAGATACGCCCGGCATAGAGCCTTTCAGCTGAGAGGTTGTCGTCGAATTCCTTGCCGCCTGCAGAGCCTGAGATGAGGCCAGCCTTTGTCGGCCCTTGAGTGCTGCGCCGCATTGAACGAGGTAGATAGCAGTGCCAGGGGTAGGCATTGCCCGTATTCGCCAGTACAAGACCTGCACGGAGATGTACTCTTTGGTATTGGGCATCTTTTCGAGAAAAACCTGCCTACCACAGCGAAGGTTTGACCGACCATGACGGGTGGTCCTGGTGGATTGCCTCGACAAACGCTCCATTACTTTTCGCACGCGCTGTGCGCGGAGGGTGCACTTTGCATCAGGACCCAGCAGGTTCTGCAGTATGGGAACCGACTGGCCAATGTGCGCTTGCTTGCTGCATCCCAGACCGGCTCAACGTCTCTTGCAGGTGTATTGCGGAAGAGAAGGCGGTAGCCTCTCCACGAGTCTATGGCGGATGTCCCCCCTCTCTAGAGCATGGTGATTTCGATGCTACGCTGAGGGAATGGTCAACAGTTCGGTGAGCGAGATGTGAGGGTGAGGATGAGTTATTGCTATAACCTGGATTGATACCTCACATTGTTCCTTGGGACGATCTCACCTTCGCCTATTCACCCATTAGGCGCGTGTTGGGTATACCCACACCTTTCAACTCCGGCGAGTACGAGAAGCCTTCTTCCGTTCGCGACCAGAACCTTTTTGACCTGCGCCAGACCTCTTTTTGCCTGCGCCATAACGTTCTGTACCTACGCTCCTATTCCACGTAGGATTGGAAGCCCAAGCGTGGGCGCCCTGCTGTCGGAGTTTGAGAACCGTGTCCTACACGACTCCAGATTCCGGGCCCCGAACGTCCCGAGGTTTCGTGTCCTTTACGTTTCCAGAGCCCGTGTCCTATACGTCTTCAAATTTCTCGTCTTCATCATCATCGTCCTCCATGCCCGAAACATCCATCTCCGAGTCCTCCATCTTGGGGGCCTCCAGGCTTTCGGGATTTTGCAGACTGTCGTCGTTCTCCTTGTACTGCTCGTTCAGCTCCCACTTGCCGTTGAAGTCTCCTTGCTTGTGCATATGTGCAATCTCCTGCAGCGTCTCGCGCAGGTATTGCTCGGGTTGCTGGAGCGCAACCTTGAGATCGCGCAGGCCCCAAATCCGATGTTGCCTAAACTTTTGCAGAAGCAGAACCACCAGATCCTGCTTATCCATACGAGCTGTCCTGTTATCCTTGACCGCTTGTCTCTTGGCCGCCGCAGCCTGTCGTGTGTTAATGTCTCGGACTTACGTCTCCGCATAATTGAACGTACCCTATTGTCTCGCTGGCGCTGGAGAATGCTCGTGATGTTCTGTCTTCTCGTAGGATCTTGCTCGGGCGATAGGATCTGTGTGGCCTCTGCAGGAGCCTGTCTAGACAATAGCCTGGCCATCTTTCGTCGCTCAACCTCCGCATACTCGGCGTTCTTAACTGGTACCGCATCAAACTCCTTGGCAATCACTCCCGCTATGGCTGTCTTCTTCGGGATGGCTCTCCGGCGATACTGCTGTGGTTCTTTGCTCTCTTTCCTCTCCTTGTTTCTTGCTTTACGTTTGGCATCATCGTAGAGTTTGGATCGACCCTGGCCGGCATTCTCGTCATCATCGTTGTCCCACACAAATGATTTTGATTTGTAGCCCGGCAGGTCTTTCTCTGAAAAGATAAGCGCTTGGCCTGGACGATGGCTCTTGACCTTCTCTTTTGGCGGCGGCAGTAGGTCGAATTCTTTATGTTGGTCCTCGAGCTCCGGCAGAGGATTGAGTCGAAGTATAATCTGTCGACGCATTAGCACCTCCGCGCCACGAAAGACTTCCACTGACCCTTTGTGGGTCGTTTTCTGGACCCTCCACACGTATGGTACCTAGATCGATCTCCTCGTCATCTTCGAGTTTTGACAGAGCCTGCCATAGCGATCGTGGAAGATGGCTGAGCCACATTTGCTGTTGCGCCTGGGAAAAGTCTAGATCGCCCGCATCCTCGAAACCGTCCTCGTCCTCGTCGACGTAGGGTGACGGCATATCCACATCCATCGCCTCATCCTTGATGTTTGCATCTGCATGTTCGACTTTGACTTGCGGAATGACCGTCCCAGTCGCGGTAGCCATGGCTGCGCACTGTAGTTGACAAGTGGACGAAAGAATAGAAAGTGGAAGTAAACAACGCAGTTGGAGTTCGGAGCAGGCAGTATGATGCAACTCCAGGCGCATTCAGGCCTGGCCGGATTAAGCATTCGGCGATCGCCCCACTTCCGCTTGTCACGGCACCGAGGCTGCCTAACACTCTCTACGTGTATCTGCCTAAAAGGGGTCTCAGTCTATTCTCTCTTGACGTGTTCATTGTGACTCGGCTACAATCACGTCTGGTAAGTTCTTTATATCTATCATGACACCGGCAGCTCCAAGACCCTCTTCAGCTTCGCGTAGTAGATCGATCACCCGAATAGCATCAAGCTTCAAGGTCCCAGATCTTAGGGCGAGCAGCTCGATTTCACCCTCATGACACTGTCCAGAACCAAGAGCTCCAACACGGACTTCGGCTGTCAGTGCAATCAGCTCTGTCTGCTTCGGCAGAGCATGCGAATGCTGCATAGCGTATATCACATTCTCATCCACCACCGCCTGAGCTATATCGGCATGTGCTTCGCCTTCACGAGGTGGTCGTTTGTCACTTGAGTGATATGATGCCACTGAATGTCGTGGCGCATGTCGCTTACCCGACGAAGTATGCGGCGAACCACGGGGCATTCGAGGCATGGGATAGATTGCGACTTTCGCCGGCCGTGAAGACCGGTTATTGACCAGCACCCGCCAGGTAAAAGCTTGTCCCACCCTGACAGGTTCAACGGGAGCAGTGAACGATATCGTCACACCCATAAACGTAGAGAGGTCGACAATCGGCTGTGCCTGCTGCAAGCTCGTGCTCAGACTTTGCTGAGACTGGCTACCACCAACTGTTAAGGGCAGACTGGCTGGGCGATGAGGACGCTGTATCGGCTGACTAGGCGCACCATAGGAGGGGTTGAGAGCTTGAAAGAAGTCCACGTTCGTAGTAAAGGCCATATTGATCCGGGATTGGCAGACGTCGGTCACTCGGACGTTGAACTGCAAATTGATGTTGAGGACGTCAAAATTTGGCAGCTGAGACGCAGGTGATGGACTTGAGGTAGCAGAGATATTGCTGGTCTGGTTGAGGCGGTACAAAAATGTAATCAGATCCTTGGACCTACAGTCGAGAGGGAGCAGGTTGGGAGTCAGATCCTCGATGGATCCGTTGGCGATTGTAACATCGAGTGTCAGAATGGTCGCCTGGATCTCGATAAAGGGTATAATTTCGACATTGAGTGAAGCAATGATCTTCGGCATGCTGTTTGCCTCGTTGACCCGGCTGTACTGCATTCTGGCGATGGCTGCAGGCACAATCTTGTATCTCGGCGACATGTGCTCGATATGAAACTGCTGTTTTGCCTTGATCTGTTCTGGAACTACCTTCTCCAGCCTGGATGCAGCCAGGTATGGAGAAGCATCAGAGTAGCCTGGCATCTGTCGCATAGGACCTAGGACGCTGGGCTCCAAAGGCCGAAAAGGGCGCAGCAGTTCCATTTCTTCGGGGCTGGCCTGGTCTTCGGCAGACACAACCATAGCTGAGTAGAAAGCAATCGAAGGATCGACCATACGGACGCGCGGTCTCGTCAAAGACAGTTGGGTTTCCCAAACCAACACGAGTAAATTCCCCGGCGAATCATCATCTGCTTGTCGAACAAGAACCAGTGGATCATTGGTGGTGGGTATGGTAGCCGTATGGATGAGGTCTCGGACTTGTTCCACTGAACCCGGTCCCCGTTCTTGGGAACGATCAAAGGCCCATGCTTCGACTCGTATCTCGGCACGCGACAAGCACCGATTGAGTAGCTCTTCGTCACATTCTGGGACCGATAAAGTCACTACCACCCTCACCCGTTCGTCTGGGCTGCGTATAAGTAAGATATGGCCTGTCAAATTTGCATATGACCTTACCAACAAAGAGTAACTCGCGCTTCGGAACGCCTAGAGGTTCATCGTCTGCCGTGGGTTCATTTCCAAGAACATCGGATAACTCCTGATCTGTATTCGCAGGGATCACGATGTCGAGGGCCGCAGCTCTCAATAGAGCCTGCTCTTGATTCATGCTGCTGCATGACGCCTCCACGATCTCTAGCGAAGCAGAACAGATCAGCGTGGATGAGGACAATGAGGCTGGCAGGTAGTCACTCGCTAGGTTGCACGAGGCAAACGCCAAGAAATGCGGCTCGGTTCTTCGTAAATTTGGCATGTTCTCCGGCACTCTTCACAACGATCGCAACGACAATCGACTCGACAGATCTCATGCGGTATCTGGACATCGCCCGTTCAGTGTTGTGAAGATGGATGTTCTACCTCCCAATCCTATGACCTGGCAAGAAACAAGAGCCCCTGATGGTCGCACGTATTACTACAACACTGTCACCCGCGAGACAACATGGTCGAAGCCTGACGCGCTGATGACTCCGGTCGAGCGCGCCCTTGCGAATCAACCATGGAAAGAATACACCGCCCCTGATGGCCGCAAATACTACTCAAATTCGCAAACTAAGGAGACTGTTTGGGATATGCCTGCACAATACAAGGATGCACTTGATGCCGCCCAACCAACCCCGAAGTCGCTTCCACAAGCCCCCGCGTTCGTCGCCGGTGGCTCGACAGCCCTGTCGACCTACAATCCCGACGCAGCAAATCCCTATGAGAATCGCAAATCCGATCTAGCGTTGCCCCAGATCAACAAGGAGGTCGTGCCTGACTACTCGAGCTTCCAAGAAGCTGAAGCCGCGTTCCTGAAATTGTTGAAGAGATCAAATGTTCAGCCTGACTGGACCTGGGAACAGACTATGCGGGCAACTATCAAAGATCCTCAATACCGAGCTCTGAAAGACCCCAAGGATCGCAAGACAGCCTTTGAGAAATACGCGGTCGAGGTTCGACAACAAGAAAAAGAGCGAGCCAAGGAGAGATTCGCTAAGCTCCGCGCAGATTTCCTCGCGATGCTGAAAACGCACCCCGAGATCAAACACTACAGTCGCTGGAAAACAATCCGACCCATTATCGAAAGGGAAACTGTGTTCAGAGCTGCTGAGAGCGAGGACGAACGTAAGCAACTCTTCGAAGAATACATTATCGAACTCAAGAAGCAAAATCTGGAACAGGAAGCAGCCCGACGCAAGTCCGCCCTGACCGATATAACCACCATCATGAAGGCTCTGAACTTGGAGCCGTATACGAGATGGGCACAGGCCCAAGAACTTTTGCAGTCTCATGAGCGATATCAAAGCGACGAGAACTTTAAGCTTCTCAGTAAGTCAGATGTCTTGACTGCCTTCGAGAATCACATCAAATCCCTTGAGCGCACCTTCAATGATGCACGTCAACAGCAGAAAGCCAACAAGGCAAGAATTGAACGCCAGAATCGAGACGCCTTTACAGACTTGCTCCAGGAACTTCGTGCACAAGGCAAGATAAAAGCCAACACCAAGTGGGTAGACCTACTCCCACAAATTGAGAAAGACCCCAGGTATGTTCGTATGCTTGGTCAAAGTGGTTCAACGCCGTTAGACTTGTTTTGGGATACTGTCGAGGAGGAAGAGAGTGCTCTTAGAGGAAGAAGGAATGATGTCTACGACGTTCTTGAGGTAAGCTTGCTCCCTACCCTGCCATTCCACACATCTGACATTCAAAAGGACAAACGATATGAGGTTACACCCAAGACTACCTTTGATGAGTTCTATGAGGTCGTACTCACTGATCGACGAACAGCCAAGATCGATAAGGATGCTCTGCAGCTGATATATCAACGACTTCGCGACAAGGTGCTCAAGCGAAGCGAGGACGAAAAGCATGCCGCCGATCGTCATCAGCGTCGCGCCGTCGATGCACTAAGATCACGCATCAAGCACCTGGAACCGCCGGTCCGAGTGAACGACTTGTGGGAAGATGTCAAACCCCGAGTGGAAAAAACTGAAGAGTACAAAGCCTTGGAAAATGACGAGATCCGCCAATCTGCCTTTGAGAAAGTGATCAAACGTCTCAAAGAGAAAGACGAGGATACTGAACGTGATCGCGACCGTCGCCGCGCGCGACGGAGTGACGAACGCGATTATCGTAATGGCCACAGAGACTCTCGACACGGTCGTCTTTCTCGCAGCCCGGAAGCGGATCCGTACGAGGCCGACAGACGCAAGGCCATGCTAGTACGGGAACGACAATACCGCAAGAACACCACAGTTGGGCTCAGCCCGCCTCCCGAGTCGTACCGAGACCGAGACAGGGAACGCCGTCGAGACGATCGTCATGGCCGTCTCGACCGAAGTCCTCCGCCCCGGCAACTCGGTACGTTCGATCGCGATCGCCGTGAACGGGAGGACGAGCGAGAGCGTCTTTATCGCGCTCGTGGAGACCCGCGCGGCTCTAGGGATGAGCTCAACTACGGCGATGATGCAAAGAGTCTTACTGGCAGCGAACGGCGACGACGGCGCGAAAGTGATGGCGAGAGCGTTGCCAGTGCTGATCGCAGAAGCTCGAAACGATCCCGCCGCGACAGAAGAGACTCAAGGGAACGAGAACGGAGAAGCAAGACGCCTGAGGTCAAGCAGGAGAAGCAAGAGCCTCCCCCCGAACCTGCAGGGGTGCACTCCGGCAGTGAGGAGGGTGAGATTGAGGAAGATTGAGATCCGTCAGGTCAGTTTGTGCTCCTCAATCTGGGCTACTAGCCATTGTCTTCTAGGAGTGGATGTCTGCGTTATATCAATATACCGGCTTATATGCCCAGACAAGCATGGGGGAAAGGCCATCAGAGGACGAGGCCCTGGGTATGTATGGTACCTCATCGCTAGTCCAGTAGATTCTTTACCTCTGCGGTTCGCCCCAACCGACAGGTACGCTAATATTGCAGCACGAAAAAGCATTCCAATTGAACCCCAAAATCCTACCCTGTCGCAGGTGCGTGTTTGCTCCCAGGCATTTTGCTGCTCATTGCCGTCGTTGAAGCACACTTATCGCTCCCACAGACCGCTGCATAGCTTTTCCCATATACGTATATGTCCTCTGTTCAGGATGTTGTCTCGGAGCCCCTACCCCCCCTCTCCCCTGCAGCCCTTGCATCAATTCGTTGCATTCCCGATACTGCGGGCACCGCGGCTGGTACTTCAGTTGCTTCGCCGCCGCGTCGAGCGGAAACATGAGCCGCATCATCATCGCGCTGCCGTCGAAGCCTCGGAAAACGAGTTTCGACTCGTCCACGATCTCCTGCGCGAGGACCAGGCGGTGGCTTTGCGGTGGGACCTCGGCCTCGATGAGTTGGAGCTGATAGGAGATTAAATCGCGCTCGTCGGTGTCGTCGTTGTCGTCGTTCAGTGCTGCACTGTCGAGCACAATCTCTCTTGCTTTGCGAAATGCTTCGCTCGCGGCCTCTTGCAGGGACAGCTCGATGGCGCTGGCTGTCAGCCTTAGGAGCAGACAATTCGTCACGTCCTCGCCGAGCGGTTTGTCAGAAGAATTGGGATCGTCAGTGTCTAGTAGCGGACTCCATCCTTCTTGGACCCGCAACTCCTGCTTGAGAAGGCCGATGTGCTGGATAGCCTCATCACAGTATCGCACGAGGCGCTGGGCGTCGTGTATACCTTGCGGCCACCGTGCGCTATCGTCAATCTGCTCCAGGATTGCAGCGAGTCTAAAGCCTTGGTCGACGACTCGCTGCACCATGCTTCTCTCGCCACCTGTCGCCCACGGATCGTCCATCCAGCGGTGCTCGGCGAAGCCCAACGAGTTGCGCTTATAAAGGCAATGCAGCATCTAGTATCGCTGCTGTTAGTCCGAGGGCGTGCTCCACTCGTTCTGGAGCACACTTACAAGTATGTACCGGCAATGCTCGAAAGATGCTCGGGCAAGCGGCAAGCGGTGTCTAGATGGGCCTCGAGCTTTCAACAAGATCGCTATTCCCCCGATGTGACTTAGCCAGGCGTCTGGGTCCGCTCGTTCCGGATCGGTCAGCTATGCAGGCTGTCAGCTCACACCTCATAATCCCAGCTCAACACAGACCAGAGGACCTACCTCATAGAGCGCCATGATACATGTCGCAGCCAGTGTTTCATCGCGCATCGCACTCTCCTTGCCACTGAGGCTATTCTGCAGTGCCCCTAGAGCGGTTGTGTACAACTGGTTTGCCTTGGACAGCATCCGCACATCACCCCCGCGCAACGCACACATTCGGACAGAGATGGCCAGCATGGCCGGGTCGAGCGCCGGATCCGCCGACGCCTCGGTCATGATGGTCTTGAGCCAGTCGATGATGGGCATGTGCGTCAACTTGTTCTTGGCGTCCGCTGAGGAGCCGTACAACTCGTACGCGAACGAGAGGAACAGCGAGCCTTCGAGAGTCGCGCTTCGGAAGGACACGATGGAGTCTCCTGCGGTCGGCATTGCCCCCGCGGGACTGGAGCTCGTGCTTCCCTTGTGGTACTGCATCGAGAGATGATCAGGAGACGGCGACTTCTGCACAGCACGAGGCTTGGCTTCCTCCAGTAGCTTGCGCTTCTGGACGCCCTTGACGGTGTGAACGATCTGTTGTCACCCCATCAGCACAATACCCTTGCCCAGCATTAGGTCAAGATCACTTCTTCGTCAACGTACAAATACCGGATATCGGTCGTAGCCCTCACACTCGCGGTTCGACTTTAGACATTGCTGGCACGTCGGTCTGCCCAGATCGCACTATTGAGATCACAAGTCAGCCAAAAAAAAAAACACAAGCCTCTTTACTCTCTTTCTTTCTCCCTTCTCATGCAGCTATATGTGGTCGCGACAAAACGGGGGGGAGAAACGCACCCCGATCTTCCTCCTACGACATGTCGCGCACCCCTTCGATCGGCCCGCCACGCCGACCATGGCTCACCGCTCTGTTGATCGAGAATGTCGTCGTGTTACTGACTAACCCCCGTGGATTTCTGTCAGGAATTGCAATGACACACACACACACACACACACACACATACACACTGTGTAAACACTGGTTCGGGCCTACTAATCTCCCAGCTCTTTCATGTAGATAACACGCTTCGACGAGCCTGCTCATGATGAAATCATTACCATCACCGCCATCCTTCCCCGGGGAGAGACCACGGTTATAAAGTCTTTCCTCGGGGTTCGTGATGATCCACTTTATGCAGTGCTCGCTCGAGTGCCAAGATTGACAAAAGGTTTCAGGCCCGCTGGGAGGGAGACAATGAAGAGCTGAGCCTCAATCCGTCGCGTCCAGTAATGAGTAGGGCATGAAATGGGGGCTCTTTCAATGGTTGCTGTTTCTCAAGAATACCCCCGGGGGCAGGTTCTGCGTGCGGTGAATTCCCCGCTGTGGTCGCTGGGGAATCGATGATGACTGTTGCAATTTAGTTGCTCTCGCGCCTTGGGCCCTCTGTTGGGTTTAGCGTCCGCTGTGTAGGGGGGTGCCTGAAGGCTAAGGCTGAATGGGTGGGAAAAAAGGCACCAGGCTTGGCGCTGCACCCCGGTTCCGACAAACGCGAGTTTCGTGTCGTGGTACGGGCGAAAGAAGTTACTAGGCAGAACGGTTCAATGATTCAGGCGATGAGGACGTCACTGTTGGGTGTGAGGACGTGTCGTAATGTTCTGGCAAGTGGCCCCGACCTTGACTGGCTCCAAGGACTAAATCAGGGGACTTTTGAATCTTTTGCATACGGGTGCTGGCAGCTTCAGTTGTGAGGGCGCAAGCAAAGCAGGGTCGATTGCATTTGGCATCAGTAGCACAAGGAAACTGATTAGAAAGAAATGTCAAGACTTGCGCGAGGGCCGAATATCATCTGGTCCAGGTTTAGGACCATTTCTCATGATGGAGTCTCATTTTGATCACCTAGAATTAATCCTTCATGATAGTTAGCTCCAGCCTTGAAGTCCCGTCCATCATATCCTCATCGCTGTCTTCGCCATCACTGAAGCCGAAATCTCCTCTCTCTACACGAGCACAGCGGTCAAGCACTCTCTGATACTCTCTCCTCAAGTCGGCCAGGGTGATGATAATCCTCCGCTTCTTTCTCGGCCCTGATACTTCCGCTCCATTCTCTCGATTCCGCTCGTCATCAGCTTCAGCGAGTATGTACGCCTCGTCGGATGGCACGCATGTCATCACGTTGATCAGACTGAGTAGCGCGTGACGTAGCACGATGGCTTCGGGATCAGAACGTAGTCTACCTTGACGCTGAACCAGTCGCAGCCGGTCATACAGTGCAGCGACAGCGCCCCGGTAATCGCCTTGCGTGAGGCGCATAGCGTGAACGACCTTCAAATAATCCACACCAGCATCAGGGGCGTCCGAACGCTTGTTGTGTGCCGATATTGATTTCTGCTTCTTAGCAAGAGTGTTGAGCTGCGCATCCAATTGCTTTGCCAGATTGGGATGTAGTGACCATGGCATTGACTGCAGAGTTGCCACTGAATCCGACACGGATGTCATGGCCTTCTCAGGATCGAGGATGGCTGTGATTAGCGTCGCAGTCGAAGCTTTTTGCAACGCTACATCGGAAAACTGAGCTAGCGTACTGAAAGCAGCTTGATATCTTGAAAGCTTCATCTCTGCGGTGAACAGCCGTGAAAGCAATTCTGTTCGGAAAGTTGCTAAAGGTAGCTTCTGGTCAGGCGTGAGTGCCTTCAGCGCCAGCCGAGCGAAGTGTACTGAATGAGCATGTGCTTTGGCTGTATCGAAAAGATTCAAGACATGTTGGAAATAGCGTGGCAGCCCATTGTTGAACGAGTCAATCTCAAGAGTGGTGATGTAGCCAAATGATAGCTGATGAAGATCGCCCAGGGCCCTACCGCACGCAAGACCGTACGCAGCCTGTCGGAAATACTGTTCGGCCTGATCGTATTGTTGCTTAGCTATTGCAAGACGACCTTTGATATAGATTGCCCATGGAGTTTGTGGAGTGAAGCGAGAAAACTCAGTCGCCAGTGGAACTTCTCCGCGCTGCAGCATGTCGCACTGTAGCATGACTGTGCCGTTATTGTATCCCGGATCATCGCTGGAAATGAATTCCACTGCTTCGTGTAGAAGGGCAGTGAGGAGGTAACTCCTGGGTTTGCTGCCATCACTCCTTGGTTTCACGGCCCCCAAGAATCTGTCCTGTAAAAAGGACACAGTCTGAAGATCAGATGCACCAGAGGATGTCTGGGTGTTTGTGACCTGCAAGGGAACACTTCTCGAATGATCCGCGAGCCAGATATTGCGGTCCACCGTTTTCAAAATAGGTCCAATAGTGCTGAACAATTCTGCAGCGTCGAAGCCAGGTATTCTTTCGCCATCTTGACAGAACTCTCCCTCGATAAAGATCGTCAGCACAAGCAGATTCCACAACATGTCCCGCGTCAAGGAGAGGTATTCGCGGATGCTGACTGATAAGGAATCAAGGCCGAAGATAGAGCTGACCAGGAGCATATCGTCTTTGTTTCGTGGAGACGGCTCTGGCAGGAGATCGACAGCTGCGAGAACAAGCTCATTGTTGAATGTATTGAGTCCACCCAGATCTTTGAAGTTCCGTTCAAGGCGATCAAAGGTATCATTTGATACAGCCTGTCCGAAGTTGACTTCATCGTACAGATCGTAGACTCTCGATGAAAGTGATTTCTCCTGCGTGACGAACAAGAGGTCCGCGACGACCGTCTCGAGATCTTGTACGAGCTCTGTTGGGAATTCATCCACAAAGATTTGCGCCGAGTGAAGCACTTGTGCAAGGTCTTGATAGGGAAGACCTCGTTCTTCTGGAACGATCTGGCGATGCGGCCAGCGACTAGAACACACAGACTCAAGTCGTTCTAGCTCCGCAGTTTCGTTCTGTGCCACCAGTTCCAACCTGTCGCACTCTCTGACGACAGCCACCTGGTCAGTCATCGCTATAAGAGGCAGGTTTGACATCTCATCGTACGCCAGATTGAGAGGAGCCTGCCTCATATCATTGATCTTTTCCACAGCACGATGAAAGCTTCGCCAGGCTTGATCGATATCGTGCGCAAACAAGTCGAAATTCATAGCCCCCTTGTCATTCTTCTTCGGGTATGCATTCGACGCAATAGCTGAACATAGTCGAACCTTGAGCGGTGCGGATTTCTGTGATGGACCTACGGTTGTGGAAGTGTAGACAGAGAGGGCAGTCTCGAGAACGTCGGCGGGATATCTTCCAGGGAGGAGTAGATACTCGAGCCAAACAGAGGTAGCATCCTCAGAACCAGAGCTGATGACGTCGGGGACCCGTTGAGCGCGCGAATATGAGGTCGAAGCAACCCAGTTGTGCTCTGCCCAGTCCCGCTCGATGTCATCGAACTCAAATTGCACTGAGAACAACTTGTGATAATTGTTGTTGCGCCAGAGCACCCACAATTGAGCCGAGCCTCGAGCATCCAGACCGCCGAGCGGGACGAGGCGAAAGCCAATTAATGACCAGACAGTGTTCCCAGTTGGGTCGGGGTCAGGAGGAGTCAGCTTCGTCCCAGGATAACGGTCCTCAACCGATGGGTCACCGGTGAGGCCGCCTTTGACATCCCAGAACTTGAATTGACCACCTTCGCGAGGTGAAAAAGTGACAAGCATCGAGTTTCTGAGCTCCGGACCACCGTGTAGGTACTGAAGATGGCCACGGTCGAATGCACTGAGTGTTCTATCTTGATTGTCTTCATCGCGGTCCAGAAGATCTTTTGCAACAACAAGCTTGCCGGTAGGTATATGGCGAACACGAAGTTGATGATTCAGGCATACTGTGTAAAGGTAATTGCTGTCGGGGGATGCTTGCATCGCTTGTGCGGCTCGGCTGTCCACCACGGTTGACCCATATTCAATCTTGCGCGATGATCCGCCCGCAAAGAGTCCGAGGAATGACGATTTCTCGCTGTAGTTGACAGCTTCCCACCTTCGGCCATCTGCTTTGCGATGTAGTCGCTGAATACTGCCGCTAGTGAAGCAAACAAACAGCTCAAAGGGCGATTGCGCATGCAGTCGAAAGACGTGATTGATGGATAATAACGAGTTCTCAATAGCGTAGCACCATTGTTTTGTATCTGCGTCAAGCATATCTCGCGTCTTGAATGCACTGGAGGGAATGGCTAGATGGTAGATTTCCTCCTTGGTGGTGCATACAAAAGCGTGTAAATCGTCATCGTGGTCGGAGTCGGTCAGCGCAACTGTGTGCTCTCTAATAGGGTCTTGGAAGGCGAATTGAAGTGTGAGGTATGCCTCCTTGGTATCTCGCTCGTTTCTAGCTAGGTCTGCAGGTCGTATTTGCAGCACTCGAGCATTGCGCGATACCGTCCAAAGACAGCTTCTTGGGGTCACATCTGGGTTGCTGCGGAAGTATACACTGCCATCCGATGACAAATGTTGCGCCGAATACTCGTTTTCGTCTCGGGTGTAGGAGTTCTCTCTGCGATTTGGTATCTTGTCGTTAAAAGAGCCATTTTTGCGCGGAATCTCATGGATTGAAGGAGCGGCGGGCGACACAGCCTGGAAGGCTACTTCGGTGTAGAGATTAAGCATCGCAAAAGGCCCGGTAACACCTCATTACTGTCTCCGTGCCGTGTCAACCGAGAGAACCACTTTACGTGTCGATTAAGTGGAAGTAGAATGTTTAGAGAACTGCGACATATGCGGCGCAAGGTCTCCAAAAGTTCAGCCTGGCCGTCGCGTCGCGACGAGGCTGATGTATGCCAAGATGGGGGTGTTCAGACCTTGTCAAGCTTGTTCCAACCTCCATCTTCACTTCTCAGGTCAAATTGTAGCAAGCAGATTCCGGGCTAATGACGAAGACTTCAACGTTGTTGATGCTAGCATGAAGCCATTTCCACAAGGAGAGAGTTGATACCCCACCCACTCCTTACTAATCGTCTACTCTATCTATTGATATGGTGTTGTAGTCACTGAAACCACTGATTGCTTCTCTTCCACGGGAACTATTGTAGGCGATGCCGAGAAGTCGTAGTCAACCCAACGATCGAGTATTCGGCGGACGCTGTCAAAAAGCAGTTCATCAGCGGCTGCCGCATTCTCGTCAAGCACTGTACAGCCTATCAGCGATTTCGGATCTAATGTCAGCTCTCGATCGGCAATTGCTAGTCTCTTCAAGATTCGGCTCGCTGTCATCACATTCTGTACCAGATCCGCGATCGTGCTGATTCCGGTTATGGTGGAAAGCGCAAAGCCAGGCTCGGAGCACCGTAACGACCTGACCAAGGCATAGCGGAGTCCTACCGACGCCAAAGAGTCGCCCTTTTCCTCGACCCATGTCGAAGCTCGCTGTGATGCAGCTCTTAGGCCTGCTGGCGCTGGATGCCAGTCACCGAGTTTCCCAACGGGGACGCCTCCCGATCGTAGTAGGCCACATGCAAGCGGACTAGCATTGCAGACTGCCTTGACACCGGCGGCCTTGAGCGCAGGGAGGCCATGAACCTCAAGGCGTGTGTTCTGCAATGAGAGCTGCGCCCAATTCTGGACGACGTCGATAGGCTGTGAGTAGTCGGCAAGAACCCTTTGCGACACAGCGATCAGGGAGTCAATGTCGTATGCCGAAATGCCCACATTTTTGATCATGCCCTGCCTCTTTAGGTCAAACAGAGTTCCCACGGCTGTAGCGGCTTCCTCGAGACTGACAAATTCGACATCGTGGCAGAATACCACGTCCAAGTAGGTAGTGTTGAAGCGCTGTAGTGAGCGAGCGACTGACTTCCGTATCCAAGCCGGCGAATAGTCGAACTGGTCTGAGGCTATCCGGCCACATTTGGTCATGATTTGATATTGCTCACGACGGTAGACGGACGAGATTTCCGTACTGGAAAGCGCAGCACCCAGAAGCTCCTCAGATGGCTCGTAGTAAGGCGAAGTGTCGATCGATCTCAGTCCCAGCGCGAAAGCATGCTGAATGATGTCGAGGACCGGCAACGACTGCGGTGATGGGTGCAGCTGGTAACTGAATCCCGCTCCGCCCATTATCAGCGGTGGAAGGGCTGGCTCAGCCATGCTCTGCTCCACTATCTGGGGTGTAGCTAAGAAGACGACTGTTTTGAGATGAGCTCACATTCTGTAAGTAATGGCACATTGAGGAAGCCCCCTACGAAAAGTGATACGGGTTCATGTTTAGTGAGAGGATGAGGATGTTCAATTGCTGAAAACTGAGTACACTGGAAACTATGGTAGCCTTTCAACGAATTCGATAGACCGCATATAGCCGCGTCCTGGTAGAGAGACCTCGACCAAGATACTGTGGGGATTGTCCTGTGTCGGTAAGGAAGACGATCGACGGAAGAGCTCGCCCACGTGCACATCTGTTCCAGCAGGGGAGGCGGACAGTCGGCAGAGGGAGGGGTTCCTAACTCGGTGGTACGGCGGATGAAAGCCTCGAAACTAAAGTAACATAGGCTAAGTGACACAATCTCGGGATGATTCTGATGCGAGGACGTGGTTAGTTCTCTGAGCTTTTCCAGCAACAAGTCCGGGAGTCTGTGTGATCAATCAAGCGACGCCTAATTACCTAATTACCTAATTAACTGGGGGAGTCGTGCTGCAGATCTGCCGGGCGGCTGCTGTGCCGGAAGAGCTCTGCCAAGGCGATTCGGGCATTCTCCGCACCAGCAGCGTCCACTCCGATGCTCATCATCACTTCCCACTGCGACGCTATCAGCAACCCCGGCTTTTCTTCCGCCCAAGCCATCATGAGCCCGGTGGAAGGCGTTGCGGGGGACCCGCATCATGATCTGGATGAAAGGGTCGGTACTATATATGAAAGGCTGCTACCTCACTGAGCCCTTCTTCGCCCTCGACGACGCTCTTTCCGCCATCTTTTGCTCTATATACACTATAGTACTCTACCGCCTACCCTGCCGCCAACATGGGGCTCGGCGACATCATGAAGAACCGGTCGGCGCTCAAGACCTCCAACACGAGTGTCACCACTGCCGCGCAGCTCACCCTCAGACAGTCCATCTATCCACTCGCCTTGGTGACCTGCTTGTTCTTCCTCTGGGTACGGTCCCCTCTCACTCGCTCCAATTTGGTCCGAGCTCGGGGTTGCGATCGCGCGGGGAAACAAACGAGACTGACTTCATTCTACAGGGGTTCTCGTATGGCCTCTTGGACACTCTCAACAAGCATTTCCAGATTACGCTGGACATTACCCGAACACGTTCCTCGGGTCTGCAGGCGGCTTACTTTGGGTTTGTTGATCCCCAGAGCTGTGATACACCCGTACTGACCACCCTCACAGCGCCTATCCTCTTGCATCGCTCGGATATGCCAATTGGATGCTTCGGCATTGGGGCTACAAGCCAGTCTTCATTTTTGGGTTATGCACTTATGCCGTTGGCGCTCTCATGATGTATTCTCGGCCGTTCCATAGCCTCTCAACATCCTCTAACTCTGTTTCAGGTGGCCTTCGGGCGTCTATCGCTCCTTTGGTGGCTTCTGCGGTGCCACATTCATCTGTGGATCCGGTCTGGGCAGCCTCGAAACCGCTGCAAATCCCTATCTGGCCGTGTGTGGCCCGCCAAAATACTCAGAGCTGCGCATCAACTTTGCCCAGGCCTTCAACGGCGTCGGTACTGTCGTAGCTCCCGCACTCGCATCCTACGTCTTCTTCAAGAACACCGCCGACGACATCAACGCCCTCAAGAACGTTCAATGGGTCTACCTGGCCGTTGCCCTGTTTGCTTTCCTACTTGCCACCGTCTTCTTCTTCTCGCACATTCCTGAAGTGACCGACGCAGACATGGAGTTTCAGGTCCAAGCCACCCATGTGGCGGGCACCGAGAAGTCTTTTTGGAAGCAGTACCGTCTCTTCCACGCCGCCTTTGCCCAGTTCTGCTACACCGGCGCACAAGTCGCAGTCGCCACCTGGTTCATCAACTACACCGTCGACGGAAGACCAGGCACCTCCAACTCTACGGCCTCCGCCCTACTTGCTGGTGCACAGGCCGCTTTTACAATAGGCAGGTTCTCTGGCACGGCCTTTATGCGCTTCATCAAGCCGCGATTGGTCTTTCTCTTCTATCTCGGCGGCGTAATCGTCGCGCTGTGCCTCGCCACCGGCGTCAGAGGCACAGCTGGCGTGGCCATGCTTTATATCACGCTTTTCTTCGAGTCCGTATGCTTCCCGACCATTGTTGCGCTCGGCATTCGAGGTCTAGGCCGCCACTACAAGCGCGGTAGCGGCTTCATCGTCGGCGGTGTGGTAGGCGGTGCCTGCGTGCCGTCGCTACAGGGCAAAGTGGCCGACATCCACGACAACACGCCCTTGTCGATGGTCGTGCCCCTGATGGTAGGTTTTTGACATCTCTGTTGCAAGTAGTGCAAACGGACACTAACAGACCACGCAGTTCATGGTCGCAGCAATGAGCTACGCTGTCGCAGTCAACTTTGTACCTTACTACAGAATCCCCGCCGACGCTCTGGGCAGCTCAGACGTGGGCATGGAGGGCAATCAGATTGCCAAGGACGACCTGGAGGCGAAGCAACTGGATCCTACGACCGGAAAGCTCAGAGACAATCCTGAGGTTGTGGAGATCGAGAAAATGGAGCGTCACCGGGACTCGGCAGACGCTGTGCGGTAGATGGAGCAAGGGCGAGGGTTTTGTTGCGGTGCGCACGCGTAGATGAATTGGTTGGGGATGATTGAAGGTGATCATCGAGTCGTGTATGTTCTTGTCTAAAAGAAGGAAACAGCATTCAAAACATCTGAAATTCCTGCCGATACATGTGACTGTTTCGACGAGACTTGCCCACGAGCGCCAATGAAGCCGAGCAACTGAGTTGTGAAAAGACCCCCTCCGACCCATGCCACACGACATTCAAACACCTCGATGTACTTTGTACTTTAGCCCACAAAAACCCTAAAGCGCCAACCCCCGACTCCCCCTCGTCCACCGATACAAACTCAGCGCGCTCCTCCTCGCCCTCCCCTCCTCCGTTTCCGCCCCTCGCCCTTGCCCCTCCTCCCCTCCTCGCCCTCCACCATCCCCAACGTCCTCCCCATTCCCCTCCGCACCACCCAAATTCCTCCTCCGCACATCATACAGCGTCCCCCTCAACACCTTGCGAAACCTCTTCTGAAACTCGGTGCTCAGCGTCACGACACAGACCTCGTGCGCGCGGATGATGGTCTCGCACGCCTTCTCCACGCTCTCGTTGGGCCCCACCTGCGGCATGCGGTCGGCGAAGAGCAGTAAAATGAAGGAGCCGTGCAGTAGGTAGATGCCGAGGAGGTAGGGCATGAAGGTGAGTTCTGGGTCGGCGGAGAGGATGGTTTCGACGGCGGAGGAGGCGAGGATGGCGTGTGAGGCGCACCGCATGAAGGCGACGGAGGTGATCCAGTTGGAGATGTTGAGGGTGGAGGGACCGGGGGCCGGGTTGGAGGGGGCGGAGTGGGTGTGGGTGTGTGGAGTGGGGGATGGGGGCGGACTGTCTGGAGAGAGCATGCTGACGGCGTCCCATTTGCCGTGCAGGAGGACGTGGAGGACGTTGACGATGAAACGGGCGTAGGATGTCACGAGGAGGACTTGGCCGCGGCGGGGCCGGCGGGGGCGGTGGTATGCGGCTGTGGGCGATGTGGCGAACGTGTCTTGGTCGGAGTAGTTGGTGCTGGGCGTGAGGACCGAGTTGCCGAAGTGGCTGGTTGGCATGGAGCCGTTGTGGTACTTGTCGATGTCGTAAAGCGTGGCGAGGTCGTTGATGGACTGTGCGCAGTTGGCGAGGGAGGTTTCGATCATGGTGACCGCTGCGGTGTCGTTCAGTGTCCCTAGTCGAGGATGGGAGCAGCGGCGATGTGTTTCGATGACGTCTCCTAGCAACACCATGAGCGGCAAGAAGTACTCATAGAAGCCTGTGCCGGTGACGAGGGTTGGCGGACCGTACGTCCTGCGCGTTAGTGTGTCGAGAGCCGTGTTTTCGAGATTCTCCCATACTTCATCCGGTAGAGGCGTGTAGACGTGCACCTCGTCGTCGTGAATATACAAATTACCATTAAAGGACAAGGCGAGGTGGCGATCCAGAGAGAATATCAGCCAGAAGGCACGGCGACGTTCTTCCTTGGCTTCGATTTCGGCCGGCGTTGTGGCATATGAGGCCTTGACGTGGCACTCACAAAGCACGTTGACGCAGCCGTTCTCGGCTTCAGTGCATGAGCCGTCGATTCGGTTGAGACCCATGGTTTGAGCCAGTCGTAGGGCTTTGCTCCACCAGATCAAGCATTCGGCCTTGAAGTCGCCGCCGGATATGACTATGGTCATGAGGATCAAGGTGAGCACGTCATCGACTATGTGGCAAGGTGGTTGCTCTGCAGGATCGACGACTTCTTCGTAATTGGTGGGCAGCTCCGTCGAGTGAAAGATCTCTTCTTTCAATAGTCGGCCTCCTGAGGAGTTGTCAGCAACGTCGAGTATGGAAAGTCAAGATGCTCACCTAATGCTCGATGCCAATGGTCATGATCCCGCTCATGAATCAGAGCCATAGCTAAGAGCCTCAGCTTTTCGCAGATATGACCTCTCCAGCCTGGTAATAGCAAGAGTGGAATATCACAGGTTTGGGCACACGTATACAGTATGGTGACGAGCAAGGCTGATGTTGTCTGTCTTGGTTTCGTTGGATGCAGCAGAGACTGTTTGCGAATGACAGGTGATAGCACATATGGTGAGGCATGCCTGAAGAGGGCGCTATCAGGCTCTGCGAAGTAAAACTCCAAAAGATCACAGGCAGTCTTTGGCTCAATAATGTCCTCGAGCAGTGGCATCAGGGGCTCGAGGCAGCGGTACCGACACCTACGTGGCTCAGGGTGTTGTTGACCTTGTGGAGCCGCCATTGGTGGCAACGTTGATACTGATGGTTGACGGCCGCTTTGGATAGTTGCTGAAAGTGGTAGCGGTGGGTTTATGATTTGACTGATGCGTCGGATTGGGTGATCCGATGGCCCTTGTCGCTGCCCCGGATCGATGTCAATGTCATTGCTGCTATCATCAACGGCTCCTGGCGCGTCGTAGTCGGGAGTCTGTTCATCGTTGATCACTGAACTTGACATTGTGTGAGCGCTCGAGCGTCCATACGCATCACCTCGATCCATAAAGCCGCCATGGTGGTCTCTGTCCTGGTCCGTATCATGAGACTGGTCCTTGGGGGTCTGAATCAAAGTCAAAGTATCAGGATATGCTTGATGCCTTGATTGTATAGTGGGCGATAAGGGGTCCGTAGAGGGTTGGCGGTGCTCCTGGAAGTCGAAACTTTGACCTAGTCGATGGGATAGAGGCTTTCTTCCCCGTTTTTTGACCGAGCGAGCGTAATTGCAAGCATGTCCGTACTCTACATCGTTGTATCAGTCCTGGTCATCGTTGCATTTCCACCAATGAGAAGAGTACCTTGGCATCGCCGACTGATATACTATGTCAGCATGGTCGGTTTACAGTGATTTGATCGATGGCTTACCAAGGGTGCCCGCCATCGCAGCGGACACGGAAGCTGGAACACTTGTCGCAGGCTCTACGGGTTCTCTTTCTGACAGTCGCTGCATTGGTGGGTGGCTCATGTGAGTCTTGAGGGGAATCGTGGTTCTGTGGGGAAGATTCCATTTTTCCACCGGGCAGCGTTTCACAGGGAGACTTGTCCGCCGCAGGATAATTGAGGACTTACGGGGAGGTCGCTGGTTCATGTTAAACAAGGACCCGGCGGATAAATTGCAGACGCTGTACCTAGCGGGGAGACCGGGGTTCGCCTTTTTAGCTTGTGGAGAGCGGGCTGGGGTTCAAATGCAACGTCTAGACTTTGGTCTAGGCGATGATTAGCGGCATGGAGCACCTCATCCTTGACTTCACGCGGGCCCATGGCCTGGACATGACGGATCTTGTTCGCGGACAGGTTGCCGAAGCCCCGAATATTTCGTACACCATGTTGCCTAGCTTGGCACTTCAGGAAGTGTGAAGTCCATGCGAAGGAGTTGCTCATCCACATGTCAGCAGCTGCTAACCGAACAACGAACTTGCTGGAGACTGTGAGCGACCACCACTGTCACGACATCTTCAGCTGACAAGAATCGAGGACAAGTCCCATCCGCAATCGTGGAACTCATGCAACACGCCCAACAATGGTTTGGACCCGACATGCGCCGTGTGCCCGACAACGCAATGTTGCGAGTTGACAATGGAGACGCAGCCAGACTCCGCCCTGTCCTCCGAGTTGGAGAGCGGAAGCTGATGGTTTGGAGACGAGAGCCCAGCAGATTCTGATATAAATTGGTTGACTTCAATCCGTGCTGTTCTTCAGAGAAAACAGCACAGTTCCTGCCGGCATCACAATGGTAAAGATTCAAGGCGTAGTCTCTCGTGATGTGCGGTTTCCCGTAAGTACTGGGCTCCTGAATAACATGCGTTTATATCTCTTAACATCTCTAGACCTCCCTGGACAAAACGGGTAGCGATGGTACGGTACATGACAAGCACCGCCACGAACATCCACTGATCCGTGACAGGCATGAACCTCGGACCAGACTACTCTTCAGCATACTGCATCTTGAACACCGATTCTTCTTTCACAGGCCATGGCATGACTTTCACGATAGGACGGGGCAACGATCTCGTATGCTCCGCCATAGACCTGATCGCACCCCTGATAGTCGGCAAAGACATCGAGTCCCTCGCACAGGACTGGGGCAAGACATGGCGTTACTTGACCTCCGACTCCCAGCTGCGATGGGTCGGTCCCGAGAAAGGTGTCATCCATCTAGCCTTGGGCGCCGTGGTGAACGCTTTGTGGGACCTTTGGGCAAAGACGCAGGGCAAGCCTGTGTGGAGGCTGATTTCGGACATGTCGCCCGAGGAGCTGGTGCGGTGCATTGACTTCCGGTACATCGAGGACGCATTGACGAAGGAGGAGGCTATCGACCTGCTCAAAGCGGCCCTGCCTGGCAAAGAAGGGCGGATCCAAGAAGCGTTGGCGAATCGCGCGGTGCCGGCATACACGACCAGCGCCGGCTGGCTGGGCTATTCGGAGGAGAAGATGCGGCGGTTGCTGAAAGAGAGCGTGGATGCCGGATTCGAATATTTCAAGCTCAAAGTCGGCACGAATCTCGAGGAAGACCGGAGGCGGCTGAGGATCGCACGAGACATCCTTGGGTACGACCGTGGAAACGTGGCGGTCGACGCCAACCAGGTGTGGTCGGTGCCCGAAGCCATCGAGTACATGAAGCAACTCGCTGAGTGAGTCAACCAATAGACCATTGATGCATTTCAATTACTGACCGGGGCCGCAGATACAAGCCCTGGTTCATCGAAGAACCCACCTCTCCCGATGATATCCTCGGGCACGCCGCCATCCGCAAAGGCCTGTCGAACACACCCTACGGCCCCATCCGCGTCGCCACGGGGGAAATGGTGCAGAACCGCGTCATCTTCAAGCAGCTGCTGCAGGCGGGAGCCGTGGACATCATCCAGCCCGACGCCTGCCGCGTCGGTGGCGTCAACGAAGTCCTGGCGATCCTCTTACTCGCCCGCAAGTTCGACACGCCCATCATCCCGCATTCCGGCGGCGTGGGTCTGCCAGAATACACGAGCCATCTCAGCACCATTGACTATGTGGTCATCAGCGGGCGGAAGAGCGTGTTGGAGTATGTGGACCACTTGCACGAGCATTTCGTGCATCCTTCGTCCACGGAGCGCGGGTTCTATGTCACGCCGTTGCAGCCGGGGTATAGTGTGGAGATGAAGGAGGATAGTATGGATCGGTTTGAGTACCCTGGTGAGGAGGGTAAGAGTTGGTGGAGGACCGCGGAGGCGAGGACGGTCATTGATGCTCCACGAGTGCTGTGATGGCGGTAGAGAGGGGCAGCAAGATTCAAGATAGCGCGGCGTCAAGTAGCAGAGAATGTCGTTTTGTTGATTGTTGTAAATGAACTGAAAACAGGCTGAGACGCTGTCTATCGAAACTTGGCCCATCATATCAAGCATATCCCTCTCCCAACTCCCGCTCCTTTCCGTACATAAGACCCTTTCAATGCCCTCGGGTATATCAATCGCTAATCGTCATCGACCTCTACCACCAGTCACTGTGAAAGAAGTCAGCTCACATCCCCCAAAAAACCATAGAAATGCAAACGCAAAACTCACCCTTGATCCTTCATGGCCTCAGCCACCTTGGTGAAGCCAGCAATATTGGACCCGGCGACCAAACTCGGCAGCTCGCCCTCCTTGGGCGTGACATAAGTCTTTGCGGTCTGCAAACCGTTCTCAAAGCAGTTCTTCATGATGTCCTTCAGCTTCGCATCCACCTCCTCGGTGCTCCACTTGATCCTGCTCGAGTTCTGCGCCATCTCCAGACCGGACACGGCGACACCGCCGCAGTTGGCCGCCTTTCCGGGCGCGTACCAGATGGCGTCTTTCCCGTTCTCCCTCCGGTGCGCCTCGAACACGTCGATGGCCTCCTGCGTGCAGCCCATGTTGGAGCCCTCGGCGAGGAACTTGCACTTGGCCCTGACGAGCCCTTCGGCCTCTTCGCCCGACACCTCGTTCTGGGTGGCGCAGGGCAAGGCGACGTCCACATCGCCGACCTGCAGCCAGGGCCGGGCGCCCGCGACGTACTTGGTGGTGGAGCCAAAGTCGGCGGTCTCGGCAACGTCAGCGAGGTATTTGCGCTCGACCTTGAGCTTGGCGACAATCTCGACCATCTCGGGCGTGATGCCGGTGGCCGAAGTGGCGATGAGGGCGCCCTTGGAGTCGGAGAGCGAGACGACGGTGCCGCCCAACTCGATGACCTTGTATGCGGCGTACTGCGCCACGTTGCCGGAGCCGGAGATGGCGACCTTCTTGCCAGCGAACGAGTCGCTGCCGCCGGAGGCCCATTTCATCATCTCCTCGACGTAGTAGACCGTGCCGTAGCCAGTGGCTTCGGGACGGATGAAGGATCCGCCCCAGCTGCCGCCTTTGCCCGTCAGCACGCCCTCCCACAGCTTCGTCTGTTTCTTGTATTGTCCGAACATCCAGCCGATCTCACGGGGAGACACGCCGATGTCACCAGCTAACGATGCATTAGTAGAGTACGCATATCACCGAGAACTATGGCAAAACTCACCAGGAACGTCAGTATTGGCCCCAATATGCTTCCCCAGCTCACTCATGAACGCGACACAAAACTTGCGGATTTCATTGTCGCTCTTGCCCTTGGGGTCAAAGTCGGCGCCACCTTTGCCGCCTCCCATATTCAAGCCCGTCAGCGCATTCTTGAAGATCTGCTCGAAGCCCAGAAACTTCAGCACGCTCAGGTTGACGGTGGGGTGGAAGCGGAGGCCGCCTTTGTAGGGGCCGAGCGCCGAGTTGTACTGCACGCGGTAGCCGCGGTTGACCTGGACCTGGCCCTTGTCGTCTTCCCAGACGACGCGGAATTGGATGATGCGTTCGGGGATGGCGGCGATGGCGAGGGCTTTTTTGTATTCCGGGTGTTGCTCGAAGAGGCTGGAGTTTTCGAGCGTCGAGGCGAGCTCCTTGTAGGCCTGTTCGAACTCGGGCTCTGAGGGGAGGTTGGACATTTTGGCGTAAGTCAGGTGTGTGGATGATGCGGGTGTGCTGGTGGTGAAACTGTTGACGAGTACACAGCGTGATGGCAGTGATGTTGTTGCTCGATTAATTCACGCAGTAGGCGGGTAGAGACTCTAGATTGGCACAAGGCAGAGGGATGAGAAGAGGAATCACTCGAGGTTCTGAAGACGAGGGACTAGCAGCCTTTTTACATGCCTGTTGGCGTTCTCCTCGGAAGCTATGGTCGTATCATTACACTATTGAGCTCGACCTCAAGTCCCCAAAGACAAAACTAGCCACCGTCCAGTACACGGTGACGCACCTCGCTACGAGCCGGCGTGGATACCGAGAGCCAGGCACTGGAGCTGCTTCAGCCCATCACAGACGCCAATGGGCTGGCTGAGGCCTCATGATTCGACGCCGGAGGTCATCCTGGAGAAGGGTATCGCGAGGGTGGATGTTGGGAGCATCCCAAAGGGCTGGACATTGAAAAAGCCCACCAGCGCCCCCTTCCTTTGGTGCAGTAGATCTGGCTATCCGATAAGGCAGACCAGGCGTCGTGATTGGGTGGGCGGGGACGGTGATAATGCAGTCATATCTATGCGTAAATATGTGTCTACGCTTTCCGGGGACTGGTAGCGAGCTTGCTTTTTTCTTACGCATGGATTTTCCAAGGCTGACAGCATCGTAGGGCGCTTGGGCAGAAAAACCAGTCCCTGACAAAGATCAAACCGCGCCGATGTCGGACGGGTGCGAGGGGGTGTATCCCCTGACCCCACGGACTCGGAAGGGAACGTCCTGGTCCTGCGGATCTCGTCTGGTCCTGGCGAGCCTGGATCATGAATCCGCCGAGCACGTGCATCGATGCTCGATTAGGTATTTGCACGAGTGAGTCATGAGTGATATGCCAATACTTCAGTCAAACCGACAGCGACGAAAGACTCGATGATATTGCTGTTGCGGGAGGACACGCCCCTGGCTTGACAAGAGCCTGTATCATAGCTTGTTTGTATATTCTATTTCATCTTCTCGTAAACTGATTTTTGTTCACTGATCCCGCCTCGATCAGACACACATTCGCGCGGGCTCTTCTGTCAGGCCGACGCGACGATGATGGCGAACACTCATGCCACCGTCACGCCTGTTCGGGAAGCGGACGATCTCAGCGCGGCCATATCTCTCTTCACAGCGTACACCACTGCGCTTGGCATTGACCTCGCCTTTCAGGACTTCTCGACCGAGATCGCTTCCATGCCAGGAAAATACTCCCCACCCACAGGCGAGCTTCTGCTTGCGAAGGACAGGTCCGGGAACCCCGTCGGTTGTGTGGCCCTTCGGCCGCTACCGGCTCATGGAAGCCATATTTGTGAGCTGAAGCGCTTGTATATCTCTCCAGCTGGCCGAGGAACAGGCACGGGAAAGATCCTGGCTCTGGCCATTATTGAGGTCGCCGAGAGACTCGGCTATCAAGAAATACGGTTGGACACTCTCTCGACGATGACGCCAGCTCTCAACCTGTACATGGGTCTCGGGTTTGTTGACATCCCGGCCTACTACGAGACACCGCTCGAAGGCACGAGGTTTCTAAGTCTGAAGCTACCGCGAAAAGCGCCCGATGGTCAAGACCCGAGCTCAAATCCCCCAAATTAGCTCGGAGGAGAACGTGTTAGTGAGCAGTCATGTACTTCTGCTCCCACCACTTGATTGCGTTGATGGCGGCTGTCACTTTCATCCCCATCCGAGCATCAAGCTCATACTTCTCCCAAGATCTGGCTCTCTCGATGTGGCGCTTTGCCTCTTCCACCAAGGCAATGTCTTTATCGATGTTCAGCTCTGGGAGTTTTTCGTCCGCTTGCAGGCCTTCACAAGTTGTGCCATTGATGCGCACGAAGCCAGTTCGCATCATCCATAGATTGACGCCCATCTCATAGTGAGCGGCCGGCTGCGGCCAATCATCATGGTTCAGGCCCTTGAGGAAGCCGTCTGGTTTGCCGACGAGCTCTCGCTGCAGAAGGTCAAGCGACTCCTGGTGTTGTCGCAGATTGCGGAGAATGACACCCTTTAACAAAACATTGATACCGTGTTCGTCAACGTCCTCATTTTGCCAGCCTTGCTGTTTCTCGGACCATTGCAAATTGGCCAGTGATTTTTCCAGTTCCTTACGGGGCATCTTCTTGTATCCACCCCAGAGATAGATCATTTCCTCCAACGGACTGACGCCAATTGCATCGACCAAGTCGCAACCAAACTTCTGGGCGCGCCCCTCCCACTTGGCCAGCTTCCGCTGAACGAAGACCTCAAAGGGCAGCTGCCGGCCAAGCATCTTCTTCTTTCCCAATTTCGTTGGCGCGGTCTCAAAGTACTCTGTTGCCATCTTCTTGTTCTTAGCAGCACGTTCTGTTTCACCAGCTGCAGTCGCATGGCGATACATCTCAACGTGCGCGGCTCCAGCAATGAAAAAGTACAGAGCCTGGCTCCACTTATTCAGGTCCGCACAATCAATGAAGCTTCCGGCGCAGAGCTCATAGCGATGAGCATACATTGCTTCGAGACTTTTCTCAAACATGTGCAAAGCTTCCAGTTGCTTCAGCCTTGATTTGCCTTCACCACTGAGCAGTTCTAGGCCTTTGTCGAGTTGCTTCATGGCTGCCGCCATTCGGGCTTCTTCAATGAGCCAGAGGTAGCTCTTGGTGTACCTCTTTCTCATCTCTTGCAGCAGCACCAGCAGGCGTTCGCGAGGGTAGCCGACCATGTCCTCTGGATCCCCTGGGTCACCATCCGGAATGATATCGCAGAACCCAACGAGACCGTTGTACCAGCCAAACAGTACGAAACCAGCCATACCACCATTGACATTGGAGAATTTAGACGCTTGCCACAGCATGCGCAAACCGCGTTCTCGATCACCTCGAAAGCCAATGATTGACAGAAGTCTGGAGAACGCTGGTGGAACTGCTGAGATCATGAGGTTGAGCACACCGAACATCAGGTTGGTCCCCGAATGGATAAAGATATCCAGGCTATTCGAGAAGACTTCAGAGTCGGCGTCAAGCGTAATCATAGCTGGAGTAGCAATAGTAGAAGCCTTCGCAACGAGGGTTGGCTGCGAGTTATTCACATTCGAATGCGACGAAGTCGGACGAGAACCAGGTGTGCTGCCAGAAGTCCGAGCACGATCAGTCATTGACAGGCCCTCAAGATCTTGCTCCAAATGATGATACTTCGGTGCGCCCGGACTGGCTTGCAGCTTACCCCTGTACGCAGGCAGAACCTCTGTATCCTCTTTGATAGATTCGGCATCGAAGAACTCGTCATCGTCATCATCGTCGTCCTTCAGAGGACTGATCACCTCGGCATACCGAAGGTTGGATGGCTGCTTTGGCTCGGTTGCTGGAACAGTTTTCGGAGCCACAACAGATGTCAGTGGCGTGCCTTGCGACCCTTGCGAGTTCAGACTCTCAGAGCTCCCTTGTCTGGAATTTGCAAGGCTTTTGACACCTTGCGCTTTCATGAAATTCTTCTCCATTTCCGTTAGGGCATCGAGAGTCATGTATGCCTTTCGTAGTTTGTAAAAGCCCTTGAGTGACTCTGTTAGATTCTCATTGAGAACGCTGACAATGGCCTGCATGATCTGTGCTTCAGCCTGACAAAGGGAGAATTCACTGCCCTTGTCGTAGATACTGGACTGGAATGCCTTTGGGTCGTGCAAGGCCTTGTAGTGGCTGGTAGAAGCCGAAGATTCCGCCTCGTAGAGCTCTTCAGCTGCCTGCTTCATGACCTCCTGTTCAAAGCCCAAAGTAGCTCTCATGAAAGCCAGAGTACCTCGAGCCAGCTTGTGGAAGGCCGAGGAACCATCCCTGACACCAGCTTCGGCTCCTTCGATATCATCGTCCATGATCAACTCGACCGCATGAAGAGCAGTATCCATGTTGTGTGATTCAGTCAAAGAGTCCAGAGATTGGGTGGAGGCAGATGCCGCGGCGTATGCCTTTCCCCGGTCGAGCCATTTTCCAACCCTATGCATCTCAGCAGCTTGAGGGCGATGCTGGACTTTCACCAAAGGCGATCAATGGTCTGTTCTACACAGGTTCAAGGTCAGAGGTGTACACGAGACTTTTGGCGTAGCGCAATAAGCGGTCGTTCCAGCCAAGATGAGATCAAAGATTCTAGACCCAGCGGAAGCCCGAGAGACTGAGGTGGCGGCAGATCTTCGCAACCGGGGTCGAACAAGCGACCGACAGCGTCATGGAAATGCAAGGCCAAAGTGACCAACGAGAAGCACTTCTCCGAATGCGCTCAAGGCCACAGATGTGAAGAGATGATCGAAGCAGGACCTCAGCTTTCAAGCGTTGACTGTTGTTCTTTGTTCATCTCAAGCGGAACGTGGGGTCAAGAACTTCCCGCAGCTCGGCACTGAAACAGAAGGTGTTGCCAGAGCTGTAGCTCTCCGTGCCAGATCTTTGGACCGGAGGGCTTATGTAGATACGAAGGACGAAGAAGTCAATAATGCAGGGGCCTGATGTGAAGTAGCATCGGCGGTCCCGTCAGCCCGTAGCAGGCAGGACGAATTCTAGACTTTTTGATCCGCTCCAATCGCTCGTCATGATGTAGCCTGAGGACTTAGCAATCGGAAGCGGAGGAGGGCTGTGTAAGGACCCCAAACCCGGAGCTGCAATTCCTGGTCTGCCCTAAGTCCGGAAGAGTACACTTGGAACGAGTGAATGCGAATTTTGGTGTCTATGCGTTCCGGTGTGGTGATTGCAAGAAGACAAGGCTGATCCGAGCTTCTACGGGGATTGCGTCGATTCCGCTAATTCGCCATCCACGCCGCCTGCGCTTTACACATCTCCCACTCTGCTTCGACCCTGATTCAATTGCTCTCGCATTCCATCGCTCCATTCAGAATACAAAAGTGACGTCGAGAGTAAAAATGTCTTCTTCCGCTCCTACCGCAAAGCTGCAGCCTACGCAGAGCAACGAGCCCGACCCCGCGCAGACCGCAAACGTGCCATCTGGTCAAGGCCCATCCACTCTCGAAGAAGACGATGAATTTGAGGACTTTCCTGTAGAAGGTCGGTCAAGTCAGACAAATCTTCAGAGGCGATACTGATCTGATTGTAGACTGGGCGCAAGAGGATACCGAGGTTCCCAGCGGTACAACGCACTTGTGGGAAGAGAGTTGGGACGATGACGATGAGAACGAGGACTTCAGCAAGCAATTGAGGTAAAGCGCGAGCTTGATTGCAAAAATCCCTAACTGACCACGAACAGAGAAGAATTGAAGAAGGTTGAAGGCGGCAAATGATCTCGCGCTGGACTCAACATGGGTGTGACTTGGATGGCATGGCTACGGCGTTCACATATCAACTAGAAGGCCTGTACGCACGGGACAATGACCCCTTGGGCAGAAGAACAAACGCTTGCGCTCAGTAAGCGGCGGAATGATACAAAAGTCCAATCTAGCGAAATCGCTTACAGACTTGCTTTGCTTCGATCTGAACGGCCTCAGCGACCAAAGGCTGCTTCTTGGATCACTTACTGGACAAAGCGCTGACACCTGGGAGATCTTTGCCCTCCAGAAGTTCCAAGCTGGCACCTCCACCGGTCGAGACATGACTTAACTTGTCTTCCACGCCATACTTGGCAGCAACAGTAGCCGTATCTCCGCCGCCAATGATGACAATTTTGCCATTACCTGCAGCAGACACCGCAGCATCCATTGTCTTCTTGGTACCGTTGGCGAACTTTTCGAACTCGAAAACGCCGGGAGGGCCGTTCCATAGGATTGTGGAGGATTCATCGATGGCTTGCTTGTACAGCTTGATGCTCTCCTCGCCACAGTCTAGACCCATCCAGCCGTCGGGAACGCCCTCTGAGTCGGTCGCGGTACCGGTATTGGCATCCTTGTCGAACTTGTCCGCAGTAATGTAGTCGACTGGCAACACAATCTTGACATTGTTCTTCTTCGCCTTCTCCACGAGCTCAGCACACTTCTTGCTGCCCGCTTCGTCGAACAAGCTGTTGCCGATCTTGACGTTCTCGAGGGTTTTCTTGAAAGTGAAGGCCATGCCACCGCAGACAATCAAAGTGTTGACCTTGTCCAGTAGGTTATCGATGAGCTGGATCTTGTCCGAAACCTTCGCGCCACCCAGAATGGCAAGGAATGGTCGCTTAGGGTTCTCAAGGGCTTGGGCGAAGTAGTCGAGCTCTTTCTTCATGAGGAAACCTGCGGCTTTCTGGGGTAGATCGACACCAACCATTGAGCTGTGTGCACGGTGAGCGGTACCAAAGGCATCGTTGATGTAGACATCTCCAAGAGCGGTCAGTCCCTTTCTGAACTCCTCAACCTTAGCCTTGTCGGCCTTGACCTTGTTGCCCTGGTCATCCTTGCTGCTGCCCTCTTCTTCAGCGTGGAAGCGCAGGTTCTCCAAGAGGATAACCTGGCCATTGCTGGCCTTGTTCACAGTTTCTTCGACCTTCGGACCGACGCAGTCTTCAGTGAAGGTGACACTTTTGCCTAGTAGCTTCTCGAGCTCGGGAACAACCGGCTTCAAGCTGTACTTAGGATTGGCCTTTCCGTCCGGACGTCCAAGGTGGGACATGAGGACCACTGCCTTGGCACCATGATCGACGGCATACTTGATGGTAGGAAGAGCTCCGGCTATGCGCTGGGTGTTGGTAACCTTCTTGTCGGAGTCGAGGGGCACGTTGAAGTCGACCTGGTGTAGTGTTTAGCACATGTCACGAGTGGAGTTACTAGTACCTACTCGGATGAGCACTCTCTTATCCTTGAGATCGACATCAGAGATACCGAGCTTGCTGGAAAGCGACATTGTGATTGAACTGCTCTAGAAGTATTTGGTAGTAAGTGAGAAGACACAGAAAGCTCTCTTCGGAGACGTCAAAAGACCTGTGACTTAGTATGTTGGGGAGTTCGTGAAAATACGGAACGGAGCAACTGAGGTGGGATGATGGAAACGTGGGGCAGAGTGCAGTTCCCGTCTGCAAATCACTGCGAGGCTACCTCTGACGTAGCAATCTCAATTTGGTGCATGCTGAGAAAGAGCGCATTTGCCTACCGTTTGCTTCTGCAGGAACAGCCGGGATAGCGAGTAGGCGGCCTCTGGCATCATTTCGCTGACATCTCCGGCCACGCTGGCTATTGCAGACACATCTGGTCCAACTCAGCGAGATTGAGACCGAGGGTCATGGATAGTGGCGGCCATTGTTACAAGCGGGATTCATCATTGGCGACTGTGACGGACACAAGAGTCTGTTGTAAGGAGGAGAAGCTGTGGGCGCCAGTCTGATGAGAACCGTAAGGGAGAAACACCTTGCGCCGCACCTGGCAGGCTGATCCAAGGGCAGTCGACCCTTAATTAAGCGACACAGCTAAGGCGGGGGCGCGAAATGGCCGCCTGACCCTTGGAGATAGCGTCCACCCAATGACAATAAGTGGTAGCCTGCGCCACCCTCGTCTGGTCCATGATCCTGACGATGATCCCGCTGGCACCGGTTTGCTCTACATTCCTACATTTGCGTACGCTCTCTACAACAATCTAACCCACCCAACCTTCGAACTGCTCGTTTTGCGTCTAGAGAGAGAGGGTGGGTCAAGGACCAAGACGCTTTACATCAGCGCCCTCGTCAAAGGTGCCACCGCTGGAGCCAACTCTAACGTCACTGTCTCGACCTGTCCTGATCGCATCTTTATCCGCCGAAATCCCTCGCACCTTCTTAGATCTGCAGTCATGCTCGAAACCTCTCGGCGAAAGACGTTGGATTGGATGAATAGTCGATACATTTACGGGAAAATTGTATGCAGCGAGACCCATGTCATCCAGACACCAGCTGACCTCAATTCCAGCCATTATTACACACAGTCATTCTCCTGATCGAATTCGCCATGGTCGCGCGACTGATAGCCAAGTTCAATTCGTACTACAGTCAGAAGCCATTGCTGACTACCATGATAACCAATGCAGTAAGTGCGCGCCGTGTTGAGAAGCTTCATCCGCTGATCAGAGCAGATCCTTGGTGGCATCGCAGACTCGACTGCTCAGTTCATCGCAGCATACAGGACGCGCCAACTTGCGCTTCCGATGAACGCCGACACACGAAATTTCATCTCGTCTGGAGTAGAGCTGGAAGATTTGAACGAGAAGCCGGCCAGATTCTCGCCGGCTCTTTCGCCTACCTACTCAGGCCCCCCTGCCTTCGATTTCGAGCGACTCACTCGGTTCATGTCGTACGGTTTCCTCATGACACCGCTACAATTCAAATGGTACGGCCTGCTCAGCAAGTGGTTCCCAGTTACACCTCAGCGAGGCACCATTCCGGCTCTTCAACGTGTGGCCATGGATCAGCTTCTCTTTGCTCCTTGCAGTTTGGCTGCCTTTTTCACCTTTATGACGATAGCTGAAGGAGGTGGAAAGAAGCACTTGATCAAGAAGTTCCAGGACATCTATATTCCGACGCTTAGAGCCAACTATATCCTTTGGCCAGCTGCTCAAATTCTGAACTTTAGGGTTATGCCATTGCAGTTTCAGATACCATTTGTGAGCACTATCGGTATCGCCTGGACGGCATACTTGAGTCTGAGCAACGCAACAGAGGATGAGACGATGGATGTTTAAAGGCTCCCTGACGGTTAACGATACCCATGCCCTAAGCATAGCGAGGCTGCACATTGGCGTTCCCTAAGAGTGATAAACAAGTCGAATGGTGCGAACCACAAGATATCGGATGATATGGCGCTGGAGGAGTTGGCAGTTAGCATAAGTATATCCGTACTTAACAAGAGTACATTACTCACTTGCATTGAATAGCTCAAACTCCCGGCAAGTCTGTCATAAATATGTCGACTTCACTGCGATGCATTGGCGGGTTCCCCCTTATTCAGCACAGGCCCATTGTTTCGGGAGGCCCATAAGGCTGTCGCTTGGTGACTCGTCATACCTCTGAAGTGGTCTGCCGGATGAGGTGGCCCAGCAACCAATTTCCACCATATTCGGCCTGATTCTTCGCACAGCATTATTTGCAATAAGATACGCTCCATTCACGATTGTTGCAATCTTATCACCATCGCGTACAAGTGTGATGGCAAATAAGGCACACAAGGCGTCCACGGCGGAGCGCCAAGGCATGCCAACTCCCACCTCCGCTCCTGCCTCCCCAAACGCGTTCCTGCCTTCTTCCGTCGATATCTGTCCTGACGCTCCCGCGAAATCGACTGCTCTTCCCGATGTCACCTATGCGACTGTAGAATCATATTCAAGTCTCGCGGCGAGACTCCGCGACGACAACTCCGCTCCTGTGTCTGCTGATCAGACTAAATCAACGTCCGATACTCGGATCATGGCGACACTTCCAGAGGAGCTGTGGCTTAAGGTCATCGAAAATCTGAACTCGAAAGATCTCAAGAATGCACGCCTCGTGAAGAGCTCATGGGCCGAGTTCGTAAGATGAACTTCTTCTCGTGATACGCTCTCATCTGACAAACATCATAGGCTACACCGGTTCTCTTTCGCAACATCGCCTTCAGCCCTGAGCCGGCCAATATCAAACATTTCAAGCTCTTGGCCAAGAATAAGGAGCTAGCTAACCATGTCGAACTTCTCACACTCGACACCACAACCTACCAGGCTCATTGCAATCCAGAACGATATGCCAAGCTCGCTTCTGAGTACTTCAGTAAAGTCTTTGGCCTCGGAGCCCAGAACACTGGACCACTGTCACCAACCAGTCTCCACCATGTCCTTCTAAACGACCCATACAAAGCCCTTGGCTCCCACTATCTGTCTGGTCAACCTCGCGGCAGCTTTGTGGCTGGGTACACTCTGTACAGCGCACGAAGTCATTTCATGCTCGACCTCTTCAAGAAGGGGAAGATTTTCCAGATTATCAAGCAATGTGTCTCGAGTTTCAAGAACTTGAAGCATATGGAGACTTGCTCGTATTGGACGGCAAATGATGGGTCCTATCAGAGAGATTTTGAGCTCTATCTTTGCCAACACCTGCCTCAGAAGACACTCGATCTCATCCCTGGACTTGATGGCCAATTTCACGACTCTGGAACTCGATCTAGAATCACTACCAGTGCCTTTTCCGCCCCTGGTGCCGCCGCTCGTGACCTGCATGTGATGATGCTACCTCCGAACTACGGTATATCTTATCACGATGTGCAAATGCACGAGATTACCCATGCGGCTCTCAGAGCACTTCGCGAGAATAAGATCAGACTCCAGTCTCTGTCGCTTCCTGGTAATGACTATCTTGGCAAGGATGTTGAAGCCGGGACGAGGCGTGGTATCGTGCCCATGACTACGTTGTTACTTGGTGCGAAGGCTCCTGGAGCCACCAAATCTACTAGTCTCCTGCTACCGGTATTGCGGCGTCTCAAGTCACTGGAGCTGAACATCGATTTCAAGCATCCTGCAACTCATTCTCCGCTGCGCGACAGCAGACCGCCCCACCGCTTGTGTATGGCTCTTCAGCAGATGAACCAATTGGAGTCTCTAAGTCTCGGCTCACAGGACTATCTGCTCGGCGATCCTGCCGTTTGGGATCTCACACACCTCATGCTGTGGAAGAAGGAAGATTATCCAGATCATCCAGATGCATTGTCTGATGACGGCCAAGACGGACCAGGCGGACCTCACGGTCTTGGTGATCTCATGAACATGCTTATGGCTATGGGTCCGCCACCTGGCCTTCCGTTGCACCCCCATCATCAAAGCCCAGCGACCGGCACTCTGCCGGAGTCGATTCCGCATCAGGGATCTGCCCCTACGCCCAATGCTAGTTCGTCTCAAGCAGCGGCAGGCCCTGGCCCCAACACCGGTCAAGCCCACCATCCAGCCGGTGCAGTGAATAATCTGTTCGCTCAAATTATGGGTGGAGGTGTTGCGTCAATAGACGCCAATGGCCACGTCACTAGTCATACTTTCAACCCCGGTAATCTTCCTCACAATGCCGTGGGGGGAAGTGCACCCGAGTCTACGGAACCAAAAGACGTGAAGAACCCTGACACGCCGTTGTCACCGAATCCGTGGCCTAAGCTTCGCTATTTATCTCTTTGGAGCCTCCCTGCCACACCTGAAGAGCTCACTAGGCTAGTCACCACGGTCAAAGACACCTTACGCACACTGAGGTTGTACAAAGTGCACTATGCGAGACCTGAGCTCATTGATCCTAACTTTGACGATGGTCATGCCTTCCTCGACATGGGATTTGGCGGGCCTCCTCCGAATAATGACGCAGATGAGGGCTCTCCATCGTACGGTGATGATGAGGAGGATGACGAGGATCTGAATGGAGATCTTCCCGAGCTCGTTGACCTGTTGAGTGCCGCCTCTCCGCCTGGTGCTCAAGCTTCTTCGAGTTCTACGGCTACATCGATCCCTGCCAACCCCTTTTCGCAGCCCGCACCACCTTTTAACGGACACCCTCCAGAGATTCCCTCACAACCGAATACTTCCAACAACTCTGGTGGCGATGATGACAACAAGGACACTTCGGACAAGTGGCTCTCAACGTTCGAGATGCTTGCCGACGATCTCCGTCTGAAGACTTGTAACATCATTCTAGAGGATCATGACGAGTTGTATCTGAGGGATAAGCTAGAAAAGCAAATTACAGACCTAGACGACTTCCCATCACTTGGACACATGGCAAGCCATTACATTCTGGACGGCGATGGCATGGGCTACCCTCTGTACCTTACGAACAAACTCAAGGAACAGAAGCAGAGAATGGCCCAGATTGAGGCTGATCTCAATGCTCTCGAAGATGACGATGGATATGAGGACTGGCAGGAGGACGGAGACCATGAAGATCGCAACGCGAGGGGCCCCACCAAGATGCGAAACATTCACATCTGCTCGAGATGGCAGGGCTGTCCTTAGACAAGCATCCTAATCCAGCAAGTGCTAGCAATCATGGGGCTTCATTTCCACAAGAGGGAGGCTTGGTGTTGGAGCTTGACTTCTAGAATCATAGTACTCAACAAGATTATGAAGCATAGACAGGTTCAGATAGATTGTGCACGACAAGAGGACTGGTCAGACCCCGCAAGCTCATTCTCAGCAGATTCATGAGGGTGACAATCACTTCAGGAACCATACACCAGATTGACTCGATGAGAATTATCAATATGAAAGTGGACTTGATGAGCGAGGTTCCTTTCCTAAAACTTTTACTAGAAGTCTACAATCGTACCAAAGAATATGCACCCATGCTACCCAGTCAGATGCCAAACGTAGTGCTACATGTTCCCTAACCTCTACACCCTGCAAGGATCTCAAATCCGAATAATGCGGCCCCCCTCGTCCACAACACCACGGCACAGCTCGCGGATGACCTTCCCGCCCAAGATCGTCTCATTGATGATGCCCTCCACGTGCCGGGGCTCAACTCTGCCATACCACACTCCCTTTCCCGCCAGCGGGCTCTCCTTCCCCGACGGCCCCCCATGCGCGGCTCTGTCTTCCTCGAGCGATGCCGACGCTTCTTCACCGTCAACGATGGCTCGTCGCCGCAACGACCACCCTCGAGGAATGTAGACGATGACGTTGCCAGCCCACTTGTGGCCGCCGATATGGCTGATGCCCGCGACGCGGGTGCCCTGCTCTGCATCGAGTTGGAGGCTCGGCGGTAGAAGGCGCTTGAACTCGGATACGAGCAGCGGGCCGAGGACGCCGCAGCGCGTGTCGCGGCTGTTGTGGCTGCAGATCAGGATCGTGGGGTGTGTGATGGGGACCGAGTGCAGCGGTGGCGGTGGCGGGCCGTGGGAGCCTGTAGTGTGCGTGGCACGGGCGAGGTAGGCGAGGAGGGCTGAGAGGGGCTCATCATCGGTGTTGGAAGATTGAATGGAGGGGGAGGGCGGGAGCGTGATCTCCTCGCCGGTGGGGAAGGCGAGCACGGTGCGGCCGCTGCTGCGGGCGGCGGGGAGGGAGGAGGTCGTCACGAGCACATTGGAGGTCCGGGAGTGGTATTGGCCGTTGCGGCCGAAGGCGGCTTTGAGCGCGCCCACGAGGTTGCCCCAGGGTTGGGAGTGGGGAGGCGTGGATTCGTCTTCGATGCGCGAGGCCCAATCGGATTGGCCCGTGGAGACGAGGAGGTGCGAGGTGTAGGGGGCGATGTTATTGGTTATGGGGGTTTTGTGGTCTATGTCTAGACCTGAGGGCATGGCGGCACATTCGCAGGTTGGAGAGGGACATGATGGGAGCGTGGGGAAGGGAAGTTGGGTGTGCGTGGAGGTGGCGGCGATGCGGGCGGAGAGGGCGGAACGTGGTTTGGCTGCTTGTAGAAGATGTTGGGAGGCACGCAAGGGTGGCATGTAGGGTGCGGTTGCGTGCGAGACGTCTTGATTCACGAAGGACGCCGGTAGTACAGAAGACGGGTAGAACTTCGAGTTGTAGATTTATCTATTGGAGAGTGACGTTGAAGCGGATGCTAGCGCCAGCGGAGAGATTCCGTTCGGCATCGGTGCTTCTTTCGGGCGAGCCTTAACGGCGAAGGACGGTCGGCTGACATTACAAGAGGACCATCAGAAGTGAGAACAGATTATGGAGTATTAAGTCTACAGAACAATGTCGCTGCTTTTAAGGCTTTTTTGATCCGAACTTGACGAGCTCCTGAGACGAACCCGTCAGGAACCAGAGTTGCGTGGAAAAAGCATACGCCCCAGCGACTAGCAGTAGATAGTAGGCGACCGTCCATTGTACACCTAGCGCGGGGCCTCTTCCTCTGGCCTGGATTGCGTCTTCATCGTCCTTGCCTCTCATGGCCACAAGCGGCGGCAGATGCTCCTCAGTAGCCTTCAGTCGACCCCAAAACCGTGGCAGTCCCATCGAGTTGCAGAAGGCGTGAATAATGATACAAGCGTACAGCGAGCCGGTCCGTACGTAGATGAATGCAGCATACCAGCCGAAGAGGGTGGTGTAAGTGAACTGGAACACGGAGCGGAGGACTGCAGGCAGGAGAGAAGTGTGAGGATGTGTCAGAGTGAACTCGTAAAAGTGGTGAATGTGAGCAATGCCGAAGTACAGTGGTGTCAGGAAAACAATTCGTGACGGGGAGATTTTGGCGAGGATGTTGACGGCAATCAAAACCGAGCGGAACAGAACCTCTTCGGTGATGGGTCCAGCAACATAGTTTCGGTAGCCCTGCCAGCTCGACAGAGTTTCCACAACAACATTGCCTCTCCGGAGCTGGCTGAAGATGCGGTCGACGAAGACGGCCTCGAATAGTGGACCCAGATACAACAGGAAGGTGAGTGCTAGGCTTCGGAGAATATCAACGGGTGTTGCCGGCCACCAACCGAGAATATGGAGGGCTGAGATTGGTTCCACGTGGCCGGTCACCAAGAGCAGATAGAGGCTGGCAGCTGTGGCGACGACACAGGCCAAGGTCACCGTCTGTATGCGAGCTCTGATGACCGAAGGGGCATCCCGGTTAAGGGTCGGCGAAGGTCGTGTCGTCTTAGAGGTGTAGAATGGTAAGACATAGAGGGACGTGAAGAGGGTCTTGTCTGATAGTCAGCAAGGCACATGCCGAGCAACGCGACCCAGGCCAGGAAGTTGACAGCAACGACGTGTCGCGAGGGTATGGGAGTTGGCAGAAACATGGCTACCGAAACCTCGTGGTCACCAGACAGCTTGTCGTGTCATTGCCACGGACGATAATGTATATCTCCCACCTTGACAGCTGATGGTGGCCGCCGAGTGGTGAGGCAGAAGTGGAGTCACTTACTGACAGCAATACTGCACTTGTTGTGGAGATGACTGGCCGGTCGTTGTCTATACAAGGGCTGTCAGTAACACAGAAGGTTCCTCGGCAGGCAGTGAAGGGTGGAGGCAGTCAGAGGTCGTTCTGCGGAGGAGGCCAGGCGGCTGGGCCGAGACGAGCAGGGACACTCCTGACCAATGGATCGATCACTGACCTTGAACTCCGAAGTACATATCTCGGAGGCGATGATAGACGTTCACTGGAGCCATAAAACCAATAGACATTCAATAGTGGCCAACGAATGCCAGGGTATGCGGAGATTCTGATTGGGAAAAGAGGCGGTGATAGGTACTAAAATTGATCAGGGTGAAGACCCGAGTCGGCGAGATTCAAGCCAAGCCACAGGAAGAGGAGGCTTCAACGTCACTCAGCCACAACGCTGCTGCTGCATCTGCCCGCTTTTCAAGAACAACAACAACAATCAAAATGTCCAACCCAAGCTGTCATCGCCTCGCTAACATCAGCCCAGAAGCCCGAGGATGATCCTGGGTAATTTGTGCAAATCTGCTCGGAGCTGTCACAACGAACGCTGCACACCGACAATCGAGAGCCTAACGATCAACTCATCCTCTTTCGGCGAGGGGCTGATCTTAGATGCGAACGAGCGCGTCTGGGATCAAGCCCTAGACGCGTTTTGCTAGGCACCTCGCCGTCAACCGATTGGCTCCGTCCCAAGGTAATTCTGGAAATCGGGGATTATTCCGCCCCACTGACACGCGATACCGACAGGCCACGACACGTCCCGGTTCGATGAATGCCTTTGTGGTGGGTTGCCGTCGCCGTCCAAGGAAAACCTCGTCTGCACCGTCCAACGGCTGGCTTGTATTACCCTTCTCTTAAGCTTCCGATACAGCCTCTGTGCCAGCTGCCGATTTCCTTCTTCCCCTTTCGCTGTACCTGCTCTTAATTTGTCAAAGACGACACCCGCTTCGGCGCCTGTTGGATCCAGCCCAGCGAACACGGACCTCAATCAAACGCTGCCGCACCCTGCAGCGTGCATGCATAAGTGCCATATTCCGTCTCCATCGCTGACGCCCATGCTATGATGACGGCTCCAGCGAAATTATTACTGTCTCACACGCTATAATCTACCTACGAATACGTTCACGAACCATTCGCCGCACGACTCACACCGTTGTCGCTCTTTACACTCACTACAGTCACTCGTTACATTCATTCTTGCGCTTCCACGACTTATTCCCTCGATCTATAATATCTTTACTCTTCCACCGAACATGCACTAGCAATGTCCTCCTCTCCTCCTCGGTCTGCGCAAAATACCCCGTCGAGGACGCCATTACAAGAGCGCACACAATCCCAGGCGAATGAGATCTCTTCCAGATTGGTTCGCAATCTGAAGCAGGACAACAGCTCGCAGAATGTCTACACTACGTCTCCGTTCCCTACGAAAGCCCAACATGTCCTCCTTCCTAGCAACCTGCGCAAGCAGAAGAGTGCTCGCAACCTGGGTGCCGACATCTTCAGCCCTGAGTACCGTCTCCGAAGTTCCTCAGATGTACAGATTGCGCCCACCACTCCGCGCCAGCCAGCTGTGCGACTCAAGAAATCGGTCAAGACGTTGAGGGATATGTACGAGGCACAGTCGGAAGACTCAAGACCGTCCTCTTCAGCTGGCGTCAGAAGTCGTCCAGGGAGCTCGAGTTCCAGACTTCGGAGCTTCAGTTCCAATGAAGGGTTGGCTGGTCGCGTTGCATGGGAGGCGCTCAACAAGAATCGCGCATCCGATGATATGGCTCTTCTTCCCCCACTACCCGAAGGCCAGTCTACGCTCAGACAAATTGGCTCCAAGTCTTCCTTTGCAGCAAGATCTGGCATGTTTGATCCTGAGTCGAGTCCAAACTATCAGATTCTAGGAGCGACTTCGAGTCCACGAGCACCCGAATTTCGACCGTTAGCTGAGCTCTCTTCAGATCCTCCGGAAGAGCCTCCTACCGATCCTGGTTCTATCGAACAGAGCAGCTTTTCTACCCCGACTGTGATGAGATACGTGCATAGCTCTAGGGTCGAAGAGCTCCCCTCTGTCGATGAGTCTTCAAGTCCGAATTTCGTCAAGCTGAGTACATCCTCTCCTGATCGGACCGTCCCTCGGTTGGCGCCAGCATCTAGCGAAGAAGAGCTGCGGTCGGACGATCCTTCGTCAAGCCCGAACTTCGTCAAGCTGGGTACATCGTCTCCTGCTCGAAGCGTCCTTCGATTAGCGCCAGCATCTAGCGAAGAAGAGCTGCCGTCGGACGATCCTTCTTCGAGCCCGAACTTCATCAAACTGGGTACATCGTCCCCTGCCAGAACGTTGAGAGCATATGAGTCTTCCTCACCATTGCAACGACCGGCCTCCAATGGTTCGGAATCTCCCAAAAAGCGAAAACGAAGTGATCCAGATGAAGGGTATTCACGAGCAGGCGCAGTCAATCCGTTCGCCTCCAGCTCACCCCAGGATGATTCAAATGCCAGCCAGGAGTCCTTTCGGTCTTCTCCTCCGGCCCCGCCGGTGGTCTACAGCAAGAGCGTCCTCATACCTAGTCCAGACGCCAGCTCGGTCCTCGACTCACCATATCGATATTCTATCTACGCAGACGAGCAGAGCTCGATGGCCGAGACACACTCAAACCTGCAGGCGGCCTTGACGTCCAGTCCAGCGCCTCCCATTCAATATCCTGTTGTCCGTGCCCCAGCATCTGTACAAATAGCGGGACTTGTTGTACCGAAACGCAAGAATCGATCATCCCTGACTTCTGAGACACTAAACTCGCCGAGATGGCCATCTCGTCTGTCGGCAGTCCCCTCCGACGCATCACTGAGATCAAGAGACACCAGCAAGCGGTCATCAATATGGGACGAGCCCCTGGAACCTGATGCTGATCTCCTACCAGCAGCTTATATGATGAGCGAAGAGGCTACAGCATCCCAGATACGGATCATTTCCGACAGCGAGAGACATGAGGAAGCCGATGATGAAGTCGGAGCCTTGCCTGGCGACGAGTACGGCTATCGCTCACCTCCAATCGTCAGAACCAATAGTTTCGGGAACACGCCTGGAAGCTCACGTTCCCGACTCAATTCCTTGCAGAGTTCAATCGAAAATCGGAAGAACAGCCTAACTTCGCGAAGAGGTAGTCTTCGCAGATCCAGTTCAGCCGGTAGCTTGGTCGTAACAGCGGTTCCTACATGGGCTAGGCGATACTACTCCGGCTTTTATCAGGACTCTTTTCGGTACCTGATGCAGTCTTCATCTTCAGTAAATGTGACTCAGGTAGCGCCGCCTGTGCAAAAGCCGCTCCCTCTCCGCCCGGAATCGATTGACACCACTATGAGTGCATCGACTCCACGAAGCAGTCGGAGGAGCTTTGCTTCGATTCGTCAATCGCTGGAGAAGATACCATCCCTGATTCGCGCTGGGCGACCACGACTGGAAGCTCGAAAGTCTCATACGATGCCGGGCCTAGGTCCGCTGGTTTCTCATCCTGTACGGGGACCGGCGACTGCAGCCATGAGTGGCGCAAGATCGAGTCAAACAAATCTCCGGTCTCAAGTCCGACCTGTTTCTCTTCCACTGCACCCTGCCGATCCTCGATCACAATGGGCCGGCCACAACGACATGTATCCTAGCGCTGGAATCAACAGCGCATATCCGAGGTCTATGCACCAGAGCACCTTGTCCGCCCCATTACCGTCCGTTGGTATGCCCTACCACATTCCGCCCAGGCGTATGGGCCGATTGTCCTCAGCTTCTCCTCATCTGCACCATGATCATCGACTCAATACGGGCTCCACGGCTTCTCGAGGCTATGGACGACCTTTTACTCACCGCAAGCGTCATTCAAACCCAAGCGACATGCTGTTCGACGATGCAGCTGGTCCAGCTCATGGTCATCCGCTGCGAACAGGCCAAGTGATTTGCTTCATTCTTGGCTTCATGTGCCCACTTGCCTGGTTTGTCGGCGCAGTTCTGCCACTGCCAAAACGGCCAGATACGTTCATGGACATTGAAAAAGGCACTTGGCGCAGGGCAAGTCGGCATGGCGACCTGACGGAATATGAGGCTATGAATGTACTAGCTGGTCTACGGCAAGAGAAACGCTTAAGAGGAGGCGAGGAGGCAGCCTGGCAGAACGCCAGGTGGTGGCGGAGGCTGAACAGATGGATGTGTATTATTGGGACCATTGTTCTGGTTCTGGTGATTGTTCTTGCAGTTGTTGGCACCACGACTAACGGCCTTTCTTGATTTTTGTCGAATGCCTTTGCTCATACCCCTTACGCGGAACGATTTCCTATCTATCTATATATCTAAACACATACGGCCAGCAGTCCGCCATACTGCCGATAGATACATATATATCAACGATACTCATGATCAATTCAAGAGCTTTCTGGGGGATACCTGGAGTGGTGAGATCGATAGTTGAATCATCAGAGGCTCCGCCTCGTAAGGCGTCTAGCTCGACGCTAGCTATAAAAAGCGACATAAGTCGCCGGTACTCCTGGGCCCAGCTTGGCATCTCACCCCCCTTTGGCTCCAGAGCTGTACTGGGCTAGGTTCCATGGTCAGAAGTGTCTGGCGTTCACTACTGGACTTTGACCATGTAGCCAGTCGGACCAGTCCCAACATCATGGAGGACACAGAGATCCACTCCCCTACAGTCCAGAGACGATACGAGGAGGAAGACATCTCACCCACCAGCGACAAAGAGCTCCGAGGATGGTACTTCTACGGCATCGCGGCTGAAGTGTTCGCCGTGTGTGGACCTGGATCATTCTTACCCGTGGTGCTCGAGCAATTGGCTCGAGAGAATGGTGTCCTGTGGTCGGACAGGCAGACTCCTTGCGTGGATACCAGGAACGACCGTTCAGGGCGACTACTGATGGGAAGAGCAGAGGGGGAGAAAAACGACCAGTGCCTGATCAATGTCTTGGGCGCGGAGATCACAACGGCGAGCTTCGCCATGTACACATTTTCACTGGCAGTCTTAATACAGGCGTTGGCACTGGTGTCGTTCAGCTCGGTGGCAGACTATGGTGAGTCCCATTGACCGGCCAAGTTCCTCCAGGTGCTGACAAGAGTAAGGCAACAATAGGAAGCGCTTCCTCCTCCTCTTCGCCTCCGTCGGCTCAGCCGCCGGGATGGCTTTCATCTTCATGGTCCCGAGCATCTACCTGCTGGCAACCCCTTTGGCGGTCCTCGCCATCACCAACTTAGGCTGCAGTTTCGTGATGCTGAACAGCTTCCTGCCCCTCCTCTCCAGCAACCACCCTTCTGTGCGGGCCCAGGAAAAGGAGCTGCTGTCCACCCCGACACCCTCACACGACCCCAACGCCCCATCATCCGCTGCCCCCACGACCGCCCGCTCCGCTCCCGCTCTGGCCTTCTCCAACACCGTCTCCGCCAAAGGCGTCGGTCTGGGCTACTCGGCCGCGGTCCTCGTGCAAATCGCCAGCATCCTTCTCCTCCTCCTAACCAGCAAGCTCACCACCTCCCGCACCGTCCCCCTGCGCCTCGCCCTCTTCCTCGCCTCCACCTGGTGGTGCCTCTTCACGATCCCCACCTCCCTCTGGCTGCGCTCCCGCCCCGGCCCACCCCTCCCCGCCACCCTCACGCACCGCCTCGCCACGCACCCCTCCTCCCGCCTCCGCACCGCAACCACGTACCTCACCTTCGCGTGGCTCTCCATCTTCCGCACGCTCCAACAGGCCCTCTCGCTCTCGCAGACCCGCCTCTTCCTCCTGGCCTGGTTCCTCATGTCCGACGCCATCGCCACCGTCGGCAGCACGGCCATCATGTTCGCCCGCACCGAACTGCACCTCTCCCCCACGGGCATCGCGCTGCTCTCCGTCACCGCCACCGCCTCCGGCATCGCCGGCAGCCTCTTGTGGCCACTGCTCGCGCACCGCTTCTTCAAGCCGCAGTCCTCCTCCTCCTCCTCCTCGCGCAACACCATCGTCGCCTGCCTCTGCGTCATGGAATTCATCCCCCTGTACGGCCTGCTGGGGTACCTGCCGCCCGTGCAAACCCTGGGGTGGCTGGGCCTGCAGCGGCCCTGGGAGATCTTCCCGCTGGCCGTCGTGTACGGCGTCGCCATGGGTGGGCTGAGCAGCTACTGCCGGAGTTTCTTTGGGCAGTTGATCCCCTTTGGGAAGGAGGCGGCGTTTTACGCCCTGTTTGCCATCACGGATAAGGGGAGTTCGGCGATTGGGCCGGCCGTGGTGGGGAGGATTGTGGATCGCACGGGCACGATACGGCCGGCGTTTTGGTTCTTGGTCGTCTTGATTGGGATTCCTATCGTGTTGGTGAGGTTTGTGGATGAGGCGAGAGGGAGGGAGGAGGCCGGTAGGTTTGATTTGGGGATGGTTATGGCGGGTGATGGGTTGGAAATGATGGGTGATTCGATCGGTTCGAGAGGCGGAAGGCCGGAGGAGGTGCAGGGTTTGATGGAGGGAGAGGATAGAGATAGGGATAACAGAGACTGATGGAGAGGTAGAATAGAATATATACATGAGTTCTGTACACTCTAGCTTCTGTCATATTTACACATACTGGCGTATAGATAGGCACATACTTGCGTACAGATGCTGTAGTCCCTGCATGTGTCAACTCCCCACACAAAGATTCACTCGGTCTCCCCCTTCTCCATGAACTCTCTTGCGATTCTCGACCGAGCTCTTATTTTTGGGCCTTGCCACACCAGCACGCAGGGCACTAATGTCAGTACAAGAGCAATACCGCCAAGCAAGCTACTTGCTGCCTGGAAGCCCAAACTGTTGAACATCTTATGTGTTAATAACGGGAAGCTACCACCCAGAAAATTTCGACAGATTCCAGATGCCGCCAGTGCCGAAGAGGTATAGGTGTGATAAGCATCAGCGCTGTAGTTGAACACGGCCAGAAAAATGCTGAAGATTGCCAGTGTCGTGAACGCGATAGAGATTGTGGGCACAATCCAGTGTATCGATGAATAACAGGTCCACCCGAACCAGAAAAGCGATATGGGTAGAAAGGCCGCTTCTACGCAGGTTGCAAGCATCCGCCCTTCTGGAGTTGCCATCTTCGCGGGATAACGCCGGTTCAGGAATTTATCTTGCCAGATGCATAGAACGGTAGAGAATATAGCACCAATGCACATGGCTCCGAAGACGTAACCAGACTGCTCAAGCGTGAAGTTGAAGACGACTCTGTAGGCGAGAGGAACGGAGCCAAATTGAAGATACAAAATGGCCCAGGCGAAAGAAATCCATAGACTGAAGAAGAATACGACAGGCTCGGTGACCAGCATATGTATAGGACGATAGAGGGACATGGCGATCATGCGAGACAAGGAGGCGCGTTGCTCGTCTTCGAGTACCTTGAAGCGTATACGTTCTGGGGAGCCGATCGTAGTGGTGGTTTGGAATTTGAGATCAGAGCCGGTCATAATTCCCTTCTCCTGATCGGTGGGTGTGCCGGATGAGATTGGTTGCATGCCGATGACTCCAAGTGATTCAAGTTGTTCGTACCACTTGTTGACTGCTTTCGCTTTGTGCGACAGGATGATACTGCCCCGTGTCTCTTTGAAGAAGACGGTCACGAGAGCGACCAGTGCGCCGGAGACGATAAGCTGAACATAGTATACCCAACGCCATGGCAGGCGCTGAGCAACGACGCCAGAAACGAGTGGACCTAGGCCAGTTCCAAACATGGTAGCTCCTGTGAACAGAACCATAGGTGTATTGCGTTCTTTGGTCACCCAAATATCAGCAAGAATACCACCAACCATAGTCGAGAATGTTGAGCCGCCCACGCCCTTCAGAAATCGAAATACGAGCATCCCAGCGAAATTGGGTGCGAGGGCACAGGCAAGCTGCATAGCCACGAAGAGAAGGCCAGTTGCAATGAATACCGGCCGGCGTCCATTGATTTCCGAGAGCGGTGCAAGAACCATGGGTGCGACACCGAAGCCTATAGTATACAAAGTGATACCAAGGCTGAAAGCGACGTGGGAGACCCCCCATTTTTCCCGGAGCTGTTCCTCTGGTGCGGCGTAGGATCCTGCAGCATAGGCCGCAACAGTGTTGACGGAGCAGGAAAGATAGGTGATGAGATTCTTGCGGAGAGGACTCCAGTAGAAAGGGCTATCGTACTGCTTGAGATCGGGACATGGTGGGAGTTCAATGTGAGCATTGGGCTCGAGGACAGGTGTGGTTGGTATGGCCGTGGTAAAGGTCATATAGCGCCAATCGATACCGCCACGTTTTGAGGAGGTGAAGTCGGTCTGCGGATTAGTCATTTCTGTTCCTCCGATGTGTATTTCTGAGTTTGATCTTGGGGGCGCCGCCACCTCCGGAGCCGTGACGGCGACGTCAACAGGCATTTCGCCTGCTTTCTCGGGAGACATCGACTTCGCATGGAGGGAGTTGAATCAAGCTACGGGAAAGGAAAGGAAGTTTTCCCCAGACACAAGGAAATCGGAAAACGATGGGGTTCTCTCCAGATCTTGGAAAGCCGGGGGTCGTTGACAGTGGCGCAAAAGGGCAAACGTCGGAGATCTTTCCGCGGTACGCAATGGCCAAGGAGATAACAGCAGCAGATCCACAAATAGCTCCAGCAGAGGCTCGATTTGTGTATCTCATTCGTAGTGTGTGCCGTTTGCGGGTGATGACACGTCGTTAGGGGGTGCAAGAAGGCAGCTCTGCTTAATAGCGGACGCTGTGGGCGAGGCAGGTACATCTTCATCTGTACATTTGCCCGTAGAAGGCGCGAGCCTGTTGGGCGAGCCATTACGGCTGAGCCACTTTGATGTCCTACCATCAAACGCGATGTAATCTCACCTGAACTACGATGATGCACCCGGCTCATGATGTCTAGATGGTGTCTAGTTTGCTGAAGCGAAGGTGAACGATGCTGACCCGGTGTTGAGACCAAGCTGCGGGGAACGTGAACAAAACTCGGCCGCGAGCTGGAGCGAAAGGTCCTCGACAGCTTTTCTCAAAGACTCGGCGGCCTTGAGCAAGCATTCAACTCTGAAGCGTGACGCTGACATAAATCGCGAAGGATCCAGATTTAGAAGTTCAAACGTGTGAAATAAGGCGATCCCTTTCAGCCTCGTCGCACTGATGGTGCTGACATCACATCACATCGTCTTCAACGTCTCAGACTTTGCTTCCGACCTGCTCACGATCTAGTGTGCTCCTCAGTGTGGTACTCAAGGCACCCAAACAGTCACTGGCGATCGGACCTGCAGTAGTACGGACCCACACAATTCGATCGCCTGCTCTGGAAGCCATGCTGAGTGATGATGTAAATATGTCGAAAAGCCTACAGTGAGCGTCATGGTAGACGAGCAAAGTAACGGATATGGATTAATTTTCCGCACCTCTAATTCTCTCTTCTGTCCCAGCTCCCATGTGCAATCTTTGGTTGACTCTACGCTATTGATACATTTATCTATCGACCAACAGCAAACATGGCAAGCAAACCCCAGGAGTCGTCAAAGCAGATGATGCTAAACAAGAATGGTACGGAACAATCCCCAAGCATTGAACTCGGTACTGACGAGTCCAAGTCGCCGGTGGACAGCTTGCACGCTTCTCCATGCAGCCTCCAACGGGCTTCTATCGCGATGGGTACTGTCGTGTCGGACCGGAGGACAAGGGCAACCACTCTGTTGCCGCGGTTGTGACCGAAGACTTCTTGAACTATTCAGCGTCGCAGGGAAACAACCTGAAAGAGGTGGGCGTGAAACCGGGTATGAAATGGTGCCTTTGTGCGCATCGCTGGAAAGATGCATTCGACGCCGCTCAGAAGGGTCTTCTGTCCAACGACGCGGTCCCCAAAGTCTCCCTGCACGCTACCCATGAGGCCGCGCTCGAGAAGATCTCATACAAGGAGCTGAAGCAGTATGCTTCCGTCAGCGAAGCAGACGCGCAGTCAAATCGCCAGCCATCACACCAGAATCCTGGGACAAGCAGCATAGCGAAGGAGACGACGAGTATTCAAGGTAATCGACAGTCGACGGCCAACTAAAGCGGCAGGAAGGCGAGGCGAGCGCTGGGTCAGCAAAGGATTGTATCTCGGAACAGTGAGGCAGGTAGTCAAATCTTCCTCGGCACAGAAAACCATCAGACCCTTAGGCTGCACCGCACCAACAGCCTCAAAAGCATGGAGCGAACGTCCATCACAGTCAATTTGCATCGTACAGCGAATGGGGAGAAATAGCACATGAGAGTTGACAGATGGCCTGACGTGCCAAGGCCGAGGCTCATGCTCATCGAAGACAAAGTGGATTTTGTCGATAGTGGACTGAAGTGCTGATGGCCTCATCCTCATCAGCTGCGACTAGCATTTCTACCATCCCATAGCTTATTACGATGATGCCCAGCAAAAGAGTATTTGCCTAGCGAGGCAGTGAACCAAAGTACTTATTCTCCGCCTTTTCAGTCGCCTAGTCCTGCCTGCGGCATTCGCGCGATCGGTACCCATATCTATGACACGATCAGCCTCCGACTAATTTACATCCCATCTTCTCTTCCCACGCGTCACACCGGTGACACAGCCGACAGAAACAGGAGGTCGACACTTTTCACCCCCGCTTGCCCAACATGTCGACCTCCGATTCCGTAGGTACGTACTTCCCCCGTGCTCCGGAACATGCAGCCTCCCGCCCCGGTACCACGGCGAACGCGGCTAACATCCACACCCCTCCAGATCGTGTCTTCGTGCACGCCCTCGCGACCGTCCGGCGCCTCCCACGCACAGGCTCCTCGCGGCCACCCCCCTCCGCCCGCCTCCGCCTCTACGGCCTCTACAAGCAATCCATGGAAGGCGACGTCGAGTCCATCCTCCCACGGCCCACCCTCCCGCCACCGTCGCCCACGGCCGGCGGTGGCGGCCCCAACAACAACACCGACGCTTTTATGATTCCGTCAGACCTCGACAGCCGGCCCTCGTCCTCTTTGCCACCGCACCGCGACTCCACGACCTCACAGCACACGGTGCAGGTGCACCGGTACGCGTCGCGCGACCTGCGCACGCGCGAAGCACAGGCCGAGATCGAGAAGTGGGATGCGTGGCACGCGTGTGCGGGCATGAGCCGTACGCAGGCGAAAAGGAGCTATATCGAGGCGCTGATCGCGACGATGAAGGAGTATGCGAGCGGGACGCAGGAGAGTCGCGAGTTGGTGGGCGAGTTGGAGTTTGTGTGGGGACAGATCCGTGGGCAGGGGAGCGGGAGTGGTGGGAGTGGTGGGGGGAGGAGTGAGCCGGTGGGTGGGGGCAGTGCGGACGAGGAGGAGGCTGGGAGTGGGGATAGTCCGAGGAGGAGTGGCATGAAGGGGTTAGGGAGTGATTTGGGCGGGAGGGCGGAGAGGGGCGGGGATGGGGGGAGGTTGAGGGTGTTGAGTCCCATGAGCCCGAAGGGCGGTAGTGATGTCGTGGAAGGGGAGGAGGTGGATGACCGGGATGATGTTGTTGGAGAGGAGCCGGCGCGGGATGGTGCGGCGAGTGGTCGTTTTGCCGCGCTGGAGGCGCAGTTGAGGCGGCTGTCGACGGAGATTGCAGCCTTGAGAGAGCAGTTGTCGGCGAACAACATGTTGTCGTCGTCATCCTATAGCCCGTATACTTATCAGCAGCTGAGTCTGCGATGGAAACTGTGGTATAGGATGGTGGCCTGGGTCCGATGGCTGATCTGGTTAGGAGTCAGACAGGCCTGCTTTGGCGCGGTCATGTTGGGTGTCATCGTGCTGTGGGGTCGGTGGAAGGGTGACAGGAGAGCGGAGGAATGGGCAAGGCGAAGGTGGAAGGAGGTCAGAGCACTGTTGAGCAACTGGTGGGCGAGAGGCTGGTGGCTCGCGGGCTTCCTGCGGATGAGGGTCATGCTGGGTGGTCATGGAATAGAAGCATAGTCATCGATGGTAATGCGGCTACGAGACACGAGCACAAGTTATGACACGAAAAGTAAAGCTGAGCCACGTACAGTCCTGATCAGACTTCTTTGATTTGAACATGATGCTCTGGCTGTCGTGTCCAAACGACAGCATCAGACTTCCGCCATGAGTCCGAAAGCAGGAGTCCTTGGACTCTCCGTGCTCCACACTTCTAGAAGTGCATACCGCCTTGTCGTGAAATCATGCCACATCGAATTGAGATGACCTCGCTCTTTTGTTGCAGCCCAAGCCAAACCCGATGATTGGACCGTGTTCATTGTTCGCCGAAACCCGGTCCGCTCGCCATCCTCGCTGCAATCGAGCAAAACGATATTTATACAAAGCCTTGACTTGTCGAGCAAACTACGCACCACCTTCATGCTGTCAAAGGTGATGGCACCTGACCCGGCTAAGACTGTATGGCAGGGGGGGCCTGAGGGTCAGCCTGAGCCTGACCTTGGGCCCCTCGTCCACCTCGTCCACCATAGCCGCGGTTGTAGCCACCTCTGTAACCACGATTGCCTCCGTACTGTCGGCCACGATAGCCTCCTCGGCCACGGCCACGGTATCCGCCGTCAACATTTCCTTGTCCAAAAGTGTCAACGTTCTTCTTGAATTCATCCGCCCGGGTGTGGCGAGCATGGGGTCGTGCATCGGTATTCTCTTCTCTGTCACGTGCTTCACTTGAAATGTTATCAAAGAATGAGGTCGACTTGTTGTATGCCTTGGTGGTAGCAGCATTGCTGTTACTGCGTTCGAGCCCGTCAGATGTCGGCTCTTCGATGCCATCATTGGGTGTGTCTTCGCCAGCTGGAGATCCACTTGCGATGGCTTCTTTGATCAGATCCTCCTTGTTGAACTTCTTGTTCGCAGACTCGAAATCGTAGTCTGATTTAGGAATCTCGATCTTGCGTCCAGCTTGCGCATTGGAGCCGCCGCGGGGAAGACTACCGCGCGAACCCCGATTACCACCTCTCCCTCGAGCTGTACCGTTGGTGGTAGGCCCCATCTCACTCATTTTCTGGGCTAGAGTATCAATTGAGGCTGCTGTTGGAAGAGGAGCAGGCTTGGGTGCATTAGAACCGGGCAACTTGGCCAACGCCTCTTGCACGGCTTGTTTAGCTTTCAAAGTGGCAGCATCCATTTCGGCCTTTGTCTGCGACGGCTTTGCGGCAGGTTGAGCAGCAGCGGCTTCTGTTTGTACAGGTGGTGTGAAGGACTTCTGATTGACAGTGAAAGGAACAGCCGGGGCGACCTTACCCTTGGGCTGTGTAGGGGCAGCCCTAGGCCCAGTAGGAGCAGAGGGGGGCCCTTGTGCAGGCGCTTTGGCTTCTGCAGGAGGTGGTGGAGTGTTCTTCATGTCAGGCTGTGATGTAGATTTGTTGTCGACTGGTAGTTCTGAAGTAGGTTGAGTGCCTTGGGGCGGGCCAGGAGGTTGCACATCTTGTGGTGGTGGAGGGCCATTTCGATGACCTGGAGGTCCTATAGGCTGAGGGGGCGGAGGCCCTTGGAACTGACCTTGACCTGGGAATCCTTGACCTGGGGGGCCGAAGTAGCCTGGTGGGGGAGGGCCTCCATAGGGAGGGAACCCAGGACCTGGACCGAAAGCTCCTGGCGGAGGAGGCCCGTACCCGCGTCCGAACTGCTGAGGGTAGTGAGGAGGATAGCCATACTGCTGAGGATAGCCTGGAGGAGGGTATGGAGACTCGCGACGGTCTTGTGGGGGTCCTTGCTGCGGAGGTGGCCCTTGAGGCCCCGGGCGCGAGGAATTCTATCTCAAAATATCAGCATTGTCTCGCTGGTAGCTTGACGCTGTAAACATGTATGTCTTGGAATGCTCAATCAGAAGGAAGGCAACGGAAAATATCCACACGGTTTTGCGCTTTCGGTACAGGTCTGTGATTTACATCCGAAATATTTCATCATTTGAGCGGGTTAGGAAGAAAAGAGTTGGGTGGCATACCAAGATAGCAGGATCGTTGGGTACATTTGGAGGTGTCGGTTGCTTCGACTCTTCCTCTTCGACGACCTTGATGTCTTTGACATCGCTGCCTCGAAAGACGATGAAGTCGAACTTTTGTTGTGATGGAGGTACGAAATTTTCGACTCGGCGCGACTCGGTGCCATAGGATAAAACGTCCTCGAGAGCTATTGTAGCTTCTTCAGGATTGATCTGGTGTAGGGTACCGACATAGCTGGGCATCTGTGGTCAGCGCGCTGAAAGCAATAGAAGCTGAGCAACATACCGAATCTCACTCTTTGAGATGAGCGAGAAGCGCTGCCCTATTAGATGGTCCATATTCATTTCGACGACTGTGAGTGAGAGTGACTATGACATGAGAAAGGAAAAAGTAGAGCAATGGGTTTGCGGAGGAAGAGGTAGCAAGGACAAATTCAGCTGGTGCTACGCAGACAACAGGAAGTGCACAACGCGAGCCGTGAAAGTCTTGGCATTCATCCGCAGTTTGGCTGGACGATCGAGTGCAGCATTCTTTGCCTACACTTCTGAGCGCCACTCTGCAGCATGACGGCCACAAACGACGCGGGCCGTTTCTTCCAGACAACGTGAGTGTCTCGAGGGTTCGCCCGAACCAAATCTGACATTTGCAGTGATTCTATTGTCGAGAACGAGCGCAAGAGCCGCAAGTCGGCCAACACCTTTGGCAAACCTGTCAAGTTCCCGTCCAAGATCCTTGCCGTAGAGCACAATGCCTACTTCGATGGCAGCGGAGATGTTTTGTTTGCAGCGGAGGCAGCAGGAACCGTAACAGGGCTACGCTTGTCGACTAATGAGCTGTCGGCTAGCCCTCGCGGCCCTGCTGCTCCGCTCACCTGCCTCGCGTCGTATGGCGTTGGTAATGCCATGAGGATATTCGCCGGCTGCTGGGACAAGTCAATATGGACATACACCTTTGAACTCGGTGCAACCGACGCAGGTAAGAAGGTGACTAATGTTTCGTCTTTCCCGGCACATGCGGACTTTGTCAAGTGCTTGGTGGTTGCTCCAACTCCCGACAAGCAGCCTGTCCTCATTTCAGGCGGCGCAGATGGCGATGTCCGCTTCTGGACGCTAGAAGGAAAACCACTGGCCAAGATCAGCCCTGGATGTCGAGGTATTGAGAGCATGGTAATCGATCCGTTGTCCTCTCCAGAGTCTCCTGTGGTCGTGTTCTCTACCTCACAGCGCGAGATTTTCCAGCTCACGATTCCGTCCCTCTCAGAGATCAGTGCATCTACGGTAAAGCTTTCCAATGCCATTCTTGCCCACGAAACGAGTGTCTACAGCCTACATTTCGATGGCGATGGCGACCTGTGGACTGCATCTGCTGATAAGACAGCTAAAAGGCTGGTGCGCGAGAACGGTTGGCAGCCAGACACCGTCCTGCAGCACCCCGATTTCGTCCGAGACATTGTCACTCACGACAAGTATGGTCTGGTCATCACGGCTTGCAGAGATGAGGAAGTGAGGGTGTGGAATCGTGGCACCGGAGCACTTGTCCATGTCTTCACTGGGCACTTTGAAGAAGTTACGGCGCTGGCACTCTCCGGTGACATGGTGCTCAGTGTCGGTATCGATGCGACACTCCGACGCTGGAGTCTAGCACCTGGTGATATGCAGAGAGCAGTCAGCGAGGCGGCAAATCCGAAGCTGGTAGACGACGTTGCAGAGCCTCAAAATGAATTGGGCATGCTTACTGCAGAGGAAGAAGCCGAGCTACAAGCTATGATGGAGTCTGAAGAGGCTGATACGTTGGAGAAGATGGCACGGGATGATCAATGATTCAGCCTGCAGGGCACGTGTTTTTTCTTACTCATGGTGTGATACACTCCTCACGGATATCGCCTGGGGGTAGCACCCCGAAAAACGAGGGGGAAAGGCCCCGAAGAGGCTTAGATCGGGTGATCCATAGTAATACGAGCCAGACTTGTGCAAGATCTGGGGAAGATGATACAGGATTCTGGCCGCCACCCAATGGAATGCCTATCGTTGCCAATGATAGACGCACGCACGACGAGGCAACCGCTTTGCCTCCGCTGCAAATTTTCAGTTGACCACAGTGTTTCTGTCTGTTCTGTTCCCAGCAGTTTTTCGATTTTACTCAGGTCTCGCTCGGATCCTTGCTTATCACAGCGAAAATTCTAATCGCGGCTGATAGGCCTACGCTGCAAACTTCTCACCTGACCCCGTTGCTATCCGGTGTTCGAAAATATTTTCCGAAGCCCTCTGAAGGGCCTTTTGTACTTCTGTTGCGCCAGGGTCCAACCGCTCAACACTGCTCCTATATCGAGTATACATTGTCACAAGTGAAGCGAATCGTCATCTTTTGAGCGCGGAACACTTCGGATATCGGCGTCCGCAGCCCTATCTAGCATGGCGACAACCAATGACTCGGGGTTGAATCTCCAGAACGCTTTGGCGAGCAGCACTTCACCCTATGTATGTCAAGCCTGTTGCTGGCCTCGGTGAAAACTGACAACAGCAGCTTAGAGGCCACCGGGACAATCCCGTAGCATGGCAGGACTGGAATCCAGATACATTGGCACTTGCCAAGACTCATCAGCGCATGATCTTCCTCAGCATTGGGTATAATGCGTGTCACTGTGAGTGACATGGAGCCTATCATAAGACGGGGTGAACTGAATACATCTAGGGTGCCATGTGATGGAGCGAGAGTCGTTCTGTTCTCGAGAAGTTGCCGGCCTCCTCAACTCACATTTCATTCCCATCAAGGTGGACCGAGAATCACGCCCGGACCTGGATGAGATCTATATGAGCTACGTTACAGCGACAACAGGCTCGGGTGGATGGCCGCTGAATGTCTTTCTGACCCCTGATTTACAACCTGTGTTCGGTGGTACCTACTGGCCTGGGCCGCGGTCTGAAACTCCCGTCCCCAAAGCATCTAGCGAGGAGCAACCGCCAACTTTTGTGGACATCTTGCGCAAGATGAAGGATGTTTGGGCAACGCAGAAGGAGCGGTGCCTACAATCTGCAGCCGACATCACGAGCCAACTCCAGGCCTTTGCAGAAGAGGGCACACATTCGGGCTCTGAGGCATCAGTCAAGACATCTGATAGCGATCCTCCAGAGCCCTTGGATCTCGACTTGATTGACGATGCATTGGAGCACTTTGTCACGCGATATGATTCCGTCAATGGTGGCTTCACCTCCAATCCAAACGGTCCCAAGTTCCCTACCCCCGTTACACTCACTTTCCTTTTGAGAGTTGGTGCTTCTATAACTTCCACGCACACCCGCTTTGGCTTCCCAACACCACTTCCCGGCATTATTGGCAAGGAATCATGCACCAAGGCCGCCTCAATGGTCTTGCACACGCTGATGGCCATGTCTCGTTCGGCCCTGCGGGATCAGCTGGGCCATGGCTTCCATCGATATTCAGTCACCGCAGATTGGAATCTTCCCCACTTTGAGAAGATGCTCTACGACAATGCCCAGCTATTGAACTGCTATTGCGACGCATGGGCGCTGGGTCGGGATCCAGAGATCCTTGGCACAATATACAGCCTAGTCGAGTACTTCACAAGCCCGGATTCTCCTATCGTCAGGTCTGAAGGTGGCTGGCATGCCAGTGAAGATGCCGACTCGATCCCGACCATGCCGACAGCAGACGGTGCTGCGCATGCCAAGAAGGAAGGCGCATTCTACGTCTGGACTCTCAAAAGATTCGAGCAACTTCTGGGCGAGCGCGACGCCAGCATCCTCGCCCGTCACTTCGGTGTCAAGCCTGACGGCAACGTGCCTGCCTCGCTCGATATGCATGACGAATTCCTCTCGCAGAATGTCCTTCACATCGCGGCGACACCTTCGAAGCTATCGCAGGAATTCGGCTTGCCTGAAGAAGAGATCGTCAAGATCATCAAGTCCGGTAGAAAGAAGCTCGCCGAATATCGAAACACCGCAAGACCCAAGCCAGAAGTCGACACCAAGTTCATCACATCCTGGAACGCACTCGCCATTGCGGCGCTTGCGAATGCGGCATACACGCTCGGCAGAATCGACAAAGAGCGGTCGAAGCGGTGCCGCGATGCCGCGACTAAGGCTCTTGCTTTCATCAAAGCAAATCTTTACGACGAGGGCAGTGGTCACTTGACTCGCGTCTACGACCCCCAAGACAAGAACAATACCGCCTTCTTGGACGACTACGCCTACTTGGTCGAAGCACTCCTCTGGACCTACGACCTGACCTTCGAAGACTCGTACCGCAAGTGGGCCGGCCAATTGCAAGGGCACATTGCGACTCATTTCGCCGCTCCCTCCGGCGCCTTCTACCAGGCTGCTTCCTCCCCAGATCAGGTCATCCGCCTCAAGCCCGGAACCGACAGCACGCTCCCCTCGCCCAACGGCGTCATCGCCAACCAGGCACTGTATCTCTCCTCCTACTTCCCCGACGAGCAGAACGAGTATGTCGCGCAAGCCCGCAACGTCATGAATGCCTTCGCCGTCGAAGTCATCCAGCACCCCTTCCTCTTCACCAACATGCTTGCTGCGGTCGTGATCGATCAGGTCGGCGTCAAGGGCCTTTTGGTGCCCAAGGACACCTCGGACAAGGAGGTCTCCAAGCTCAAGGGCTTTGGCAGGACGGTGGTCAAGGCGGATGTCAAGTCCGTCATGCTGTGTGAGAAGGAGGGCAGGTGTCGAGAGCTCAGGGAGGGCGAGCTGCAGGAATGGGATGGTTTGGACTTTGGCGAGGAAGCGGCCAAGCAGGAGTGACGAGTAGATCTCGGGATCTCTTTATGGGTGATCGGGTTGGCTATGAGACACGTTGGGAACGAATCTGGAGTTATTCTAGCTGTCAAAGGCGTGGGAAGTGATTTTTGGGTACATCTTTGTATGTGCTGTCGGGGCATGCGGCTGTCGGCCTGTGGGAGCAATCATATATGACCGTCCATTCAACTCCGTCGTCCTGGAACGTAGGTGATCGAGCGAGCGCGTCAATTCTTCTTGAGACAGGCGGCTGTAGCACGGTGCCCTACTCGAATCCCCATACCTGACCTCACGGATCCATCAACGGCAAGCTTGCTAGAGAGAAGCAAAGGATACCGGTAACTGCGTACCGCTTACTTCTGTTCTGGGATCGTTTTACCACACAGCGCACGAGTACACGCGAAAAGGTTCCAATCATCAAGCCAGCACATGGCATGTTTCATTAGCCATTATTTGCGTCAACAATCATGCTAGGTCTTTAAGGTCACCTGTCAAGACCATCCCCTTTGAGCCCTTGCTTCCCTTCCTCCACACCCGCTAAATCTAAGCTAAGCTAATCTCCTGGGCGCAGCATGTCGCTTCCCACGAGCCCTCTTCTCAAAGCCAGTCATCTTGGTGACGAAGACGCCTCGCTCAATCGTGTTGACGAGGATGTATCCGGAGGGGAAGCCTCCCCAGTGCGACCACGTTCCAACCCAGTCGATGATGCCCTGGTTGGGTAGATGGTCGTCCTCAGGGTAGATGTCGAACCAGGCAACCTCCTCGACATTTCCGCCGGATGGGTCATCCGGGATTCCAGACACGTCAAGGACGCTGAGGCCGATGCCGTAGTTGGACTGGTAGGCGAGGCCGTCGAAGACGTATTGGTTATGGTCGACGCCGAAATGCTTGGACTTGTAGAGGCCGCTTTGCTTGGGGTCTTCGAGGTTGGAGACGTCCAGGATGTAGGTCACTGGGTATTGATCAGCGGCGGGGCCAGCATACTCGTCCTCATCGTATTCATCGTCCAAGAGGATGTATTGGTGCCATTCAGGGTCGATGAACCAGCCCTGATGGGTGTAGGTGGCACCGACGTAGCTGAGCTTGCTGAGCACAGCGCTCTGGTTGACACCGGTCTTCTCAGTGGCGTCGTAGATGGTGAGTGTATCCTCGTTGTAGCCGAAGCAGATATCCTTACCCTCGTAGCGGGTATCGGGCCCGTGGTAGACGACGCATTGAGCATCGTGAACGTAGCCGTCCTGGCCAGCGCAGCCGGGTGACGTAGGGTTCGTGGGGTCCTCTAGGTCGATCCAAACCAGACCCGAGGCACAGCTGTGGTTGAACCGAGGAGCGGAGCCAAGAGCAGCGGCGTAGTTGAGCTCCTCGTTGACGACAAGGTTGTGCAGACGACCCCAGGGCATGTAGTCGTAGTTCAAAAAGTGGCCAGTCTGCTCATCCAGCGTGAAGTTCGTGGGGTTTGCTGGGTCGAGATCCAAGAGCTTGGTCATGTCGAAGATTTGAACACCATGGTCGTACGCTTCGGATCCAATCAACATGTAGTTTTTGTACGCCCTGATCTCCCTCCACGCGGAATATCTCTGGATTTCAGAGTATTGAGGGAGGCGGCCAAGGTAGATCAGCTCGCCGTTCGGGCCAATTTCGACGAAAGCAGTGCCATCGGCCTGACCTACGGCAGCAAATTCGCGGCCATCTTCGGACACCCATCCCCAGCTACCCGAACCGTGCCCAACGAAAGAGCCAAGGTCGGCGTGAGTCTTGAAGTTGTACAAATCCATCTGCCGACTCGTTAGTAGGGCTCATGTGCCACAGATGGGTAGCTGCTTACGTTGTTGCACCGGAACGTGTTGTTCGCGTCCCCCTCAACAACGGTAGCAATGCCATCAATGCATTCGACCTTCTCGTCAACCGAAGGATACTGTTCTCCTTCGAATGCACCTTCGGCGCGCTGACGGTCCCAAGTGGCCTGTATGGATTAGAATGGATTTGACTGGGCATCTTGCTTACTTACAAACTTCTTGCCCATAAGCTGCTCGTGAACAGCACCAGTGTCGTACTCTGATTCAGAGAACTTGGCGGCGCCCGCAAGAGTCGCCGAAGCGACGAGGAGACTCGTGAATGACTTCATCTTGGCTTAGGAAGTTGGGTTACCGAAAGTCGGCGTTCCGCGAGCTGCGCTGCATCTTTATAGCATGCAGACCAGCACGCGAACAACGTGAGCTTGCTAGTGATCGGCGTCTTGACCATGGTTCCCAGCTTCGTGCAGTTTCCATAAGCACGAGGTCAGGCGACAAAGCAGCTTCCGAGGCACGTCACCTTCCTCTTCAGTCGTAGGAGCCTCATCGTTCAAGTTTGGGAACCCAAGATGATTGGCAGCACATGCGTATCTCTTCGAGTAACCCACCACCGCGAGCGGCGCAGTGCAGGCAGCACATGGGCCGCAGGCTGCGGAGCAACCTCGCTAATCATCTATTGCCAAGATGCACGGGGGTGCTGGGGGGCGCTGGCCCCTTGGCGAGGACTCGATCAGCCAGGTACGGTGGTATCGCCGCTCTTGGCTCTGGTCATGATTGACATGTCGCCGTTCCCCGGCCGAATGAGCTACATCCATTCGTCTGCAAGAGAACTTGGCGAACACAAGCGTTTTGTGCAGCTTGCCGTGATGCAAGCAGAGGCGAAGCTCGGCAAGGCATGGGAGTGTCGTTTGCTCCGCTAGAGAGATAGTCATGTTGCATCTACTATCCCGAGGTGTGCAGATGACCCCAGGGCACGTAGTCGTAGTTCAACATAGTCTTGGAATGTAGGTGCGCGAGCTTGCCTAGTACATTTGTTCTGAAACAGATATGTACATTGATGAACCCTTGCCATTTTGACTGATGTCCATTATCCCGACCCTAGCTGTCTGCCCTTCGCGGCCTCGCATTCTTTGCCATCGCCATTTTCTCATCCGTCAATCTCCCCATCCTCCATCCCTGCGCCAACCTCCGCGCTCCCATCATTTCCCATGACTACATCCGTAGCAGCCGGCTTCGACGCTTTCGACGTCGCTGATTCTGACGCAATGGCTGGCTGGGCGACTGTGGCGACTGTTGCGACCGCGGCGTAGGCGGAGGCGGCATCGATGATCATTGTTGTACCCACGCTGTTTCTGGCGAGAGAAATGATGTTTTCTCTGCGGAACGGCTCAGGCACGGTGTTGAGCTGCGCGGGCCCGGTTCTTCGTAACAACGGATGGCTCGCAGCATAGCTGCGCTGCTTCTCGGTACCTTCTGGAAGCTGAAAGGAGGCTTCGGTGCCAAAACCCGGACCACTGAAAACAAAACCACCCGGGGTGGGCGCTCCAAAAGCGGCCTGATCCGCCTTTTTCCGAGTCAAGACCTTGCGAGACACGGAGATACCGGACATTCTCGCATTCGACTGACACTCTTTTTCCCAGTCTTGTGCGCGGTTGTTGTCCTGAAGGAACTTTTGGGACTTTGGGTGATCATTGGAAGTCCAGTCCACGAGCAAGACCTTACGCTCGTCGGCGTCAACGATCATGTTGTATAGAACACCAGCGCCGCCAGTGTTCTTATTCCCCGTGAGGGCTCGAAGGGACTCACGGCATGATTCGAATACCGAGTTGAAGTGGCCGAAAATGACGGCTAGGTATTTCGCTCGCGTTAAGGCAACGTTGAGGCGATGCGCGTTCTTAGCGAAGGACGACAGCGTCGATGTGGTAGACTTCTTCGAACGGTTGATCTGAAGAAAGCCAGCTGCTGCGCCTGCGCTGATTGAGAGCGCTACCAACACAATCTCGTTCTCGTCGCCCTGGAAGGAATCAACGGTCGTGACTTGGACCGCGCCGGTCGTATCAATATCCTTGAAGGCGGCCCGCATTTTCCGGTTGACTAGAGCAGCCTGCGCGCTGTAGAGGCAGAGGACGCTGATGGTAGGAGGACGAATACCAGCCTGAACAAGATCGACGCAGAGGGCGACGATAGAACTGGCCTCAGCGTAATTGACTCTTGAGGTAGATTGAGCATCCGCATCTTGCACGCATGCTCCCGCCACATTGTTGACCAGGTAGTACTGACCGTCAAAGCTGGCATCGGGGTTGCGGCTGTGGAACTTGGACTGCATGACTTGTCGAGCGATACTTTGTTCATTGTGGTCTTGCTTGGTGCATTTGCCGGCGATGAGCATGCCATCGTAGAACTCCTCGTTGGGGAATTGCATGATTGAAGGGTGCATGCGGAACTGCTCGACCAGAGGATATGGAACAATGCTCAGGTCCAAGAGAACCTGAAGGACGGACTTTTTGGTGATGGCTTCAACCTCTGTCCAGTGGTTTCCGCGGTCGTATGGCGGCATCTGCAAGGTGTCACCTAAGAAAATGTGCACCGTGCCAGTCTCGAAGGAAAATCCACACATGGCATCACCAAGGGTAGCCTGGGAAGCTTCCTCATGCACGACGATATCTGGCTTGAATTTGGCAATACACTGGTCTGTGCTGTTGCCGTAAGTCGCACCAACGATGTTCTGAGATTCGACGAACGCGCTGAATACCTCGATGCGTGCCTCGGCGATAGCTCGGATGGCATCTCGACGGTCGTCTCTGCTCGCTAAAGTCTCGCGTTGGGCTTCGTAGTCAGCCTCGGCGGCGCGCCATTTTCTGATCGCGCTAAACTTCGCGAGCGCCGTCGCTCCCAAAGGTTGAACAGGGTGCTGACCTTCAAATTTGTTGATCTGGTAGCATAGAGCGTGATTGAGGGGGAACTCGAAGCCCTTTCTCGCCGTAATGGGAGCACGTTCATAGTCCATTCGGAGGCGATCGAGCATCCCTTGCACCTCAGCTTGCTTCTGCTTGAGATCATTGGCGTCCTGTCTGAGAGCACTTTCCTCCGCGCGTCGAGCGGCGAAGGCATCGTTAGTCTCACCTTCGACCTGATCTTGCCGCTGGCCAAGCACGGCCATGATCTGTTGTTCGATTTGGCTCATAGCAGTCATTTGCTCGACCATGTCCATCTGGCGATTGTCCTCGTCGTAAGCCTGACGCATCTGCTCGGCGCTACTCTCAAGGGTGAAGGTGTTGTTGTCGTGTACCGCACGACTCTCCTCCTGCAGAGTGTTGACTTCGACTGTAGGAGGCATATATCGAAGCATCTGAAGCCGACCGAAGGGCTCGACTCCGACTCTGATGTTGGCGTGGACGGCTCCTCCGGTTCTTCTAATGATGGCTGGGCCTTCCGTTACAAATCGCCGTCTGACCTTCTCCAGTGCCTGCATCATGTTGTTAACAGGGCTGTTGGTCTTGGAGAGGACCAGGATCTTGTGGTCGCTGGCGGCGAGAAGGTTTAGCAGCATTGCGGTGGTGCTAGTCTTCACGCAGCCTGGGCCTCCAAGGATGGCCATCATGAGCCACATGCTTTTGGGGGCATCGTTAATCAGAGAGGACTGCAAATGAGTCGTCTCTGGCCATAAACCCGCAAGTATGAGGGCTCGGTACTCCCATTCTTGAGATCGACGATCTCGGTCCATGATCGGCATGGAGTTGATCATGCGAGCGGGCCCCGGAGTGAGGTCCTGAGTGGCGATTCGAGGCAGTGATCCGTTCGAGGTAAGAACAGACAGGATGTGTGAGTAATTGCTGTTCTCGTTCCGGCATACTCGCTTGACAGCTTTCAGGGTCTGCGCAGCCACTTCATGATCGACTGACTCCTTCATGCGACCCCATCTGAAGTGTACGTTAGGATCAACTTCCGAGAAGCTGTTGGCGATTTTGATATGGACTTCCGGAAAGTCCTTGACACGGCCAACGAACGCGAAATCTGCGCCTCCAACATGCTGCTTTTCCTCACGAGTAACCGCCACGCAGGTACAGAGATACAGCTGCTTCCGGGTAGGCGGGACGAATGTACGATCGGCAAACCAGTAGGGTAGTGCGACTTCCCACTGAGTTCCAGGGGCGGGACTGACGATGTCCGCAGCATCTTTGGGAAGAGTGCCAAATATGTAGAACATCTTCTGTTGAACCTTCTGCTCATAGCTCATATCAGCTGTTTCCGGACGCTCGAAGCCTTTGGCGAACTTAAATTTGATGTCGAGGCTGCTCAACTCTGAGTTCATGGCTTGCTCGTACTGGAAATTCCGGACAATCGAGAGGGTGGTATAGATCCCTAAGGTCTTCTCGTCGTCGAAGGTAGTTGTCTCTCTCAGCTGCTCGACGCCGGTGATTTCGGTAGGCCATGTCTGAACGCTACCACGCTGGCTGATTTCGGCCTGCATTCTCTGCTCCTCCGATTTCCCATATTTCGCAAGAGAACGGTTTGCGAACAGATCGACAGCGGGCATATCTAAGCCGATGTCCAAATCTGATGAGTTCGGAGTTAGATACTGGCGCAAAGGAGTATACATGTGCCTAAATTGCTGACTGAAGTGACCGATATTCGTCACCAAAGTATCGACCGAGTCTGGCTTGATGTAAACCTTCGCACGAACCCTACTCTCGGTAAATAGGCTGTGCAGGGCATTTCTCTGCACTAGATCTCGCTCGCAATCAATAAATGCGTCGAAATCTTCAACCACAACTTCGGCAGAATCACCCTCGAATTCAATGCACACCAAACCTTCCATGTTTCCGTCGTAATCAGACTCGAGGATGCATCGAGGGACCTTCTTCTCAGCGGTGTATGTCGCCTGCAACTCACCCTTTGCCTGACACTTGAAGCGCGCAAGCTGGTGGCGGTCTGCAGCGACTTTAACGCCGACCGACCATCGAAGAGTCGCCACTCGTCGGTCGTCGCCGGAAGCAGTGTTCAAGTTTAGGCTCCGCCGATTCTTCGGTAGCTGAATCTTCAGCGCAATCCCAGCTTGACCGAGTCTTCCGCAGTCGATGTGGATGAGGACTCGATTTCTGACCAAGAATGGGGCATTGGCAGCTTGTCTAGGCGCATTCTTCTTGTGGTGTGGATGACCAAACTCGGCCGAGCCCCGGTCTGGCAAGATCAACAACACCGGCGTCCACGGCAACTTGGGGAGCTGGCGTAGATTGGGCTTATTGCGATGGATGGTGGTATCATGCTGATAGCGGACCATATCTGGCACTACTTGAGTACCAGGCGGGACGGACTCTTGCGATGAGTTGGGGTTGCCAGGAGCCGCAGCCTGCTGAACGTTGGCAGTGCCTTGGGGTTGAGTAACGGGGGGAGGAGCTGGCCTGTTCGACCTCACTCGCTCCAAGCGAGCTCTAATTTCCTCGAGGCGCACTCGATACTGCGCTCCGTCGTCCTCTGACTGAGTTTCGCGAGCTTTGCGCTTGTTTCCTCCGCCGAAACCGAGCCGATTGCCTCGTCCGTTACCGTTAGGAAACGACATTGTGATCTAAAAGTTCCAAAAGGAGCCGAATCTTTCCGAATAAAGAGTGTGTGGTCGTGAGGCCGAGTTACTCGGAGGCTCCAGAAGGAGTCGACTCTTTTCGGAGACAGAGGGGGGGGGGGTTTGAAAATTCGGTTCGGTTCCGAAGAACCACGAGAAGTTGTGTGAAACTATGGCACAATAGTCAGCATTGTATTTCGTATTGACGATCAACATAAGGCTTGTGGGCTCGACACTTGACAAGCGTCGCGGAGAGTTGCGGCTGAATTTGAAGGCGCTGTTGATGAGGGCTTGATTTCAAGTATGGGCTGCAGTCGATGAAATTATCACAGGAATTCGTTCCTTAGATGATGAGCGGGATTCACCTACCAAGATATGCGCAGAAGTCGTCCAGTGCTGATGCTCAAGACGATAGTTGTGAAGTAGTTGTCGGAGGTCAAGAAGTTGGTTGCGAGAACAACAAATTTTCAAAGTGCGCAGCCAGGCTGCCACAGATCGCGTGTGAGTCACTTGGACCTTGCGCGTTTGCATCCATCACTTACACCTCACCTCAACATCACACTAGACCGAGCGAGCGGCAGGTGGGGTGAAACCGTGCGGAAAATGACAAGCCTGTGATATACGTCAAGTCGCTCGTTGACAAAGCCGGTATGAGCCCATCGCCAATCCAGCTACAAAGTGCACTTGAACTTGTCGATCGATACATCGCGGACGATCCGGATTTCAACCAGGAAGCATGGCTAATTGATACGGCCTGCTATCCTATCAAAACGTGGACGCATCTTCATTGCCAAAGAGGCCTTCGACGTTATCTCGATTACACCAACACCGCCTTCACTTCACATGACGGCCGTCGAAGCGAGGTTCGGCGTAGCACCGTTGCTGCTTGGTCAAAGAGATTGAATGAACGTCTTGAAGACCTCATTGACAGTGGTTGGGGGCTGGTGCCGCTCACGAGAGCTTTGGTGGAGGTTGGATTTACCAAGGACTCAGACACACGCCTCAGGGCACACGTCCACCATCAGAGTTCTAATTACCTCACGAATCTCCCGAATGCAGTGTTGCAACAAATGTTCCCCAACTGCTTCGGCCTCCAGCAATGGATTCTTCACGTCTGTTGGCAGCCGGCGCAATGCTGGCTTGGCGAGATATATTTCACAGAGTTATGTGACTCTGGACTCGAGAATGCAAGGGGTTTCAATCATCACGCTCCAGGCAGATCGAATGGTGGCTCCTACCGCCAAGGGAGCATCCGTCAAAGTCAAGAGTGGGAAGCTTGGGGTTTCCAGACCCTCAAACCGATCGAAAGATTACAGCGAGAACGCCAAGCGACATTATCAGAATCTCTGCAATCATACGGAGTACAATGGCTCCGAGATGACTACCAGGCGCAAGAACAGGTATGGCAACAGGAGCGGGCGCAGTGCGAAGAAATTAAGCTCATGATAGACTTGCTGGATTCAATGTTGGCGTTGACTCATGACGGAGACAATGAGGGAAATGGAAGCGGTCGCGACAAAATCGGCAAGAACAGGCGCGGCGATGGGATCCAGGGGGCCAACGAAGGCGATGGACGGAGTAGCGAATGAGAAATATTTGAATTGTTTCAGGTGACCCAAGTTGACTCTTTGTTCGTTGATTCATAGCTTTTGATCGCAACAAAGGACATAATGTTCAAGACTTTTGGTAAGACTCTTACTAGTAGCGAGGCAGCTCTGTTCGATTGTTTATGTTCGTGTTTGCAAAAACGGCTCCCCCCAACCAATTAGAACCGGAGCACGCGATCAACGAACAAGATCGTAGAAGTCTCGAGAGGAAAATATGTCGAATTGAGAGCGTGGTACAATCCTATACATGTCCATAAAGTGCATAGGCTCGATCAAATGAGCATCTTGACAAGGAGGCTAGCCGTCTACTGTCATATATGTCGCGACGGGTGAGCAAGGCCCGTGGGTATCGGTTGTTATTAGCTTTACGCTAGTGCTTATTTGGTTAGCTCAACTTTCGCTGCCTAACCAAATACCGAACGGCTCACGGGTACCCCAAATCATGGAGCGACGTATACCAGGTTTTCCAGCCTCCCAAATTTAATGCTCTTCTCATCTTCTTTGTTAGCCTCGATGCAACTACCAAACCGGCCCTTGCGCTTCAGGCGAATAACAAGAACGGACCAGGGAAGCAGCAGTGCAACCACCAGACTGGTCCTTGCGCTTCAGGCAATACAACAAGCCAGGGCCCAAGGGAAGCTGACATGGCCCTAGCTCGTGGCTGGATCCTGAGCTCATCTTTCATAATAGTAAATTATAAGCAACTAGTTCGATCTTGGCTGGCATGTTCTGCATAATCGAAGCTGGGAGGAACAAGCCTTGGCCGCAGACGAACGCGATCGTACCGAGCAATCTTTCTTCGATTCTGGAACTTGGAGAGCTCTGTATGTCAAGAACAAGGGTATCTCTACTCTGCGTGTTCGACTGAGCAGTATATTGTACATTCACATCCTCAATAAGCTTCCAAGCTTCCTCAAGGATGTTGAAGCTGGACTCAGTGACCACAATGAGTGACTCGAGAATCTTGGTAGTTCGCGTGGGACTACTCAATTATGACAGGCATGCGATTGTTTGTATCCCACCATCGCCCTGCGCTGTACGCAGACGCACTAAGGCAGTCTTGACAAGGAGGAGTCACGTGAGCTTATCAATTTGGCTGAGCTCATCTCGAGCACTTTACTCCTGTCCGGATTCCTGACTTGACAAGAGCCATACGTGGCTTACGGAGGTCTGCAGACTATGCGGACGATGTATGATCGCTCACAGAGTCTGAACTGCATCGACCGGCTCGCTGTCATGCTCAAATCCGTCGAGCAGTCGACCAATCTCACAAACCTCGTCTCCACGAGGGAGAGCTCGCTAGGCCAGGCGTGACCGTCATGCATGGTACCGCATACCATGCGCTAGGTTAATACCCAGTTTCAACGTGGTACGCCCATCGGCTCTCACGGGACCAACCTTTCGGCAACAGCACCGGATTGTCTGTCATGATACCCAAATCTGCTCACTCTTTACACAATTTCCGTTACCTGCGACGCACTCTGCTCTCGATGAGGAGTCTCTGGATCCCTTTACCAGCTATTGCGGCCAGGTATACGCGGCTTGGTCAACCAAAGATGGATAACGGCACTCGTCGTAGCCGACACCTGTCCGCTTGCTGGGCTACCAACCCGATGCTTCAAGCGACATAAGAAGCCGACGAGCGCAATGATATCGAGGCAAGACGAGAGTTGAGGAAGCTCAATCGCGAGGATGACGCCCGGAGACGGGAGCACAACATGACTCACGGTAAACCGGTCAAAATCTTCGGGTCGAAGGGCGATCCTAGGGCTGGAATAGGTGCCGGTGGACACCGGCGGACTGGTTACAATATCTCTTAGACATTACGAGATAATGAAAAACCCCTCTAGCACGAAAACTTCTTCTCCATATCTTCATTATTGCCAGTGAGACGTGGTGACAATAGGCAAGGTTTAGGTAATCAAGAAAAGCTAAGTACAGTATCGCTTATCGCTGCCCCAGCTGCATCACCTGGTACCAGTCGCTGCGACAGGGTATGTGAAGGAATAGCTTCTGACTTAATTCTCGTAGCAGGACAGTATTAGCAACACTACACAGTCATAGCCTCCAATCCATCATATCGTAATCTCATTCTTACCACCCGCCGAATCCCGGTAAATGGCTCCCATGTCCCGCTCCCGGTAAATCATACCACGACGTGCCACCGCCAAACCCTTGCTGGCCTGCGCCTGCGTATCCCATTCCAACAGTATCAACGTCGCCTTCCGGCATGGCCAGAAAATGGTCGAGGACCTGCCTCTCAGGCCTCGCCTGAGTCAACCAGCCGTTCACTCCCGATGCTGACGGCGTAACATCTCCCATTCCGTTGAGTGTCTGAAAGAAGGCTGCCTCTGCCGCGGAGTTCAGGCCGAAGCCAGTGGAATCGCCGTCGCTAATGCTGGGCGCGTTGGGTATCATGTACCCCGTGGCGTCGCTTCCGGTGAACGGGCTTGACTGGTCATACATACTCTCCATGGGCACCGCGTTCGGATTGTTGTGAAGCTGCGGCTGTTGCTGATCCCATGCAGAGGTGGGAGGCGGCATACTGGGAGTTTGATTCCCCGATTGTGGGCCACTGCCCTTTTTGCGTGTTTGCTGCCAGTTTCTGAATCGATCGTAGTTGGAGACCTGAGGTGTTTGCTGAATATGTGCGGCACTCTCACGTCGGACCTCACGACGCTGCCAGCCAGGCCCGAACATCTGAAGGCGTGCGACCGCTCGCTCCAGCGCTTCAATAAGGGTCGACTCTGCTCTGGCGGACTCGCCAGCTGCAGACATTTCGCGACTCATTTCAAGACCCTTCTGCATAATCACCCGGTACTGATCCGTCTGCTCCTGGATCGAGTACGCGATCAGTGCAAGCATGGATGCACGACAGGAGCTGTATTCGATGTAGGACGCTCTAGCGAGACCTTCATTACCGTCGTATAGGCCTCGACAGAGCTCCAAAGCCTCTACCGCCGCGTTGACTGTGTTTTCAACCAATGCAAGACGTCTTGATGGTCGCTTCTTCCCGTCGGTTGTGGATGTAGTAGAGCCTTCGCGCTGTTTAGATGTATGGTCTGATTGTGACTGCGACTTTCTTGTATCCGGGGGGCTCCGGGGACTTTCTTCTGACAGCCGACCGCCGGTGAACAAGAAGGGCCGTCCAATGAACATCCGAGTCAGGCAATAGAGCAGCTGCAGGTGAATACAAGAACGATATGCCTGTCCGTCGGTCGACGGATCAACATTGAAAGCTGTTTCGGGTATCGAATCCCACCAGTTTGTGAGCTCGGCCTTCATCTCGGTGAGTCGTAGGATAATGCCAGTCAACTCTTTTCGGTCGCGTTTCCGCAGCTGCTGTATCTCAAGCATAAAGTCTTCGAGGTAGTTGATCAGCTTGATGGAAATGACCATGCGCTCAATGCTTAGAGGTCCGTCGTCGTCGGGCATCTGCTGGATATCCTTCGGATAATCCGCATCAACATCTGAGCGCAGGACGGACATAGGCCGGCCATGGAAGATGCCAATCTTCCTACGATGTCGTCAGTGGCTAATCAAGAATTAGTAGATCGACTTACTTTTCAACTGAACATGCTGTCCACCACACCCGGTTTCTTGTCTCGACAGCAACAGCGCTCAACTCCGTTCCTTGGTACTTTCGATGCATCCCGTTCTGAATCGCCAATCGTATGGCCAGACTATAGTAGACGTACGATAGACCAGAGGCATCGAGAGGTAGGGCGTACAGACCAAGTAAGGTGACAGCCTGGACGCTCTCCAACGATGATGTCTGAATGATTTCTGGAAGTAGCCTTGTAGCTGTTTGATAGAACATGGCCCCGACTTCGTCTTCTGAAGGAATGGCATCCTTATCGGCATGCCCAGCATCCATGTGGGCGTATTGCGTTCCGACTGCCAGGACGGCGAAAATAATGGCAACGGAACCAGGATCTTTCAGTCTCCACGCCTCGTGGTATGCAAGGTGGACTTGTTTGAGAAGCCAGCGTTTGTAAACGTAGAAGTAATTGCGTTGAGCATACTTGAAGAAGACCTTGATTAGAAAATTGGCGATGTCGACCGGCGGTAAAGATTGGAGCGCTGTGCCGATATTGCTTGAGCCTGTACTCAGCTCCTGTGGTCTCCAGTATTCGGGCAGGTCCTTGGATCCTTTACGATCTTGCGGGTTGTTGATCCACTCCTCGACATGCTTCTTGATTTTCATTGAGAAATTCCAGTACGAGAATTCGCCCGAATAATGGGTGACGTTGTGGTCGACCGGCCGGATCTCGATGGACTCGTCTTCAATGTTGAGATCGTCTTCATCCTCAGCAGTCTCTGACCGAGCATTGCTGACAGATCGTCTTGGGCTTCTGAGTTCATTGTATTTCCGCCTCAGGCTATCAATGTCCAAGGGTACGTTAAACGATTTGTGCTTCAGAATCCCCTCAAGATACTTGACTCGAGCTGACATCTCATCAAGGCCAGCATCACTGCTGGTCGACATCAGTACACGCTGTCTGGTTACCATGCTGTCCTTACCTCTTATGAACCGTGCTTGGCACAGCATCGCGAGGAGGCAATTCCGAAAATTCACATTGCCGCCGGAGGTGCGCGCAACGTCGACAAGGCTGTCCTCCTTCGCATTTTTCCTTTACTTTGCGGCAGCCATCGCATCTATCAGGAGCAAAGTTAGATGAAATTGAATGAGTCGCAAGGGCCGGGGGTCGTCTTACGCTCGGACGGCCCGTTTCCGTTCATCAACGGCTAACTTCCTTCGCTTCTTTCGTGGGAAGGCATCTTCATCAAAAGTATCGTCAAACTGCTTGCTGTCTTCTCGTGTGACATCGTATGTGGCGAGCTTGCCGTTGGCGCGCGATGCGTCAGTTGTTGAGGATGGCTGGGCCATGTCTTAGCTCCGGTTTCGGTCGCGCCGCCCGCTACCCAACATCAAAGTCGCGCCTCATCAACGTCGAAGCAGTGAGCGCTAAGGTCCGCGGAGATCCCGAGACTCTGATGCTGTTGATTACGAGCCCTAGCGTTGGAGTCTGTTAGCATGAAAAGGTGCGGAAGACGTGGGGAGGCTTTCGATGGGTCGGGAATCTGGGCGCGCCGAGACAGCGCCACTTGAGCGCTCATCGCCGCTGGACCCTGGTAAGCGAGAGCTCGCCGCTGTCGCATATGATTGGCCGACAGTCGACGACGCTGTGTGAATTCAACGGCCTCGTGGAAAGATGCTAGAGACCTTATACCGTGAAACAATAGCCTGGCTAGCTGGGAATCCATCTTCCGATCATTCTCAAAGCCAGCTACGCCGTCTGACCGGCGAGATGAATCAACGACCAACGCGAGAGGATGCCAGCCTGATCCGTTTATAAATCGCAGGCACATTGGTCGACAATCTGGCTATCCAAGTCAAGTGATGGTCGCGTGAGACGAAAGGAGATTCAGTTTGCCAGACCGAAGAATCCTGGCTCACCGGCGTGCCTGCACCTTGACCTTCACGCTCACAGCTGCAACAACGTTGGTCTTGGCATTCGTCTCAAAGGGGCGAGCAGACAGCACGATACGAGAAGTCCGCTACACGATTTTGAGCACAGTCACGATACTGAATGGAGTATTGAACGGCTCAGAAACTAGATCATGCTGCCCGCGGCAAGTGTCAGGCACGTTTCAGACCGGACAGAGCCAGTATCAGCCTTCCGATACAAATAAACTCACACTTCACAAGGAGACGCCAGTCGGGACGTAGGTTCAAAGTCGTGGTTGGGGTCGTTTCCACACACTCTTGAACCGTTCTTCCATGTGGTTGGCTTTCGAGTCTAACCTAGCCTGGGAAGTCTTGAACACCCTGGGCAGCCCGGTTTGCTCGTACGGCACATCCTCAACGACCATCTTAGCTATTCCCTGACTAGCCAACAATATTTGGGGCATCCCGTGTCCAGAAAAGCCGGCGCAGATGTATTGTCCTGGCGCTCCAGGAACCTCGCCTATGTGTGGCACAAGGTCTGAGCTGTACCCCATAACTGCGATCCTGTTAGCTTACGTGCGTCTTCCGAAGGAGGATTCATCTCGACTCACTGCCAGTCCAAATCTTGTCCAGCTTGGCCCCAGAATCTTCCCAGCCATGGAAATACTTCTGCATGTACCCGTCAAAGTACTTCTCACCGTTCTTGACCAGCTCGTTGTCGTTCTTGTTGTCCCACCACGAGTCCTTGTCGTGCCAGAAAACTTCTCGAGCACCACCGACGATGATGCTGCCGTCAGCTCTAGGGACCAGGTAATCGTAATACTCGGCATCGAATCTCATTGAATACGTCGATGGCAAATGGGGTGTTTTGGCGCCCTTTGGCGAGCTGATGTGGCTGCATACGCCGCGGACGGGGACGATCTTGCCCTTGTACTGCCGAAGCACAGACGACGTGTACGCGTTTGTGCACACCACAACCTTCTTGGCCTTGATTGTCCCTCGTGGAGTAGTGACCGTCCAGCGGCCTCGCTCGTCCCTTGTGGAGGAGATCTCCGTCACCGGCGTGTGTGCGTAAACTTGCAGACCCTGGTCTATCAACTTCTCCAGTAGCTGATGCACCATTTTCCTCGGCCAGACGTGGGCCGCTGTGAAGGAGAAAGCGGCCTGAGCACCCTTCACTCCCGACACCCGCTCTGCATCCTTTTTTGGCGTGTAGGCAACGTCCTTCATATCGACCACTCCATCCTTAACGAGCTGCTTGTACTCCTTAGTTCTCTTCTCGGCGAGGTCTGCATCCAGAATGGCGTCCACTCCCCTCGTCAGATGGAAGTCGCAGTCCAGACCTTCCTTCTCAACAAGCTGCTTCACGAGGTGCACTTGCGAGCTCTCAAACTTCTGCAGCGCCGCAGCCTCCTTGACTCCATACAAGGAGGCGTATCTGGTGATGCCGGCGTACGTATCCGGCTTGACGTGACCTCCGTTCCGGCCGGTTGCGCCGCTGGTGATTCTCCTTGCTTCAAGCATGACTGTGGATGGCTTCGGGTCCCTAGCGTTGAACATGTGGTAAGCTGTCCCCACACCAGCGTATCCAGACCCGATAATGACAACATCGCTCTCAGATGGTGGAGCGTCAGAGCTTCTGTAGTCGTCTAGATGATGAGGTGGGGCGGTCCAGAAGGACTCTACCGGGTCATCGACCGGAAGGTCTGATGATGGCATGACCGGTAAGGTATTGATTGTGACAGGTTACAAAAAATGCTGTAGTGGTTTCCGGGCGAGTTGATTTGTTGGAGCGTATACAGGCGGAGTTGGAGAAGCTGGGATGGGTTTTGTATACTGTGAGGAGCCGCCAACGGATATACTACGGCTGCGAACGGCATCAAAGGGCGGAGTCTAATGCTAGTGGCCTGATAAGATCCTATGAACCTGTCTGTGGATCGTAGAGATAAGTGTCGTAGAAAGTGGGGATGGTTAACTGCTTCGTCTTTATTAAAAGCACGCTGCCCGCTGGGCATTTGGAGATAGCCGATAGGCATTGGCGGGGGCGTACCCCATGCCCCCCAAACCTGAGTAAGTGTCCGGGCCGGTACACTTGGCTGACCTCTGGTTTGTCCGCCTTGCTGGCTCATAAAAGGATGTTTGATATTGAAGACGGTAGCCCTAGGTGCTCATTAGCTCGAACGATCACGACTGAGCACAAGAGGGACATCATCTACCTAGTCACCTCCCCACCGCAATAATCAACTTACAAGCTCAAAGCGCAAACGCAACCCCAACGACTTACGCAGAAGACCGAACCCTCGACTATACAACATCCTACTTGTGTTCTGCATCATGTCACAACCGCGTAAACACGTCGTCTGGGACATTGTCGGCACCGTCGTCTCCTACCAGGTCGGCTGGGATGCCATCAACGCCCGCCTAGGCGACAAACTACGCGCCCACAACATCGACCCCTACTTCTTCGGCTTTGCATGGAATGAAGTCGCAGAGCGCGAGTACACCTATCTGAGCATGTCGGGGAAGTACGCTCGATACTACGACTGCGTGCGCGGGCTCTTCTATCGTGTCCTGGGCCAAGCAGGCATCGAGAAGCCGCGGGAATTTGCGTCCGACGACGATTTGGAGTATATTTTGTCACAGTACCGGGAGTTGAAGGCGAGGCCGGGAGCAGCGGAGTGCTGGCAGAAGCTGAGGGACGCTGGGTTCACCATGTGGGCATTCACAGCTGGAGATGCGGCCCGCGTGCAGGGCTACCTGGAGAAGAATGGGATTCCTTGCCCCGAGGAGAACTTCAGGTCGTGTGATACCCTGGGCATTGGCAAGCCGGCACCGGAATGCTACAAGCCGCTGCTGGAGGAGTTCCAGAAGAATGGCGATGAGGCATGGTTTGCTGCGGCGCATCAGTGGGATGTTAGTGCGGCGAAGCGGTCGGGCTTTAAAGGCGCGTATGTAACGGTATTGGAAAAGGAGGCGTGCAATGAGCTCTTTGGCGAGTTGGATGTGCAGGCCGACGACTTCATCACGCTGGCTGACAGGATCATTGAGGCGTCGAAAGCTGGTTGAGAAATGATAAAATTCATATTTAGTACCGTTCTTATCATGATTACACGGGCCGACTGCGATGGTTGAGGCCGAACTCCTTAGCACCCTGCATATAACATCTCATAGATCAAATCTGAAGAGCTTTCTCCAGAGTGTCAACAAACATTGGCACGTGCTGCTCAGTGAAGATCAGCATCGGCCTCAGGCGGACTGTCTTGGTGCCGCAAGTGCCAATGTTAACACCCATCCGCCTCATTTTCCCGACAAGCGCCGCTGGATCTGCGGTATCGAATGCGATATACGTACCCTGACCCTTGCCACGGAGATTCTGAATATGATCAGGGAACCTCGAGCTCAGTTGCTCCAGTGCGCCATAAAGTTTGTCGCCCACCTTCGCACACTGCTCCACGAGGTTGTTGTTCAGGATTTCGCTGATGACAGCGTTCGATAGGACGACACGGGCTGGGTCGCCGATCCACGTATTGAACTGGCGATATGCCTTATCAGGCACCAGAGCATCGTTTCCGAAGTAGTACCCGGCGGTTTGTGCCTTCTTGGAGAAGGTGACCATATCAGGAGGATTGCTGAGCTGCCAGTGTTCGTGTCCCCAAAACTTTCCGGTAGCACCGAAGCCGGTCTGCACCTCATCCGCAATGAGCATCACTCCATGCTTCTTAGTGATCTCGCGAAGGCCCTGGAAAAAAGCGGGAGACGCGTGGTTGTCGCCTCCTTCGCTCTGGATGGGCTCAATAATGCAGCCAGCCACTGGGCAGTGCCATGAAGTGATGATGGTCTCAACTTGCTGCAGACACCTTTGTTCTTCAGCGTTGTTCTCCGCCTGGTACTGATCAAGGGGATATCTTAGTTGTGGGAAATCTGCCTGTGGCCATTTGAAGGCCGGAATATCGAGCTTGTGGACGGCTTTCGAGCGAGTCGTAGACAAACTGCCGAAACCTCGACCGTGGAACGAGTTCTTGAAGCTAAGGATAGACAGGTCCGGTGATCCAGGTGCTTGGTTCTTTAGGCAAGAGGCGATCTCTTCCTGAGTCCACTCGACGCCTTCACCTCGCTTGCGCCGCTGGTAGAGCATGAAGGCCGCCTTATAGGCTAGTTCGTTCGCCTCAGACCCAGACTGGGCAGTGAAGATCTTGTCAAGTCCTTTAGGGGCGACACGAAGCAGACCATCAGACAGGAGGGCAACCCAATCCTGAGCAGGAAAGTTGCCAAGGGCCGGTCGGTTGACGAGAGCAGAAATCATCTCTGGTGACTTGGCAGCCTCAATCAGAGTCTGATTGTTGTAGCCAACTGGAATCGAGGCGATCTGGGAATAGACGTCGAGGTAGGTGTTGCCATCGACGTCCACAATATAGTTGTCATGGGACTTGGCATAGTCGACGACGAAGTGTACTGCTCGGCCATCGAAGACGCGACCAAGTTTCGCAGCGGCTGCCTTCGAAACGGGACCGGGCACCTCGGTCTTGACAGACTTTTCGTCGGTGATGATTACTCCAGGCATTTTCGACGACTTTCGCAAGGAGGCTGGAGGGTATTGCAACTATGTGGGAGAGCTCACCTGGGGCCGGGAGCGACTTGTGTACTTATAGCGAACACCACCCGCATCTTGCCGCATGAAAGTCTGGACCAACGGATCAGATTTCAGCAGAACTTTACTGCGTCGCCCATCTCCGCCGGTGAAAATGAAAGAAGGCTGCACGATCTCGACGCCTTGTAGCAGCCAGAAGAAAGTTTTCGTTTTGCGGAGAAGGTGGCGGATATCGATTAGGAACTTGATATCATGGCCGGACCGGCACGCGAGTATGCCTGGCCCGAGAGACAATGCCAGTGCGACAACGCGGCATTGCCGTGTCTATGACCATGACTACAATTAGCTGAGCAGTTCATTCTTGTGGGCAGATTCGTCAGCGTAAACCGTGCGACAGCGCACCCTGGCTTCGAGGTTGGTTCCTGGTCTTCGGTCGGTTCTTCCAGCATCGCACCGAGGTGATACTCGCCAAACTTCTGCAAGAACACGTAGAGGATGACATGTTGGGTGTCTCGTAGCGTGCAACTTCTTGTGCAACTCTCACGACTTACATGCTGCGCGACGCTAGGCGTCAAGAAGGCAAGACGCACGATCCCGGTGTCCGGGCCGGTGCACGATCGCTCTGTTCCTGGTCTCCCGGTCGTCGTTCAAAGCTGCAATACGCAGTCCCCGCATCAACTATCAAACGAGGCTCAATGCCGCCTCTCGAGTACATGGCAAAATAATCTCGGCACTTTCAGTAATAAGGAGCGTATACAGTAGTACAATTTCAACGTTGTGAACCTGCACTCTGTTGTAGATATTGGCACTAGTCCAAAACAGGTCTAGTTCCCCATTTGCACGATGTCGCGTGCTCCTCGGACTTCACTTCCCGTCGTTCAAGTCTACTCACAACAATTTTCAACGACCTTGGCTTGAGCCTCGGTTATACTGGAGCGGTAATGGCCGCCGCCCTCCCGTTCAACGTCTCGGAGGAGCTCGCCAAGTTGCGACATGAGAAGAAGAATGGACAGATGCCAAAGCTGCCACCTAACGCGACTGTGCAGAAGCGTCCAATCATTCATCCCGCGGTAGCATCGCCCTACGCTGGTGCCAATGTGCAGAAGATTGTCTATGTTGGAAGTCAGACACCTTTCATGTCTGCTGTCAAGCGCGTGAAAAAACTTCTCAACCAAGTCGAGAAGCGGGTAACGCAGAATGTAAACATGATCAAACGAGGTGACAGAGAAGGCATGCGAAGGCTTGCAGAGGCCACCGACAAGGTGGCAAAGGACAGAGAGGAAATATTGGTCAAAGCTAGCGGAAGAGCGATGACCAAGGCATTGAACGTGGGAGAGTGGTTTAGGAACAAGGAGAAGGAAATGGCCTGCATTGTCGAAGTGAGAAGCGGCAATGTCAGTGTGGTGGATGATATCGTCGAAGCTGAACAGTCAGAGGATGATGCGGACGCTCAGCAACCCAACGAGCCGACGACTATACCGGAAGGTGGGGATACCACCATGGAGCTGCTTGCGAGTACCACCAAGTCCTCCCCAGATCCAACAACCCACACTGTTCAGGACAACAACAGAGACGACAACCATGGCGCTACCGAAGCGACAGCGGGCAAGAAGGCAAGGAAGAGAAGGAAGAGAAAACGCCCGGCCTATGATCCGGATGATCTTCCGGAACAACGACTTCGCTGGGTGAAGACTGTGGAGGTGGCAATCTCTTTAAAGGGATAGATCTACTTTCACCGTCCCCTGTACACTTTCGGCCCTCTACCTTTCACCCTCTCGCTTCATGTAGAGAACGAAGGCCTCAGAGGCTTCCGGCGCCCTTGGTCAAGCTATCATGAAGTTGAGAAGCTGCTCTATATGTATTACTGCATGACGGGCCCCCGTCTGGCTCTCAGAACGCATTCCATATCCTGCACATTGATCAACTGGTCCCTTGGAACACCTTCGAGTGCGTTCTGCTGATGGTGAGCCACGAAGTAAGCTCGGTAAGGCTGGGTATAAGCCAAGACGAGGCTGAGGCTTAAAACAAAGATGGTCGATCAAATACCGAAGCCTGTGTTCTAGCATTTCACGCGTGGTGACATACCCTTGTTCTTCATCCGTTGCGACGGGCCCGCTTACCCCTCTGCAGTTGTTCTGTGATGAGTGTGATCGTCGAGACACTGTAAACTATAGCTTCCCAAACACTGAGTGCACCGTCCCTCCGCACTCTCGTTTTCCGACCCGCCGACCATGTCGCAACCACCACAGGCTCAGCAATTGAGCCACAAAGATGGCGCCTTATTCCGCCAGGTCGTCAGACATTTTGAGAATAAACAGTACAAAAAGGGTCAGTTCCCGTTCTCGTAACCTCCGGCTTTGCTGACTATTAGACAGGTCTCAAGGCTGCGGAGCAAATCCTCAAGAAGAATCCGAACCATGCCGATACCCAAGCCATGAAAGCGCTCATCATTGGCACTCAAGGCCAGACAGAGCCTGCCTTTGCCCTCGCGAAGACTGCCCTAGGAAACAACATGAAGTCGCACGTATGTTGGCACGTCTACGGTCTGCTATACCGAGCCGAAAAGAATTTCGAAGAGTCAATCAAGGCGTACAAATTTGCGCTTAGATTAGAGCCGGAGAGTGTTCCAATACAAAGGGATCTGGCACACTTGCAGATACAGATGCGCGACTACGAGGGCTATGCGCAGAGCCGCCAAAGCATGCTGCAGCAAAAGCCGGGTATCAGACAAAATTGGACAGCACTTGCTATTGCTCATCACCTCGGCGGCAACTTTGAGCAAGCCGAGAATGTCCTCACCACCTTTGAAGATACCCTCAAGACAAAGCCATCGAGAAATGACATGGAGCATTGGGAAGCAGTCCTCTACAAGAACACCATTATTGCTGAATCGGGCCAGGTCGAGAAGGCTTTGGATCACCTCGAAGCTGTTGGGAAGAAAAGCCCGGATGTCACCGGCGTTATGGAAATGCGAGCCGACTATTTGTTACGGCTGGATCGTAAGGCTGAAGCTGAAGCGGCATATGGCGCACTGTTGGACCGGAACCCCGAGAATTCACAGTATTATGATGGCTTCATTAAGGCAAAGGGACTGACTGAGGATCAAGCCGCCGACCTGAAGAAGGCATATGGCGAACTGTCCGAGAAATTCCCAAAATCAGACTTGCCGCGACGACGACCACTGGACTTTCTGCAGGGTGAAGAATTCCGAGAAGCGGTCGACTCGTACCTCCAACGTATGCTCCGAAAGGGCATTCCATCCACCTTTGCCAACATCAAACACCTTTATTCCGATTCCTCGAAGAAGCAGATCGTCGAGGAGGTAGTTGAGGGCTATGCGGCGGGCAAGGTGGCGTCCAAGCCTAACGGAGACACAGAGAAGAAAGACCATTTCGAATCTTCTGTCCTCTATTTCCTTGCGCAGCATTACAACTACAAGCTCTCTCGGGACCTTGGCAAAGCTATGACATACGCCGACAAATGCATAGCACTTGACCCCAAGTCGGTGGACTTCCATGCCGTCAAGGCCCGTACCTACAAACACCAAGGTGATCTTGCCGCCGCTGCCAAAACGATGGAAGAGGCCCGAGCGCTAGACGAGAAGGACCGTGCTATCAACACGAAATGCGCTAAATATCAGCTGCGCAATGATGAGAACGATGCCGCACTCAACACTGCCTCAAAATTCACCCAGAACAAAACCTCCGGCGGCCCCTTAGGCGACCTTATCGACATGCAATGTGTCTGGTACTTAACCGAAGACGGTCAATCCCACCTCCGCCAACGCAAGCTCGGCCTCGCACTGAAGCGCTTTCACCAAATTCTTACCATATTCGACGTCTGGCAAGACGACCAATTCGACTTTCACAACTTTTCCCTCCGCAAAGGCATGATCCGAGCCTACATCGACATGCTCCGGTGGGAAGACCATCTGCGCGCCCACCCCTTCTTCTCACGCGCCGCCGTCTCGGCGTGTGAAGCCTACCTCCTACTGCACGACAACCCGGACCTCGTGCACGGCCCCATGATGGCGAGCGAAAACGGCACGGAGCTGTCAGCCGCAGATCGCAAGAAGGCGCTCAAGAAGGCCAAGCGCGAGCAGGAAAAATTCGAAAAGGCCGAAGCTGACAAGCGTGCGGCGGTGAAAGCGGCCAAGCCGACGCCGAAGAGCGAGCTGGAGGACGGCAAGAAGGAGGACACGGATCCACTGGGCAAGACACTGGTAGAGACCAAGGAGCCACTGACACAGGCCATGAAGTTCCTGGGTCCCTTGCTCGAGTACTGCCCGGACGTGGTCGAGGGCCAGGTCGTGGGCTTTGAGATCTACACCCGCAGAGGAAAAGTGCTGTTGGCGGCCAAGTGTCTCAAGCGGTTACAGGAGTTGGCGCCCGAGCACGAGAAGCTTCGGGGTTTCAAGGAGCAGCTGAAGAAGATGACGACGACGACGGAGAAGGCCGAGGGCGTCAGCGAGCGCGCCGTCCAGCTCGTCAAGACTGAGGCGGCGGACGTGCTGGCTTGATGGAGTGCTGTCGTTTGTGGATCTGAGCTCTGAGGTACGAGAACACTTCGCGTGTCGAGCTGGTGCAGGATTATGGATGCAGACCCACGAGAGAGAGGGGCCCCGATGACGGGGTCTCTTCGCATAACTGTCAAAAGAGATCTCTACAGAGAGGCAGAAATGGGATTATGTGTGAAAGCTGAAGAGGGGAGGGGCCAGCTTGCTGAGCAGCCCCCATACGAATCTGACAATGCATATGCCTGCATAGCGAAAAGCCATTACATTTCCGAAACAAAAAAAAAGTGAGACCACAAAAAAGCCATCTTGTTTGCAAAATCTGTTGCTGTAAATTGATCATGTTTTATATGGGGGTATCTCTTCTTTTGGGGGGGTTTATAAACAAGATCAAACTTTTGGCTTTTCGACACGGCCTTGCGGATCGCTTGTAGCAAGTGTGTGTGTGTGCCGATGCAGGATGTGAGGTAGGAAATATATTTGAGCAACAACGACGTTGAGGTCGTCATAGGCCCGTAGAAGAAGTTTGGTCTGTATGTGGGGGATAGGGCGCATGTCTTGCCGACGCAAATCAACTGCCTTCGGAAGTGGTGGGCCACACGGACTCAAGTTCATGTTTGGCAGACACCTGGCGGCTACGGGAGCAGGCGCTCCTCTTTCTTGCTGGGTGAGGAAAGCCTTTGAGGCGTGGTTCTCATGACCATGAGTCTGCCATATGGCGCTGCGTTCTGACCGGGAGCCTTATCTGGGTTGAAAAAAGCGCTGCCGTCATGGCACCAACGCGAATCAGGCTTCGGACTCTGGGCTGAAAGGGGCCCTTTTACGCCTTCTTCTTGCTGGCAGCCCGAGTCTGGCGCTTGCCGGCGTCCTGCTTCGCCTCCTTGGCAGCTTTCTGCGCGTAGATCTCTGCAGTGAAGGGGCTATGGATTCACATTAGTATTTGACCTTGACATTGGACAAACCGGGTATCCAAGGGGGGGAAACTCACTCCTCAAATCGCAGCGCTATCACATACATGACGGCCACAAAGCCGGTCAAGACCAGCCCCGCCAAACGGCCCTTCCACAGACTCGTGCCCAAAAAGCACAGCGTGCTGCCCGTGTACATGGGGCTGCCGAAAGCCCACCACAGGTTGAATGGGAAGCCCTCAACCATGTCGTCCATGAGAATGCCGAAGTAGTCGCCTAGGTAGGTGCCGGTAACGCCGAGGGCCCACATGCTGCTCAGCACGAGGGTCTGGCCGATGATGAAGGCGACGGCTCCGGTACGTGGCATGTGCACGGGCGGGTAGACGGGTTGCTCATCGAGGGCGGCGTTGAAAAGGTGGTCACGCAGGATGCCGAGGCTGAAGATGGTGAAGGCCAAGAAATAGCAGCCGTAGTAGGGGTTGCGGAAGATCTTGGTCAGGAAGTGCGTGCGGTACTCGGCGGCGGCAACGATGTTCCAGTAGATGGGGTTGAAGGCAATGGCGCAGGCGGCGGTGGTAAGAGAGGGGATAGCCCAGTCGATGGTGCCATGCTTGGGTGAGCCGGAGAGGGGGGTGAGGAGGTTGTGGATGTAGGTTTGGATGTCGGACATGGCGGCGATTGGGGCTGAGAACGGGTCGAAGGTGGTGTTGGTTTTAGGGAGAAGAAAGGGCTGGCAGAAGGAAGAGAAGACAGAAAAGCCCAAGACACTGTCAGAGAGAGTGGGACCTGTCGAGTTGGAGAGCAAGAGCTCGTGCAAAGAGACAGAATCAGTCAAACATCGGCAGTCGTCTTGCTTGGCCTTGGCGTGACGTAGCGCCTAAATGGTGCAGGCGGTGGGGAGGCTAAGATGTGGGATGCATTGGAGGACACAGCACGAAGAATACGGTGTTATAGCTGCTCGGACTAACTCTTCTGGATATCTATTGCGAGCGTCAATGGAGACAATCAAAGGAGGCGTAGCAGAATCCTCATCATCAATCCATGAGAACAACCACACCTCCTTTCTTGTCCAGCCTTACCCCTCCACCGGCTGGCTGAACCCTCAACGACTGGTTGAAGTACGCGTCGACTACGTTGAGCTGTACTTTCAACCACTCTCCCTTCGCGTCTCGATTTTTCCTCCTCTCCCGGCTACCCTCCGTATCCCTTTTGTTGGGTAGGATCTTGTACACCATCTCGTACTTGCTGATGGGCACCAGGCTGACCGAGTTGGCCTTTGGCCCGCTAAACGCAAAATCCTCGCTTGCTTCCATGGCGACATTGAATGTCAGGAAATGCATTGATGGGTTTTCGATGATGTATCGTAACGACATGAGCTTCATGTCCTCTTGTCCTGGGACGCTCGCCTTGTTGTCGACCGTGACGAGTACCCGTGGCTCCGCCATAGGAACGACAAAGCGTGGTACTTCGAGAATTGATGAGTTGACCCCATTGCTTCCCGGTCGCCGCCAGCCGATCTCGAGTGCCAGGTCTAGGGCAACGGTATGCCGGTCACCGAGCACCTGCTTTTGCACAGTCAGATCAAAGTTGAAACTCCTGGTCTGCTCTGGCGCTATGGATGCCGATATCTTTTCTGCCAAACCGGCGGGCTCGGTCAGAGTTTCGTCTCTCAGTACGCCTGTAGTAGAAGAGCAGATTGCACCACCTGTAATCTTGGTAGTGGTCAGCAGGATAGCTTCGATGTCGATAGGCTCTATGGCAAACGAAAATAGATTTGCCGTTACAAGGAATTGCTGTGTCAAGCCCGAAGGTATGTCCGGCGACGCTGGCGGTGGTGCAAAGTAATTCGGCCATGTCTCGGATGTGATCCGAGGAGCAAAATCGTAATTTGCCTCAAAAGGTCTGATGACGGCCAGGTCAAGAGTGAGTACCTTTTGTAACACCGACTCTGTGTCAGCCTCCAAGTTGTACGTCACCACAATCTCGAGCTCATGGTCCAGCGCCGCCACCGTCTCAGACATTTGCAGCGAAAGCATACTCTTTGACCCAGGTCTCAGGCTATCCAGCTTGCGTGGTGGCAGGATCTGTTCAATATCCAACTCTTCGGTCGCTTCATCGTCACCCTGATCTGCCCATCGGATTTTGGCTGCGCCATTAACAGGGCTGATGAGTCTCGCTCGGACTGTGGGCAGGGCGGTCTCTTCCTCGTTGTTAACGATTTCGATATTGATCTCGACATTTTCGTTGGTGTAGTAGGATCTCTTGAAATCAACAGCATTAATCTCGACCTTGGGTGGCTTCGGTAAAACATGAAGATTCGACACAACTCTTTGTGTTCCAACCGCACGAGGAACGGGAATGTCTCCCTTCATCTCCCACCAGTCATTCGTCGCGCCTTCAACTTCGGAATTAGTGACCGTCAAACTGAGCCGGTCAATTTCTAGCATGAGAGTGATAGAAGCCACAGAGACATCTCCTGCCTCTCGTGGGATCATCTGCATGTTGAAAATTCTGGTTTGTCCAGCAGCGAGCGTTAGGTTCGCCGGACCACTGACGGAGGCGATATGACCGACTGACGACCTTTTGTTCCCCGTAGAACTGAGTGGGGAGGCTTCATTCAGTTCCACATCCGCGGTGCTCACTGCCATTTTCGAAGTAGTGGCGCTATCGCTGGGGTGCAGGTATATTGGCTTTAGAGATCCCTCAAAGACGATCTTGACCCCACTTAACGACACGGCCGAGCTATCTGTATTCGAGCAGGAGCTCAAAACGAACTGACAGTCGATCAGCTCCCCAACGTGACCTTGTGCGGTCGAAAAGGCAAAGGACGTTGCAATGCGGCCAGTGCCCTCTTGAGAGTTTAGAGCGATGGACAGCTTATTTTCTGGCGCAAACCTCTCCAAAAGTTGATCAAGATCGTATATTGTATTCGGGCGAGCTGTGAAGCATGAGTTCGCCAACTCCCAGGTCAGTCGCACAATGAGCTCGAGTGCTTGTAGCTCGTTCGCGCAATCAAGCAGAGCCCAACCAACACATTCCAACAGGCGCCACCATCCTGACTTACGCCACACTGGGCTTTCCCATAACGGCTGCAATATTTGCACTGCTTGCGACCACGCCTGAGTGTTCAGAAACTCCGAGGCCTTCTTCATTTGTATAAGCTCGTTCATACGTACTTGGCCCTTTTTGTCGAAATACTCGATCGCAGCGTCGAGAGACACTAGGATTTCTTCAGTGTAATCGAATCCTGTTGTCCCGTCCGCTGGTAACTCTTGGTACGGCTCCAGGGTTAGATAGCTATCATAGCTTTCGGCAGTATGAGTGAGTTTCGACGCAGGAGATCGGCCAGGCGGATGGCGATCTTCGTCAGGGATAGTTGCCGCCAGTTTACGTCGTTCTTTTGTATGCTCCTGAGCGTTACGTAGCCAATAGCCCTGGTGATGGAGATGCTCCCACGGTGTGAACCTCTCACCAGCAGATGCATCGGGTTTCAGAAATACCAGACTATCCGAAGCTGGGACTGTCACGCTCAGGCCTGGCAACTCCGACCGCGTTAGTAGTTCGGCCATGGTTTTCGACCAGGTATGCTGCCAAGCTTGCCAACCGTAATTCTCAGTTCCCTTGCCTCGCCGATCCAAAAGCCCTTCAATTCGCTCCTGGTGATTTGTCCAACTCCTCACGGCCGCTGATGTCTGACCAGTCCACAGCAAGCAACGAAGGATGCGGAGCGCTATGGTGTCGGCGAGCAGTCGCGCCTCATGGAATCTCGGGCTCCACGAAGCAATTGACTCGATCATCTCTGCAGCAAAGAGGCTGTCGTAGGCTGTCTCGTAATTGCGACACGCCGCATCCATCTCCTGTCGAAATTCTCCAAATACTCCAAGTTTGAATTCGTATCGGACTACCCAGCCCTGTGACGCCAGAACATGCGCAGATGCCGGAGGGATCGTCGGCTGAGGTGTCACATTTCTGTTACGTTTCCTTCGAGCGTGCTTGGAGAGGTCTCGGTAATACTCGATACACTGTGGGTATAATGAGCCGAGAAGTGACTGAACTACTTGAGAGGCTTGCTGCGGCAAAGAGTCGTGGGCAATGAAGTACAAAGCTTTCTGGTCCATGTTTGTAGCCCTTCGGATAGTGGCAATTCGATCCTCCACATCATCTAGACTCAAGATTTCATCGCCTAAAAGCACTACCACAAGTCGAGTTTTGTAGTTGGCAGTTGACAAAGCGGCCTTTGCGCTATTAATTTCACTCTTGATCTTGTTGTCCAGCAGCGAGCTTGTATGTGCATCCGCGCTGAGGGGCAGGAACATTACCACAGCACAGGGTAGGTGATGTTGGTGTTTAGCGATCCATTGTTGATTCAACACACCGTCCGGATACAGCGGGGAGCTCGGCGTCAGAGGAGACAGAGGAGAATGTAGAACTAGGGCCGGTGGTGGACCGCCACCGTTATCGACAGCAGATAGTCGAGGGGAGTGCGGAGGTGGAGGGGCTTTGCGAGGAGGGAGTGTATATGACTAGGAACTGGTCAGACTGTGTTGAACCTGTCCAGATCTTGTAGACCTACCCTTCCGACGTTCCGAATCGCGAAGAACCTCGAGGATACAGGTGGTGTTCTCCATGGAGCAAGACTCCCATCATGTTGCAGGAAGGCATCCTTCACTACGTTTGCTAGGTCGGATTCGAGAGGCGGAAGATCGGTCCTAACGCGAAAGCCGCCTTCCGGCGCTGGATGTCTGTGACCGGGGTCTCGCGTGCTATTGGAGGAACCTAAGCCTGACAGAAACAGCAAAGGCAAGTTATGCGCAATGTAATCGTCTCCAAAGGCGTCCATGGCGCCGGGCAAGGGATGGCATGTGCTGCATGGCAAGGTGGAATGAACTCGGTTTCACGGCTCAGACATCGTTATAACTCCCCAGCAAAGAGAAGTGCAACGCACAAGTGGTAATACGAAGATATGAACGTGGTTACAGGATCAGAGGTCGCAGGCAGTGAATCGTGGTTGGGGACGAGGGTCAGTTCGGCTAGCCTTCTCCATTCGGTTGAGATTCTCGAGGCAATCTCGACGTCGACCTCTCGTGTCCGCCATGCGCTGGCCTTGCCTTGATCAGGTCTGTGTACTTGACTCAGCGTTCGTTATAGGCCGGAAGCGATGCCTGTGCCAGGCTGAGTTCGGACCTTCAAGCCATGGATACAACTTCTGCATTGACGTCTTTTGCAGGATCAGCTTCCTTTGCTTACTACAGACCTCACGGGTGGAACGAATGCCCAGTGAACATTTTGCTGTAACGACTGTTATGTTCAGGTCGTGATAGCTGCTCCATCATTTGTCGGAGCACCTTTCTGGCCCGAGGGTGCTGCATGGCATCTCGTCTTTTCCTCGACACCTCATCGCCACATTAGTGGAGGGTACCATGAAATGCACTAACCTCTGCTCGTCGTGGCCAGTTGTTCAGGTGTACGGTATTAAGGTGCGGAGATATTCGAGTCACACCCACGTCTGAGCGGCGGTTCAAACCGACCGGATGCTGTTGGACGACCACAGCGAGTGGGTGACACGAATGCTCGAAAGGCCTGGATGTCTGCGTCGGTTAGAACCCTGGCCTAAGGACGGCCGTGGCCAGAGGCTTACTGTGTAGATGGCCAGGGCGGGTAAGTATCGCTCACATCACAATGGGCCGGGGCTGAAGAGCATTGCTGTCTCATGTCCAGCCAGCTCAAGGCTGAATCTCCCCGCGACGAGACCGTCAACTGAACTCAGGCCAAATGTCAACAATGTCACACAAGAGATGCAAGGCGCCGACCACGCATGCGAACCACGATGGAACACTGTTGCCAGCCAGAAACTTGGGTGGTTGAGCAGGTGCCCGTCGAGAACGCAGGCTGCTTTAGCGAGTTCTCCCGCTGCGTTGCTGGGGTATTTGTCAACAAGGCAACTTCTGTCACTCATCCAACAAGGCTGCGCTGCCACAGTACCGACATAGCTTCCTTGGATCTCCTCGTCAACATTTGACCAGCAGCTCCGCAGCGCTATTCCCAACAGATTACCATCTCTTGCATGCTCCGGCTACGCAAACACTTCGAGACCTTCCATCGAGACAACAACTCCAGCCTTCCACTATGCCGATACTTAACAAATCCGGCTCGTCACATGCCGTCAACGGCTTGAACGCCATCATTCGCTTCTTGCAATTGGCTTTCGGCACCATCGTCCTCGGCATCGTAAGTGGCTGCCCACACTCGCTCTGAGCCAGCAGGGGTTCCATCGATGTCCGCGCTGACTCTGAATAGTACGCCGAAGCCCAATCCCACTCCCTGTGGTCTAGATCGCAGTACAGCAAAGAGCTTGTAAATTCCCCAATTTACCTCGGCTTCACCCTCGACTGAACAAAGCCAGGACGTCGCCATCGCCGCCGGCGCCCTCTCCATCATCACCGGCGTCGTCTGCGGTGCCATCCCCTTCCTCATCAGCTACTACTACGTCGCCATCGCCTTCCTATGGGACTGGATCATCGTGAGTTTCCACTCCCACCTTTCCACCCTCTCCAAACCTCATATCCTGACTGCACCCGAAAACAGTTCTTCACCTGGTGCGCCGCCTTCGCCCTCAACCACAAGTACTTCAGCAACGGCATCTACGTCGCGGCGCTCGAAGAATCCGGCTTCCCGAGCGTCGACGCCGTCGTCGCGGGCCAATGGTCTGCCCTCACCGCCATGCTCCTCTTCCTCATCTCCGCCCTCATGGGCCCGGCGTGTCTGCTCATGGATCGCAAAAGCCTATTTGCATCGCGCGGTGTGGTTCAGTCTTGAAAGGCGGAAGGTGCCGGGCAATTCAGCAGAAATTCAGGGCTGCGTGTCAAAGGGCTTGAAAATGCGATGATGTCTCGCTTTGGTACGCGCGAGACTGTAGAATAGGATACTGCGATGAATTGGTGGTAATAACCTGGAAGCTAAAGAAAAATCCCTGGCACTCAGAGCCGCGTTCGAAGGGGCAGAGATGTATGAACTACCAACAATGGCTCTCCAGACCAAAATAGATCCGTGAGGGACAAGTCCTCACCAATTGACGCTCTTTGACCGACTTTCCTCCTTGACTCTGAGACCTCACTCCCTGTTTCGCGCACCGCGCATATTGTAAAGGCTTGTATCACATGGCTATCAGCGACATTGAGGTGTAGGGCTAACACTGGTTTATTCATCAAAGTCCAAACGATTTGCAAAATATAAGAGCCAAGAGAAGTTTTGATCATGTTTCAATGCGGTGCTGGCCGTGACACTCTAAGTCAAAGCAAGAGAGCGATCTAGATGCCAGTCAAGAAAAGCTAGACGTACATATCCTGATCGCATCTCTTTCTAAAAGACGAAATCAAGTCATCCGAATCCTTCGACCACCCATCACGTCTTCGCCTACCGTGAACAAGTAAAGGAAAGAAATCGCACTTTCAATGGACGCCTTCCTCTCCGACAGCGCCAAACTCGAACCGTGGTATCGAATGCGATGTAAATGCGTCGCAAAGGAAATCATTCTCAGATGTCCACCAAACAAGATGGCTGAACAAGCACAACGTTGGAAGGAAACGTTCAGTAAAACTTTTCCATGAAGGGAGGGTTATCTCCATCACGGGTCAAAAATACTTGGTTTGCACAGTCAGGAAAGATCGTGACTTTCGTGGCATTCAATCGTGTTCGCGTTAGGCCATCATCAGTCGTTGACGCTTGGGTCGAACAGTGTCAGGGGTAGAGGGCATAGTGTTGCCTGAGTTGGTCATGCGCTGGACTGGCGTAACTCCTTTGTAATGCTCAGAGGCATAGGGAGATTCAATGGTAGACTTGCGCTTTCGCGGGTTTATAGCGCTAGCCGGAGAGCTCAGCTCGCTGAAGCGGGAGAAAGAGGGTGTGGTCTTGAAAGAATCTTGGTGGCGACGGAAAGCGGTGACGGTCGAGGCAGAAGGAGCGAAGATATGGTTCTGCGCAGGCGCTCTAGGCGTCATGAAGAAAGGAGAAGTAGGTGCCTCACTGTCGTCGGATTCATCGTCAAATTGGATAACATCATCCAGCTTGATAACGTCTTCGCCCAGGTCATCACCAACGTCGAGGTCAAGCTCAAAGTCTTCAGCAAAGTCGCCAAGGTTGAAACCAGGAGGGTAGAATGCCTCCTGGGTGCCGGTGACAATGCCGTTGACATCGATAGAATTGCCGTTGTTGAGCATCATGTCCATCTCCGAAGCAGGGGTGATGTTGCTGTAGTTTGGATCTTCAGCAAAATCACTCTCGCTGAGCAGATCCTCGAAACCGACAGCCGGACTTGAGGCAGTAGAGTTTCCATAGCGGCGAGCGAACTCATCGCCGAGGAGGTGAGGATGTGTGATGATCATGATCTTGCCAGTCTTGTCCAGTATGCCTGTCGTCTTGGTCCCCTCATCAATGAAGATACCACGTGGGGGGCCTTTGCACTCGGCCTTCTGCTTAGCCGCCGTCCCTGGAGTAGGAGGGCTGTGAGGCCGCTCGATTTCTTCCTCATCGTCATCTTGAAGTTGAGCCTCCGGAGGTAAGCAGTCATCAGTAGCATCGGCTGGAATAGGATTAGCGCAATGAATGGGAAAAAGCTGCTCAACATACAGTCGTAGTTGTCCCCATTCCCCTCCGAGCTAGACTCGTCGCCAGCTCGCTCATGGCCCACGAGGCCCATTGAGCCACTGTCAGGCAGAGCCGATGGCAGGAGGGCACGAGAAAAGGTTGGTGAATCAACCAACGAGGGATTGAAGGCATGAGCAGGGTCGACATTGAAGTGAACGTGACGAGTCGGACCCATTTCAGAAGCAGAGTCACTGCCTTGGGACGATGGTGGATACGTGGCAGTAGCGTCACTCTCGTCCCCAAAGCCATAAGCAGACATACCGTCGATTTGATTGAGGAGATCCAATTCCTCAAGTTCATCATCCTCACTGAGATCAGCAATGAGCTGCTGTTCTTCGAAATGGTTGATTTCTTCCTCGTCAGAATCACTGATATCTTCGACTGCCGCGTAAGCAGCATCATCATCATCAGATACGTTAGCGAAGAGATGCTCCTCATATCGCCTCATATCCTCGAGGGTTGGGAGATCCTGCTTTTCAAGGTCAATGCCTTTCTCACCAAACATAGACTCAACACTGCCAGCGCGTGGGACACCGTCATAAAAGCGCCCCGTCCCACCCATCATGTTATGGCGGGACGGGGCTACAACGGCTGGCAGATCGTCGGCATCATCATCATCTTCGGACTGTTCGTCCGAAGCGTCGTCGCCATCCAGACTGTCCGACGACTCGGAAGATGAGGGGGAAGCAGCCTTGCGGCGCCTCTTTGCTTGTTGTACAGTTGCGGTGTACTTGGACGACTTTTTGTTACGTTTTGAGGTTGGCTCTTGGTAGGTGTCGTCGGCGAAGTCTTTCGTCTTCAGCAAACGGGGAGCAGCCATAGGAGGGAGCTGTCGACCCCGGTTATTTTTGGAGTGGTGTCGAGACATTACGGGTTGTCGGAGTTAAGATTAGGTCGGAGGTGAGGGAGAGAAGCAGTACAGCAGGTGGTCGTAGTAAGCAGCAGTCGAGTCGCAAGCGACTATCGAATGCCGGTAGTGTTGTAGTGTGAAGCAATTCCGGGCACTGACTGCAGAGCTCTAGGTGCTTTGAGCACTCGGAAGAGTGAAAATATCGTCGAAGTCGAATGAATACTTGTGCTGGTGAAGAGACTCTAGAGGGGCCGGTCTAGCACCGGGCCCCTCGAGTCGTTCAGAGACCAGCAACAGCCATTGGGCCTATGTGTATTCTTCGACGATATTTGACTTGGTATTGATTGCTGAACACTGGGCTACTGTATGGGGATCTGCTTGGTAGTGGTTGCTGGGACTGAACAAGAGAGAAGGAAAAAGAGGTCAGAACGAGAGGAGAGCGAAAAATAAGTTGACTGTCGCAGGCGCAGGCGGCAGGCCCGGATCCATATTTCCCGCGGGGAGCCAGCCAATCGTGATAGGCGGAAGGGATCACGCTTGTCCTTGCCGAGTTTAGTCTCGTGTTCACCGACTTTATTCTCTTACTGACGCTCGTTTCTGACTCCCTGCGACTCAATGATTTGCCCTCCAATGTTGGTACCAACCACACCGTTGATGGAAGCAATGCACGAAATGCCACAACGTTGCAATGCCAGCGTGTCACTGTAATTCTCTATCGTATCATGTAGCCACATGTTCAGGATAGCAACCATGCGGAATTGTAAACCGTTGGGGTCTCGTGCTGGCATACCCATTTCTACGAGGTGGGCAGCGTAGCCATGACTGGTCCAGTGGACACACGGCGTCAATCTGGTCAGTCCCTGACAGCCAGCTGCGAGGCTAATTGGTGGAGACCTCGCCTGAGTGTTCCTAGCCCACCTGTTTGATTTGCAACCAGTAACAACAGAACTGACGGCGAGGGTACATCATGCCCGTCCCTCAGGGTTATGATCCCGGAGTTGCAAACGCTGCTCAATACCTTTTTGTGACACGGAGGCACAGGAACGATGACCTCTCGCGTGCCCCCCGTTTGACGCTAAAGAAAAAAAACATTCTCAAAACTCTGATTCGGCGTACTCCAACGTCACTTCAGCTGCAAGGGCTCGTTTCTCACGTGCCTGCGGATATCAAAATTTCATATTGCGTACCACAGCTTGAGCATGGAATTCGGAAGGCAATAATAATTCTGGGGGAAAAGATAAGGGCTCGTGGTACCACCAGACTCAGAAACGCCGACGAATGTCAGCCCCTCTGGATCTCCGTTCCACTTGGCTGAAATCATAAAGTCGTACCTCATATCCTAGCCTAGCCAATCACGTCTGAGCCGTGTTAGGGCCTTTCTCGGGCGAGGTTGCTGCTTCGGCTGCCGCGGCAGCTTGCTTTGCTAGCTCTACTTCATCCATACCAGCCTTGACCTCATCTATAGGGGCATCGCATGCTGCTGTTGTTTTGGATTCAGGATGTGTAGCCGCATACTCCTCTTCAAGTCGGGCAACTTCTTGTTCGGTGAGATCACGCTCTTTTTCGAGTCGCACTTCTTTGCCGCGTTTGTGACAGTACCAGAAAACAAACAGGAGCACTAACTGGTCAGCCGGTTATCCTTCAAGAATGCGTGATAGGCTTACCAAACATTGCTAGTGACCATAGGACGTTCATGCCCATGAATGCCGGGAAGCGGGCACGCAGATACATGATGATGGATCGCAGGAGACTAGCGATTGCTGCTGGCTTGCCTGTCAAATCCGCCAGTGAAGGAGTCTTGATACCCATCTTCTTAGCAGCTGCAGCTGCTTTACCGGCATTCTCCATGTTGATACCACTCTGCTCGGCTCTCTCTTGAGCTGCAGCAGCAAGACCAGGCGCCATACTTCCAGGAAGCTTAGCGATCAGTTTTTGTAGAAAGCTCGGCAGTGAGTTGAAGGTCTTCTGGAGCTGATCGTCTCCGGTTGTCAAGAGCTTCTCCAGGTCATCGTATGCAGTAGGCACGCCCTTCATCAGGTCTTTGAGGACCTGATTGAATCTCTGGAGGAGCTCCTGAGTTTCGGCACTGACAGAGAATGCCCGATTATTGACAGCAGCCAGGTCGAGCTTGTCGAGTACGATTGCCATGTCCTCTTCTTCCTTCTTCGCCTCGGCATCTTCAACCAGGTTGTCTTCGTTCGGCTGGGCGTCAGCATCCTTCAGGCCTTGGGCTATGTCAGACAAATCGGAGGCGGTCGTCTCGCGCTTCCAGTTCCGGCTGTCGCGTCGTAGCCAACTCCAGGTGGTGCGAGGGTCAAGTGCAGCAGCCGTGTCAGCGAACATTGACCGCCGCTCTGTCAGCTCTGACTGTGGCGTCTCCGGCAGTGGGATGTTCTGCGCTCCATCTAGGAGTGCGGTCTGAGCATCACGAACGGGTGGAACGCCTCCATGCTCGACGTCGAGCTGCTCAGGTCTCGGAGGTAGAGCTGGCGGGTTCTCCTCAGACGTGATCCTGTTGAGAAACTCCTCATCCTCCTCATTGAGCACGGGCGTCTCCGTTTGAGTGGGGGCGCCACCTAGGTGGGTCTTGGATCGAATATAGTTGATATATTGCATCGCCATCTTGGTGGCTGGGGTGTGAATAGTAATACAAAGTTTGAACAGTAAGGCTGCTTCGTCACGATATAGACTCGGTCAGCTAGACACATTCACACAACGCAAGGCGTCTTCGTTGAGATAATGAGGTTGGGACTTGCCATGTGAAAACGGAAGATACGTCATGAGCACCGCCACAACCAACGTGGCACAGTATCCCTGTTTTCTGACCAAACTCTTTCATCACTTCTACATAATATGGTCAATATGAGCACAATGACTATTCCACCGCATATTGAGTATTTCGTTTGCTTCTACAATCACGCTGATAATGGTGACAAGTATATCATCCCAACACCATGAGTGATAACTGTGTCTCCGGCTTCAGAATGTTAGTAATTGCGCGGTGTCCTCCAGATGCTCACTAGAGCACGGCTTCTATAACCCGCCGGTAGGTGCTTGGTGCCCTCCCAGTGCTTGTGCGGGCATCTGCTACTGGCATGAAGTGATGACTCTCTCTGTCACGTGCCGCGGATCTATGTTCATCTCCTGCCTTGTCACTGTAGCCGGGGTTTGCCGCACTATCACCGTCTAATAGAAGGCTGTTGGACTATATCGATATCTCTTGTCGTTCATTTGTCACTCTTATTACCTAGGTCTTCATCGACCGGTCTTGTGTCTATTCGACGAAGGCTTCTGACCCCGAACCTCCGATACTGAACCCTCGACACCTCCCGCTCTCCAGTCGAAATGTCAGGCGCTGGTCGAGGCCGCAAGGCGAACTCTAGGGCCAAGAAACAGGAAAGCCTGCCACCGCGAACGGCCTTCGATATTCCATATTTCGCCCACCAGCAGCTGGACCCCGGCAGATACCCTCAAGGTAGGTCGCCCACTTCTTCTTTGCGCCGATGCCGGTTTGAAGATCCGGCGCCCTCCTGAGTACCTCAAGTCGCGATCAGCATTCTGACCAGATGCAGTTCTCACGTACCCCATCGCCCAATCGCCCGCCGTGATCTTCAGAAATGTCAAGAATTGCGCGGTCGAGACCGTCGAATGGGACGAAGAGGACGATGCCCGAGATGTCTATGATCCAAACTCTGAAGACTCATCCAAGGTCGGTTTCACGTGCAGGAGGCCTCCTCGTATACTGACACCGGCAGGCCCATTCTTTCGAAAACACCAAGAACAGCACTGCGTCCAGCAGTCAGGGTAATGAGCTCTCTTCTAGGGGACCCCGCGTCAAAGGTGGCCGGCCCGCCATTTCCAAGCCGGTCACGCCTGATCTAGACACCGAAGATCAGATCATTGTACGAATGAAACAGGCAAAATACCTCGAAAGAGACATCGCCAAATATTTGGCTGATCAAGGTCTCATCAAGTACAACATCAAGACCATTGGTACACGTTGGGCTCGTATCAAGAAGAAACTGGCAGAACACCAAGATGAGCTCCTGGACGCTGATCTCACTGACTGGCACGATGGAGATGTAAGTGGCTCACCCTGCTCTGCATTAGCAGCTAACACCGGTCAGGACGATGTTCTTCGCGAAGCCATCGCCAAAGCTGACAAAGAAATCGAGGCCGAGGTCGAGAAGGTTCGGGCGAAAAAGTGGCAAAAGGTCGCTGAATACTCGAAAGCAATGAAGCCAGTCATGAACTTCAGTCAGAACGCTTGTCGAAAGCGATATGACGCGCTGCTTGATGGCTCGGCTAAGCCAGCGCCGGAGTCGATTGTCAACCCAGATGAAGACACCATGGCTCGTATCCAGTCTCGCAAGGAGAAAGAGAACAAGATCGAGGAAGACCGCTTGGCCAAGCCAGGCTCGAAGGCGGCGATCCGTAAGAAGAATGTTCCTCAGGATACTTGACGAGCTTCGCGCAAGCGCCAGTAATTTAGGCATGCGCGTGAGTCAGCGTCGAGAGCTTGTATCGGTATCACGTGCAGGGTACATGATGGACGCGTTCATAGTAGGACCAGTGCTGCAGGCCACACAGGGTGACGACTGACGGAACTTTGGTATTTGATCCAAGCTGCTGGTGATCGAGCATCATGTACAGGACCGCTTTTGCCGATAGCAAGCCCCATCACGGGATGCTGATCCAATGAAAATGATCAGGTGATCATCACAGTTCTCTATTCGATCGCTTCTCAATGCTTGTGTGACTTTGGAAAGGCTTTAGAGCGGCAGTGCTCTGAGATCCCCGTCCTCCCGGCTGCAGTGGTGCCTGAAAGATAAAAGCTGGGGCGGGCCGCAAACGCGCCCTGATTCGACGCGGGGCGCGTCACTGCCTAGCTAAGGCTTAAGCGCCTAATGTATAAAAGCAGCCAACTCCGGCCGCTTCGCTCAACTTCTCTTCTTTACGCACCCGACCCGCCAATCCGTCGCATACAGTCGCTCGTTGTAGTGATTAGTGTGTCAAGTTCTTGCGTGTGACCCCTGTTTGTGCTGTTGACTTGTTCTCCCGAACGAGTCTGATGGTCAACAAGGTCATCGGAAGAGCTTCCTAGGTCGCCATCACATGCTCTCGTGAATCAAGCGTCGCCTTCTCAGAAACCTACCACGCTCTCTACTCGCTCTAGGTTCTTCTGCCGCTCTTTACTTCCTTCCTTCGTCAATCAACTCACTCGTTCGAGACGCGACAAGCCCAACCCCGACTTTGACACCATGTTCAAGCGATCGTTCAATACCAGGGATGGTCGTGTGACCAAGCCGTTGAAGCCGACCAAGAATGCCTTTCCCGAACATTTGAAGAGGAAGATGCAGGACAGCTTAGAAAGTCCGTCGGTCGGAAGGTCCGTTGTAACATGTGAGGTGATATTTGGTGGCAAGATACTGACTGCGCATAGCTCTCTGACCAGCCCCATAATCACCTTGGTTGTGGGTCATGAACAGCGCTTGTTCGCTGCTCATGAGGACGTTCTCTGCCATTCACCTTACTTCGCTGCCGCCCTGAAGGGCAAGTTCCTGGATGGAAGCGCGAAGAAGTTGGAACTGCCTGATGAAGAACCCGAGATTTTATCCTGCGTCCTCGAATTCCTGTACAAGGGTGACTACTATCCCCGTTTGATGCACAACAAGCGGCGGAACACCTGGGATCTTGAGGACGCCCAGGATGCCAAAATTGGTGGTCGCGGAAACCCTGAATCCGCAATCTATCTCTCCAGTGTTGGTGGCGATGTCCTCCGGGATACCGTTGTCTACTGCGCAGCCGAGAAGTACGCCTTGGAGGATCTGAAGCGTCTTGCTCTTCGGAAACAAGGCCTTCAGTCCGGCATCCAAGTTGATGTGATCTTGCGATCTGCTCGCTACGCATACGACTTTACACCTGACAGCGAGAGTCGTCTCCGCGCTCATTATCTTGCTCTGATCATCCGAAGTCGGAAGACTTTCAAGAGGAGCGGAACCATGCAGATGGAAATGGAGAATGGGGGCAAATTGTTTTTCGATCTGTTTGTGGCGATGTGCAATCACATTGATGACATTGTCGAGATTAGGTAGGTTCTTACTACTGACCTCCGTTCACAGGCGCTTACTTGCGTGACTCGCAGTAACAACCGATCGCCCAAGGTCATCTAATCGATTCGCACCTCACTTCACAGCAGACGACGGTTTGGAGCTACAATGGAGGTAAGGACTAGACAACCAGACTGGTACATCGACCGCAAAACAGCGAGCTCCTGCAACCGTCGTTGCTATTGTATAGCAGCAACCCTCCGCTTCATCTCGAGGTTGGCCGCCGATATTTCTGGTTCGAAATGAACCCTACTCCTTCTAATGGCACCATCTGGCGCAATGGGCTTTTCCACTCGGTCATATTCCTTCAGGCAAGGAAAGGAATGATCCCAACTCGACCAAGACAAGGCATGCGACTTCCTTCGCAAATCCTTAATATTGTGTGACTTTGGAATCTTTTTCTCGACATCGTTGAAATCTGTCATTATGGGGATGCTATATTCTGGCCTGTGATCCACCCGGGTTGTTGGATCACGGCAGAAAACCTCTTGATGATCATATACAAGAAAATGAGAGATTCGGCCACCTCAATGTTGATGTCTCTGTTTCGTTCTCTTGTGCAGAGTCGTGTCTGCGTTGCTTTCAGTATTGAATGTCGAGAATATGTCCGTCGTACCAGGTCTCCTCAGAATCGGACTCTCCATCAAGCCACCCACATGTGGAGGTTTCCACCTGTTGGAGTAAAAATGGTTACCGGAAGCGGGTTGTCTGGGGTAATACGCAGACGACATTCGCACTGCCATGAGCCTCGGTCTAGGGACAATCTCCTCACACGCAATAACTTCCCGAGATCCCGCTCGCCACAACCAGCCACAATCAGCAGAATGATCACCAGGCAGTACACACCCGTAAGCTCTGTGCCCCTCGTTACAATGTTCCGCCCAGTGCCGCCTCTTTCTTACTCCGCCCCCGCGCCTGCAGAGGTGAACGAACCAATGACGCATGTTGGGGCGAGCAAAAAGCCATTCGAGTCAGGATATCATTACGAGGCACGACACATCATTGAAACATGGTGCCCAGGCTCGGTGCTACGGTTTGGCCGTACCCCTCTTCCTGCTCGGGGTCTTTGTGGGAGGTCGCGTTGCCGGTACACATAAACTAAAGTTTGCGCGCTGTAGACGAGTCCCCCTCTTATGTCTGTGATCGTTTATATGTTCATTTGAGCCTCACCTTTGACCTACCGACAGCCATGTCTGAACAAACGTTTGATATCCCAAAGGAGTGCTGGGCCGGCGGTCAGTGTCCCTCATGCCTAATCGCCCACAGTAACACCCGTGAGGCTGACCAAGTCGCAGTGGTCAAGAATGAAGGGCCGGACTTTTATGTCGAGGTCGAGAAGGTCCCAGTGCCTGAGATAGGTACGTGGACCAAGGATGAATTACGTCCGGCGTCCCCTACTTGACCAGCATTGACGCCACGGGCAGAACCGGACGAGATCCTCATCAAGCTCAACGCCACTGGCTTGTGTCTGTCAGACATCCATTTCATGATGAACGACTGGAATCTGCCCAAGATGTCGGAGCTTGGGACCAAGTGTGCCGGTCATGAGGTAGGAATAACGAGTACGGACTTACTTGTACCACATCTAACGCATTCCAGGGTGCAGGAGTCATTGTCAAAGTCGGCGACAAGGTGACGAATTTCAAGCCCGGCCAGCGAGCCGGCTACAAGCCGATCCAGGACGTCTGCCATAGCTGCGCGTACTGCAAGGCCGGCAAGGAGTCGTACTGCACCAAAGTTGTCTTCACTGGGTGCCACATTGACGGTACGAGAGCGTCATGGTGCGAAGGCTGCCGCTGATTCCTCGACAGGCTCGTATAAGCAATACGTGAAGTGCCCCGAGCGGTATATGACGATTATCCCAGACGGTGTTTCAGATCACGTTGCTGGACCCGTCATGTGCTCCGCGGCAACGATCTACTCTTCTCTCAAGCATTCCGGCCTTCGAGCAGGCGAGTGGGCCGTCTTCCCAGGTTGGTCAATTCTCTTGCGAGCAGAAAGCCTGGCTCACCCATTGACACAGGTGGCGGTGGTGGCGTCGGTATTCAGGGCGTGCAGCTCGCCACTGCTATGGGCTTGAGATCGATTGTTGTCGATACGGGTGACGAGCGAGCGCAACTGGCTAAACACCATGGCGCCGAAGTCTTCCTTGACTTCCAAAAGGAGGAGGATACGGCAGGCAAGGTTGTAGAGCTTACAGAAGGAGGTGCCCATGGGGTCTTTGTGACCGCTGTTCAGGCGTACCCCACAGCACTGGGCTATTTGGGCCTCCGTGCAGGCGCAAAGGTCATGTGGTGCGTATTGAGAGCCGTCTCAGGGAGAGGGATACTGACGCGGAGCAGTATTGGCCTGCCACCAGCTGGCAAGTTCCATATCGACCTTGATCCGAGCCAGCTTGTCTTCCGCAACCAGTCGATCCAAGGCACACTAGTCAGCAGCGCGCAGGAAATCGACGAGACTTTGGATTTTGCCAAAAGAGGTACAACATGGACTGTTTGAGCACTCAAGAAGGCTACTGACAAGAGCTAGGCAAACTGTCCCTGAAGCCAACCGTGGTCGGTCGCTCAAAATGGAACGAGTCGGTCCAGAAGCTCAAGAACGGTCAGGTAGCGGGGTAAGATCATGTCCATTGCGCTGATCAAGAAGCGATCGCTAACCGGAGACAGCCGCATTGTCGTTGATTTCAATATGGAGTAGAACCTCAATGGTGATGTGATCGAGGTCGGAGCATGGGATCGGCGGGAAGACAAGGCCACCCGCAGAGGGACATCCCGGCTGCAGCTCACGGTGCATGCTCATGGTAAGCCAAACAAGGCACAGTCTTTGAGCCTTGTATGTACGCACAGGTCTGTGTACGTGTAGCCTTCCAGCAAGACCCTGACCTAATAGGCGGACACTTAGTCAGGTTGTTTCGAATGAAGTATGCGTCCATATTCTGATCTAGCCAGCTTCTACCGGACAGCCGAGTACTGCACGTATTCTCCCCTGTGCACTTGAACGCACGAATCACCATGTGAGGCGTTCCAATATTAAACACCATACCAGGCATCGTGCAGTCGGGCTTGCAGGTCGAGTGAAGTCGAGCTATTCTTAGGGCTCCAGGCATGACTGGCCGGGGCAGCGCCCGCTAGTGGACTGCCAAGGGCGCGTGCAGACGACCCTTGCATCCAAACCAACACGCTTCTTTTCCTCTCTCCCAATGACAACGCTCTCCTCGGCGGCTCTGCGTGATGGCTGCTCAGACGCATGCAGCCTCTCTATGCCCGTGCCGCCGAGCTCGATATGTACGAGAACGAGGGAAATGATACCGGTGAGAGCTGGGTTGTTGAACACACGACCATGACTTTCTCCATCCTTCCTCCACCATTCCCCGTTGCTTTCTTTACACATGGTCCTGGTGACATTCTGCTGTTTTGGTGTTCCAGTTCTTCTCGCATAATTGAACGCAGGCCGTCAAAGTCGCTGTCGCAGCAGGACTGTGCATTCTTCCTCAATAAAACCTCCGGAGAGCCTGAGCCATGGCAGCCGGACAGCCATTCTCTCTCTTTCCGCGGGGAGTCCCCAAGCTTATCACGCCTAGTCCTCACAGGCGCAACCCGAGTCTACACACCGTCAAAACCATGTATGGAGATGAAGGAGATGAGCCTCTACCAAATGGTGGTGCGATCCCTCTTCAGACGCGGACGTCGAGATCGCGCACTCCATCGCCTGAGAACATAGGCGTCGCAGTTACTACCGCCTCTCCAATCGATGGCGCCACACCCTCTCCGCGCCATAAGCCAGCAGGATACTCAACTCCGCCCCCGCCCCCGCCTCCTCCACCGCCGCCGCCACCACCACCACCATCAACAATGGCACATTCGCCCCAGGAGCCGTTGTCAGGGAGGTCCGGCTCAGCTACGCTTATCGCCGAAAGCACCAAGTCTCCAGTCGTGCCAATCCGCTCCATGTTCCCAACCTACAACCCCAACGTACCCCTTGCCCAGCAGAATTACTATCCGCAACGATTCGCAGCCAGAGCATCCAGTGTATATCCAGCCAGCTTCTCTCGTGAAGAATACCGCAATAGCATCACTACGCCGATTGATCGTCAGCTAGGATATCGAACTGCTACACCTTCGGTCGTCAACTTCAATGATGCCATGAGCATGTCGGAAATTCCTCAATTCTCTTCACATCGCGAACTCGAGAAGTTATGGGAGGCGTCCCACGGGACCGAACCGAGTTCGCTGATCAAGACGTTCGATCTAGAGATGACCAGGTAAGGCGAGGTTGCCTGACCGGCACCATACCCACTGACGATTTGCAGAACGGCTGAAGCTACCTTCACTTTTGGAGCAGACCCGCAGTACCCCTTCTACACCCTCAATACATTCGATACCAACGAAATCTCCGTAGCTAAGACCAACCCTGTCAAGCGATCGGATGTCCGAGAAGTTGTATTGTCTGCTCTTGAATCCCCCGAAAGACGTCTGCCACCGCATGATGGTCTTGTTTCGTTCATCTTTCCTAAGATGGCAGCAATGATGGCCCTTAACCAGAGTACCGAGCTGGCCAAGGCACACCAGTTGGCGTCAACTGACCGAGATGATGTGGAAGCCGCCGCAATCCGTCGTGCTGCGGCTCAAGAGGCCTGTCATCTCCGGTGGAATGCCGTGGCCAAGCACTATGAGGTTGAGCATCCAGCCATTGCTCGGCGAGCCAGAGATCCCGACTTTGTGATGTCTCCCGCCTCCGCACATGGCAGCGTGTTGTTCCCGGAGGGGAAGCCTGTGTTACACATCAAAATCATCGAGTCGACGCCAGGTTCTGCGCCTGTCATCACAGTCAGCAACCCCAGTGCCTCATCTACGACCAACGTGTCTGCTGGTGCCGGCATTCGACTGTCGACACTACCCCAGTCTGACTTCGACCGCCCGCTTGCCTCATTGGACCTCGATAAACATACCCTTCACGTCAACGCCGACCTGATCCTCAACCTGATGCCCTCACTCTTCTCCATAGATTGCGTCATCTGCGCCATATTCGCCGTTGCTATTGCCGACGAGTCTACAAACCCCATCTTGGGAGCTCTCCCGGTCTGGAAGGCTCGGCCTCGAGGCCCCGTGTCACAATACGGCGGGTCTGTCAAGTCATATGCCGGCAGCGCGTTCTACGCCACCCTCGCCGAGCGGGAGGAAGCGGAAGAGGAAGCCAGGCAGATGGAACAGGACCACAAAAAGGACGTCAAGGAGAGTCGGAAGCTCTCATCTACGGACGCAAAAGTTAAGAAGACGTGGTACGGTGGTACGAAGAAGACCAAGGCCGACAAGAAAAAGAAACAGATCGTCATCGGCGAGTTCGATCTCGAGAAGTTAGGGCATTATCAGGCGGGCGACCGCAAGGGACAAGAGCTGCCTCCGGTCGTCAGAGGAGTCATGTCTGTGCTGGTGGGCACGTTGCGATTTGTGACGTGGCTGTTGACGCTGATCGTGAGCTTCATCTGCTGGGTGCTCGTGGGTATGACAAGGTGCGTCACGTCGGAGAAGTTTTGAACCTGCATTTCTCCGGAGGTTCGGGGTGACAAGAAGGTGGAGAGCTGCCTGCCTGGGGGCGCTGTAATAGAGTTGAGGACACACGGTACCGGAGGACCACTGTACAATCAATGAGGAATGAACATGACTTTGGCCACAACCCGAGTACGAGCGGTCTTTAGCTCTTGCTTGTCCTTGTGAGGCAACTGGCAGCGAGCGAAATCTGAAGCTTGGACTCTTTAGAGGGACTTGCCACTGGAAGTAATGATGAGCGATCCTGACTCCAGAACCCTTCACCATCTATCCAGCCAGCGGAGCCTGTACGTCTGCTTACATAACATGTGTCCTGCGGTGGCAAGCGATCTGATAAGATTCGCAGCGTCGAAGACACGTTGCCTCCAATTCGAGGCAGCATTGGCTCGCTCGGGTGTTAGCCCAGGGATACATAAGCCAGAGCCTCCATGATCGACGCCGGCTTAGTCAAGCACAATGTTCTAGAGCCCAATCCATTACGAACCCCCTCGAACGGCTACCCCGGATTTCGGAACTGGAGCATCTTCCAGCCGCCGTGGACCCCCGATCAGCACATCCATTGGCCACAGCCACCCATCTGACCTGATGACCGGCGACTACATCACTGCTCCATCGACAATATAAATCCCAGCCGACGTCTCCATCATCAGACCAGCCAGCACCTCCCTCCAAACTCACATGTTCGCCCGAAAAGCCCTATCTCGCCTCCCAACCACGACCACAGCCATACTCGGCCGACAAACACTCAACCTGACCCGCAGACGCACCATGGCCACCGGCGGCACCGTGCACCTCGACGCCAGCGCCACGCCCGGCATCCACCACGCCACGACGGGCCTGACGACCGAATCCGCCAAGAAAGCGTCAGAACTCCTCCAACGCAACCATGACGACAACCACATCTTCTTCAACGCCTCGGGCTTTCACAACCACATCGCCCACCACCTGCTGGCCCTGTACGCTTTGGGCGCATCGCCTCAGCAGCTACAGCACGCCTTCGACAGCAACCAGGGCTACCAGCGCAAACAGTTCCCGCTGGATGCCGGCAACGTGCAGGACCTCTCGGATCCAGAGCGGTTCAAGGAGTGCTTGGGCAAGGAGAAGTACTACCACGACTTTGAGGCGTTCTTTGGGCGCGAGATTGATGAGAAGGGATATGAGGCGGTGGTCAAGGAGTATCTACTCAAAGGGGATGAGAGGGCGGATGATCTGCTGTGGCGGACTTATGCTGGTAAGAAAGAACCTGGTTTTCCTATTCCACCACCGCCTATCCAACTATCGAGGCCTCCCCCCCCCCCCACCCCAATATTCTAACCGTCCCACAGGATTCTACCACCCTCTAATCCATCTCGGCTACGGCATCGAATTCGCCCAACCCGCCATCATCGCCGAAGCCCTCGCCCAAGCCGCCGTGCACGACAACTGGACCGCCTCCTTCCTCGCGCCCCTCAAAGCCCTTCCCACCCCCACCCCTTCCGACACGCCCACCCCTCTGACCCAACTCCTCACGCGCTGCCGCGCCGACGCCACCCTCGCCGCCTCCGCCCACGACTCAGACGGCAACAAAGTCCGCGACGGCGTCCTGGCGCGGGCCCCGAGCCAAATGCTCGCCATCGCGCGCCAGTGGTTCGTGGCCCGGCCGTTGACCGCAGAAGGACTGGAGCGCGCGACGGCCGAAATGGTGGCCGCGTGCGCGTGGTTCGCGGGCGCGGCGCAGCGGCCCGACCTGGGCAAGATGGTCAAGTTTGACTTTTTCTACATGCACTGCGTCAACTGCAGCGTGTTCTTCAGCGCGATCGTGAGGCAGGGGTGGTTGAGTCTGGAGGAGAAGGCGAGGCTGCTGGAGATGAAGGGCCGCATGGACCTGGCGCTGTATGTGAGTCGTGGGTGTCCGGAGTTGAGGGGCGGAGAGGTCAGTGGGTATGAAGGGGTGGGGAAGGGGGAGGAGGAGCGCAGTTGGGAGGGCGTAAGGAGACGGGTGGCGGCGTATGACGACGATGGGCATGCGGCCAAATTGGTGAGGGCTTTGGGGAATGGGGAGAGCGTGTGTCGCAGGTGGGAGGGGGAGGTGGGCGAGGAGGTCCTGCCCGTGCGAGGGGATATGTGGTTGCGGCTGGGGAATATGGCTATTGATAGTGTGGAGGCTGGGGGCCCGCGGTGGGTGCGCAACGCGGGCTTTGATGCTGCGTGGGAGGAGGTGCCGGAGAGGGAGAAGGCGAGGCTGTGAATGAGGGTTGGTATCGCTACCGTACTACCGTGTGTTTTGATTCGGACAGATGTATGTATGTATCATCATCGCGCAGCGCATCAAATGTTTCTTGTAATGATTCGCGCAGGTCTTTCTCGAACGCATACTTCCCTGCTCCCCCCTCTCCTGGTCAACCAAACGAGAGGAGTTCGGCAGGCTCTCGAGATCTCAGCCTTGAGCCTTGGATTGCTTCTGTCCCTTGTCAAAAGCATGACACGGATCGGCGGTCGGGTGATCCCACATAAATCTTGCTTACAGAGTCACTGAGCCAGAGGTCCTTCCCGTGAGCACTAATGGTAGCAAAGCTAGTGTATCTCGATGGTCAATGAAACCAATGTCGACAGCGACGTCCTACTTACGGCTTTCCGAGATCGGGGTTCGTGCATGGGTAGATATCTGTAGGCTGTCCTTTGTAGGCCAGCATCAAAGATCTAATGCGCTTCGTGTTGCTACTGTATAGAAGCAATCAAGGACAGATGATATATTCACCAGGCCGGTCTTGCGATGGCAGTGGGTCTTTTCTTAGGTCGGCTAATTTGAGATATATCATCAGCTAGGCACTAACAAGCTGGGGTGTAGAAGCTCCAGACCTACAGAGAGGTCTTCAACTTTCATGCCGGCACTATCGTCACGGCCACGTGCGAATCGATCAGCACGCGTCACCCTCTACCCAACGGCAAGCGTGATCCCTACGTTCTCGTTGGTTGGAAGAATTCCCTTCCCATCGAGCTGAGCTCTGCCTTCGAAGACTTGCGGGGAAATTCCCACGCTTTCGCCCATCTCTTTACCAGAGATGATGAAATCCCGAAGGTCATCACACTGCTGTGCAAATCGGAGAGTCCGGGGCACTGGTGAATGGGAAAAGATGTTGGAGGAGATCTATGAGAGTCAGGTTGTGAAGCGGGGTCTTAAGAAGGACGGCAAGCTGGGCACGAATACTCAGGCCTCTGGCGGTGCGGTTTCGATCAACGCTAAGAAGGAAGCCGGAGTTGGTGAGCAGTCTATCAAGAACGTCCAGGACAAGCTTGCTCCAGATGTTGTTGCTACCATCGCTGCTGGTGTCCAGAAGCTCGAGATCGCCGACGACAAAGCTAAAGAAGTCGAACGTCGGGCCGAACAGAAGACGCAAGGCAAGAATGCACCCGCTGTCGCTGACGCTACCGACTCATCGAAGACCGAGGGCAAGTACGACAAAGCCAAGAAGACTCCATCTGCCGACAAGGTCAAGCAAGGAGGCAGAATCACCAACAAGTCTGGCTTCGCCAGCAGCGTCATGGTCAAGGTCTGGCTAGCTGAGGATGCTTAGCGCTCTCTGCTATATTGTAGAGCTTTGCTATTCCTTTGACCACATGCACTGAAGCGTCTCCATGAGAGCGACGTTGGCGAGAAACGGCACTGGTGGTAACGGGCGATTGTGAAGCGTAAGCGACCAATTTATCTCCGCGATCAGGACAAGGGCATGCTCTGGATTCGTGTGCTCGATTGTCGACTTCATGTCCTCAATTGACAACATGATACTCTGCCTTAGGCAGGCTTCCGACAGGAAATGAAAGACTCAAACTTAGGACCAGGTCCTCTGCTTCGCAATTGAGCCAGTTTAGTAAATCGCCGCTAATTGCCAGCTTGCTCGCCGCTTAACCTGGCCAGCTCCTGTTGGATCCACGCATGGTCCCCTTGAATAGCAGGCGCCCCAGCAGCACGTGCCATACACTCCTCAAAGAGCGTCTTCAGCTTTCCAACAAAGGTCTGTCGCGCCTTGAGGAAGCCAGTTATGTCTCCATGGTTTCTCAGGTGCTCACACTGACACCGCAATAGCTGCGCCAGCGAGTCGTGGTCCTGCAGAGCGCGTATAACGGCAAAGTCTGTTTCCGTGCGCCTCTTGCCAGCCGGTACAGGCGGAGGGGCCATGGCCTTGAGAAGGGCGTCTAGTTCTTCGTACATGTCGTCGATGTGTGGGGCTATGACGCGAGATGATAGCTTGTCCGTCAGCTCTTTCGCAAACAGGGGGTCCAGTCCTTGACAGAGCACGATTGTTCGGTTGCAAAGCCTAGTCAGCGGCAGAAAAGGTTGTAAGCTCTCCGGTGGCCCTGTCTCGAGCGCTTCGTGTAGCAGGAGTCCACCACTGGCATAGGCGCGAAGGGTGAGGAATTGCCAGTGAGGTGTCCTGTCTATCAGCCTGACTACCTTGCGAATCTCTTGCTGTAGCGAATGCATCGGATATCTGCCGTGATGGCGACGAGCGTTGATCTGGATGCTTACGTGATTGGTCCTGGCTGTGATTGCAGGAGGGATGCTGTCAGTCTCGAACGAGCGGCCGATATACACTGCACGAGACTCGTACGGCGTAGGAGTTCCGTAAAAGCTAGGAAGGCCATTGGTGTAGATCTCGAAATGAAGCATATGGCCATAGAGGAGCTCAGAACCCTCGGTGTAGAGCTGGCTGCACGTGTGAAGAATGGCTGGATATAGTTCAGGAGGATACGGCGCACGGTAGAAGGGAAGCGGCCCATCGCCAGGGTTGGAGAGTAAGAGCTCTACCAAAATAATACGGCGGACCTCCACGGGGAGGGCTAGGAGATTGCGAGTGTCCATGATGGCGGGTCATCAACGTAGCCCTCGTCGTCGCTGGCAGTAATCGCTATCTGGCTCGACAGTTTTATGCAGCGATGACGTTGATCATCGGAGTCGAGACCCTCCCTTGAACGGGGCCAGAAGGTGGAATTGGTAGACGATCACGCTAAGGGCTCAACGCATGAACAAGCCCTCCGCAAAGGAGAAACGCCCTTTGGCCACGAAATGAGGGGATGCTGGGACGTGCAAGGTCCGATGGGACAGTGCTGCGAGGTTGAACACGACTGATGACTGCCGCCAAGGCTGGCCGGGTGCTGATTGGATGACATTAAAGCAGACTGCCCTTACTCCCTTCAGCACGACTTGTTTGTGACATGATCGCACGGTGATGGCGCAGGCGGAATGCGTTAATATAGATGGGTCGGGTGTGACAGAGGAGGAGCAACATTCGTGGAGCCTACGAGGACGACTCTTTACTTGACCCATCCACTCTCTCCGCAAGCCCCATCCTCTCCAGCTCGTCAGCGCTCAGGCTGACTTGCTCAGTCTCCTGGTCAGCGGCCACACCGCTTTCCACAGCTTCTAGCACTTTCCGTGCTTGGTCGTCCTCCACTCCTGCGGCACTCGGGCTCTCCATACCACTCGTGTCGTTCGAGTCTCCGAATCTGCCCCAAATCTTCTCCCTTTTAGGATCTTGGCCTCTTCCAATGCTCTTCATCTGGTAACCTCGCATGCGAGGTCCTTTATCCTTTCCTTGTCCAACTCCGAAATCCTCTTCGTAATGATTTCGAAAGGTCGCTACTTCGGCATCGAACGTGCCGCGCTGAATACTGGCGCGAATGCCCAAAAAGAACTGATCCATCACCTGGAAGTTGTGGATCTGCAGTAGAGTCCACGCCAGCATTTCTTTGGCTTGGAGAAGGTGGTGAAGATACGCACGATGATGACGCGTACAGGTGTAGCATTTGCAGCCCATTCTTAATGGTTCGACGACTGTCGCATTTGAGCTTGACCACAGATCCATTCCCATAGACTGCTGCTGTTCGTCTCCTGGTGGTGCTGGGAACTCAAATACAAAGGCAACGCCTTGCTCAGTGATGGCGGTGACGAAAGGAGTGGTGATCAAATCCACTCCATGCGAGACAGCGCGTAGTAACTCATGAGGGTTGGCTGGATCTGATATGCAGAAGCGTGGTAAGTGCGATAGCTGAGTTGGAACGATCTGAGCGCTTGGGGGGTCGTATAGACAGACACCGGAGAGCTCGTTCTTGTACTCAGCCGCCAGGTCGGATAGATAAAGCTGTTGCTGTTCTTGGTTCAGCGGTAGCACAGAAGCAACTATTCCGGAAGGAGTCGCTCTCGATTCCTGTTTCTCAATTGTATCCCGGAGCCAGGCATGAGTCCTGTCAGCCATTCTCTCCATTCTCTTCAGGCTGACCTTGTCTGCATCTGCAATATCAGCCAGCGTCACCACAACATCAGCTTTCAGCCTCTCTGTCGCGTCGAGATAGTCCTCCAGAGTGAGTGTTCGAAATCCAACCGAGGTAGATATGGCAACAGAATTATCGGTATTTTGCGACCTGCATCGGATACGAGGGACTCGTCGAGGACCGAGAATGGAGAGGCATCTTTGCGATAATGCTGTGAAGGACGTTAAAGGCGTCTGGGCTCCGGACGTTGGCGATTCGAGTATAGGCGCATTCTGCGTGGACTTCTCGGTGACTACCTCATGTCTGTGAGCGCGGGGGTCAGCAGGGGATTGCTGCGGCGTGGAAAGTTACTCACAGTCTTCAAGCCCAACATACACAGCTGATATCTGTGTATGTCTCTCCAGCAGATCCGGCGACAGGTGGGGGATCACGCCGCGAGACGATGGAGGCGCATAGTGTGGTGTGGAGATGGAGTTGCGGCCACAAGCGACGAGCTGGCCCAGCCGCGGACCGGGAACGGCGTGAGTGCCTGCTTCGAGGATGAACTTGAGCATCTCTTCAGGAAGTTGCGCCATCGACACAGACTCTCCATTACAGGTCGCAGCCATCAGTCCATGCTCGTTTGCAAGATAAAAAAGTGCCTGCGATATTACAAAAGTTTCGGACACACTTCGGCGAAGGCGTCTTGGCGCCCCTTTCCTCTTGCAGCCTTGTCTGAGCATTGCACTTGGGCGTCAGTATCTAGGGCGCTCAGATTGCAGGGTCGCATATAGCAAACTAGGTACTGTTCGATCCCATGGACGATTAGCTATGATGCCTTCAGCCGGGAGAGCTGATCTGACCTGTGTGGTTCAACAATTACTGCCTGAAGCGCTTGGCATGTGCTGAACCAACGGTACTCGAACCATATATCCCAGGCTGCAATCAGCCAGGCAGATGTTGGCTATCAAAGACTATATAAGAATCTTTATGCCCCCATGTTGCATCAACTTCACATCTCGTACTCACACTTAAGATTCTCTAGTGCACAACCGCCGGCTAACCTTATAAATACATTCTCAGCGTTCAATTAGTCACAACATGAAGGTCGTCTCTATCCTCTCCGCTGCTCTGCTGGCTACGTCTGTAGCCGCGACCCCCATGAGCATCACCGCTGCCTCGGCCTTGGCCTCGGCGCAGCAGGTAGCACAGGTGGTAGAGGCCGAGCCAACCGGGCACGTCCTGCAGAGGCGTGAAGACGGCCTCCGGGTTCAGAACCCTCCGGCAGGCAAGGACCTCGGCGACTACATCCGCGAGCTCTTGTCTCAAAATGGCCGTAAGGCTGAGGAGGCTACGGCGGCCCTCCTCGTCGACCGCAAAGACTTTGCGCTGCGGGAAAAGGTGTTGGCTGAGCTGATCAAGCCCTTGAAGGCTGACAGGCAAGCCAAGCTTGACCGTTGGTTGGAGGACTTGCGCAAGGAGTAAGTAGAAGCCGATCTCAATAAGTCGTGCGCTGATAGGCTGTAGGTACGCTGACAAGCTCAGAGAGTGCCCATACGGCGGTTGTGGCACGAACAAGTGCTGGTATCCCAAGGGCGGGGACAGAGAAAAGGCCCTTCTCGATATAAGCTGTAAGTTGGCTTTGTCTGTGTCTATTCTGACCTCATTTCGATGCGTGGGCTAAGGAATGGCTGTCAAACAGGCATCGGCGATCGCAACTTTGCTCGCCTCACCGTCATGAGGTCCGACATCGATACGATCGAGCAAGAGATCAAGGAAAGAGTGGCTCTCGTTGAGAAGCTGCCGGTCGTGCCCTCGGTGAGGTTGAGTGGCGATTGGTCCTGCACCGGGACTCGAAAGGGTCTAGCTGGATGCCCTTCCATCACCGTCAGTCCAGTAACCACGACGATGACTTGGTCGATCGTCAAGGATTTCTTCGGGATTCAGGGCATGGCAAAGAGAACGACGCTCGTCTTGACGACATTCGAGGACGTGGAGACGATGCATGCAGAGTACCCGCTCGTCACGGGTTTGTCGGAGAATGGCCCAGATGTGGATCAAGTGGCAGATAACGCATCAACGTACCGCTATGTCGGCGGTTGCGCTATGTGCCACTAGGCTAGATGCTTTTTCAAAACTGGCAGTGCGAGTTGGGCTGAGCCGCTGTGTTCTAGGTGACTTGTCCGTGTATGGAAGTTGGCGGAGAAAGCTAGCCATTTGTCTTACAACGGGCTTGTATATTGTAAGTCAGAAACAAAAGATTCAGTGTGTGTCAGCCACGCATATAGCTATCCAATCCACAATGCTGAGCTCCGTTTTCCGGCGCACCGATGGTTCGAGCCATGTTGACCCCATAGCGTATATGTGCAATTGTCCCCATTCACAGACGAGGCGGTGCTTCACCCCCGCTTTCGCACACAATTCCGCCCAATCTTTTGAATCTTGGAGAGCAAACTCGCCCGCGCCGACAAGTATCAGCTGAGGGTTGAGACCATGTATATCGCCCGGTTGCTGGTATAGAGGGTTCACATCAAAATCGGTTGGCGGAATATCACGCAACCATAGTGAGTAGAGCGCAGGCGTTGAGTTGTTGGCACCAATGACATAGTCTGTTTCGACCAGCGCGTTTCCACCGTTGTGAGCGGGCATGGTCGCATCCATCCATGGAGAGACGAGTATACTGCCTGCCGGCTGTGCGAGACCTTGTCGCTGACATTCGATACCACTGAGGATACTCAACCCACCGCCTGCTGAGTCACCCATGAACATGATCTCGCTTGGGGGAACACCAGAAGCCAGTAGATGACGATAAGCTCCCAGAAATGCATCTCTTTGAGCAGGGTGCGGAACTTCGCCAGACAAGGGGTACTCGACGGAGACGAAAGCCAGATCAAGGCCAGCATCTTCGGCCACGCGAACCCATCGTTCCATATAGTTCAAGTACATCTTAGCCTCGCCACGAGCGTAGCCGCCTCCATGAGCATACACAACTGTGCATCGTCGTCCCGACTTCTTTGTGCCGGGCTTCAACAGATGAACTTTGTCGCCTGGCACCAAATATGCCTTGAAGCCGTCGCCAACGACCAGTCGCGCTCGCGATTCGGTCACAGGACCAACTGGTAAGCGATGCGTGAGGTCAGGAAAGGTGGCGGAGCATGATGACAGGTATGCTCGTTGCAACTGCAGCCGCAAAGGCTGGTAATGGGGTAGGTGAGCAAGTAGAAGGCGGCGAAGACAAACAAGAAGCGATTGCGCGAACCAAGTGTAGGCGAACTTGCACGTCTTCAGAGGGTTGCGCAGGAGGAGCAGCAGTAAGTTCATTGTTCCCAAACGCTCGCTGTCACTTCAGCATGGCGCCGGTAAGGTCTTCAGCTGACTGAAGCTTGGAGTCAGCTGTCTCAATTGGCCTCCGTGAGACGACCTACCTGGTCTACCTCGGCGGTCAAGACGAGATGGCATGAGTGGAGAAGGGGTGGGTGTGGAGGTGAGGAGGTGCGAGTGGAGAAGTACCCCAGAACCCCAAGCCTCAAATCCGACGTCTCTCGGTGCTCGGCGATGTGATTATCTTCCCGTTCGGAGGATGCTGGCTATCCTACGCAAGTCTATCGCTTGCTCAGTCGGCCCGCAATGCCTTCAATCTGCTCGTGGTGCCGAGGCCAGCGAGGCATGCATTCCGGGTTCAGGTGCAGATCATGCCACGGCAGGGGGAGGCCTGGGCAATGAAAGCGTGTACAAAGGATCGCTTTCGAGCTATAGCTCTCAGCTGAGCACTTGTTGATATCTTGTTGATTTATTTAGCGGCACCGAAATGACACCCATGGCAGTTGACACTCAGGACCCCCAATCAGTCTCCCTGCCCATTGTTAGCAATGAGCAAGTGGCGGAACTCATCACTCAAGAAGTGATGCACAACAAACTCAAGAATGGCGCCGTCACCACAATCGAAGAGACCAGCTTGGTAGATGACTACAGCATCCGGGAAACCCCCATGGGCACGAAGCGGAAGGTCAAGGTCATCTTCATGGGCGCCGGCTGCAGTGGCATCAACTTCGCCTCGCAGTTTCGTAAACGGATGCAAAACGTTGATCTGACCATATACGACAAGAACCACGACTTCGGTGGCACGTGGCTGGAGAATCGCTATCCTGGCTGTACGTAGTCCAAGGCCTACGAAACCCGCTCCCTCTCCAATGAACAAGAACTAATCGATACTCAGGTGCGTGTGATATCCCCAGTGTATCCTACCAGTACACCTGGGCTCGCAAGCCAGACTGGTCACGCTACTACTCGGGCTCCCAGGAGATCTGCCAGTACTTCAAGGCGGTCGCTCTGGAGAACAACGTCCAGGATTACGTCAAGTTCAACCACAGGATCGTCCGTGCTGAATGGCTCGATGACCGCTCCAAGTGGGCCGTCACGGTTCAACGCAACAACGACCCGTCAGATACATTTGTCGACTACTCGGACTTTTTCATCAATGGTGGTGGTTTCCTCAACAGCTGGAAGTGGCCTCAAATCAAAGGGTTGGAGTCCTTCCAGGGTCCCAAAGTTCATACAGCCAACTGGGATGAGTCTCTGGACCTTACAGGCAAGAGTGTTCTGGTTGTGGGCATCGGCAGCTCTGGCGTGCAAGTTGTGCCCAGCATCTTGCCTCTCGTCAAGAGTCTGTATGTCGTGGCCCGCTCATCCACCTGGATTACCGCTGGCTTTGCGCCAAAGTACGCGGGTGAAAATGGCGAGAACTTCCACTACTCTGAAGAAACCAAGCAGCGGTTCAGAGACGACCCCGAGTTTTACCGAATGTATTGCAAGGCCGTTGAGTCGGAACTCAATCAACGCTTCAAGATCGTGGTAAACGAGTCGAAAGACGCACTCGATGCATTAGAATACTCATCCAAAGAGATGCAGCGGAAGCTAGCGACCCGGCCTGACCTGCTAGAGCACTTGATGCCCAAGAACTTCGGCATTGGCTGCCGGCGGCCAACACCCGGCAACGGTTTCTTGGAGTCTCTGTGCGACCCAAAGACGACGACGCTCACCAAGGAAGTCCAGGAGATCACACCCACTGGCTTCATCGCTGCGGACGGCAGCAACCACGACGTCGACATCATCATCTGTGCCACCGGCTTCGACACATCCTTCAGGCCACCGTTCCCCGTGCTATGCAACGGACGCAACATCCAGGACGACTTCACTCCAACAGGCGGCCGCGCCAGCAACCCCAACGCCGGCCTGGGATACTTAGGCATATCAGCGCCCGAAGTTCCCAACTACCTGGTCTTCTGCGGTCTGTACGGCCCCATCGGCCACGGTAGCGTCTGCCCCATGGTGGAAGCCTACACAAACTACGCATTCCAAATCATCGCGAAAATGCAGACCGAGGACATCAGCAAGATACAGGTACGACGCAAGGCTGCCGAGCAGTTCAGCAAGCACGCGGACCTGTTCGTCAAGCGCACCGCGTGGTCGGGGCCCTGCAGCAGTTGGTTCAAGGCCGGTGATGCGGCGCGCAAAGCCACCATCTGGCCTGGCAGCCGCATTCACTACCTCACCATGCTGCAAAAAGTGCGGTTCGAGGACTTTGACATTGAATACCACAGTGGCAACGCGTTCAATTTCCTGGGTGATGGCTTTGATGTGCGCGAGAATGACGGCCGGGATTTGACCTGGTATTGTGGCCTGGTGGATGGCGTTGACAAGCAGCCGGAGAACCTGCCTGACGCGGTGTTCTAGGCAGCCGATGGCGACGGATATCTGGAACGCGGACAGAAGCAAATGGACGATATGCTACTCGAATCATTATGTTGTTTATGCATGTCACCGTACCTGTATCGTCAGAGCTCCCACGACTCTCCCTTCCAATTAGCTCCTACATGCCCCAACTCATATATGCATTCTAAGATAATACAACGCAGTCCGTTTTCGTCTCAGCACATGCCGTGGGTCTCATCTGCGCCTTCTTCCCCTGTCCGTTGCGAGCCTCATATCTCGCCCAAGCAGTGGAGACGTCAGTAACGCTATCTCCATCCTCAAGACCGTCGAACCAGGCTAGACCATGCTGCAGGCTCAGGGGGATGGAGATGACTTTGTGCTTCGGCCTTGACGACTTCGGCGGACAGGGGCACATCTTGGCGTATGCTCGGTGCCGACTCCTGAACGCCGACCAGCCAATCGCTAATGATTCGATGGGCCCCCCTTTGCCAATGCAGCCTGGGGTTGGAGGCAGAGTGGATAGCGTTGTCTACGCCTCGGGTTGCCCGCGAGGGCATATGAAGACGAGTCTGAACAGCCGGGACAGGGCCACGGAAAGAGACACAATCTCAGAGCCCATCAAACAAGGTCCGTCTTGGTTGGGTAAGCGCTTCGCCAGGCAGCCAACGATTCCAGCTTTTGGCCTACTAGACCAACAACGACAATGGGTCGCCTCGACGGAAAAGTCGCCGTCGTAACTGGAGGTGGTGCAGGCTACGGACGAGGTACCGCGACCAAGCTCCGTGCAGAAGGCGCTCAGGTTATCATCGCGGATCTCTCAGCGCCCAACGGTTCAGACGCGGCAAAGGAACTCGGGGCAGTGTTTGTGCACGCAGACGTGACCAAACGGGAGTCATGGCAGACCATCCTGGATGCGGCCATCAGCAACTACGGACGCGTCGATGTCGTGGTCAATAACGCAGGCGTGTGCTGTGTCAAGAAGCCGTCGGAGACCACGCCGGAGAGCGAGTATGATCTGATGATGACTGTCAATGTCAAGAGCATATTTCACTCAGTTGGTGTGATTGTGTCGCATTGGCTCGAGAAGAAGCAGACGGGCGCGTTCGTCAATATTGCGTCAACCAGCGGTGTCAGGCCGAGACCAGAGCTGACGTGGTACGCTGCCTCCAAGGCGGCGGTGATCATGGCGACCAACACGCTGGCCGTTGAGTATGGCGCCCGCGGCATCCGGTTCAACAGTGTCTTACCTGTAGTTGGCCGGACATCGATGTGAGTTGCTCACCAGGGTTATTGACCGCGTGCTGACTGAGACTAGGACCACAGAGATGCTATCTACCGCTGCTGGTCTAGAATCCTTTACGCACAACATTCCCATGGGCCGCATGTGCACCCCTGAGGACATTGGCAATGCAGTTACGTACTTGGCCAGCGACGAAGCAGCCTTCGTCACCGGCGTCAGTCTTCCTGTCGATGGTGGACGATGTGTATAACGAGGACCAAGACCCAAGCTAGCGCTCCATAGCCAGCTAGTCCATATAGTAGGCAAGCATCGACGCTCGTCCATTCAGAAGCCCGAGCACATCGACCCCGCTGGACGCCCATCAAGCCAGGCAGACTAGCATGCACAATTCCATGGCTTTCGTTTAGCAGGTACGCTAAGAGGTAGCTTCTCCTTTGATGTCGGCGATATCGAGACTCGGAGTTGGAGACCATCCGAGGTATTCGGCAGAAGGCCAAGAACCAAAGTCCGAGCCCAGCTCTCCTCCGCACTCCTGGCCCCTTTCCCCAGGCCCTCCACACACACATCCAACTCTTGTGGGGAAACAGAGCACGCGAAGCCAAAAGCGAATGCGCCAACACCGCCTCTAGCATGTATCACCGACCCGCCTCGTCGTTTGCGGTCGCCGACGCCTTGGGTCAGACTATAAGGCGGTATGGATCCCATGCACCTTCGGTTCTTCTTGGGTACTACCTCAGGCCACCTTACAACTTTTGCCCTCTCAAGGCACTCTCATCATAATCACTGGAACCATGACTTCCGATCCTCTCCCTCAGGCCAAGGAGAATGCCGATGTCCAGGTTGAGGATGTCGGCGACTCAAACATTGCCGAGAAGGGCTACGACAACCACCTGCCATACGTCGAGTATGACAAGAAGGAGACCCGGAGGATCTTGTGGAAGATCGACTGGAGACTGGTGCCCTTCCTGTCGGTCCTGTACCTGTGAGTGTGGAACAATGGCCTCCCAACAAGGCGTGCCCAGACCCGCTGACAATCCTTCAGCATGTCCTTTTTAGACCGGTCCAACATCGGCAACGCAAAGATTGCCGGCATGGAAAAAGACCTCAATCTCACGGGCCACCAGTACAACATTGCCCTTACGGTTTTCTTCATCCCCTACGCCCTGCTCGAAGTCCCCAGCAATATCATTCTCAAGATGATGCGCCCCTCCCAGTGGATCGCCATCATGTTGTTCGCCTGGGGGATCGTCATGACACTCATGGGTCTGGTCACTACCTATGAAGGCCTGGTCGTGGCCCGCTTCTTCCTCGGTGTTGGCGAGGCCGGATTTTTCCCAGCTGCGGCTTACCTCTTGACCATCTGGTAAATCTTCCCTTTTTCCCCAAGCCACCTGTGTTTGATCTGTCCAGCCGACTGATAACTCCAAACACAGGTACAAGCGCTATGAAGTGCAGCGCCGCATGGCCGTGCTGTACTGCGCATGCACCTTCTCAGGCGCCTTCAGCGGCCTGCTCGCCTTCGCGCTCGCCAAAATGGACGGCATCGGCGGCCTCGCGGGCTGGAAATGGATCTTCATCATCGAGGGTCTCCTGCCCATCGTCCTCTCGGTGCTGGTCTACTTCTACCTCCCAGACAGCCCCGCAACGGCCAAATTCCTCACGCAAGCCGAGCGAGACTTTATCGTGAACCGGCTGGTCTACGAGACGGGTTCGGGAGCCGGCAAGGTCTCGCACGACGAGAAGATCCGGTGGCTCCACATCAAGGACGCGTTCCTGGACTGGAAGAACTGGGCCGGCATGGTCATCTACCTCGGCGTCAGTGTCGGCGTCTACGGCTTCGTCGCCACCGTGCCCACGGTCGTGCGCGACCTGGGCTACACGGCCGCGCACGCGCAGCTCATGACCGTCCCAGTAAGCCTCACTCCCCATCTCCCATGCACCACATCAAAGTCCCCCAATCCCAAACTAACCTCCCTCCCCCCACCCACAGATCTACGTCGTCGCCATGCTCGTCGCCCTCACCACCGCTTTCTGGTCCGACCACGCGCAGCAACGCACGCCCTTTATCGCGGGCGCCTTCAGCATCGCCGCCATCGGCTTCATCGGGCAACTGGCCATCCCGCACACGCGCCTGACGGGCCTCACCTACTTCTTCCTCTTCCTGATCGCCATCGGCCTGTACTCGCCCTTTGTCTGCATCGTGTGCCTGGTGGGCAACAATTTGGCCCCGTCCTCGAAACGCGCCGTCGGCATGGCATTGGTCATCACGGTGGGCAACCTGGGCGGCATCGCGGGCAGCAACATCTTCATCGCGAGCGAGGCGCCGCGGTACCCGACGGGGTTCGGCGTGTGCTTGGCGATCGTGTGCTGCTCGATTGGCATGTCGTTGGTGGTGAGGTACCTGCTGAAGAAGGAGAATACGAGGCGGGACGCGTTCATGGCGGGCAAGACGGAGGAGGAGGTCAGGCGCGAGTTTGGGGATGACGAGGAGCGGCTGATTCATATGGGTGATAAGAGTCCGTTCTATCGGTACACTCTGTAGAGAGTGTCGGAAATGGCAGCGGTCAGTTGGCTGCCATGTGGCAGAGGCAACGGGCTAGCGTATTGATTCAAGACTCCTGGTGGACGACCGCCCCGTGGGTCATGATCTATGCTGCTCCTCACAGTAGCCTGCCAGCCAGTCTTCGGTAGCCTTGATTTTCACCGGTCCTTACCCCCACAACCTGTCTGTAGTTGGGTCATGACTGCTGTGCCTGCACGAGGAAGCGGCCCCTCAAACATCCTAACCCATTCCCCCACGCCCATATGAAAACATATCGTCATCAAGCTGCCCGAAAAAGCTCTCGCCCAAAAAGTCCTGCACCCACGGCTCCGGGAACGCGCCGTCGAGCTTCAACGCCGCATCGTCGAAGCGATCGACGTCGAAGACGTGCACGTCGCCGCCGCTGCCGCTGCCGTCAACACCTGCAGCGCCGTTGAAACTTCCGGTGCTGTCGTGGTTGGAGGTATGAAGTCCGGAGTCCGCATCGGCGCGCGCGCCGGAGGTTCCTTCTCGCAGGGTACTGGAGGGATCGTCTTTGAGCATCAGGCCGGCGCGCTGGACGACCCATTCGGATACGCGATGGATCCAGCGGGCCATGCGCCACTGGCTGGAGATATCTTGCAGATATGCGAGCATGGCGTGGATGTGGGCCTTTGCGGTCAATTTCTGCGACGCGCTGGCAGCCGCGTCGAGGCAGATCTCGATATGGAATGCCAGGAGATTGGCGGCGCAGACGATCCTATGATAGCGTTGGCTGGTGTGTAGGATATGCAGAGGACAAAAGGGGGGTGGTTGAAGGAGAAAGGGAATGACTCACATCGACGAAGGGCAGTATTGGATCAAGTTGTTGACGACGGCTCGATTCATCCACGTGTCGAGTTCGAACACGCAGCCCCACAGCTGTCGTCGGCACCATACCATGGAGGCTTCGTTGTCTTCTTGTGACATCAGCTCTCGAGAGAATCGGTAAAAGGTACACTCAAGTCGGTAGCTTAGCGCGTGTAGTACGATGATCCAGACGTTCTCGCGTGACCACGATCGAACGTGTGACGGGGACAGGACGTCTGGTAAATGGCTCCGCCATGCAGCGATCTCGTCGGCGAAGGTGCAGATTGTAGTATGGTTCCGGGGTAATTGGTTGGTACGAGATATCCTTAGAAACTTGGCTCCCAGACGGGCGACCTCACAGTTTTGGATAAAGAAGTGTTTCTGCAATGACGTGACTTCGGTCAGCATCGATCGGGCTGCTTCGCTGATGTGGTCTTCGGCCCAGTCGTCCTCGGTCGGAAAGGCTGTATCGCTTTCTTCATCGTTGATGGCACGGGCATTACCGAAACCCGACAACGAGAACAGTACGTCTCTGGACTGCTCGGGTCAGTCAGTGTCGTCAGTTGCATACGAAGTCCAACTTACGTAGAGGACCCACCATATGCGACGACACACTCTGTGAGTTGCGGGATCTAAGTCATTCTCAAGTTTTTGCCGATGGAGGCCTAGCTGTGTAGCAAGCCGAACTGCATTGTGGAACCAAAACCGATGGTCTCTTGCAGGTGCAAAGTGATAGTGAAAGGTGCTGAGTGGTATTGAGCCTTGTAGAATAGTAAGCTGGCTCCTCTCACAGCCAAAGTCGTGCAGTAATTGGGCTTTGCGATAAAAGTCGTGCTGGGCTTCGACCTTGTCTTGATACCCAGCCTGTCGTATCAGCTCCACAGGAGCATAGGGAACAACGTTGGCGAGTATACCAAAAAGGACGAAATGGGACAAGCTGCCGGTAGAGAACTCGAAGTAAAATTTGACGCGGTCAAACACCGGACAGTACGGGTGTATGTACTCGAAGTAGATCCTCAGCAGGGCTATACTAGGAGGAAACGTAAGAGGAGCCAAGTAGATGGCAAGCAACTTACCAGGTATCGTACGGAGGAGGTTCAAAGACTCGCTTCGCCTCGAGATACGCTTTATCAGCATCGTCAAGGTCGACCAGCTCACGCTGTTTCGCGGAGATATAGTTTGGACCTGGGAGTTCGACCCCAACTAGTCGTTTTGGCTGGCGATGTCCGAGTGCTTCGCAGAGAATGGAAACCGAGTTCAGTCGGTCGAGATACTCGACATGATGCCTAGCTGAAGCGCCACTCCGGTCGGGTGGGCCAGACAGTTGGGTCACTCTTGTACCGTCGGACATGCGATGCAGGGTCTGAATCTGAGCGTCTTCTTCGGACACCTGATATGGCATGTCGTGGGTAGTACTGGCACACGATGCTGGATGGGCTGATCTGCTTCCTGGCGTGGCGGGGTAGGTGACTTGCGTTGTGGGCGTGTGGGCGCCATCCTGATTGCGGCCCTCGACTGATCCGACGTGAGTGTCTTTGTTGCGTCGAGATCTCCGAGTTACCGGAATGCAGTGCTGTTGGCGTGCTTTGGATATACAGCGAGAACAGGGGGTGCCAACAGTGCCGGCATCACATTTGACCTTGCGTTCATGGCAAGGGACACAGGCGTTTGCTTTCTTGATGCGAGTCGCGCCGGCCATAGTTCTTTTTGCAAGTTAGATCCATTCTTGATTCAACCACATGGCCGGATCGCGCAGAGAGCGGATGCAAAGCTGGGAACGGAGATCGGAGGATGCACGATGTTGTCGAGGCTGTGTCGCCGAGGTTTGTGGGGAAAGCTGCTCGGCTACCGTCGCCCCCCAGACAGATGGGTTTAGGCTGGGACAGCTCGGGGGGGAACAGGCTCACAGCCAATTTTGGGGAACGTGGAGGATTTTGTGTGAGTACTATATCAAGATCCCAAACCATCTTCTTCATAATCCTACAGACAAATGACACTAACCCGTCGATGACCCTCATACCCCCTGTGCCTCTTGTGATCAGCCAGCGATGCCTGCCTCTTTCTCAATCTCTTCCATACTCGGACACCACCAGTCTTGCAGGCTCTTGTCAAGACTTGGACCATACGCATCCTTCGGCCACCATTCACCCCAGCTCGTGAGGAATATTTGTTCTGGATCATCCGGGAAGTTGGCCTGGTCGAATGCACGCAATAGATTCCTGGCTCCTATCACAACGTGCATCATTAGTCCGAAAGGCGATGGAAAAATAGACACACCGGTCTCCTTCCGAGGTGACTCCTCAAAACGTACCTTGTTCCACCGTCAACTTATCAGGCAGATGATCCGTATTAGGCACGAAATCTAGATGTCTACCAAGACCAGTGCCGAGAACAAGCCCTGGAGAAACTGCAAGAACCGTAGCCGATTGTCCCAGTTGCCTACGCCACCAGTGGGCTCCAAGAAATTGGGCGAACTTGGTTGCATGGTAGACTGCGAAGCCATCGGCGCCAGAGCCCGCTGAAACTTTGGTTTTGACTGTCTCTGATTTGATTTAGAAAATGGACAGAGAGAAAGAGGAAAGTGGTCACAACGCACTGATATCATCCTCTTTGATGCTGCGGATCAATCCCGAGGATACTACCACGACGCGCGAGTGTGAAGTGCTCAGTTTCTCGCGGAGAAGATGCGTGAGATAGTGCTGCGCTGCATGTAACCCAAACCGTCAGCTGCAAAGGGCGTCCGCATCCTGCTATGAGCGGCACCCAAGGCACTCGGGTTGATGATAGTGGGCGCCCACTTACAAAGATGATTGACGACATACGACTCACACCACGGCGACCCGTGCAATCCGGGGCCAATCGCAGCCTTGTTCATGCCCGCGTTGAGGAACAGGATGTCCAACTTGTCCTTGTTGAGGCGCTCGAGACTCTGCTGCGCAAAGGACTTGACCGTTCTCAGATCTGTGAGGTCCAGCGGCAGGATGGAGATGCTATGTGCTGTTGTATCGTATTGGACTCTGTCGTAGGCCGCCTGGGTGGTCGACGGATCTCGTGCGCCAATGATGAATTCGTACGGTCGGGATTGCTGTAGGAGTTGTTTGACGGCCTCGAAGCCCTGTGTTCATCCCTGTCAGCAGAAGGGAAGCAGGTTAGGAGGGGGGCATGGTATCCTGACCAGCCCAGATGAAGCGCCGGTCGCAACGACGGTTCGCGCCATAGTCGGCATACTGGAAGCCATGCGGCGAGACTCGAGTCGAATTGATGTTCGCAAAATCCTCGGTGAGACCTGACCCTATATATCTTATATGGTCGAAAGGCTATGATCAAGTCGGTCTACTTGATGTTGAAGCTGCCAGCTAAACCCTGTAACTCCGTTACATCCGATATGGTCGGGCAAGTACTCGGGTAGTCTAACCTCGTGGTCTGAGTCTTTGATTTTGATTCTCTCATAAAAGAAGGGTCAATCTTCGTGAATTTGCCATCGTTGACATCGTGATTATTAATATTACAGAAAAGGTTCCGCAGTACATTCGGGGTGTGGTGAAGACCACCATCATGCTCGTGCCGACGTCCAGGCAGTGAAAGTCTTGGCATCAAAAACCACATCTACGCCCTCGCCAGGCATCGTTCAAAGACTCTTCCAGGACCCAAAGCCAGACTTGATCGAGTCTACATCGACAGCCAGTATGTCAAGCCTGATACTGATCCCTCCAACGCCGGTTGATGGCCTTGATCGTCCCCAGGAAGCCATTCAAATGACGTCATTTGAACAGACACCCCCATGCCTCCACGCCGTCCATGTCCGTTCGATGACCGGGAGCTCGCCGGCCCCTCACCATGGCTTACTATCCTCGACCGTCGCCAGCATTAAGCCAGCTAGGACGCCATGGAAGCCTTCAACATCGTCGAAGCCAGCATCGACGACCACCGGAGGGCGCTGAACGATGGCGTCGTCACCAGCGTTCAACTGGTGGTCATGTATCTCCTACGCATCGCCAAGTACGATATCAAGGATGGACTACATGCTTTTACGCTGATCAACAACAACGTACTTGAAGAAGCTCGATTCTCTGACGAGCGACGAGCTAGCGGCCTCTCACCACGACCTCTAGAAGGAATCCCGTACACACTAAAAGACAGCTACAAGTACGCTGGTCTAACCGTCACCAATGGCTCACCCGCTCTGGAAGGGCTCATGTCGAGCGAGGACTCGTACGTAGCGTTCAAACTACGTGAAGCCGGAGCTGTGCTGCTGGGAAAGACCAACATGCCACCCATGGCCGCTGGAGGAATGCAGCGAGGCTTATACGGGCGTGCAGAGAGCCCATACAATCGCGACTATCTCACCGGCGCCTTTTCGAGCGGCTCTTCCAATGGCGCCGCAACTTCGACAGCCGCGAGCCTGGCAACGTTCGGCATGGCGTCCGAGACCGTCAGCTCGGGAAGGTCGCCTGCTTCAAACAATGGCCTCGTTGCCTACACCCCTTCTCGTGGCATCATCTCCTGTCGAGGACTATGGCCCCTCTACGTGACTTGTGACGTTCCGGTGCCATACGCGCGCTCAGTGAAGGACATGATCGAAATAGTCAACATTATTGCCGAGCCCGATCCCATTACCGCTGGCGATTTCTGGAGGCATCAACCACACATCCAACTTCCCCCACTGGAGAAACCGCAATACCAGCCTTCTTCCTGGTCTCAATCGCTATCAGGAAAACGGATCGCGGTCCCCAAACGCTACATCGGCGGCGTAGACTCGCATCCGAACGCGAAGGCTTCCGTGGTGAGCGCGGCCTGCATCGAGACCTGGCAACAAGCCCGCGCGGACCTCGAAGCCCTCGGGGCCACGGTGATAGAGACCGACTTTCCGCTCGTGTCCAACTATGAAGACGACTCAGTCTCTGGCGAAGCCAACAATGTCCAAGGCGCTCCAGAATGGTGGAACTCGTACGAGCGTGGCGCACTCTGTGCGAAAGCGTGGGACGATTTCGTAAGTCTTCTCCGTCTTTGGAAGGGCCGCTATGGTGCGACCGTTTCACCCCTACTGGAAAGCTTCGTGAGCCTTCGTCCGCAATACCTCTCTTACCATAACCCTCATTTCCAACAAGCACAGCTACTGACCCAATCCCCTCGCCACAGCTAATCGCCAACAACGACCCCCGCCTCAACACCATCACCGCCGTCAACCCCCACCTCCTCTTCCCCAAACCCCCCAACTACAAGCCCGACCACTTCCTCGAGCGCAAAAACTGGATCGACTACGCCTCCCTCCCCACGCTAGCCCAATCCCTCGCACACCAACAACCCATCCACTCCCTCCCCGGCACAGCCCAGACCCTCCCGGCCCTCGAAGCCCAACGCAAACGCGACCTCGAAGCCTGGCTGGACTTGCACGCCTTCGCCTGCGTCGTCTTCCCCGCGCAGGGCGACGTCGGCCCCGCGGACCTCGAGTTCAATCTGGAAAGCGCGCGCGCCGCGCTGCGGAACGGCGTGAAATACTCGCACGGCAACCGCGCGCTGCGCCACCTGGGCGTGCCGACCGTGAGCGTGCCGATGGGGACCCTGGCGGATCGAGGAAACATGCCCATCAACTTGACGTTTGCGGGGAGGGCGTACGAGGATGAGGAGTTGCTGCGGTATGCTTATGCCTTTGAGCAGTGGGGGAAGAGGCGCGTGGCGCCGGCGGCGACGCCGGCCTTGCCGACTGATACGGTCACAGGTTCAGGAGGAGGAGGAGGAGGAGGGGCGCCGGGATTCGTTTCCAATACCAACGTGATGGTGACGGCCACGGCGGAGAAGCTCGCGGATGGGCATGTCGCGGTAGCAGGCACCGTGTCTAGTTCGGACGTCCCCGGCGACGTGGGCATCATCGTGTACTTCAACGGCCAGGCCAGTGCGAATGTCAACGTCAACATCGAAGACGGACAATGGGCCGTAACAGGGGACCAGGTGCCCTACGACACCGTCCGGCTGGACTGGAGTTTGAAGCCGATGAAGCCGCCCCCTATCATGGTGCTGGTGGTGGCGCAGAGTCAGGGCCGGACTGTGGCGGCGAAGCTGTTGTGGGTTTGAAAATAGGCCAGCTCCTGAAGAGCGTCGCAGGGGAAGGGGAAAGCGGTTGAGTGGTCTACCAAGGCTCGACTACGAAAGCGGCGATGAGGGCTGCGCGGGTTCGAAGGAGCCACAGCAGAATCGACCCGCAAAGCCTCTGCTGTGGTGTTCGAGGAGCTTCTGCTTTGGTTTTGGTGGACTTTGGTGGGGAGGATGTAGGCTTGCTGGATGCACTTGGACGTGGCTGTCAAGGCATGTGGACGCCGACATATTTTACATGATTGATTTTCGACTTCTTTTATCTCATCTAATCGGAGTTCAGGCTAGAATAGGTGAGCATCTGTGTGCTTCCCAGCAAACAGAGATCGCAGGAGAAGCGTGTATTCATTTCCGTCTCGAGTGGTCGATGACCCGACGTCTTGTGAACATCCGCCGTTATCTGCATCATTCGATGCGCCCGATTTGGTTTCCCCTTGTCCTGTACCCCATAGAGATAAGCGCCCGTCCTGTATCGTACACTTCGGTGATGCGGTTAACGCGCAAGATCACGGCGAGGTAGAGCCCTGATTCTGCATGGTCTGCTCGCCCAGAAGCCGCTGCCGCTCATCCAGAGCTCCGCCGCCTCCTTGAGTTGCGTATCGATGCGATGGCGGAAAGCCTGCACCGTCTCCTCCGACCCTCTCTTCTCAATCGCTTCCTGCAAGTTCGCGTGATATTCACGGTAGGTCTTCTCGATCTAGCATCTGACGACGATGGTCGGCTCCAGTGAAGGCAGGCGGCTAGTGACTCACTTCAGGTAAACGGGCCATGAGAGCGTGAAGCAATTCCAGCCTTGTGCCTCCGAGTGACAGTAAGAAATGAAGAAAGGCAAAGGATGTGGGGTGGGCCAGTCATTTGTGTTCTTATTAGTATTATAAGTACACCAAATTCCTCACTGCGTTCTGGATGCAAGCTTGAAATATTCGCTCGAACGATCGATAGTAAGAAATCGAAACACCACTCGTTGGGCAATATGGATACAATGAGTTCACGATCGAGAGCCTTCAACAGCCTCAATGTAACCAGGCGGCGGTATGGTCATGAGTCTTCTGCGCCGTGCACTCAGGGTGTCGTAGTTGACAGTCAAGTATTGACCAATCCGGTATGCCCTCATAATTGTCCCCCTAGGAACGAAAGGTGAGGTAGTCAGCGGCCTGCAAGAGTCAGTAAGCTCATAGGAAGAGTTGACGAGAAACATACCTTGTCAATATTGTAGTCATACTTCTCAAGTGCAGCCAGAGACTCATTGCGGCTCCAGCCCATAGCAGTCAGTCGCTTGAGGATAGGATCGTCGTGCTCCGAGGTAGTGCTGATAGCTCGGCCCAGGGCTGGGCGTTCAGGCTCGACTTCCGGGGTAGGAAGCTTCGGAGGTTCTTTGACAATGGGTGGCGAGGCTGCTGTGGCCTCGGGGAACGGCGAATCAGCAGGTCCAACTTCTCTCGACTTTGTTGAAGCCAGAGCAGTCGGCGAAATGGCAGTCACCTGCTCGGCCGCGGCAGTTGGCGTATTGGGCTCGTCATCGAACCCACGGGTTACATTTGGCCCGTCCTTCGATAGTCCACTGAAGATGTCGTCCCAGTCATGTGAGGCCTGGGGTGCCGTTGATCCGGATGCTGCTGCTGGAGGTGCAGCATTATCAGGCTTGAAATCGAAGAAGTCATCCTTCGGTGGCGGGGCCGGCGAGCCATTTGTAACAGAGGCATTGAACGTGGGCGCATTCGAGGCAGCAGTGCCTGTGCGAGATGGCGCCGGCGAGTCGAAGGTAGGATCGAACTCGTGTGCTTGTGCCTTGGAGCCACCAGCGAGTTCATCATCGTCGGATGATTCATCCTCGACCTGTGCAGGGCCGACGCTGGCAAAGGCTGAATCGAAGTCGAAAGGAGAGGCCTTGGTGGCCACAGGAGATGGTGGAGAGCCAGCATTCTGGGCATGTCCCTTCTCAGGACCATAAGCCTCGGCTTCAGGATGCGGCTGCTGGATCGTCTCGCCGCCAGCAGGCGGCGACGTCGGATTTTCACGCTCGGGCAGCAAGCCTTGGTATTCCCGAGGGAAGTGTGTAGGATTGTCCCCAGCAGCGTAATCCGGTGGTGGAGGTGTCTGAGCAGAGAAATCAGGCAGCGAGCTTGCCGCTGAAGAGCTATGCGTCAGTTCTGGCCGAGGCGGAGCGAGGTGTGAAGGCACGGCGGAAGCAACTTCGGGGCGTTTGTCAGACTCGACGTCAGGAGCCTTCGTAGCTGGCTTCGCACTGAAGTCATCGTCGAATCCTAACGGCTCCTCGCTTGAGTCGCTGCTATCATCGCCATCGAGCTCCTGAATGGCTGGGAACTCTTGGTTTGATGGAGCGCCATTGGTAGTTGGCTCCTTCTTCATGTTCGCAAAAGCAGTGTCAAAGTCGGTCGCCTGTTCCGACGGCGTCCTTTGATGACCTACTCCCTTGAAGTACTCATCAAAGTTATCATTGTCCTTTTCGGGAGCTTTGCCCTTGTCCTCGCCACTATGAGCAACAGCAGCGGCAATTCCTGCACCGGCGGCCACAGCAGCTGCGCCGGCCCCTACAGCAACGGCGGTAGGCTCAACACCAGGCGTCTCAGCACGAGGAGTCTCGCCATCAGGGAAGGCCCCAGGCACACCAACAGTTGAGCTCTCCTTACCGAAGATCTCTTCGGCAGATTTCTCACCCGTCGGAATACTTTGCTTTACAGATTCCTGCTCTTCATCTTGAGCACTCGGCGCGAAGGGGTCATCAGCCCGCTGAGGCTCGGCCGGACTCTGAGTTGAGGAGCTTGGCGTAAATGCACGAGGGGTACCTTCAGGACTCTGTCTACTGATGGGTGGCGCCACTCTGACCGACGAATTCACAGATTCTTCTCGGGAAACCGTATGCGGGAACGGCAAGGACGCGGAGGTCATCTGCTGCGCCGAAGGAGGTGCAGGTGGCTCAACCCCTTGAGGTGTCGCCGATGATGCGCGTGACACCTCGATCGGGGGTGTACTGTGCGGAGCTGGGACTTCTTGGTGCCCAAAAGAGGTGGGCGGGGTGGGAGATGATGAACCAGTGCCAAAGGACGGACCGAATATGCTATCGAAATTCGGCTGACTATGTGGCGCGGGCGCCGGCGTCGGCTCTGCGGGAGCTGCCGTTTCCGATGTTTGTTTTCTGAAGAATGGATTTGAGCTTGTTGAAGGTGCAGGACTGGCCATATTCGGAGGACTGGCGACAGGAGGACTCTTGACGGAGGATGTGGCGCTAGTCCTGGCCTGCTCAATCTCCTTTTTTGACGTTTCGATAGCCCGAGCTGATTCTTCAGCCTCCCTAATGTTGTCTTCGTGCTCCTTTTGTGCAGCTGCAATTCCTGCGTTTATACGATCCCTTTCGGCCTCATTAGTTGCGAGTTGTTTCTTGTTGATGGCAACCAGACCTTTTTGTTGCCGGGCATCGGACTTGAGCTTCTCCAGTTGCGGCTTCAGCTGCTCGACTTCAGCATTCATCTGACGGATCTTCTCCTTGAGCGCTGCATTCTCACGCTGGTCGTTCTCAAATTGCTGGCGCAGTTGCTGGTGCTGAGTGGACAAATCCTGATGGCTTCCGTCGATTACAGCGTAGTCTTGCTGTAAACGCTTGCTGTCGTTCTTGACGGTTGTGAGTTGGTCTTTCAAGGCCTTAACCTCCTTTACCTCCTTCTCATAGAGCTGGCGTAGCTGGCCGAGACGACTTTCGAAAGCTCGTTTCTGAGCATTGGTCTGATTGAGCTCTTGCTCCGTCTGCCCACGCTGCGTATGCAGGTCTGTCATCTGCTTTGAAAGATTGCCAACCTGGTTGGAGAGGTTCGCAAGCTCACTTGTCTCATTTGTGATTTTGGACGTTTCGCCAGGGTCGGCATCTCCGAGCAGGTCATCGTTAGATGGCGATGCGATTGCGCGATTCTGCCCTGGGACGGGAGAGCCAGTTGATTGTGGTTGCAGCGACTGTCCAAAAGAGCTTGTGGGCATAAAAGGCTTGAACTGCGTCGAGGTGATGGGAGAGGCGGGAGCCACTGGTGGGTTTGCAAATGGACCTGCGTCTGTGCCGCCCGTAGACTGAGCCACTTGCTGCTGGGCGATGGGAGGAGGCGGTCCAAAGGCATCCAGACCGAACAAATCGTCCGCGGCAGATTTCGGCTTCGTGGGAGCGGCATTCTCAAAAGCTGGAGCTGTTGGTTGAGAAGGAGGGATATATTGCTTGCGCCGGCTGGGTGGCACTAAGGCTGGAGGTAAGGTGTTTGGCAAACTGCCTCGGCCGTCTTTGGTGCCACGTTGTTGCCGGATGAGATACATGGCCACAGCAAACTCGTCCTTGTCCAAACGACCTTCAGAGTTGATATCCGCAAGGTCCCATATTTGGGCGAGAATCTCTTCCGGCAATCTGGCATTACCAAAGAACTCCACAGCTTGTTCTCCTGAGATGTAGCCGGAATTGCTTCGATCAATAGTCCCGAAGATTTGATCGAACCGCGCTTTATCCTGAGCATTGACGAGCCAGTTCTCGCCTGTTGACTGCTGCGAGAGCGGTGTTCCGATCTGGGCTCTCGAGATAGGGCTTTGGGGGCGCCCATACCCTGAAAATTGTGGCGCCATACCTGGAGCAGGCTGGCTCGAACCAGGACGCGAGCCAGGTCCGCGTTGGCCAGGTGGGGGCGGTCGCCGAAGAGCTGCTTCATATAGTCCAGGGGGTAGCGTGTTCGGGACGCCTCTCATCTGCCCAGACTTGTAGGATGCGAGTAGATGCATGGCAATCACGAACTCGGTGGCGTCCAGAGAGCCTCTTCCTTGAGTATCTGACAGTCCCCATATCCTGCCGAGGACATCATTGGGCAGGCGCGCGCTTTCGAAGATTCGTCGTGCCGTCATTCCAGACAACAAGCCGTTTTCTGCGCCAGACTTCTCGAAGAGGGCCGAGTACTCGCCAACTTTATCGGCACTCATTGGAGGCACGCGAATGGGTCCACCTGAAGGGCTTTGGGGTGCGCCGGTCTGCTGTGGCTGCACAGGCGTGGAGGGAGCGACAGGAGCGGGAGGTACAGGTCCTCCTGCCACTGTAGCGAAGCGCGGCAAGGGTGCGACTGGACTTGTCAGTCTGCACAATGACAGTAGTGGGCTAGCTTACCTTGTGTTGCAAGATGCGCAGTGAGAGGAGTGCGGCCAGCCTGCGCATGCCCAATGAGCCGCAGTACCACGCCAAAGCCGGAAGGGGTGAGGAAGCCCTTGTTGTCCGTGTCTGCGATTTGCCATATCTATTGTCCGTCAGCTCCTGTGCGCGACTGTGTCAATATGAGCGTACTTCTCCTAAGACTGAGGGAGTGAGGCCTGTCTTCTCGAAGAACTTGACAGCCACATCTCCTGACACTACACCAAAGCCATCGGGATCTGCCTCTGCTAATAGCTTCTTGTATGTAGTCTTTTCTTCAGCTGTGAGGTTCAGGCTCGGGTGACCACTCCCGGCGCTGCCGATTGCTTCGGCCATGCCTGGCTTAGGTTCGTGTACGGAGCCAGTTGTATGCGAAGGAATGAGGTGCTTCAGCAGCGCATGAAGCTCGAGTGGGGTGCTATTTACAGGGTGAGCTGCAAGCGAGTTCGATGAGGGGACAGATGAGATGAAATGGTTTGTAAGAGGAGTGCAGTGGTTCCGTACGACTTGTCTGTGGCTGGTATGGAGCCGTCGAATTGGGAACAAGCCGTGCCGAGCGTCATTATTGCCAAGGCCGTACACGTACAGCTCGAGCAGGTCAATCTCCGCTTTTGTCTACGCGTCGTATAGGTGCTCAGACCCATTCACTACAGTATATTTGCCCGCTTCACGACGATGCAATGCGGCTCTATGGAAGACAGCGCATTTGGGACGATATTCATTAATCGATTGTGTTATGGGTTGGGCTGTACATACGCCGTCGCTGCACGAATCCTTTCGCTCACTGATCGCCTGCTGCCTTTCAAACCAAGTCTGATTGAAGTCGTACCAATCTCGCAGAGACCAGCACAGAACCCCTTCAACCTGTGACTTGGGGGGTCAGATAGGTTGAGCCTATCAACATGTGGGGAAACAATTGTGAAGTCAATCGCTTGACAATGTCCAAGGTCTAGAAGATAGAAGCCTAGTGCTCAAGCTCTTCGCCTTCGACATCTTCGATCGAGTCGGAAGCAACCTCCTCGTAGTCGCGCTCAAGAGCAGCAAGATCTTCACGAGCCTCGGAGAACTCGCCTTCCTCCATACCCTCACCAACATACCAGTGGACGAAGGCACGCTTGGAGTACATAAGGTCGAACTTGTGTGATAGAGCGCCCCAAGCCTCGGCGATGGCGGTGGTGTTGGAGAGCATGCACCTGCGGGTCGTTAGTTTCGAGTCAGCTGGAGTGATAAGTTGGACTTACACAGCGCGGTTAACCTTGGCAAGATCTCCGTTGGGGACCATCTGAGGTGGCTGGTAGCAGATACCAATCTTGAAGCCAGTTGGGCACCAATCGACGAACTGGATAGTACGCTTGGTCTTGAGAGTAGCAACGGCCGAGTGGACATCGTTGGGAACGACGTCACCACGGTAGAGCAAGCAAGTAGCCATGTACTTGCCACTGCGGGGATCACACTTGACCATCTGGTTGTTGGGCTCGAAGCAAGCGTTGGAAATCTCCTGAACCGAGTTGGACTCGTGAGCGGACTTGGCAGCCGAGACGACCGGGGCATAAGCAACCAGAGGGAAATGGATGCGAGGGTAGGGGACCAAGTTGGTCTGGAACTCGTTCAAGTCGACGTTCAAGGAGCCATCAAAGCGAAGGGAGGCAGTGATGGAGGAGACAACTATTTGCGAATTAGCGAGCTGCTTATCAATATGTGCAAAAGGCCATACCTTGTGCAATGAGACGGTTGAGGTTCTCGTAGTTGGGACGCTCGATGCCGAGGTTACGGCGGCAGATCTCGTAGATGGCCTCGTTGTCGACCATGAACGAGCAGTCGGAGTGCTCCAGAGTAGTGTGAGTGGTAAGGATGGAGTTGTAGGGCTCGACGACGGCGTTGGCGACTTGGGGCGCGGGGTAGACTGAGAATTCAAGCTTGCACTTCTTTCCATAGTCAACGGATAGACGCTCCATGAGAAGAGCGCCGAAGCCGGAACCAGTACCACCACCGAAGGAGTGGAACACCAGGAAGCCCTGGAGACCGGTGCAGTTGTCGGCAACACGACGGATCTTGTCAAGGACCTGATCAATGAGCTCCTTGCCGACGGTGTAGTGACCACGAGCATAGTTGTTTGAGGCATCTTCCTTGCCAGTGATCATGTGCTCCGGGTGGAAGAGGGCGCGGTAGGTGCCAGTGCGGACCTCGTCAACGACATTGGGCTCGAGATCGCAGTAGATGGTACGGGGGACATATTTGCCCTGACCTGATAATGTCTGAGTATTGGTTACTTCTTACACTGGCACTTATACATACCGGTCTCGGAGAAGAAGGTGCTGAAACCCTGGTCGGGGTCGGCGGCCTTGCGCTCAGGAGTGAGGTAGCCGTCGGGCTGGTAATCAGGTTAGCGCGATTCCGGTCAGGCGGCGGTGAGCAAGGCTTACCTGGATACCGTGCTCGAGGCAGTAGAGCTAAGGTAGTTAGCACGAGCGACACAAACTGGAGCAGGACACCACGAACCTCCCAGCAGGAGTTGGCAATTTGGCAGCCAGCCTGGCCGACTGTAGGAGTGATGTTAGCCTCTGATCAGGGTGCAGTCTCTTGAACAGGGGTGTAGGCAGCGATCAAAACGCGTCCGCAACATACCGTTCAAGCTGATGACTTCTCTCATGATGACTAGAGAATCGAAGAAACGGGAGAATGCAAAGGTCGTACCGAGAGTCGTGTGGTAGTTGATGACAAGGAGCAAGATGCGTGTCAACGAGGATCGTGGTTCGAGGAGGAGAACGGAGGTGTTGACTGTGGGGCCCTCGATAAGTGCAATTTGTTTTGGTGGGCGCTTTCACCGCTGGTTCGCGCGTAACTGGCAGGTTACGCGACTTGCCTCAAGAGGGGCACCTGCCAAGGCGCTAAACTTGACCTGCCGCTTCTTGCCTCAATATTGCCTCAGGCATTAGTGAAGACACGTCAACACAGAAGACTTGTGACTGTAGTTGGGAAGACGTAAGATGGTATGAATACGCACAGCATAAGCATAGTTGCTCATTGCCAGCTATTTTCTTACCTATATTGGTCGCCACAATGCATATTCCGTGCACAGTACAGCGTTTGGGGTTGTATCTGCTCATACTCCAGATCTTCACGACATTGACCGTTGCGAACGTGGAAAAGGTCATCTTCGTGGCACCGGATACACAGGAGTTCCCAAGCGATGCCAGTCTCGACAATCTACTACTCGAGCGGCTGACGCTTGCAAAGGCTTCCGTGAGAACTCGCCTTAATGCGACCTTCCCTACAGATGAGCAGCCTAGAGGAACGGAGACTTGGATGCTGCTTGAAGACTTGACTCCCGGCCAACGCTATGAAGTCCGTATCTGCTGGCTGGCAACTCAACCAACGTCGTTCTGGCTATACACCCACACATCGCAGTCCACATTCGAATCACCGGAGCTCATTTCGGCCTTGACCTTATACTCAAACACACGACACCAGAGCGCCACAGATGAGACCTTGGAAGAAGCACAATCAAGAGTAGACCTCAGACAACGCACGTCATTCCCGACAACTTTTCTTTTCCTGCAGATCTTTGCGGCCGCTGATTACTTCAGCCTAGACAAAAGCTTGATGGAGGTCGTCCCTCCTGTGCACGTTGACATTATTCTTGACCCCTATTTGCTCAACATATTTCCTCAGTCACTGCTGCCTACGGCGGGGTATATCATAATCATCGCCGTTCTGGGGTGGTTCGTATCTGGCTGGATATACACATCCTATATCCTTCCATACGCCAACGCAGGTATCGAAACAACGCCAAAGAAGTCGGACTAAACTCTCACGCCACGCCTCCCATCTGGTACGGATCCTGAAGCTGGTCGTAATCGGTCATCAAAGAGAAGAGCGGGAACTCCTCTGCATACGATGGCAGACTGGGTACCCCGGAACCGGCAGGAGAGAACTGATCCACATTGGGGGTCTGCTCGAATCCGTAGGTCGGGAAGTTGAACGTCTGGGGATCGTTCTCGTCCGCAAGAGCACCCGAGGTCGTCAGTACCGGCCCGCGACTTTCAGCAGGCATGTCAAATCTGAGGGCCCACGGTTCCTGCTGCTGGATGCTGTCACTGAAATTGGCCATGGACGCATCAAAGTCTTGAGGGAGCATGTCATTGCTCTGCTCGATCGGTCTTGGCGCTTCTGTCTCCTTGATTGGATCACCGAATATGTTATGGATGTCTTTCCGCCTTCGGTGCATCTCCCTTTGCTCCCGCCGGCGTATGTGCTCCATAGCAGCATCGCGGAGGTGACCCGTGATCTGTTCGTATCTTCTTGCGGATGGATCATCGGTCGCCATGACCGTCAGAATACGCAGTGCCTGATCGATACTGCTCAAAAGGGGAAAACTTTTGTCAAAGTCGCCAAATATGGCAAAGCCAATTACCATGGCACTCACTGTACGCCGTCAGCATCCCCGAAGCCTTGTCTGGGTTACAACCATACCGAATGCCGAGTTCGTTACCACGAACAACCTCTTGGGCACACCAGGCGTATGTACCAGGTCCGTAGCAATTTCCACACTTCTCAGGGCGGCATCAATGCAAGCTTCGCTCAAAGTGCTAGTGACTTCGCTACCGCTTGGACCTCCTTGTTTGCCATCCTCTTCAGTGTCTCCATTTCCGTCCCCACCGTTTGCTGCTTGTTGCTGTTGCATTTTCCTCCTTCGCTTCAATTTCCCACTGACCTTGAATATGAGGAAAGGCCTCGTCAGTAGGATGATACTCCAGTAGTATGCTCCCTTGAGATGCGCCACACCGATCGTTTGCTGAAGCGTGGGGCTGCCTGAGCCGGGCTTCTGGTCCAGGCCATCTGTATGCAGGCCAGCCGGCAGCTGCAGCGTCCAATCTCTGTACTGCCTCGAGATACTCTCCACAAGCTGCACGCTAACCTCTCTTCGGCAGTAGACCTCGTTCATGATTCTCTCGAAAATGAAGCAGATTCGCAGCATCGCTGAGCTGTTGAGGCCGCCCATCTGAATGGTCTCGTAGTCTCGACTTTTCGCGTCCCAGCTGACACTCCCGCCATCGACCTCACTCGTCGCCGGAGGCCGGCCCAAGCTGGCGCTCATGTACAAGTCCAGCATTCGTAGGCTCTTCCACACCCTCTCCCGCGTCTGTCGCTCCTTCCGTTCGAACAGGCGTGAGATGTCCCCCCTGTGCAGACCTAGCGCATAAGCAGCTCTGACGGCAATGCCCAGAAGCATAAACGCGCCATTGCGCCGACATGCGGTCAACATATAAAAAGTGATCAGCGCATAGCTCTGGATAGTCATCACACTGGGGTCGTCCATGAAGCTCGCTGCCACCAGCTCCCTGCCCCTCTGCAAGAATATTTCTGCTTGGCTCGGCCCTTCCTTGCCCGGGCTCGGCGAGACACCAGTGCTGTTGACCTCACGTCCATCGGCGCCGTATTTCACCTGGGCGCCAACAGCGAGCACGAGGTAGTAGACGCTTGCCTCAACGCCATCCTCGTCTTTTTCGGGTGCCGATGCCCAACGCGAAACAGCCTCAAGGATCTCGCCTTGCTCAAAGAGGTCAATGAAGCCGCTGCTGCATAGCAAATAATGCCGCACTAGATCACGAGCTTCTTGCGCCGAAGGTCGCTTAACCTTGCGGCCCTTGGGCAGTAGTGCATCAGGGTTGACTTCTACCATAGCATGCCGTAAAGGGTCTTTGGTAAGACCGCTCTCGCCAATTTCGCTTTTGACAAGCCGGCGGATATTCTGCACGAAGGCGAGGTTTGAAGAGTCACCCACGAAGATGAACTTGCCGTGGCCATCCTTGAGCAGCCGAGCAAGTTTTGGGACAGGGGCATGGGATGCTGGATCTTGTTGACCGGAAGAGTGAGGACCGGGGTTGGCTATTGTGGTAGGTCCCTGGGGAGCGAACATCATGTCGGGAGCTTCCAAGGAGGGCGTTTTCGCGGCGGAGCGGGAACCGGACAGGGTAAGCAACGACTCAATAGCGATCTCTGCATCAGTAGTGGGCCCAGCGGCGGATTGATCCAACTCGAGGGCGTTTCGTAATGTCACTCGATGGGAGGGAGTAGTGTTGCCGTTGGTAGTAGGGTTACTTTCGTCTGCGTTGCCGTAGGGCGACGGGTCTGTTAGACTTGAGCCGTCTAGATTGGGAGGAGACCTGAAATCGGGATTGGAGATGCTGTTGGTATCGCTACCGCTGATGATAGAGCTCCGCTTACGGCGGGCAGAGTAGCCGTCTGTGAAGGTGCATTCGGGCTCCCGACCACGGCGTCTACAGAGCAAGCACGGATGACTGCCGTCGCACTTTTCCTTACGGCGCTGTACCATGGTGTCAGTGGTGCAAAGATGATGGGACACAATAGCTGGGGTAATAGGGCGGGGTTTATGGGGGAGTGGGAATGTCAACCTACCTTGCAAGTATCACAGGCTCGCGCAACACGCTTCCGGTCCTCGTCCTTGACCCGCGGACGAGGCATTCGGAATGATTGGCTCGGCCGTTGGTGTACGAGGCAGTCGAAGCGAGTGAATGGATGATGGGTCTGGGAGTCTTGGTCGGATCGTGTACTGCTGCGATCCGAGCTCACTGGCTCATTCAAGAAGCAAGGCTACAGCCTCGAAGCCAGGGTAGCTGTTTGATGCAAGAGCTTTGGCCGGGTATAGCACCCACCTCACAACTGTAGGATTCTACTCGATTAAAGCGCGATGGCAGAGAACGTGGTGAAGGGGATGATCGGATGTGGGCTGAAGGCAGACCTCAACTGACTTGTGGGGAGGCACAATCTGGGGTCTGCCAATCACAATCCGGCTTTTGCAATGGTCATCCGACCCGTTCCTTTCTGACACCACGGACGAACTGATAAGCCTGAATTGCTCTCGTCGGGTCTTGGAGAGGCGACAGGAGAGATTCAGCAACAGGCAGAGTAGTTGCTCAAGGTATTCGCTACTGGCTATTTGTAGAAAAGCTGGTCATTGAAGATATCATCACGCCAGAGAGCACTGGCTTCATACAATCGTATTTACGCGTTGATCGATCCACTCGTCGCCAGCTCAGTGCCCTGCGCTTTGGAGTCGAGGGGAGCCATGCGGACGTCGTACTGCAGCTGCTTCTTCGCGGTCGAATCACCTTCGAGAGGCACAAACTCGACGACCAAAGAATCCTTCACAGCGAACACGGAGTCATCGTCTAGATATTTGCTATCCTTGTCAAAGATCTGAGTAGTGATTGGCTTGAAACCCTCGACCAGTACCTAATAACTGTCAGCGATTGCACGTTTACGTCTTCCAGGACCACTCACAATCAGATGAATATGGGCAGGTCGGTATGGGTGACGGTCCAGCAGCTGCAGGAGCTTGCCGGCAGGACCATCGAAGGGTATGGGATATGGCGTCGGCCGAATGCAGTAGAAGCCGTATTCGCCATTCTCGTCCGTCACAAACTTGCCCCGCAGGTTGAGGTCCTTCTGGTTGGGATCTTGTTGCTCATAGTAGCCATTTGTGGAAGCCTGCCACACATCGATTGTTGCGCCAGCCAGAGCCTTGCCCGTCTTTGCACAGGTCACCCTGCCGTACATATATACAGGCTCGGCATCGGACGGGGTGTCGTGGGAAATGTTGGCGCCCTTGGGGAGGGTCGGATGGTCATGGCGGAAGAAGGGACCGAGAATCGCGCTCTGAGTGGCCACATCGGCGGCCTCAGCAGCTTTCTTGTAAGTGATCTCGTCCACCAGGCTATGAAAGGTCAGCCAGAGATTCCCTCATCCTCCCACGTTACTTACGACTCAATACCAAGAACGTCACACATCAGCTGGCCTTCATTTCGCTTCTCGTCCGACATTCGACCAGCCCAATTGATCATATTGACACCCTCCATCCACTCATCCGCGGTCAGGTCGACTTCCCTCGCCCAGTCATGTAGATGGCGGGTCAAGCTGCTAATAACCTCTCTAATGCGTGGGCTGGTCTTGGGCCCAGTCGCGTCAATGACGTGCTGTGTGAACTTGGGATCATACTTGGGGCCGGCGGAACCCATGGCGGCAAGTGTAGAGGCGTGCAAGCGGGGCTGGCTATATGAGTGCGTCTCTCGGTGAGCTTGGCTTTCTTGACTGACGGCGCGGTGGTGTATATGCTGCACTGATAGATCCTGTAAGATAGTACGAGGGCGAACAAGCTTACCAGTTGAACGAAGCTGGCCTAAGCTGTCTTATATGGAGCCTCGGACATGTCACAACCACGAGGGTGCCGAAAGTGTGTCTGCCTCCTTCAACCCCGCGCAACAACCAGGCCTCCAGACCCTCCAAGCCGGGCATGATCACAGCGAAGCCCCATGTGTCCAGGGTCTGCGGCCAATCACCATATGCTTATAGGGAATGGCCTAAGCCAGATTCGTTGCGCAAAGCTCATGGGCGTCGTCTTCGGATAACGAACCGGCAATCGCCCTCACACCACCAATCTCCCCGCGGCTCAGTCTTTAGCCAATCTTGGTCTTTCGGCTTCCCAAGTCGGGGCTACTTCGTTCGGATTTTCTTTCGGATCTCTCTGCTAGCAAGGCTTGTCACGGTCCGTGAACACTTACTCTTTTTCGCTGCTCGCTCTGATGGAAGCGCGAATGTGGGAAACTATTCCGCACATTACATCAGCAGCTTGCGTTTGCTGGTCGCCAAACCTGGGGCCGACACAACGCGGGGAGACAATCAGGATCTTGCATGCCCGCAAAAATCAGCCTTGTTTGGTGGTTTGGTATACCCGACGCGAGCACTACGACAAATGCTCTGCGACTGAATCAGCAAGGAGAGTCTCCACGAAATACGATCGACAGTCAATGCAGGTTTCACCTCTCGACGACTGGTCCAGCTCCCAAGTATCCCAACTCGTCCGTTCTCCTTCTCAAACATCTCACAAAGGCTCGCCAATCATCCATCCATCATTGGTCGTAGTCCCCGTGATCACAGCTCGCTGCTACAGTGCCATAGCATCTCCGTTTCTGCGTCTCGGGCCTGACGAACACTTCATGAAGCAGCCGACGACCGTATGCCTCTCGGCGAGCAGCATCAATGATTCCATTCAACGCCAGTTGCAACGCCAACAATCCCAGAAGGGGCCTCGCCTGCGTTTTCCACGGCTCTTCCATGGGCGGTCAGAATCGATACACATCTGCACCTACCCGTCTCTTCGTGCCACGTTGACATTGGCGTCGTACGACAAAGGCATTCATACCAGATGTGGTCTTTGTCTCAAAACCAACCACTGTGAGACCAGCTGGCCGACTTGCGCAACAGGATTTCGTCGACTGCGACATCGTTGCCCTGTCATGACTGTGCCTGAATGCTCTGTGTTCCTTGTGTTTGCGAGGGTCGCGCTGCCCCTTTTGTACTCTCGCCGTGCCCTGCGTTTATGCTATTCTAGCCGTGCCGATGCTTTAGTGACATAATGTTGACTTAGTAGCAGACAGACGTGCCTTGAATCCTGGCCATGAGCAAACAACTTCGACGCCATGGGACGCACCGAGCCGTTCGAGACGCCGCCCACCTCACCTCGACAGTGGAGTTTGACGCTGACGGCAACTGGTCCAGACTCCGCGACAGCCTCATCTCCGTCGCGGTTCATTTCTCCAAGGAGCATACCGCCACCGCTGTCTCCTCCCGTTACTTCTCCTGAGTCAGCTCGCAATAATGACACCCGCCTTCAATCGAGGACAAGTCCAACCTCCTTCCAGCGACCGAGGCCGATGTCGAAGGACAAGGCCAACAGCCCCGGGTCGTCATTTGGCGTTTCGTCTCGCAGTCCGCCGTCACGTCCGCCACGGCCTTCAACGGCGCTTCCAAACCTGCGACCAACAATCATCCTCTCCCCGTTGCTTCTCTCCTCTCTACCACCAGCAGACCGGCCTCTGCTTCCCAGCTCGTTGGGAGACAAAGCGTCATTCTCCACCTCCTCCACCTCCCCAAGCTATCCGAACTTCAGCTCCACGGCTAGCACATCCGACAGCCGCAGCTGTTATTCATCTCCATCACCACCTTCGCCATGCTTCTTCGCGCCCACAAGCTGGCCACTTGCCCAATATCCTGCCGCGCCGCAGAGTCGCAGTCCGCGGTTCGCTCCTTCACCACCACCCCAATCTCCCATTCGCCCATCCTTTCCTTCAACTGTCTCCTCACCGACGTTCGAGACTCGATCGCACAGGAAAGTCCGTCAACGTACCCACAAGAACGCCTTCGACTCCGCCTTCAGCAATAACTCCTATCTCAGCTCGCCCATCTCATACTCTTGTGCTCACCCGCCCTCCCCGTCTCCATATCCACCACCAACCGCACCGCTACCCCCTCCTCCAACACCACCATCACCACCAGTACGGCAAACGTCCAAGGCGCCCGACCCAGACTCCACGTCCAACTCCAACTCCGCTGGCACCTCTTCAATCTCCCTCCTCGCAACCCTCCCACCCCATCCCCCCTCCAAGACCAACACCGCACCCTCCCCAACCTCACCCCTCCGCCTCGACCACCCCACATCGCACATCCTCTACTACAACACCTACCACCTCCTTCCCCCCACCAAACCCTACACCGACAACACGACCTCCAAACCCTTAGGCTTCTTCTCCACCAGCCACCAATCCACGACACCCATCACCGCCACCTTCCTCCGCGGACAAGAAGAACAGCAAACCCCAACCACCAACCCTTCCGTCTCTGCTCCACGAGGACACCCCCACCCCTGGCGCAAAAGACACAAGCGCCACCTCTGGATGCTCGCGACGGCGGTGTTGGTCGCGCTGTGCGTGGCGGGGATTCTGGGCGGCGTGCTGTGGCGCTTGGGGAGGCGGTGGCGGTGAAATAAACATCCACAGGGAGAGGAAAGTGAGGACAGAGAAGAATGCGAATGGTGATGAATGGGCCGAGTAGGAAGGGAAGGGGGCCGAGACCCTGGCGTCGGCCTGTGGGGATGGGGGGATGTTGGTGGCTTTGGCGGGTGCTCCAAGTGAGATATAGAAGACGCTGTTCGCAGGCGTGACGGTAGTGCATCCCTGCTTGGGTTGGAACTTCGTAATCTGCAAGGCTCTAGAAGGGAGGACATGTGATCGTCATATTCCCCTGGGGCAAGCGTTTCAGCAATATCTTTTCCCTGTGGGTGTCTCGTTGCTCGGGTCATTGAAGTCGTGCCTCGCGTGTCTATATGTCCTTTCTCTATAAGTCCAGCTCCCACTCCTGCACACCCAACCCACGCTGCGCCGACATCTCCACCACGACCTCCCTCCCAACATTGACCCTCCACTTCCCACCCCCGCCATCTTCATGCCCGTCATCCTCCCTCCTCACCAGACGCATACGCTCCAGCTCACCCATCGCCTGCGCCACTCGATCGCTCCACCCTTCTGCGCCTCCTCCCATCGCTGCCTTTCCCTTGCCCGCGAGCATTCCCCCACCGACCCCCTCGGGATGTACCGCGCGTGCCACCGCCAGCAGCCGCTCCATGCTGAACGCCTTGGGCGCCAGGGACTTAGTCTTGTCCTTGCGGCGGTTGTCTGCGTTGGCTTTCTTGGGCGTGGTACCGGACCCGGGATTGCCGCGCTTGATGTAGCGGATCTTGCGGTGCTTGGATGATGTGGCGCTTAGGCGTGAGAAGAGCAGGATGTCGTGCTTGGGCGGGGTGTGGGAGGCGAGGTGCGAGGCGAGGAGTAGAAGAGTGGCCAGGGGGGTAAGGAGGGGTTTTGCCGAGTGAGTGAGGGTCGAGTCCGAGATCAGGGTAGGAGCCGCGTTCGAGCGTCGGGAGAGTGTGCTGTTGGAATTTGGTTCCGGCTGCGGAGGGCCTTGCTTGTGTTGACGGAGGAGCTCATCGAAAGTCCAGGCTTGGTCGGTGGATTGTAGAGTGTCGAGCAGTGCGCTTTCACCCTCGCTGTGGAAGAGTGCCCGCCCCCGGACGAGCAAACGCGGAAAGTCCCAACTCTTCGTCTTCCCTGGCGGTGCCTCACCGCTGACAGCCGGCCAGATGAATCTGGGCCACAGCCTGTGAGTGACTTTGCGCAAAGTGGCCAAAGAAGTGGTGGTGGGCGCAATTAGCGCATCGTAGACGGTGATTGCGAATTGTTTGTAAATGCTGGCCAGATCTTCGATCCGAGAGCCCTGGGCAACGGAGTCAGGAAGAGCAGGCGGCTCCAGGCAGAGTATGTGAATCGCTTGAGATCTTGTGTAGGCAGGGAAGTATATATGAGGAACTCCCGGACGGTGGAGGGCTAGGGGTCGAACAGATGTAGTGGTAAGGACCAATGACAGTCCTGATATCTAAGGAGTCATCAGTTGTCTTCCCGCCGAGGTTCTGATAGAACCTACCATGTCCCCAAGCCTCGCCAGCGCCGGCAGCAGCGTCGAGCCTGGCCCTTTGAGCTCATCGATGGAGTCCAAGACAATGACAGTCCTTAGATTGGACCCACGAAAAAGTTTCTGAAGGTTCACAGACAGAGCATTGAGGCTGTCGACTCTGTCGTATCGCTCAACAGCCTCCTCTTGTCCAAGCGCTTGCGCGCATGCAGCAAAGATCTTTCCTAGAAGGTGCCGCTGCGAAAGGCACTCTCGACACTTGATGACAGCATGCTTGAGTTTATGGGCGTTTAAAACAGCAGTGATGACTTCGAGCTTGCTGGAGCCTTGCAGGCCGTATGCGACGACTGTAGGCGGAGGAGGAAAAACTCCCTGACGTCTGTTAGAGGCGAGAAGCTTCGAGTGCGCAGTACTTACATTGAACAGCGTTGCAATATCGTTGATCTGGGGTTCTCGACAAGGACATGTCTGCGCCACAATCTGAAGCACTTCCAGCGGCAGCGTTGCGACCATGTTTGCAATTTGCAGGACCATGCCACAATCGTAAACGTCCTTGAAGATGTTGAAGGTACTTTACGCGGTAGAGTGTACAGCCAATCGCGACGCGACCCTACACGCGTCTTTTGGCGACAGTGGAGTCGTCCGGAAACCCTGGGTTCGGCCTCCTGAGCACGAGTCACAAAATCTATACAAGACAGAGGTTCTTTCGTATGATACATTTCAATTGCTATGGAGTCTAGCCTGGAGCTTTATGAGCCTATCTTACATCGCTCAGCTAGTCCAAGCATGTCTTTTGTGTGCCCAAAACCCTTTTACGTACATGCCCTTCACATCGGTTGTCAAGTCTGCAAGGACGAGACCAGATCCGTGTGCTTCTGTGATTCGCCGTTGCCATGCTCTGGGTGAATACAGGCTGGGTACTGTGCCGGTAACAAGTACCTGTGTTGGAAGGGAATAATGAGAGAATGCAAAAGTACATGAGAAGGATATCCGCCCGGGAGCTCACGGCCATCACTTCCATGAGCATCCAAATGTAGGGTCTATTCGAAGATGAATGTAGAACCTGCCAGACCGATCTGGATGATTGCCGATTGAAGCTCAAGTCGTATCGCGTGAAGCCGTAAGTCGATTTTGTGGTTTTTCTGTTTTTCTGTTTTGAGAATTTGTGCAACGCCGCATCGAAAATAATACAATCGTGAGGTTTCGTCTCCAGTCATGATCACATGAGACTGAGACTGTCTATGCATTGTGGGTAAAGCACAAGGTTGGTAACTCGTAACTTCGTGTGAATCGTCACTGACGATGTGCAGACGGCTTAGATGAAGCCGTTGCCAAGCTGACCCTGCGAATAGCCGTAGCCTTGAGGAGCGTACATGTCAGTAGCACCCTGGTTGACATGACCACCCTGCATGTTGGACACAGCCGAGTAGCCGTTCGCGTTGGCATAAAGATCAGTGTTGTTGCCAGCGTAGGGGAATCCGTTGGGAGGGGCATTGCCACGAGGACCGTTGAAGCCACCACCAACGATCTGAATGTGACGGCGACCTGAGGCACGGCCAGTAGACATACCTCCAGGGGGCATGCCACCAGTCATGTTGTTGTTGAACGAGCTTGAGGTGGGGCCATTGTTGACCGAAGGTGGCTGACGAGCTTGCTGGTCCTGGCTCATGATCTTGCTCGCAATGCGGCGACCATGAGGAGTCGACTTGATGGCAGGCAAAATAGGACGAATACCGTCAGAGAGACGGATGCGAGTGGCCTCATCAACGAACTCGAGAGCAGTCTGAACAACATAGTTGGCGAAGGAGTCGCGCAGCATACGTTCAAGCTCAGTACCAAGCATCATCTCATCCACGAGAGCGCGCTTAGTGTCCATGTCAGCAGTGCGCAGACACTTCTCAATGACGTTGGAAGAGAACTTCTGCTTGGAGAGAGCAACCACCTTGCCCTTGAAGCTCTGGCAAAGCGGCTTGGTGTAGGCAGGCTCATCAATGTCGAGGATGTACTGGACGACATAGTTGCCGAAAGGATCCTGAACGAGATCAAAGGCACAGAGAGTGATTTGGGCAATGAGCTCGGCACGCTGCACACCCTGAGAGTGATCGATGCAGCGCTGAAGAACGCAGCAACCGTGACGGTGGGTGCCAACGACGACACAGTACCGAGCGACGGCATCATAGATGAACTGAGACTTCTCAGCACCGAGACGAGTGAGGCACTTCTGAATGACGTGGTTGCCGTTGAGGTCTTGGACGAGCTCAACAACGTGGGGAGACAGAGCTTGAATGATCATCTCGACCTGCTCAGAGGTGTGCAAGTACTCGATCATTTTCTGCAAAGCGCGAGTGCCGTGCTGGTTGGTCGCAATAGTGTGCAGAGCCGGAGACGAGGTCTGAATGAGGGTGTTTCGTTGCTCCTCGTTGCAGAACTCGAAGAGCTTCTGACACAAGTAGTTCCCAAAGGGATCGGTCATCAGCTCGACGATGTGAGGGAAGGTTTCGGCGAAGATAGCCTGAATCTGCTCAGCATCGCCCTCCTCAAGCTTGCGCTGAAGGTAGCGGCAGCCGTGCTGGTCCTTGCACAACTCAAACAGACGGCCGCGATAGGTTTCGAGAGGAACGTTATTGAATCGAGCCTCATCGAAGTTGCGACCGCCGCGGCGAGGGGCAGTGTCTTGAGTCTTGGCATATGTACCACCATAGGTACCGTTGCCAGCGCCATATGTAGACTGACCAAAGCTAGAGACTGCACCATTCTGACCGTTGATGTAGCCAGGGTTGTTGAAGGTGTAGCTAGAGGGCTGGCTGTAGACACCAGTAGGGCTCATCAGGGCAGATTCAGCAGAATAGGTGGGACCGAAGGGAGCAGCGCTACCCTGCAGACCAATCTGAGGACTAGCAGCCTTCTCATCCATCTTGCCGAAACCGCCATTACCGAAGTCACGGCTCTGACGAGTGCCACCGGCAGAGTTAGGAATGCGGCCCATGCTGAGGTTGTGGTTGTGGAAGTGCTGCTCAGCAGCAGTCTTGGGAGGAGTCGCAGTGTTATCGAGAGTGAGGCTCTTGCGGACAGTGGGGACGTCGTTGGTAGAGTAAGAGGTCTGTAGGGAGGCAGGACGACTAATGCTAGTAGGAAGTGGGGTATTGTCGTACTTGGGACCCTCTTCGAAGGTAACGCCCATGGAGTGACGCTGGCTCTTGCGACGAGTTGATTCACCAGAGCGCTCAGCAGAGGGGGAAGAGATATTGCTCAAGACAGGGCGATACATGCTTGAATCGTTGTGGGGCATCGATTGATGGGCAGGACGATAACGAGAGCCGACAGACCAGTCAGCAATTTCAAGTTGTGCGAGAGCGTCAGGAGTCTTGGAGTTGGCCAAGTCGAGCGCTGCGGAGTTTGCTGAGAGCTGGAAGAACGCAAGTCAGATTCCAAACTCAGATTCAACTGAGGATACGCAGCTTACCTTCAAGCCGTCAGAAGTTAGAGTTGGAAAGGTATCGTCACCTTCGAGGGCAGCGAAGGTCTTAGAAATGGGGGATTTGAGGTCAAGACCGTTGAGCGCCGAATGATCTCCGTCGTCAAGGAAGGATGTGTTGATGGGTAAGTCAAAACCGTTGCGGGTTGTGACCTGGCCCACCGAGAAGCGATGTGTCTGGGCGGGTCGGCTAGTACCGACTGGCATAGAATACCGGTTACCACTAGGAAAGAATCAGAAGGAATGTCGAATGCGAATGAGGATAAGAGCTGCAGACGAAGATGCAAGGGCTTGAATTTATTTTGGGATCGGTCGAAGATCAGCCAGGCAGACTCGTGTGAATCGTGTGAATGACAATCAAAGCCACACAATAGACTCGTTTGCACCGAGGCTGCCTCTGAATGGCTGCCGCACATTCAGATTGATCTTGTGACTCGGTCTCCCACAGTGAATAGGAGATTAATGGGGCAACCAGGACAATAGCAAGTGTGGGGAGTGAATGACTTACATGCCCGGCTGACGTATGTTAGGCAGGTCCTCGGCGTAGTCCTCTTCTTCGTCTGATCCTCGTCGAGAGGCTGGAACTGACTTGGCAGACTGTTGAGCTTGAGCGTACATGGATCCAGACTGGCGGGTTGCCGAGGGGGACATAATATGAGTTGAGACTTGGGAGAACCGCTTGCCAAGACCAGGGGGACTCATCACGGAGCTCGTAGACAAGCGTTGGCCACGTGAATAGCGGTTGCCATAGATGCCGTCCGCGTATTCTGGAGGGGTAGTTGGCTCAGACACAGGGCCATTCAGACTGGCGCGACTCAGGCGGTTCGTGATGGTATCCATGTTCTCGTCGCCATTTGCACCCATCTGCAATCGCCGTTCCTGGAATTCGAGGAGGCGGAGATGCTCTTCAGCCAGCCGCTTCGCAGTGTGGATGTCGTCCATCATCTTCTGTTTAGTGCCCTGCAGCGTACGGTTAGCGCCTTGTTCATTCGAGACCGAGCACCGCACTGAAGCAGCCCAGCTATTTGGAGACCACAGCCGCCTCGTGCACATCATCTTGCCAGTGTACCATCCTTGACCACTATCTTAAGAGGCTGACCGGCCAGTCCCCTCGTTTTGATAACCGCGGGCTCAAAGTACAAATCAAGAGGGTCAGGAACCGCACGTACCGTTTGTGGTATATTGTTGAACTGGCCTCCGAATGGTCGCCCGAGGGACATCTTGCTCGAATCGGTGGTGAAGCGACGCTGAAGACTAGCCCGCGTGTCGTTGTGGTTTGTCGAGAAGAAGGTATTCTCGGGGCGAGAAGTGGCCGGCCCAGCAGAAGGAAATGAGTCGTGCTCGGGAGACCGCATAGAGGGGAACCGCAGTTCCTCCATGCGACCGCTCAGGGAGTTCTGGAAAGCCATGATTGCGACTGCAGGACATGTTAGCAAGGTTCGGAGCGCTTGTACGGCGGGGTATTGAGTCTTTTGCTGCCTGGCTGATCTGGTCCCTCACCAGACTCGGAGCCCACAGGACTTCAAGGCGCCCAGATCCATGGGAATTGCAGGCCGCAGACAGATTAGTGCGCATAACGTACCTCGTGCTGTTGTACACCACCTCCACTCTCTTCGAGTATCTGGGATGAGCTTCTCTTCGACACTAGCGCCGACGCAGACTCTGGAGTGTGCGGGAACATGCAGGTCCCTCGACGTTGCAGGCGCCTCGGAGTAGAGCAATGGACAAGCTTCCCCCCGGGGCTGCGCTCGTTCCGAGGATGCTGAAACGACAGTGATGCAAATAAGAAATGTGAAAAGCAGAGACAATATGGTACAGATCTTCGCGAGAAGGGAAGGAGGGGTGTTGAAGTGAGGGAGGGAGGTCGCAGTTGAGGAGACGAGCGAGGTTGGATCGAGTCTCCGGTCTGTGAGGTCTGCTGCAGACAGCGTGCGTCTCGCTGGAGCAGAACCCACCAGACCGTGACTTTGCCCTCACGGTCCCTCGCTTTAGGGCCGCCTTGACCAGGATGGGACTGGTGCAATGGGGCTTGCTACAGCGCCCAGACTGGATTCGTGCGGGCGGCGCCCCCTCGAACTACGAATTCGGCTTTCTGTGGTGTCCGCTGCTTTCTCGTGCCCAACAACCAAGCGCAGACTTGAAAGCACTTTGCCTGCAATTGAATGGACCGCCAATCACAATATTCATCCCTAGGTTGTTGTGTGGGGAGTCTTGCAAACAAAGCACCACAGTCTAGCAGGTGGCAGCAAGTGGTAAATTCGCCCAAGGGTCCTCTCGACCACTCACGGTTAGCGGTTGGCCACTTGCTCGCTTTTGTTCGGGCGATCATCGCAAGTCATGAACAAGCGGTGAATGCGAGTATCCACTTGCAACCGTTGCTTTGTCGCTGCGACCCAGGGTTTCCATAATGCAGAGGATATCAGCTTTCGAACATTTTGTTCAATTGTGCGACTGCAGTATAGAGCTCAATTGTGTCAAGCTTAGTGCTGATGAGACTAAATGATCTGGCTGACAGGTCCACCGGGCGTTGACGCCAGACTCGAGGAGCAAAGCAATTGCCTACCGACTCAAGCCCACGCGATGCGCGCAATGCATGGTGGCTAATGACACTAGCCGACAGGGGATGCTAGATCCAGATGCCTCTGGTGTGCTTGTGGTACGGGAACAGCTGGCATTTCTGGTGGCAAACACATTCACCGTGCCTCCGCGTCGGGCGACTTTCGATCTGGTGACTTAGAGTTCGGCCGTCGTCCGTGTGACTTTCGGCTCTAGATTTTGTCGAAGTCTCACGTGGGGTCGACAATGCTGCTTTGTTTTCAGGTACAAACTCTGATATTACAGAATGTTGGGAGGCCGAGCATTGGGGAACCGACCTGGGCGGGTCAATTGGAGAGGGGCAAGGGCCTGGAAGGCTGGAAGCGTGTCGGGCAGGTCCAGGCTAGGTAGTGCTGCTGGGCCGGGGCGTGCAAAGCTTTTTTGATAGCAGCAGGCGATATGCTTCGTTGACGCTCAGGGCTAGCGGAGGTTTAGGTGGAGGACGGGCGGCATGGCGCCATCGGGAGGGCACCTTGGTCATAGGCACATCCCAAGCCTCAAACGCGCTTCCGCAGTGGAGGCGAGGTGGTCAGTGCCCACGACTACAGCCCGCGCGGCGTTCGAGGGCGGTCTTGTGGGCGAGTTTCAGGTGGGGAGCAGGCGCTGTGACTGGCCCATGAGATGCCGTTGATGCATGCTGGTCTGGTGCCTGCATACTGGTTTGCAGGGTCTAGGTCACCCCCAAAAAGACAGGATGACCAGGCGTGTGAGCACATCTAAGTCGCAAGAGCCTGAGCGTGTGAATCTAACAGGAGCCCCTCCGGCGCCCGGAAGAACCATCCCGCCGGCAGGCAGCAAATTGCTTGGCAGTGACAACTTTTTTGTAGTCCACTATACCAGACCAGCCTTCACGATCTTGCATCGCCGCATAGTCTGTGTGAGGTGCACTCTGGTAGAGTCCATCAAGATGCCTCCCAGGAGGAAGACCGATGGCCCAGATGCTGCACCTCCCGCCAAACCACAGCCCAAGGTATATTCGGGCCCGCCCCTCCATTTCGAGGTTCAACTAACGTGTAGCAGAAGCCACCCCCGCGACCTGCCACGACAAAGAAGCCTGCAGCGGCCTCCGGGCCAGATCCCAGACCTGTGTCTACAAACACGACCGCAAACGAGGAGCAGAAAGCAAAACCTTCGCGTAAACCCTCCCAAAACGTCGACAGCTTCGATGCCACGCTCGAGCCCTTCTACTACGACAAATCCCTAACAGATCCCATTGACACGGCAAGAGACAAATGGAATCTATTGCCGGCTTTTCTCAAGGTCAAAGGCCTTGTAAAACAGCACATCGACTCCTTCAATCACTTTGTTGAAGTTGAGCTCAAGAAGATCATTCAAGCCGAACCGCTAATCACAAGTGACATTGACCCGGACTTTTATGTCAAGTACCTGGATATCTACGTCGGTAAACCACAGCGATATGATGAGCAATACTACGGGGATGGTGCCCATTACCGGGGTGAGTCGACTGTCACGCCCCACGAGTGCCGACTGCGCGACATGACTTATGCTGCTCCTATCTTGGTGGACGTACAGTACCCAAAGGGAAGCCAAGTCTTCAGGCGGCGCGGAATGACCATTGGCAGATTGCCCATCATGTTACGAAGCGCGAGATGCGTACTCTCTGGCAAGTCAGAGGCCGAGATGACGCTGATGGACGAATGCCCTCTCGATCCAGGTGGCTACTTCATCGTCAATGGCACCGAAAAGGTCCTATTGGTCCAGGAGCAGCTATCCAAAAACCGAATAATCGTCGAATCCGACCCCAAAAAGAGCATAATCTCGGCTTCGGTAACCAGTTCCACGCACGTCAGAAAGTCCAAGACCTATATCAACCTGAAGAAAGACGGGTTGCTCACCGTGCAGCACAACATTCTGAACGAGCAGGTCCCTATCTGTGTTCTGCTGCGAGCCATGGGCGTAGCGTCGGACATGGAAATGATGGCCATCGTAGCTGGCACTGATCAAGCGCTACAGGATGATTTCGCCATCAATTTCGAAGAGACCATCAAGCTGAACATCGTAACCCAGCACCAAGCGCTTGACTATATTGGCTCTCGGATCAAGATTGCCCGGAAACAAACTCCTTTTGGCCAAACTCGACGAAACTACATTCAAGAAGCACTCGAAGCTATCAGCAATGTTCTCATTGCGCACGTGCCCATAGAAGATCTTGATTTCCGGCCGAAGGCTCTGTACGTCGCGCATATGGCTCGTCGTGTCCTCATGACCAAGCAGAATCCGGCTATGGTTGATGATCGTGATTACGTTGGCAACAAGCGCCTGGAACTGGCAGGCCAGCTGCTTTCACTTCTATTCGAGGACTTGTTCAAGAAGTACAATTTCGATGTCAAGATGAACATGGACAAAGTGCTGAGAAAGCCTAACAAGACCGAAGTTGCTGACCCTTGTGCCATAATGATTGGTCATGCAAATCAGATCACACAGGGCATGAACAGAGCAATTGCAACTGGCAACTGGAACTTGAAGAGATTTCGAATGGAGAGAGCGGGCGTTTCACATTTGCTTAATCGTCTTAGCTTCATCGCTACGCTCGGTATGATGACGAGAATCACCAGTCAATTTGAGAAGACCAGGAAAGTATCCGGGCCGCGATCGCTGCAGCCGTCTTCGTTCGGTATGTTGTGTCCAGCAGATACTCCAGAAGGTGAAGCCTGTGGTCTCGTCAAAAACCTGGCGCTGATGACACACATTACCACGGACGATGAAGAAGGTCCGATCAAGCGAATCATCTTCATGCTCGGGGCGGAAGACATTGTAACCGTCGGTGGCTCAGAGCTCTATGCGCCTGGCTCCTATGTTGTCATGCTCAACGGAACGCCGCTCGCCGTAACGAGAACCCCTTCGCATTTCCTTTCGTCCTTCCGCCGACTACGAAGATCCGGGCGGATATCGGAATTTGTCTCAATATTCATCAATCACCATCATAGTACCATTCAAGTGGCAACCGATGAAGGTCGGATATGTCGACCACTCATTATTGTTGAAGACAAGAAGTCCAAGGTCACAAAGAGGTATCTGAAATCACTCCGTCAGGGCTCGATGGATTTTGATGACTTCCTCGCTCGAGGTCTCGTCGAGTATCTGGATGTCAACGAGGAAAATGACAGTACCATCGCCATGTCTGAGTCCGATATCACGGCGGTTACTACTCATCTCGAAATAGAACCATTCACAGTGCTGGGTGCTGTTGCCGGTCTTATCCCATATCCTCATCATAACCAGTCTCCTCGAAACACTTATCAATGTGCTATGGGTAAGCAAGCGATTGGCTTCATTGCGAACAATCAGTTCCTGCGGATCGACACCATGCTCTATCTGATGGTTTATCCCCAGAAGCCTCTCGTGAAGACTCGCACCATTGAGCTTGTCAAATACGACAAACTTCCAGCTGGCCAAAACGCTACCGTAGCCGTCATGTCCTACTCTGGATACGATATCGAGGATGCACTTGTGCTGAACAAGGCCTCGGTTGACCGCGGCTTTGGCCGTTGTCAGATCTTTCGTAAATACCCCGTATCCCTCAAGCTGTACGCATCTGGCAGCAAAGACAGCGTCGGTCCACCGGTCCTTGATAAGGAAACGGGCGTCTCGATCAAAGAGCACGCTCTGCTGGACCAAGATGGCGTTGCCCACGTCGGCGAGAAAGTGTCCGCAGGCGAAGTCTATGTCAACAAATGGGTTCCTGAAAACGTGAACTCCAGCAGCCTTTCTGACAACGGCAGAGACAAGCAGAACATGCTTCCACAAGCTCAGAAGTACAAACTCCCTGATCACTCCTACATCGATAAAGTCATGGTGTCTGAAGTTGAGTCGGGCAATCAGCTCATCAAGGTACAGACTCGGCAGACTCGTGTGCCTGAAGTCGGTGACAAATTCTCCTCTCGCCACGGTCAAAAGGGTGTTGTCGGCATTATCGCCGAGCAAGCCGACATGCCTTTCTCCGATCAAGGGATTACGCCGGACATCATCATGAACCCACATGGTTTTCCGTCTCGTATGACTGTAGGCAAGATGCTCGAGCTCGTCTCCGGCAAAGCAGGGATTCTGGACGGCAACTTCGAATACGGCACTGCGTTTGGTGGCTCCAAGCTTGACGACATGAGCCAAGTGCTCCTGAAGCACGGTTTCTCCTACGATGGGAAAGACTATCTCACCTCTGGCATCACAGGAGAAGCCCTCCCCGCCTACGTTTTCACCGGCCCCATCTACTACCAGAAGCTCAAACACATGGTGCAGGACAAGATGCACTCGCGTGCGCGTGGTCCGCGAGCCATCCTGACGCGGCAGCCCATGGAGGGGCGTTCTCGAGATGGTGGTCTGCGATTGGGAGAGATGGAGCGCGACTGTCTGATCGCATACGGCGCCAGTCAGCTGATGCGTGAGCGCCTGATGCTCAGTTCGGATGTGCACAACGTGGAGATTTGCGAGAACTGTGGCTTTACGGCTTTTGGAAGGAGGTGCAAGCGGTGCATGACGGCGGGTGAAGGGGAGGGGGGAAAGGTTGTGCAGTTACAGTTGCCGTATAGCTTCTTGCTTCTGAGCAGGGAGCTTAACGCTATGAGTATTAGTACGCGGTTGGTAGTGGAAGACGAGTTTCCGCTGAGGTCATGAGCGTGAATAGTACCGTCCGCTTTGGGGGGAGAAGCCAGGAGGGGTCAGACATTGTTGCATAGCGAAGAGTGGGAAACGGACTTGCATTTGCATTGGCATGGCGCTATGAGGAATACATCTACGACGAGAGTCTTGAGATACCCCCCGCCTTCACAAGAAGGCTTTTGTTGTATCAAAATGCGAAAAGCCGGTTCGATGAACTCGCATTCAATGTCCACGTGACTAACGCCTCGTTGTGCTCAGTTGATATATACTCGGCTCCATGGCCGCAGCACCGGGCTGTCCTCCATTACTTTACGTATAATCTGGAGACCATGTGAGCCGGGATCTGAAGTCGCAGTACCCGAACAGGTAGTTCTACAAGATCGGTACAGCAAAGGAAAAGGAAACGGAACAGAGAGAGCCTGATGTGGTATTTGTTATATTGAGGGTTGGGGGGCTGGGGAATATGGAAATGGGCTAAGCCTGACCCGGGGGCGATACCTTACCTTTGACGAGGATCTCTTACCTTCGGACTCAGTCACCTTTCCGTGATCCTCGAGACCTATACATGTCTGTTTGTTCAGGACGATGAGGGGTGGGGACTTGGGGGATGGGGGATGGGCTGGGCCTGACCCGGGGTGATACCTTACCTTTGACGGGGACATCCTTACCTTTGGGCTCACTTACCTTTGCTTGATCCCCGGAGCCGTTTTACGTCGATCTTGCTCGGGACGGTCCATTGGCACTGTTGTGGTGGTGGTACTGTTGGTAGATTCTCATAAATTCCGAGGTGAAGGGTGTATAAATAGAGGACAGCGGGCTGCGAGGGAGGCGGTGGCCTTTGTTAACGCCTTTGTATCGAGTGCTTTGACGTTGGTCGATCAAAGACGTTGGGCAGCACTGCATTGTTCCGTGACAAGGCCGCGTTGTCCGGAGGCGTCGAGGGGCGCTGGGCTTTATCTGTTGCGCTGTTGCGAATAAAGCAAGCTCCGTTGTGGCTGTGGCGCTCTGTGGATTGAGAGACTTGTAGTCTTCTGGAGAGTCCCACCGTATATGGCGCTTACGTCAGTGTGGCTCGAAATAGACAGTAGCTCATGTAGATGCATTTCATGCCATGGAAGGTATATCAAATCGGGGATTGCTCGGCGAGGTAGACGACTTGGCCTGTCAACAAACGAAGCTTGGAAGCATGACTGAGCCGCCAGGCGCGAGTTTGTTATGAAGACCGATCATACCCAGCGGGGGAAGCACTGTCAAGGAGGATAACTGCAGACTCACATGACTTGCCTTCTAGACATAAATATGTAAATGTAGCCTATGCCTGCTGAAGGGCCGCAGAACATCAAGTAATCGCCAACGAACACCCTTCGACAACAGGAGCTAGCGACTAAGTCCAATGAATCGTCTGAGCTCTGTCGGAGGGCCAAGTTCTGTGTCGACAGTAGTAGGCTTGTGAAGACCTAGCTTCAGCCATCATGCGCTACGAAAGTCCTCGTCCGCACGTACCAGGCTGTTCAGACATCAGAATCATTTCACTTTATGTGAACAGACAGTCATCAAGTGATTCAATCGGTGACCTGCCTGCTGGTCACCCTGTGTCACAGAAGAAGCCGTGCTTAGCCGGACCTTTATTCTTCCTGCGCCACTAAGCGCCGTTGTCACCAGAGCACCGTCACTGCCTTTCTAGCGGTGGGGCGGGGGTTTGTAACTTATAAGAGCCGTAACGTGCTCGAGTTTCTCTTCTTGCCACTCGCACCGTTTATCAAGCAAGCTCACAGTTGCTGTATACCGAGCTTGCTTGATGGCACAGTGACCAACAACACGGTTCGAGATTTGAGAAAGACATATATATTTGACCATTCAACAAATAAAGACCGGCGGTCAGTCGAATAAGGCTTAGTCTGCGAGTTCGTATCGATATCCTCGAATGCTGACCTGATGGTCTCTGAACCATTACAGGCAAGAGCCTGGAATACCACAAGGGGCACAACAACCACGCGCGAGTCAGAGAGACACAATCAGCTAGTCAAACGTCGTCGACCACAGATCCGCTTGCCACGCCCTCGCCTGGCCGTCAAATGCCTGAAACACCAGACATCTTCAGGCTTGACGTCCATCCGAACGTACGCCTTGCCGATTACGGTTAGCGCAATGACTCGGGACCATACCGGAGTTCGATCGACCTCAACTGCCTCGCTCATACCTCACCTTTGCCTCAATCACTCCTGTTGGCTGAGCCTCAGCTTCGGATGCCCCCAGAAGCCAGTCGTGATCTCAGATCTCGCTGCTTTGATCGCTACAATGAAGGAAGAGCATCGGTCACGCGCCGTGAACCAGACTTCCGCAGAGTGCAGTCTGTTCCTCTACTGGCTTCCCGCTGAGAGCGAGCCGCATCGCAATGATAGTTGTGAAGCATCTCATGTATTGGAAAGATCCATGATAGGATGCTGGATGTCCGCATAACATTGCCGATCGCGTCATCGAAAGATGCATGGACTCACAAGCACCCTTCCGCAGCCGTCTGTCAACGTCGAAGTAGCAAGATAACATGTACTGTAGCTACCGGTCAGCTCACCTTGAGAAGCTGCACTTGATGTCAGCAGAATCACGGCTGCGGGGAGGCAGTACGGTGGGGTATCTGTTGTCCGCCATGGCGACCCGGATCTTGTGTTTGCTATCCCGCCTCAGTCTTAATGCGCAGTCTCTAGCACACCTCGCTATCTTCGCTGCCTTCAGAATCATATCAAGTGGTCAGGCCAACGGACACTGTCGGTATTGGGTCAAGTCTGAGCCTTGGCAAGTTGGCTGCCTGCGGTTGCCAAACTATTGATTGCGGTCACGCTCACCGCGACATTCGCACCTCTCGACCTTCCACACTCCGCATAGCCCATTTCATCCGCCTATCCCTAACACATCAAGTCTCACGATCAGTCATCATGAACGACCCCGAGGCTGAAGTTGACCGCCCCAAGCGAAGCCGCGGCATCAAGCCCGAGAAGCTCGAAGAGTACGTTGCAGCCCCTTCATCAGCCAGCAACAACACTAAACTATCGCAGTGTCGACCTGTCCAAGGTTATCACCGTATTCTACTACAACAAGCGAGGCTCCAATGAGATTCTCCGTCAGAATTTCCCCCGAGAAGGTGTCATCATGTTCTGCGACAAGTTTCGACAGCTCCTCATCCACGACCCTGCTCAGAAAGCCATCTATCTCCCACGCATCGACCCTCGCCCATATGGTGCCGTCTTCGATTGGATACAGCAGTGTCTTCGTGGACACGCCATTGCTGATTTCGAGACCGTAAGATGTTCCTATCCACTCGTCAGCAAGCATCTCTCTGACCACTTCGTAGTATGATGAGGACGAGCCTGGCGTCTACACTCGCTACGCCGATATCATTGAGGCTGCCGAATTCCTTGAGCTCCCTGCTCGTGACATCACCGAGAAGGTCATGAAGCGTCTCAACAACATGGCTAGAATGCAGCGCGAAAAGCCCCGCCGCGTCACCCTCGACGAGCTTGGTAGGGCCATTTCTTCCCGCATAACAGACACCGCTGATCGAAACAGAGGACTTCTACGAAAACCGCCCTGATGAGCTCCGCAAGCTTGCGTCTTCGACGATCTTCTACTGTTGGTGGTACGAGGAAGTCGATGCCCCTCGATTCACTCCTGACGAGATGTGCGAATTGAGTGCCCTTCGCCAGGACTACCCGGCCCTGGATAAAGATCTTCATGAGCACGTTGACGAGCACGACAAGTTCCTCGATACCAAGCGCAAGAAGCGTGAGGCTGAGAGAATGGGTGTGACTGACGACGGCTCTGGCGAGAGTGGCTACGCTTCTGGCACTACTGGTGGTGGCTGGGAAGGATGCGACACTAGTGCTTCAGTCTCCGGTGGCAATGTCTGGGATGCTGGTGGTGACGGATGGGCGGCGGGTGGTGGTGAAGATGCGAACAAGGAGAACACCAGTCCAGCCAATCAGTCCTCCTGGGAGCAGGATTTCGGTAACGACAAGAGCGGTTATGACTGGGCTGATGAGGTCAACGACGAAGCTCAACCCGTTGCTGCGTGGTGATCGACCTCTACCAACGATGCCAGGATCTGCCAACTTGTTGGATTGGTATCTGAAGAGTGTTTCATGGTTTTGCCGGTTTTGCAAGCAGATTGCAACGACTCTCAACGATAGCGAATAGTGTGGTTCACTGCCCAGTGGTGCAGTCGTACAACATCGTACGTCGAGCTCTAGCTGGGTGGCAAGACCTGAAAATCAATTGAGCATACAAAGGACAAGCTTTGCCATCTCTATTCCAACGCTTTAACCTCTGGCGATCCTGCAACGATGAGGGGGCTCAGCCACTCTAGCTGGCCCTGTCTACGCCACGGCCACCAGCCCTCTAGCCACATTTGTACCATTCCACGAACTACGAAAATAGGCGATCCACCGTTTCGAACTTTGGGGTCCAGCACTTTTGCAGCTCGAGAATGATCATTTGGTCATGGCGCGAATCAATCTGTCTGTTCAGGATTCTTCGACACAGCTGAACGGGATCGGGGCACTTTGCGGCCTTTCGACTTCTCCCCACTCTCTCCGGGCCCGAAAGCTTCCACCGCGTCCCGCCCGAACTCTCGTATGGTCTCAGCTGAATGAACCTGAAGCATATTTCATGAGTCCAGGACTGCCAGGCCGCCTTGATTCCTCTGCGGCTTGAGGATTGAGCACTACCATTTGATGCGTCTCGGAAATCCTGCTCTGGAGAAGAAGGCTTACCTTAACCATCGATCAGGCTGCCACAACTGTGGTCCATCTTAGGAGATATTCTTCAAGGGGAAGTCCAGAACAGACCTCCCCCAATCACAGCTCTGCGGTCGGTTCCTATCAACCGGCACTACAAGTCTGAAAAGCAACCCTGATACCGAGATCACTGTGATCGAGGTTCAGGATCTAGACAACATCTTGATTAAGTCCTCCACAACAGCAACATGCCGTATCGAGGCATTCCAAGCAAAGGATGCGGTACGTGTCGTAAGAGAAAAATCAGAGTCAGTATATGCCTTTACGCGGTCTCCTACCACTGACCAGGACAGTGTGATCAGCGACCGGGAACGTGTATGAACTGTGAAAAGGCGAACCGGGAATGCACAGGCTACAGGAACGCCATCGATCTGATGTTCCACGATGAGACCGAAGTGGTCGCAAGGAAGATGAGGAGTGAGCTCTCCTTCGACTTTGCATCTGACTCCGACAGAGGCGCGCTCCCTCAACCATCCATCCCACAGAAGTCCATCGCCTTTCCACAAGTCGACACCTCGTCAATCCAGACTTCTGATCTGCCACCTGCGCTCGAGACGCAAGCGACAACTTTCTTCTACAGACACTTCCTCCTCAACAACACGTACTACGCGAATGAGACTGAGCTGTTCGCAAATCTCTCGCCTTTGTCTCCGTTACCCAGCGTGAGATCATTGTACCACAGCATCGTAGCTCTTGGGCTCGGAAGCCTTGTCATCCATTCTTCGACTCACTCAGAAGTACCTCTCTCCGTCTACTCGGAGGCTCAGTACCTGGCAGCCATTTCAGCGCTGGGTTCAGCCGTATCTTCACCGAGCGAAGCCACATCCGACCAAACGCTTCTTTCGGTCATGATCCTCACGATTTTCGAGACGTTCACACTTTCGACACCCAAGCTATCGCCCAATGCTCAGCCAACAGTGCCAAGTCTGACTGCCTGGTCGAATCATATCTCGGGTGCCGCAGCTCTCCTTGAAGCTCGCGGTTCGGACCAATTCGCTAGACCCGATGGTCTGCGCCTTTTCGTCCAGGCGGCAGTTCCTCTCTGTGTCAATTGCCTACAACAAGGCCGCCCGGTCCCGGAGAGCATTCCATCCGTCGTCGCCGAAGGTAGGGCCCGGAACCTGATCAATGAGGCCTCTTTGCCGCAATCGCCCTGGCATAGTTTCGAGTTCGTGATTCGCTTCACACATTTCGCAGGCCGCGTCCGCCAGCGCCAGATCACCGATCTTGTTGAACTGCTTGAGTATTCCACTGCCATGGACCAAGAAGCAGAAGACATTTGCGCTGGTTTGCTCGGCTCTAATGAACTCCAAGTCGTCACATCTGTGCCAACTCTCGACCCCAAGGACGACATCCTGCCCTTAGGCTACTGTCACGGCTACCCCTCTTTCATGCTCGCGGAACTCCTCAACGGCCTGCGCGCTTTTCGCCTACAGCTAAACGGCCTGGTGCGCAGCGTTCTCCTGGTCGGCATGACTCAGCGCCCGCCTCTTTTCCCTGGTGCTGAACACACGACCCTTCTCCAGCAAGCCACCGACAACATCCGCACCTTCTCCGATGAGATAATCGCGAGCGTCCCTCAGTATCTCGGCTATGTGCCCACAAGCCAGCACAGCCCACCGTACTCAGGCGTCGATTCGCGCGACACCACACCCGGCGCACCTCCCAGCCCCGGCGACATCCCTCGCAAGCCGGCCTTCCCATGGTCGCCCTTCCCGTCTCCCTCAGCCACCGCGCTGGGCTCGCTGCCTCTCGTGCGCAGCGCCGGCGGCTGCCACATGCCCTGGGCGCTGATGACGGTGGCGACGACGGACGTGGCCACCAAGACGACGCAGGCGTGGGTGGCGAAGCGGCTGTGGCAGACTGCGAGACAATACAGCATTGCGCAGGCGGCGGTGCTGGCAAAGAGGGTCAGTGAGGGGACGTGGGTGGAGGGCTGGTGGCGTGGTATTTCGCCGAAGGATGGGAAGGGATGGACGCCTGCGGAGGAGGCGGGGAGGGGTGGACAATTGGATTGAGTGCGAGGGGACGGAGGGTAGAGATGCCTTTTGCTTATGTGGCACATATATAGATGATTGTAATATCTATTGATCTCATTGAGAGAGCTGCTGTGGAGTAGGAAGGGCCATGTAGGGAGTTGCAGTATCGATGCAGCTGTGGAGAGCAATGAAGCACTGACGAATCATGGTGAAATGATTGTGTGGCTACAGACATAAGTTCATATGTGCTGCTATGAGTCCAGCGCATCCTCTCGGGCGAGATTACAACTCTTGGCCCTGCAATAAGTCGCATCTTTGGCTTATCCCACTGGCTTGAGCCCCTATTGCTGATATCACATCGTCGTAAGCGTCGTATCTATTCCACCTCACGCCGTCCTCAGCTAGTGTGATAGTAGCAGCCTCTGCTTCCACATTCCAGCTCATGTCCCGGACCCATGGACCTTGGGTCGACTCACACCCCCATCTCCGCCCTCTTCCCCCTCGCCCCGGGTCTCATCTCATGCATGCGCCTCCATCCCGTCTCCGCCTCCGGCACAGCCGCTGCCCGCTCCTTACCAAACCAACCGCTCGAATTGCCCACCTGCACGCCCCGGGGCATGCGCGCCTTCAGCCGCTCGCCCACCTCGCCGACTCCCAGACGGATCTCGCCGACGCCCTGCCTCACACGGCCCGCCACGCGCGTGCTGTACGGCCTCGCACCCACGTTCTCAGAAGCTTTGGAGCGCGGGCTGTGGCCCCACCCGAGTCTCTGGGGCGAGGTGCAGCTGTCTGGCGACCAGCTGCTTTGCTCGCGCTGTGGTTGTGGGCGGTTCCCCCGCGGCGGCGGTGTCTGCACCTGCATGGAGTTAACTTCCAGGTCCAAGCCGCGCTTGGGCAAGATTTTGATGTTGGGCGGGGGGTAGGCCACGAGGTCGTCAGTGCTGGTGCAGCTGTGCTGGACCATACGGGCGTGGAAGCGGTCGTGGGCGTGGTGTTTTTCCAGCGCGAGGTTTGAGAGGTTGCGGCTGTGGGAGTGGTAGTGCGTGCGCTTGTAGCGTGGCTGGGCGGTATTGGAGGAGGTGAGCAGGTGATGGGTGGCGAACGAGGTGGTGGCGGCGAAGGTGAGGAAGAGGAGGGAGGCGAAGACGGTGGCGGCGATGGCGGTGGCTCGAGAGTGTAGTGAGAGAGGGGATTTCCGGAGCAGGTCAGCGCTGGCGATGAAGCCGGCGAACCAGAATAGTGCTGTGGAGGCTTCGGCGCTAAGCATCACATGGACTTGGGCTAGGCGAGGGAAGAAGCGTGGGGCCAATGTCGTGTATGGGATAATGAGGAGGAGGGTGAAAAGCGAGGTGAAGATGAGGAAGTTTACTTGGCGAGGGGAGGATATGGATGAGCTGTGGTTGTTGAATGTGGCAGCCACGGACGCGGCGAGGGAGAGCGTGAGGAGGGCAAAAAGGGTCTGTGTTGCTCGTAGGAAGGTGAGCGGTTGTATGGAGGGGAGACTGGTTGATAAGGGTATGGATGGCTTAGGAATGCCCATGGTGGCGTTGTGCAAAGATGGTAGGCCACGGTGAGGTGAGAAAAATGCACGCCCAGCGGTTATGAGGCTCGGATAGTATAGTAAGAAGACGACCGTCAAGGCCAAAGCCGGTCGCTAACCGGGGAATGTTGTGGTCGCGCTCAACGCGGTGTACAAAGAAGAGACAGACGCGTTAGATGTCGCCGTACTAATTCTGTATATTTAGTGGGCGGCAATGGGCGGGGGTGGCTTTAGAAGGAGAGACCAGACAACTCAAAAATATGCTGGGACAGGATCTTTGTCGGGCATATGTTGAACGCGATCTGGGAGCGAGAGATGGCGAGGCCAGCACACGACAGCACGAGTACTACAACAGCAGAGAAGAAACAAACCCTGAGATGTGACCGGATAGTCGCTTTGCATGACAGATGGCACCCGAAGATCGCCGCAAGAATGACATTGTCTGGTGAGCGTGGAGTGATGTTGTCGAGAGGCAGAAGAGGCAGATCCCTGTACGCGACCAGGCTTCCGAGAGCTATTCCTGTCGCAGCTAAGCGCCATCTCGAAACATCAGGCTAAAAGGCTTGTGTCGGACGCTTGATCTGGGCACGCTCATTGATTGGACGAGAGCAAATCTCCGCGATCGCCCAGAGTTTCGTAGACAGACTGCGCGTGCTCCTGTCTCAAGCGTGCTGCCGCCGTCAGTTCCTCATGTCTCTCGTTGGTCCGGTGTGTGAAACGCACGGCTTCCTACATGACGGAGCTAAGCAATCCCATCAAGCGTGGAGGTCCTCCGCCGATGTCGTGCTACGAGCTACTTTGCGACGGCTGCCACCAGAATAGATGACTACTGGACCGGTGCAGAACGCGCACAATAACCCGAAGGACCACGTCATGGTCTTCCAGCCCGCTTGTCTCTCGATAGCCGCCGCCATCAATGGCCCAGCGAGAGAGCCACTGGCCCAAGCCACGTTGAATATTCCGTAGCTTGTGGCGTAAGCCGATCCCAGGGAAGGGTCCTGCTTCGCCTTGCCGTCGCACACCTTTGAGAACTCGGTCATCAAACTCGTCACGACCAAGGCGCCACCAAGGCCGACTCCGCATAGGAGCGCAACAAGGAGGACGACCTGGCGAATGCTGTCGTGGTCCACCAGGCGCAAGAGCACCCAGAAAGGCAATAGTAGTAAGAACCCGCTTGTGGCGATCCACCGGGGACCGTACTTGTCCACACCCTTTCCAATGACGGGACCCGCTAGATGAGGGAAAAGCAGTGCGACAAAGATCAGCCCTGCCCCTAAAGCATCCCAGTCGAAAACCCGATTCACGAAGAGGGGTAGTGTTGAGTCGAACGCTGCCATGGTCGCTGAAACCGCGAATGTGCCGAGAAATGCAGCCTCGATTCTCCTCGACTTGAGAAGCACCAGCATGACTGGCAGAGACTTTTTGCCTGGCGTGGCCTCTCTTGCTGCCCCTGAGCCTCGTCCAGCGGTTGTTGTCGGTTGGAGAACAGTATCGTGAGCGTCAACTTCTGCGGATATTTCTTGAGCCTGGTCACACTCAATCCATTGGGCTGCTTTGTGTTTCTCGATAATGAGAAGCCGTAGCACGATGTCTACGCCGATAAGACCAAACATCATTCCGAAGACCTCATAATATCCGCCTTCTCTGTACACGACACCGCCGAGCATCGGAGCTATCAGGGTCCCAATGCTGTAGCTTGCGGCGACGAATCCCAACGCCTGACCTGACTTGCTTTTACCAACAGTGTCCGAAAGCAGTGCTAGCGCAATTGTCCACACAACACCTGCAGACGCACCTTGCAGAAGGCGAGCAACGACCAGCACCGCAATGGATCGGCCAAGACAAAACATAATAGTCGCTCCCATTAAAACCACCAGTCCACCAAGCAATGGCACCTGTCTCGACTTGATGCGGTCCGCCAGCACACCACAAACGGGCGAGGCAAGCAAGAGCGCTCCACCATAAACACCCAACAAGACAGAAACCCAGTGAGCTACCTGATCGGGTGCGACTCCAGCACGGCTCTCAATAGCAAATGGGATGACCGGAACGACGACGGCGTAAAGAAAGACATCCTGGCTTGGTCAGCCGCTAAAGAATGGTTGATGATCGAATGTCTGGCCTGGCGAGGTCCTCTCAACTCTACTTACGGTGAAAACGGCGAAGCAGACAGTCAATACGATGAACCACTGTGCTGATCGAATTTCGAACCAAAGAGGTCGTTTGTTACCAAACCTATGTGGTGTCCAGGACTTCGATGCCTTTGTCTGCGCCATGTCAAATTGATCCAACGACTATGGACGCCTTGAACGATAATTCACGAGCAAACTCGAGCTCTTCAGTATCACCGTCATCAAATTTGCGATCTACCGCAAGCTAAATGACTTGGACGGACTTCTCCTATTGGGCGGGTGTCTTTCATGAGCATCTCACGCGAGAGCAGAGCTGCCAAGGCCCGCGTTTCCAGACCACGAGGCTCGTTCAGCTCTGGACTACAGTAATTGCGGTATTATGGGTGGCACTTGACTTGTCAGTTTGACTGATGCAGATATTAATACCGGAATCAGTACCATGCCGAAGCCCCTACTGCGCCGTAATTCGAGACTGCGACGCTGGCGCGGACTCAACTAAGAGTGACATGACAGTTTACAGGCCCCAGCCAAAGGTCTGTATACACGGTAAGTGTCAAAGACCGAATGCTAATCCCAAGCCTCCTTTCTCTAGGAACCGGCTTGAGGAGAACTGCCTGAGGCTTGTGTCCAGGACCGAAAGTCGGACGGGCTGGCCTAGTGATCACGCAATTGCTGCGAGCTTTTTCGAACTGCGGGGAAGCCCCCAGTACATCTTGACTGCCCCTCCCTTCACAGAAATATTCTATTCCCATGCTTGAAACAAAGATTAGTTATATTATCTCGACTAGTTTGGAGACCTCTCACGTTCTACCGCGTACTTGTCGATTACCTTCATCCCACCTCCACTACCGCGCCAAGACCTGCACAATCACTACGCGAGAGGTGAGCAAAGATGTCTGACGACTGGGCCCAAAAGTTCGAGACCTTGCAGCTTCATGCAGGTCAAAGCCCAGACCCTGCCACCAAAGCTCGGGCCGTCCCCATCTACCAGACCACGTCGTTCACCTTCGATGACTCGGCCCATGGCGCGAGGCTGTTCGGCCTCAAGGAGTTCGGCAACATCTACAGTCGGATTATGAACCCGACTGTAGATGTGCTGGAGAAGCGCATCGCTGCTCTTGAGGGTGGTGCTGCCGCCGTGGCTGCATCATCCGGCCAGTCGGCCCAATTCATGGCCATCTCTGCCCTGGCGCATGCTGGCGACAACATTGTCTCAACTTCCAACCTGTACGGTGGCACGTACAACCAGTTCAAGGTCTTGTTCCCACGTCTTGGTATTGAGACCAAGTTCTTAAAGGAAGATACGCCCGAAGAACTGGAAAAGGCGATCGATGACAAGACCAAGGCTGTCTATGTTGAGACCATCGGTAACCCTCGGTATAATGTGCCGGACTTTGAATCCATTGCCAAGGTGGCTCATGCAAAGGGCGTGCCTGTGTTGGTGGACAACACCTTTGGTGCGGGCGGCTACTACTGCCAGCCTCTCAAGCATGGCGCCGACATTGTTGTCCACTCGACGACCAAATGGATCGGCGGTCACGGTACTTCAATTGGTGGCATTGTCGTTGACGGCGGCAAGTTCGACTGGGCGGCCAATGCTAAGCGCTTCCCTCAATTCAACGACCCTTCTCCAGGCTACCACGGTCTGAAATTCGTTGACACTTTCGGAGCCATCGCCTTCATCATTCGACTCCGAGTTGAGATTCTCCGCGACTTAGGCTCGTGCATGTCACCGTTCAATGCTCAGCAATTCTTGCTTGGTGTCGAGACTCTCAGTCTGCGGTGCGAACGCATCGCGGAGAACGCACTGAAGCTGGCCAAGTGGCTTGAGAGCAATTCTAATGTGTCTTGGGTTTCGTATCCTGGTCTCCAAAGCCACAAGAGCCACGAGTTGGCCAAGAAGTACCTCCCCCGCGGCTTTGGCGGTGTCCTGTCGTTTGGTGTCAAGGGTGGAGGAGCTGCAGGGTCCCAGATTGTGGATGGCTTCGACCTGATCTCGAACCTCGCCAAGTAAGTGCTGACATTTTGCTGACAGACGTTCCACTAACGTTGCCCAGCGTTGGCGATGGTAAAACATTGGCTATTCATCCCTGGACCACGACTCACGAGCAGTTGAGCGAGCAGGAGCGTGTAGACTCCGGCGTAACAGAGGACCTCATTCGGATCTCGGTCGGCTACGAGCACATTGACGACATCATCCACGACTTTGAGCAGAGTTTCAAGAAGAGCAGCGCGGCGAAGACCTCCGGCGGAAAGCCTGACAATGCCGAAGCTGCAGGCAAAGCGGGCGATGCCGGACTCAGTGGGAGCACCTAGACTTGCCTCGCAGAAGCAGCGAAGGCTGACATCCAGTAGAGCCGCATCTGTAAAGACCTCAATGGCTGGGTGATGGCGGAATAAGCGTCATTCGAAAGGACACAGGCCCAGTAGCGCTTCCTCTGGGGGGAAAATGGTTACTGAACCGACACTGCGCCGACTAGCACACAGGTCGCTTACGCAGTAGAAGACGTTTGATCAGGCGTGAGTCCCAGAGGATTACCTCCCATGATTTATCTGCCCAATGACATACTCGTAAGCTCCAACGCTACTGGCTGAGACGCGGGTCAGCAGTCTTCTACCGAATCTTGAAATCTTGGATTCTTGTCCCTGCAGCAACCCCCGGGGAGCGCGACACCTCGGCGCGGCCGCAATTGGTGGACTTGAAATCGATCACATGCCTGCAGCTGTTCCTCCACGCATCGCCTCGCGTCCCCCGGAAATCGTAGACGCATATGCTCCAAGCAGAATGAGATCAATGCCAACAAAAGTCTTATCCAGTACTCCGCCATCGTCCAAGCAGAGGTCATGGGACCCACGACAGCACCAAGTATGGCATAAGAGCTAATCACCATCCCTGGGCGGTAGAGGCCCACTATCGCTGGTGACGCTGTCGGTGCCTCGGCTGCTTGCATCAAAGCGTCGTGCGCTTTTTCGGCCTTGACTTCCCAAAAGACCAATGCCAATATCCCTTTGCCTGCGTACTCTTCTCTGTGGTCATTCTCTTCGACAACCTCTTTGACTATCTTGTTGCCTCCTCCATGCTATTGCTTCGCTAAGCCCAGCTTGACAGCCACCCCCGCAACCCCCTTCTCCGCAACAATGACATCTTTCCTCTCCTCCAAGCCCTTACATCTGCAGAAAGGCCACGAATTTGCGAAGCCGCCGCCCAAAGGCCAGGCTCATGCTGTTCCAGTACCAAACTCGGCTCAGCAGGACCGCAGTCCTATATACCGGCACTGGCGGATAGCAAATGGCCTCGTTGAGAGTCTTGATCCCGATGTCCGCACCGTCCATGAAGGTATGGTCCATCAATGAAGATCGTTATCATCATACTCACAAGTTTATAGCCTTCGAGCAGACGGCAAAGCGCCTTCCGCACCAGCCTTGTCTGGGCCACCGACCATGGTCTTCAGCGAAGCAGTCATACGGGCGATACGAATGGCTTGACTACGAAACCGTGCAGCAAAGGAGAGCAGCTTTTGGTGCCGGCCTGGTCGAGCTGCACGCACGAGAGGGTATAACTGGAAAATATGGCATTGGGCTCTGGTGCCAGAACAGACCGGAATGGCAGATCACCGACCTGGCTTGCATGTCCCAGTCACTCTTTGGCGTCTCCCTCTACGAGACGCTTGGCCCGGAGACAATCGAGTACATCATCAACCATGCCGGTTTGGCGTGCGTGGTGACCTCTCTACCTCATGTCCCTGCGCTACTCAAGCTAAAGCCTCGCTTGCCGACGCTCAAGCTCATCATCACCGTTGAACCGCTAGATGCCGCAGAGAACGAGTTGCAAGACTGTTCCAAAAAAGCCATCCTTTCCACGCTGGCGTCGGATGCAGGAGTCCATATATTCTCTCTGCCAGAAGTCGAGGCCATCGGAACAGCATCAGGAAGACCATACAACCCTCCTCAGCCATCTGATATTGTTACCATCAACTACACTTCCGGCACAACAGGCAGCCCCAAAGGTGTGGTATTGACCCACTACAACGCCGTTGCCACCATGTCAGCCAGCCTATCAATGAACAACATTGACGAGTCCGCCGTGATTCCTTCATATCTTCCCGCAGCACACATCTACCAGCGTATGGTCGAACAAATGGTATTCTGGGCTGGTGCGCGCATCGGCTACTTCCATGGGAACGTCCTCGAATTGGTCGATGACCTCAAGGTGCTGAAACCTACGGTCTTTCCCTCCGTGCCGCGGCTATATAATCGATTCGGCGGCGTCATCAAATCGCAGACAGTTGATGCTCCGGGCTTCAAGGGGACTTTGAGCCGCCATATTGTTCAGACTAAGCTCGCGAATCTCAAAGCGAAAGATGATCCATCCAACAAACATCTTGTGTATGACCGCATCTGGGGAAAGAAGGTCGCAGCCGCCCTGGGCCTTGAGCGCGCCAACACCATGATCAGCGGCTCTGCGCCCCTGGATCCGGGCTTGCAGCAATTCTTGTCCATTGTTTTCGCCAATCGCTTCATGCAAGGCTATGGCCTGACGGAGAGTTTTGGTGCTACTCTGGGGCAGCTTCCGGGCGACCACAAAGTCGGTACCTGTGGCGTACCCCTCAGTTGTATCGAGATCAGCTTGCTCAGCGTTCCAGACATGGAATACACAGTCGACGACAAGCCATATCCTCGTGGCGAGCTTCTGCTGCGTGGACCCAGCGTCTTTAAAGAATACTACAAAAACGAAGAGGAAACTCGGAAAGCTTTCACTGACGATGGCTGGTTCAAGACGGGTGATATTGCATCAATAGACGAGATGGGCCGAGTGCAGATCATTGACAGGCGCAAGAACGTCCTCAAGCTCGCCCAAGGTGAATACGTCTCTCCAGAGAAGATCGAGGGTATCTATTTGGCAGGATGCAACTACCTCGCCTCCGCCTTCGTGCACGGCGACAGCCTCCAGACCTTCCTAGTCGGCATCTTCGGCGTGCAACCCGACATTTTCGCCCCGTGGGCCTCCAAAATCCTCGGTAGTAACATCGCCCCGACGGACCTCGAGGCCATCAAAGCAGCTTGCCGGCAAGATAAGATCAAACAGGCCGTGCTGAAGGACTTTGAGAAGTGCGGAAAGAAGAAACTCACCGGCTTTGAGAAAGTCAAGAACGTCCTGCTCGCGGTCGATCCATTCACCGTCGACAACGAGACACTCACCCCAACGCTGAAGCTGAAGAGGCCGGTGGCGGCCAAGAAGTACCGCGCGGAGCTGGACGTGCTCTACGCGGACGAGTTGGAGAGGCAGGCGGCGCCAAAAGCGAAGCTGTAGATCTCACAGTCGGCATTGTGCTTCCGGTATAGGAGGGAGGATTAGATGTTGTTATATTGCATAACTTGAGTAGCGGCAGCATGTAGAAATAGAAAGCATATATCCCCATCTCCAACGGAACCCCTAGCCAGGTCCACAAACCCAACCTCCCTCCTTCACTCAAATTCCCTCCGCCTCAGAGATTCCGTACCACAGATTTAACAGCACTATTCGCCTCGCCTCCTCAACCGCCCCAACGCCTCCTCCACCCTGCCCAACCCCCCTGGTACGACCTCATACGGATGTCCCCTGAACTTCCCTTCGGCCAGCCAAGGCGCCGAAATAAGCATTCATCTTTTTCGCGAACTCCGCGCCACCAACAGCCTGTTACTGACCAGGGGCCATGGATTACAGGAGGCGCTGACATATGTAGACTAGGATATTCGATGGTAGACCCGTAGATACCCGGTAAATCTTAGGTAGAGAGTGTTGGTCTAAGGTGGGGGGGCCTCCAGCGGCGGTGATGCCGAGGTGAGATCAAAGTGAAGTCGAAGTGAGGTCAAAGTGAGGTGAGAAAGAGGGCTCTAGCCCGATGGAAGTGAAACTGGCCTGTTCGGGCAGGCGACTAGCCGTCTACAGATATCATCCACCACCTGCTGGTTCTGATGGTCTACTGCCTCCCCTATCTGTGGGCAACATCCTGAAGGCCGTATTGAGGCGCTGATCCATGTACTGTGCAGTCAAAGGGCCTCCTTGCAATAGAAGCCGACTGCGATCGCAAAGGGGGCTCTTTGGTAGTTGAACGCGTGCCAAGTTCCGGTATTCCTGCCCCGGGCTGACCCCACCGGGTGAGCTGCCCCCGGAGGTGCTTCCCCCTGTGGACTGCATGGCTGTATATACTACGTACAATGATGGGCCGGGGCGAGAGTTGCGTTGTTGAATCTCTTCATTACCCTTGAACATCTTAATGCGTACCACAGCCCATAGATTCATGCGCCGGCTTGAGCCTTTCCATCGCCACAAAGTATGCTTTGCCTCGACGGCACGAAGCGCGCACCTAGACTGACTTTCGCACGAGCGAAGCTTAATGCGATCGCAAAGATAGCTGAGTGCTATGGGAAACCAGTTCCCATTAGTGCTCGTACTCTATCGATGCATCAAGCTGTCCTGCCGTGCCGTTTGTGCACCCCCGGTAGGCCTCTATACCTCGTCGCCGTCATTCAGAATCTCATCCCACTGCTCCTGCTCAATATCCACCATCAGCAGTTCATCGGTACCTAAATCGTCGTCCTCTCGCCCAAGCTGGCGCTTGGCCTCGGGCGATTTATCTGTCAAGATCGGTTTGCCCTTCTTCGACGAGATGATCTTTAGCTCTAGCCCGAAAATCCTCTTCTCCACGCCTTCGGCTTCGAAGACCGTCCTTTTTTGGACCGCGCTCGTCATTGTTGCGGAAATATCGCCCACCCCCCCGGTCGAAATGGGTACCATATGGCTAGCGGCAACATTTTCAGCTATTGTTCCTAGAGGTACCCCGCCACTGGCTTCGATCTCTCTTCCATGCTCCTCCGATGTACTCACGAAGACGTCCTGGCAGATGAGTAGACCAACCACGAGACAGACCTGATACTTCGCTCGGCCCCAGCGCTTGTCGTTGACCCATTCAGGGACTGTATCACTGAAGCGGTAGATGCGCCCGTGGCGTCTTTGCCCTTAGCTTCGCAAATGTCGCAAGATGTAATATCGAACGGGTGACCGGCAGGAAAAAGGAGATCAAAGCATCAAGGAGTTAAGAAAGGTAATGCAGCAAACAACAGGAAATAGTTGAGATAGTGGAACGCGGACATCGAGAGGCTGAGGAAGCGGGCAGAGTGCAGTCAAGAATCCAACACAGGCGGTTGATGACATGGTGACAAGGACAAGGCAGAAGTAGCCAGGAGCAACATCTCACGAGCCGTTGACGCTGTAGAGTTTGTCTCCATCGTCTGCCGCTCTGTGCTTCACAATTTGCGGTAGAAATCATGCCCAGCTCGACTGATGAGGCGGCGGAAACCATGGCAGACTTACATTTGATGCCAGTGGTCCTGCAAATCCAAAACATCGGCGGAAAAGATTCAGGTCAACGCGGACATCCGAGTTTCATTGTTGAACCGATATCGACAGACATGATTATCTTTTGTTCGCATTATGCTCATCTTGCGCCGTAGAAACATGAACTGTTTGCGGTAGTCGAGAGTGGTCTCTTTATTGAGCAACTTGCTTGGTTAGGATATATCTGCCACACTTCTGCGCGGGAGCTGGCCTTCTCGACGCCCGTGGGATTTGATAATCATCTACGCAACCCAAGACATGGGCACATCGGCGAAAAAGGGTTCTCAGAAACCGAAACTGACCGGCCAATTGGTGCGTTGCGTTCTGGACTGGGCAGTTGATGGGGGAAACGCAGTCACCGAGGACGATGCGTACGATGAGCTGCTAGGAAAGATAAGGGACAGGTGTGGCGAGCAGACCCAGCATCCCCAAACCAATGACGAAGCCAAACAATTGGTGGACCTTATTGCTGAGCGGTTTGGCGAGCTGCCTGTTGACCGTCATGACTTGCGCAAGCACGGGACAAAGACGATGATCTGCAAGCCGTGCCCAAGTATATCCTGAAAGCATGGTCCAAAACGGAGCAGCGCCAGCATAGGGTGGCCAAGAAGAGCTTGCGTCGTCATCAAGGACCGCGCGGACGGGTAAATCAGCAGAATGACAATGATGGCAGCACACAGCCGAGAAGGAGATGTCCTTCAATGGACTCCTACGACGAAGAGAACATCGTGTACCGTTAAGACTGGAGAGATGGTGGCTTCGGAAGAAGAAGGCGAGGTGCATGCTGGCTTAAAAATCGTTCTGGCGTTCACACCAATCATTTTCGCTCGGATCCGAGAGACCTACGAGCAGAGCTTCGATGATGTCGAGAGTTGCATGCTGAGTGAGGCGGTCGTCTGGGTCTGGGACCCGTGATGCCTGAGCGACAGACTGGCGATAGCTGTGAGGCGTTCGATTTATGTACTGAGACGGAGATTGTTAGGTCAAAAGCGAGTCAAGGACTTGGCAGGTGCAGGTGGAGTTAAAAGGAGATAAAATGCAGTTCGTCAAGTAATTTACCCGGCTCTTGTCGGTGACCTCTCTGTTGTCCGATCCTCCTTGTCGCTACGCTGCGTATCCAGGATGAAGTTGACACTCGCCCTTGCGGCCGCGAGCCAGCTCCTAGCCACTTCCATTGCTGCCTCCATCCGCATCAACATCCCACCGTCCACGCTCCTTCCCAATCCGAATGCCCTGCCCGCTTCAACCCATGCAACCCTCACCTCAAACAGCGGGCCTGAGCTCAAAGCCATTCTACGAAAAGGCAACTACCTTGAGTTTACGTCAGTGCCGACAGTAGGATCTCATCTCCTCAACATATACACAAGAGACTATGCAATCGCGCCCTATCGCATTGACGTTGCGCTCTCCCCCACCGATCCCTCTGCCACAGAAATCACCGGAGCCTTTGAAACCTACCGCGGTACGCAGTGGTCAGATCATGGAGTGGCTCTGACGCCTGGAGGCAAACCTACACAGTCGCTCGTTATCAACGCCAAAGTGCTGTCTCGCAAGAACTTCTACGAGACACGAGCCGGCTTCAGTGTTCTCAGTTTACTCAAGAACCCTATGATTCTGATGGGCGTGGTGGCTCTGGCGTTTACCTTTGGCATGCCGAAGTTGATGGAGAACATGGATCCTGAGATGCGAGCTGAGTACGAGGAAATGCAGAAGAAAAGCCCGATGGGTGGCATAGGTCGGGCTATGCAAGGTGGAGGCGGCGGCGGTTCGGAGGGCTTTGATCTGGCCGGCTTTCTGGCCGGAAACCAGGCATCTGGGACAACGGGAGCGAGCAAGAGCGGTGGATCCGGAGATATTAGAGAAAGAAAGAAATAGGAGAAAACCTGGGCTACGTTGCTTCGCCCCGATGTGTACAACTGAGCATGCGGTCTACTCAAGGCCTATTGCCCAACTTCGGCTGCTATTATAAACACACACGCTTCATCACGGCTGTATTTTTGGAGCTACGTAAACCTGTGGATCGTTGCGTGTGTATTGCAGCACCGAAGTTCATCAACTCTATATCCACGCACATATATTCCCTGTGATTACGCCCGACATCAAGATCCGAACCCTAGACCAAAGCAGGATCTTCCTAGTGACGCCTTTTCAAGTATTTTGGCACGATTGAATGGAGTCTTCGCTGTGCTTGCCGCTCCCCGAGACCGCCGCCGGACCTCAGTCACCCTCCACCAAGCCGAGGTGACAGGGCAACCAGATTCCATTGGCCACGCTCGGGCGCACTACCCGGGGCAGACCACAAGCACTCAAGCATACTCCGACTGACAAAAATGCAGTCGACCTACAGCGCCAATAGGAAATGCATTGGATCTTATCACGTAGGGTCTGTAGAGTATGGTGACAGCTCGTGGACCATGCGGACACTCCGCATATTTTGCCTGAAAATAAGGTTTCAGGCGTCTTAAGTCCATGTCTATTATTCAGCCCTTTGGGAGGGACGCCGCCCCGTGTAAGTTGATATAGGAAGTACAAGTAGCATGACCAGCAAGATTAATTCCTTCCGAGCAGAAATCCTAGTCTGCTTGTCCGAGTCACATAACTCGAAGACGGGGATCCAAAGCACAACTATTACCCTTGAGACCTACGCTACCCACCACTACCATTCCAACCATGACCACCTCCACCCCACCAAAACCAATCCTCATCCTCGGCGCCGGCGAGCTCGGCGGCGCCATCATTTCCGCCCTCCTCTCCCACCCCGCCTACGACCCCACCACCACGCCGCTGACGCTGGTGCTGCGCCCCAGCACCCTCGCCTCCCCACCCCCCACCCGCGCCAGCGAGCTCGCGCACTACCGCGCCCACTCCATCAGCCTCCTCGGCGCCGACATCGACGCCACCTCCGGTTCCGACCTCAGCTCGCTCTTCGCCCCCTTCGACACTGTCATCCACGCGGGCGGCATGCTTGCGCCTCGCGGAACACAAGCCAAGGTTACGGACGCGGTGCTGGCCGCACGGGTCCGCCGCTACATCCCCTGGCAGCACGGTGTCGACTACGACGTGATCGGCCCGGAGGCCGGCAAGGGGCTGTTCGCGGAGCAGTGTGGGGTGCGGCGGCGGTTGCGGGCGCAGCGGGATACGGCGTGGGTGATTGTGAGTTGTGGGATTTTCATGAGTTTTCTGTTCGAGGGGGCTTGGGGGGTGGTTGTGCCGCTGGAGGGAGGACAGGGGAAAGACGAAGAGGTGAAGGTGAAGGTCACGGCGTTGGGCAGCTGGGAGGATGGGATCACGGCGACGACAGCGGAGGATATTGGGAAGACGTGTGCGAGGTTGCTGTTGGATGATGGGGAAGAAAAGGAGTGGGGGAAGCCGGTGTTCATAGCAGGAGAGACGCTGACGTACTCTCAGCTGGCGGACGTTGTCGGTCAAGTCACAGGAAAAGAGGTGGTGAAGGAATTGTGGGATCGAGAGAGATTCGCGAGGGAGCTCGAAGCGAATCCGGAGGACAAGCTGTGGAAATACCGCGCAGTATTTGGAGGCGGGAGGGGAGTGAGCTGGCCGGCATCTGAAACTTGGAGTCAACAGAGGGGAATGAACATGCAGGGGGTAGGTGAGTGGTTGAAGGGGAGGGCCTGAAGCGATCTATGTTGTAGATATGGCACTATTCTATGGATGTGCTGGCTCATGCTATGCATACGACACACGACCCCTTCACGCTTACCTCAACGCTCCGGATGCGTCGGTAAAGGTGACCAGGCCTTGTCGCTTCCAAGACTTCGTCTCTGGTCTCTGTATGGTGCTTCATCGAATCATCATTACATCGTAGCCACTACTGGCGTCATGCTCTAAGCTCTGTCAGGCGCGAGCCCGACGCGACCTGAGAGCTGAGACTACTGCTGCTTTGAGCCGGTCCAGTGGGAACAACTCTCTAGTCGATCTTGTGGCGCGCATCTCGGCCTCTTCTACCTTGTCGAGAGGCGCTGGGAGCTCAGCATTCTTCGAAAATCTTCTCTTGCATGGAGTAACAACGATCGTATCTTCTTCGACCGAAGGTCCTGGCTGCTTCTGATTCGGCATATTTTCTTTCTCGTGATCGCTCTCCTGAATCTCAACACCGAAATCGGATTCAGCACTCATTGCGTGCTGCAGACTGCTTGGAGCAAACGTGGCAGGCGTTAGAGGCGAGTATGCCGGAGCCTTTGGGGAAGCCATTCGTGCAAAAGCGTCGGCTCTTGTAGGTGTTCGAGGATGAGAACAGTCTGTCATGGGAGAAATGTCAGGTCTCTTCGCGTTCGTCAGGGGCGAGAGCAAGTTTCTCCTCAACGACTGCGAGTTCGCATGGTTGTGACGAGGCGTGAGTGGAAGCACAGCTGGTTGAAGCATGGTCGCATTGCCGACCCCGTCATCTGGCTGCTGAGAAGGTATCTCAACCCAGAACTTCGGCTTCTTCGTTGGCCGCTTCAGTGTGATGTCCTCGCCGTCCTCGGACTTCCTCTTTCGCTTCACTGAGGTCTTCTTTGAAACCTTAAGGTCGAGCTCGCCTTGCCGGAACCACAAGTCTGATCGACGTAACTTGAGATCGTCGATCCAGTCATCACAATCCATTGGGATGAAGTAGTCGATGAAATTGTCCCAGACACTCTCAGCTGGCTTGGTCCGATTGACAAAGATGACTTTGCCTTTCTTCTGCGCGTGAACTGCTTTTGCAAATTCGCGAATGATTTTCTGCAAGCCAAAGACTTTCAAGGATGTGCCCATAATAATGAGAACATCAGGTTGACTACCTGCATCGTACGGGACGAAGGGGCTGAGAAGACTGTTTTGGGGATGGTCCTCGCCGTACAGCACGATGTTTGGCCGAAGCGATCCCACAGCAAGACCTCTTTTTCCAGTCTTCTGTCTTTCGTCGCTCTTTCTCGCGCACTTTTTACATCGCGGAGCAAAGCCATCTGTGAAGACTTCAGTCTCGTTCTCGGTCCAGGTCCACTGGGTAGCACAGACTGAGCACCTGAGTGTGTCAAGGTCGCCATGGAGTTGGACCACCTCACAACCACCGTCGTGGTGGGAACCGGCTGGGTGATCTGGTCGTGGTTCTGCCCAGTACTTTTTCTGAAATCTGCGCCGAGTGCCCTTGCCTCGCTTGAGATCCATGACTAACCCTTCTCTTGCTTCCAGACCGTCGATATTTTGGGTGTAGCATCGCATTAACCGACCACCGTCACGGAGAACTCGGATGAACTTGTGCGTCGCGCTAGTTTCCTTAACATCGTCATGAATTTTCTCACGCAGGGACGCGATGAAGCGGTAGAATATTGTTGTTGAGTCGGCGCTATTGAACACCCTCGAGTCAAAGAGGTCCTGGCCACGAAGCCTCTTGGTCGGAGTCACCGACGATCGTCTGCTAGACGTTGAACTTTGGGTAGAAGGGGGCAGATCACCTTGATCCTCGTCCACAGACTCCGACGCCTTGCGTTTGCGTGAAGGCGTCCCGGTTGGGGAAGCAAAACGTTCCTTGGACGGGGTTGAGGGCTGTGAAGGGGGTGGGCTTGGGAGTGTCTGTTCGGGAATGAGGTTGTAGAGGCCGTCCTTGGAGCGGAAATCCTGCACAAGTTAGCCTTGGGTATCAATGATCTGGTCGTAGGCAGGGCTCACCGGAATGCCGATACTTGTACTGATGCCAGCACCAGTCACAATCAGTATCTTGTGCGAGGAAGCTATGGTATCTGCTATGTCCTGCAGATGCCTCTCGTCGGCGCGAGTAGCTTCAAGGAGCGGCATCTTGACGCGCTGTCAAGACACAGGGTGGAGGTGTGGATGATCGATAGATATCTGCGATGTTCAATCCATAGGGAACGGTGGAGTTGTAGGTGGGTCGGAGGTGGCTGGGAAGTCGTGGGCCTTGACCTCGAGGAAGTCGCGTCGATTTCGCGTCATGCAAGGTCCACCAGCAGGCTTACAAGGGTGATAATTCGCCGATTGCTTCCCTACAGGCAGATGGCAGAAATTTCAGAATGTTCGATGGAAGACAGTATCTTAGGGTTGTATCGCAAATAATTTGGGAGTGGACAATGGAGTATCGAGGAGCTGGAACAGGTGTTTTGGTTCTCGAGTGGATGTTTACCAAGAGCCTGTACCTGCCCTGTTTGGGAGCTCCAACAAGCTCGGATGATCGGCCGCTTAGCTAGCGCCGCCATGCGCCTTTCAGCCTCATAGACGTCAGCCATAGGCCAGGCTGCCATATCCACCCGCCACCGATACCATAGCAGAGCATTCACGATGACAGTTCGGAGGAAGGTGGCATGTCGGTAACACCACGAGACTCTACTGCAGAGGTTCCGCAACCAAAAACGGAAGCTGTCATATCACGTGCCTCCCATTCAGCGAGATACGGTGCGCGCCAAATGTAGACGTCCTCGACCCCCTTGCGCAGGACTTTTGGTCGTTTGCGCAAAGGATGATCCTCTTCCTCGCTGTGTGACACAGCATCTTCTAGACCAAGAAGATTCACGATCCGCTGCTCTTCAGCTTGGCGGGCCTGCTGATCGAGCTCTTCCATGTACCTGTCTTGCTCCTCCTCGAGCAGGCGCTTACGTTTCGTTCGAGAGACAGGTGCAGGATCAGCCCGCTGCTCATCTGAGAGGTATTCGCTAAGTTCTTCCTCCTCTAACTCCTCCTCAGCATCGACATAGTCGGCTTCAGCGGGTTGTGGGCTGTGAAACATGCCGTCTCCGTCCAACGACATCTCACTGCCGCTCAAATCGGCCGATGCGGTGCTTGTCTCTTCAGATATGCCAGAGGCCGAACCGTGTGAGCGCGATCGAGAGTGGCGGCCACGATATTGTGGTTCCGAGAGCTTTGCCTTGACTTCGTCCAGGTCTAAGAATGCGGTCTTTGTGGCACCTTTTTGGTGGGAACCGGATCTAACTCCCAGCCCGCGACGACCGGGAAAGGTGACCCAAAAGTTCCATAGACTCTGCTTCAAGTTGAGTATGTCCAGCGCTGTTTCGACGTCCTCGATGCCAATAGTGGCTGAAGGCCGTCTGTAAGAGCTAGTCGTCGCCCTGATCCGGGAATCCGTAACGAAAATGACCGTCTGGATAATGCGCCTTGTCAGGCTTTCGACCAGCTCGTAGAGGTCAGCCAACACATCTTGGGTGATTGATGGTAGCTCTCCGCTCTCCGCCACGTTCATCCAATTGTCCATGGGGCGGTCGCCGGTGCCTTGCATGAATATGTCTTCGCTCAGACCACACATGTTTGTTATTTTGAACATATTATCAGGCTTCTGAACTGCCAGATCTCGATTCTCCAGATCTGCATCATTTAGTGCTAGCTCTTTGGCGTCCGTGCTTGCATCCATCTGTGTAGCAACGTCTTTCGTGATAATGTATGGCAGCTCGTAACCACGAGATGCAACAGCGAAGTCATACTGCTCCTGGTTTGCAGCGAGTGCATCAGCAGCTTTTTCCAACACACCCTCAAGCTCTACCCCAATCTCAATCGCTGCAGGAATTTCAAAACCAGTGATGTTCTTGGTTTGGCGGCTGAACAACTGCCGATCCAACTCAACCCGCTGCAAGATATCCAGATATTGCTTAACTTCGAGTTCAGACTTTGTACCGATTTCGCGCGATAATAAAGACAGGTCGTGCCGTCCGTGTCTTTCGAGCGCCCGAAACACTCGCACTTTCTCATCCGGTTGCCATCTGACAACGCCAATCTGGCTAGCTTCGAGTGCTTCCGTTTCGGTAGGATCGTAGTCATCTTGCCACGATTTTCGGAACAGGTCGAGATATTTTGGGTTGTGCTGCTTGCCCAATCGGCTCCATTTGGATGAGTGAAAGTTTTTCACAGGGCTGTTACGGGCTGAAGCCACAGTTTCAACCTGGTTGTCTCTGGGCAATCCGGTACTGGGAATCACATCTTCAAGACTTGCTTCGCGCTCTGAATCCTCGTAATCGCTATCGTCTGTTGCTCCCGTGTCCATCATGCTGGAAAACGGGAAGAGGCAACATAATAGTTCTGAAAGCCGCGCGCAAAGAGAAGTACGTCAGCGTCATGACCAGATGTAGTAGACTAACGAAGCAGTTGCAGGTTCCGTGGCATGAGCGGTCGTCTCAGTATTGCTGTCGGGAGTGTCTCAGGCCTGAGAAATGGTCTTTGGTGACAAGGCACATGAGCCCACCAGTTCAAAAGACAGAACGGATCGTCATTTGACTTCTCGAGAACGACAGCGATCGAATGCGCTACGCTTCGTGTGGCCACTGGTTTGACAATACCGGTTGACAGGTACTCTCGTTCTGCTGGACACCATGACTGAGCATGCTTCGATGTTCACGATGGCTCACCAGGGCAGCGAGAACGCTCGCAGCCGTTGCCAACCCTCGCTTGCACCGTCGAGCCCTGGCAACCGTTCTTGATTCTTCTCCCAAGTCCATCGAGCTCAGGCAATACCAAGAAGAATGCATTCAGTCGGTTCTCTCCTATATCAGCCGCGGTCACAAGCGCCTAGGCATTTCTCTAGCCACTGGGAGTGGTAAGACTGTCATCTTTACTCGCCTCATCGATCGTATCGAGAATCCGACGAAGGTCGCAACACAAACGCTCATCCTAGCGCATCGGCGTGAGTTGATCGAGCAGGCAGCAAGACAATGTGAGAATGCATATCCCAGCAAGAGCATAGACATTGAGATGGGTGGCATCAAGGCAACAGGAACAGCAGACATCACGGTTGCTTCCATCAGTAGCCTTACGTCTGGCGACCGTCTGCTGAAGTACGATCCCGCTCGTTTCAAGCTGGTGTTGGTTGACGAAGCACACCACATTGTTGCTCCAACTTATCTTGACGTGCTCGAGCACTTTGGCCTGTACCCGCAGAAGCAAGACTGCCCAGCTCTGGTCGGGGTCTCGGCAACCTTCTCTCGACTTGATGGCATGAGTCTGGGCGCAGTGATTGATCACATAGTCTATCACAAAGATTACGTCGATATGATTGATGAGAAATGGCTCGCAGGTGTGAGATTCACAACTGTGGAATCGAAGGCCGACCTTTCTCAAGTCAGGAGATCTGCCAAAACCGGCGACTTCCAGAGCCGCAGCTTGTCCAAGGCTGTCAGCACCGAGGAGACCAACGAGATCACAGTAAGAGCATGGTTGTCGGAAGCGAAACACAGGAAGTCTACTTTAGTCTTCTGCGTTGATATTGCTCATGTGGAGAGCTTGACACGTACCTTTCGCAAGCATGGCATTGACGCACAATACATCACAGGCTCAACGCCAACCAAAGAACGTCGTAAGAGACTGGAGGCTTTCAAGCGACAGCAGTTCTCGGTTCTGCTTAACTGTGCAATATTCACAGAAGGTACTGACATACCAAATATTGACTGCGTGATGCTCGCACGGCCTACACGTTCGCGCAATTTGCTCGTACAGATGATAGGTCGGGGCATGCGTCTGCATCCCGGCAAAGAAGACTGTCATGTCATCGACATGGTGGCCTCACTTGAGACTGGAATTGTCACTGTTCCCACGCTCTTCGGTCTGGATCCGGCAGAATTGGTGAAGAACGCAAGTGCCGAGGATATGAAGGCTCTTAAAGACGAAAAGGACAAAGCATCAGGAACGACTGACATGCCTCTCAGCGACGCGCGGGTTTCCAAAACCACTCTTGACTTCACGCACTACGATACTGTGCATGATCTGATTGAGGACACGTCAGGTGAGCGTCATGTCCGCGCCATTTCACCCAACGCCTGGGTTCAGATCGACAGCAACAAATATATGCTTTGTCCACGAGATGGTATTTTGACCATCACAAGCGTCGCCCCCTCTAGTCCATCAAGCAAGCCGTCTTCCTACAGCGAGGGCTCTAACGATCCTTTCACTATCACCTACAAGTACGCCCTCCCACCATCTGTCAAGTCAAAGGCCCCGTTCTCTACTCCTCGCGTCGTAGGGACGGCATCAACATTAATTGCAGCCCTTAATGCTGCCGATACTTTCGCCGCCAACAAGTTCGAGCGTATCTGGATCGCCACGAACTCGTCATGGCGCAAATCCTCTGCGTCCGAGCAACAGCTGCAGTTCTTGAACAACCTCAGAAGTGTCAGCGAGGAGGAGCCGTTAACGCCCAGCGACCTGACGAAAGGCCAAGCAAATGACATGATCACAAAGGTCAGGCATGGCGCAAGAGGCCGCTTCGAGAAAATGCGAGCGCAGAAGAAACGGGTGCAGAAAGAGAAGGACCGGTGGGCGAAGGAGCAGGAATTGAGAGAGCGGGAGGTGGTCAAGTTGGGGCCCTTGGATCACTGAGATTACGGTCAAGCTCGCTGGGCTCGCAGTTGCGCATACGGAGTATTGAGTCCGAACGAGAGCTTGTGCCAATGTCATGGCTATGCCCTGTGCCAGCTGCTCCAGCCCAGCCTCAAGTCACAGCCTTCGACGACTTCGATTTGCAGCTCCGGGCTTTCCAAAGCCTAGTGCAGTCATGATAAGTGCCAACATCTACACCCAGTCGCATTTGTAGATCGACGACAAAGATGCGACCTGTACAGCCCGCCTTATCCGGCTCGCTCCCGTTCAAACGATGTCACACGCGAGTCGCGGGCCTGTAAGCATGCTTTTGGGAAAGCTCCATACTCTCGCCCTCCAGGAAGTCGGTGCCATGTACAACGTCTTGAGGGCAGCTGACGCTTCCCTCTCAGCCTCAATTCTAGATACAGAAACAATCACCGCTGCCGATCGACCGGCCAGGCGAAACAAGTCTCTCTGCAAGCGCATGCTCTCAGTCGTTCCCAGCATCTTCGCACAAACCCATCCGCATGACAGGATCGGTTTAGATTGGCATTGATTCCTTGGTTCCACATTGATGAATGCCGTGCTTGGTACCCGCGGGTACATTTGAGCTACGGGATGCCCAGTGCCCCTCGCGTACCATGGTACAGGAGCAATGGAACACAACAATAGTGGTCAGACAAGCTTCAAGTTTCATTCGCATTGGTATCGATACTCATAGATTCAGTTGTTCTGGAACGGATTCGCCTAAGGAAAGCGAGACAATTCCCTCCTCATGCATCCTTTCGCTGATGATACATCCAACGATTTCTTTCCCCCAGCACACTTTGCGAGGCTGTTTGCGCAGGTCTACGTGCTCCACTACCTACATCTCCCCCTTCACCACTCACAGATGGTCGATGATGGCTTGAGCGTACTCGTGCGTCTTGGCCTTACCACCCAAGTCGCCAGTAAGTGCCTTGCCTTCGGCCAGGGTAGCGAAAATGGCCTTCTCGATCCTGTCGGCTTCCGTATTGAGACTCATGTGCCGCAGCATCATTATGGAAGAAAGTAGGAGTGCAGTAGGGTTGGCCAGGGCTTTGCCCTCAATATCGGGCGCAGATCCGTGGACGGCCTCGAAGATAGAACACTCGTCACCAATATTGCCTGATGGGGTTAGACCAAGACCACCAATCAAACCGGCGCACATATCAGATAGAATGTCACCGTAGAGGTTGGGCATAACGAGGACCTTGTCCGAATATGGGCCGGGGTCCGTAGTGATCTTCAAGCAGGCATTGTCGAGTAGCTCGGCGTCGAATTCAATGTCAGGGAAATCCTTGGCGACATCGCGGGCGGTGCTGAGGAACAGACCATCAGACATCTTCATGATAGTGGCCTTGTGCACGACGCGGACCTTCTTCTTGTTCACATCGCGGGCGTACTGGAAGGCGTAACGCAGGACGCGCTCAGAAGCAGCGCGGGTAATGAGCTTGATCGACTGCACCACACCATCCACCACCACGTGCTCGATGCCCGAGTATTCGCCTTCGGTGTTTTCTCTGATCAGGACAGTGTCGACGTTATCGTAGGCAGTCTTATAGCCGGCAATGCTGCGGCAGGGACGTACGTTGGCGAAGAGATTGAAAGTCCGCCGGAGCGTAAGATTGAGCGAGACGTGACCCTTACCGATCGGTGTAGCGAGCGGGCCCTTTAGAGCGACGTAATTCTTCCTCACGGAGTCAATGGCCTTGTCTGGGATGACAGTCCGGCCGTCCTTCAGCGTTGGGGTGACGTCCACAGATTCCCATTTGATGGGAACCTTCGCAGCAGCATAGATGTCCTTGACGGATGTCGCGATCTCAGGACCAATGCCGTCTCCTTCTATTAACGTGACAGTATAGTTGCCGTCTGGGCCTTTGGTGCCCTTGAATTTGGCGACCTTGTCTTTCTCAGCAGTGGTAGCATAACCTCGTAGGCGGAGCTATTACAGCACGATTAGCATTCTTGAAGCTTCATGAAGCTGTAGATCTGTGTCTTCACCTACCTGTAAGGTAGCAGGCGCCCACCGGGGCTGCTGATATGCTTTTCGCAGGCACTGCCTGGCTGGCGCGACGAAGGCTCGGGTGGGTATCATGGCGGGTAGCTTTCTGAAAAGCTCACTGAGGGTTGGCAAGCTCTAAGAAGATGTACAGGAGACCAAGCAAAGCATTGAACGAGCGAGCCTGCGGCGACAAAGTAGCTAGGTCGGGAAGTGTCGGTGGTGCTAGTGGAGGGAGGAGCTTTTTCGCGGAGCAGCTTTGACATCAGAGCTTCGATAGACGAAACCTGCAGCTTCTCGGCATGCCGCTCCTGCGGCGGGAGCCCGGGCGGGCACGGGCTTTGCATGTGGGCAAACGCAACCAGGCTACGAGCTACGGCGGAGGGAACAGCATATTGCGACGCCAAGACATGGCGCCTTGCGACGTCCCCGGATCACCCCTAGGAGAGTCGCTGAGATGTGCATCAGCCTTCACACATCACGGCTCTCTTCTGCTCTGTCCCTTCAAGTTGACTGTGACTTGTATCATCTCCCAGTCTCGGACTGGTGGTTGCAACACGATCGGTGGGATCTATCCTTGATGAAAGGCTGCAGGTCTTACTCCTTCGTTCAGCATGGCCGACTTCGACAAGAACGTTCTGGCCTATTATAACATCCAGGTTCCCGCGCCCACGGAATGGCCTACTGAGCTTGACGAGAGCGATGAGGAGCAAGCCGATGAGATTGGGGTGAGGAGATCCAGGTCCCGATACTCCGCTTTGGAGAGGAGCGCTAGTGACCGTCGCAGCGGCCTAGTTGGCGCACAGAAGACGAGCGATGGCAGGTCGAACCTGGTTCAGAAGGACGAGCCAGATCCATTAGGCTCAAGTGGCAGCGTGGTGGGCTCTTTGCGGTCTCGAGGATTGCCAGTAGAACAGGACCCACGGTTGCGAAACAAGTTCATGCTTTCATCGACCACCTTCTCCCCAGCGCTTTTCTTATCTCAAGCCCATCACGACGCGTCGACGGATGATCTCGTCCGCGGATTACAATTTCTATCACAGAGTATCGATCAGAAGTCCGCATCACTCAAAGTCTTGGTCGAAACAAACTTCGAACGCTTTGTCCGGGCAAAAGCCACGATTGACAACGTCTACACGGAAATGCGCAACCAAGGAGTCGAGCCGGAACCGGTAAGACCAACATCTCCTAGGCACTCAAGGAACGTGAGTCGGCAGAGTGGAATCCATTATCGCAATTTCAGCAGTGGGAGTGCAACAAACTTGGCCCAACCGCCGCCCATTAGCAAGAATGCACTACGCAAAGAGACCGATTACGGTGTGCAGGGAATTCGTGCACCATTGCTGGAGGTCGCCCAAAAAGCTGAGGACGTCTGGGGCCCTGCTTTGGGCGGCAAGGAAAGAGAAGCCAGTTTGAAGACTCTTGCCGATGAAGTCGAAAAGGATCATACGCTTTATGAGCTTGGGAGCAATCTAAGAGCTGCTATCAAGCAGAGGGATCACGAAAAGGCGGTCCAGCACTATAATGCTGCTCGAGCTTATACCAACCAAGCAAAAGCCCTGACGGAACGAGTGACCTACAGTGGCCAGAGTCTTAGCGATGAACAGATTCACCGGATCATCGTCACCGGTAGAATGTGGTCAGACGTGGAAGAACAGATAAAATCGCTAAAGCGGAGTATATGGCGACGTCTCAGTAGCGTCCAGACCGTTCTGCCATTGCCGGGCGCCTCGCAAGCCGAGGAACACATGGAGCTCATCGGCATATTGCTCGAGCTGGGCGTCGATGACAATCCCATCTGGGTTTGGCTTCTCAGTCGTTACGATTATCTGAAGAATAAGATCATGGGAGTCATAGAACGGTCAAGAATCGAAATCGAAATTCTCCGACGACGTTTGGCCGCTGTGGAAAGACCGAATGCGCACACCGTTGCAGGATTTTTGCGACAGGCTTCAAAAGAGCACCCAGAAATCCTTGATCAAGAGCAAGTTCTAGATTTCTGGAATACGATCATGACCTACGTCACGAAGCTGCTTTCCATGTCAAGCGGCCTCTTAGGGGAGGTTGTAGACTTCTGGGACTCGGCAAAATCCTTCATTGAAGGCGCAAAGCAGAAGGTACTTCCCACTGGCTTCGAAGGCGAGAGCAGAAAACATCACAGACTTTCCGATGCTGGAGTCAGGGATTTAACGAACGGTGCCGTTGAACTGGCTGAGATGCTTAGGGAGGCTATTCAAACAATGTTCGCAGATCCACCTACAGAAGATATTTCGGCTCTCTTCTCGCCTGGATCTGCAAGCGCAACGGCACCAAATACGCCCAGTGCTGCTGCTGCCTTCTCGCCAACCGAAGGACGTTTGGGCCGCGTTGACCGGGACAATCTTCCTGCACCTTCCCCTAAGAAGGGAGAAGCCTGGGAAGACTTCTCCTTCTGGCCGCCTCACTCGAATTCTCTGAGTGCCGTCCACTATCTGGGCAAGCTGTTGGCAATGGTAACGACGGCTTCGAACGAGATGGCAGCCATGTCACCCGTTGCGGACAATTCTCAAGCGCACGACAAGATCAAGACAACCCTGGGAACCGCTCGAGAACGGAGTCTCCGAGCGCTATGCGATGCCTGGAGCAAGGACAGCGAGAATTGCAATGGGCTAGAAGATTGGCTGCGATCTCCAGAGAAGCGTGACCAGACGAGACTACCGTTCTATTTCGAGGCTTTCGAGAAGAAAATTCTCACCGGCGTTCAACAAGTACTATATCTTTCCGACTCGTCTGCAAAACACGGTCATAATGTCATCACGCCACCGCCATCCAAACTTCTGCAGATGGTACGCACTCAGTTCGTCAACAGCATTTACAAGGCGGTCAGTGCCATGCTCGAAAATGCACAAAAGGTCGACCTTGGCGATGAAGACGAATGGGTGCTCGTAAGCAACGAGAAAGCGGGCGGCAACGACGTTGTGACCGACATTCGAATCTCCAATCGCAATATCAGGCTGCTGATGACATTGTCGAACCTCAAGGCGCTCAAGAACGAATATGTGCCACAGCTGGTGACATTCTTTGAGACCTCATTCTCGGTGACCCTTACGGACGAATCGAAGACCATCCGCGACGTATTTGGACAGATCGATGCGAAACTCTTCCAATCCTATACCCAGCCTACAGTGGAGAAGCTCACAAATATGGTCCGGGCTGGCATCAACGCACCAGACTGGGCACCCACAAGCGGTAAACCAGACCAAGTTCGACCCTACGTTTATTCAGCCATGATGGTCCTGGTTATGGTGCACACCGAAGTCTCGACAACCGTCGCAAGTGTAGGCAGTGGGAACGCGTTGCTGAAGGAGATTCTGTCGTACCTTCTAGAGAAGGTGTCGCAGGCGTTGCTTGAAAGCTTCAAGGAGCGCAGAAGCAGCACATACACTTTGCCCGCGCTGATCCAGGCAACTTTGGACACCGAGTTCATCGCGCAGACGATGTCGCAATATTCGACCACCAAAGCTGGGGAGATCCAGGGACAGATATACATGGAGCTTGATAAGCGATCCGACAACAATGCTCGAGCCAGGTTGCAGCAGGAGCTTGGGGACATGAGGGTGGTGCTCAAGAGGTTGAGGGAGCAAAGTCGAAATAGCTTCGGTTGCTTTAAACGACAGCGTTCGGAAAAGGATGACAGAGGTCGTCCTGAACGTAAGAACACAGGCCAGTAGTGCGGACTCGGAAATCTGATCATCCTCGTCGCCTCCCGCGTCTACTACCTCGTCCTCTCTTCCCGCCTCGTGTACTCTTCTTAGCCTCAGTCTTCTTGTCGTCTTCGTCATGCTCTTCTTCCTCACTTTCCTCATCGCCGTTCCCGCTCTCTTCACCGCCATCCCCTTCGTCCACACCTTCCATTGAGTGATCCTCATCGGCAATGCTGGCAGACTTGCTGCGGCTATCCGTCTCCACTTCATTCTGCAGCCTGGACAATCTTCCACTCTTTCTTGCTCCTGCTCTTCCTCTTGTAGAACCCTTTCCCGGCACGGGTGACGACCGTGGCTCATCTGTATCTGCCACGGTGCTTTCGCGTCTGGACATCTCCGGACTGGAGGTACCATCCGGCGCCAGTCTTCGATCCCACATCATTGCATCAAAGTCGTCTCCAGGTAGCTCAAAATCCCGAAAATAGTTGTGTGATTCGTCTTCTGGGCTGTCGTTGACCACTGAGTCTTCTCGCTCGTCCAGTCTTGGCAAGTCGTAGAGCGTACCCAATTTCTTCCAGATTCCAGTCACTGTCGTGTGGCCATCAGTCTCGTTAATCAAGCCTTCGTTGAGCAGCTGATTCCGTATTGAGATCATTCGGAAGTGCTTATGCATGCCGGCAGGCTTCCACTGCACGCAAGCCCTGAGGAGAGCAGATTCTTGGTCGTCGGTCCATTGGTCAAGCACTGAGTCTGGGACCTCTTCCACTTTGATTGCCACCGTCTCAATTCCAGCCGACTCCTGCTCCATTGTGAATGTGTGATTTGAACAAATATGAGGAGCAGAGTAATAGGTGGCTGAGCTCAAGGCTCTTTCTGTACAAGCTCGGTAGAACCTCGGCAAAGTGCCCGCATGGCGCGTCGCAAAACGCGTCGCTCTTCATCCCTCGTTGACTTGACTGCCTTTGTTTCCCCAGAACACATAGCGAAAATCACCTGACGACCACAGACTTGATCGCCGGTCTCAACATGAACAGAACGCGGCCAAAATGCCTCCTGCGATCGAGTACGACCCGTTCGATATCACCGATCTCCTGACCGTGCAACCCCTCCCTGATGAACGGTCATCCACGTGGAGCGGGTTCCAGTTACGCACAGGGTTGGAAAGTACACATTTCTATCTACCACAGACCGAACACAAGGAACTCCCGTTACTGCAACTTGGGACGTTGCACGTTCCCGAGGATGCTGTCTCTCCGGAATCCTTAGACCAATCTTCTCTCTCAGCCTATGACACCGCAGAAGACAATAATAGCGACCACGAAGGGGTGGACGTGTCGATAACGACTGACCAAGATGATGTCTGGATTCTGCCAGATGTCAGAGATTCTGTCCGAACCAATAAACTCACGAGCTGGGATCACTTCCTAAATGAACATCACAAGGAGCCGTCAAGTTCTTATCTGGCCGAAGCGGGCGCGAGAGCTTTTGATGCTGTGCTTGCAATTGAAAATCCTGAAGATCCGCCTAAAGTTGCTCCCGGCGATGCGTACCTAGAAGCACTCATCGAGCTTGCGGTAGGTAGATCTTCTCAATATATGAGATGGGATGATCAGTATCAAGAGTTTGTTCCGACAGCAAGTCGCTTGACAATGTCGGGCTACAGTCCTGAACTCGTTGAAGAGTACAGAGACTCGATCGCCGCCATGGGGAGAAGTATGCGAATATTGTCTCGGGCTACGTCCAAACACTGCGCCACTCCGAGTTACCTTGCCTTCAGAGCTATACTCGAGACGATCCTAGCGGTAATTCAGCAGTACATGGAGCGTCAGCGAGCGACGATTACTTCTCTATTACAACTTCAAGACGCTGTAGTGGAACCAAAGCAGCTTCTTAGGGGTGTTGAGCAGCTCGATCGGCTCGTTAGCCAGGACAATGGCGCATTCGCAACGCTGGCAGCGTTGCTTGAAGCTGTAGAGACCATGTCCATCAGAACCTCGCGGTGTCGCTATGTCTGGAACACCATTCTAGCAGCAGTTGCTGGACCTATGTTGAGTCAATTGGCTAGTGACCTGGGCCTTCAACTGCCAAAACTCGGCGACGCAATCACAGGAGACAAAATGGGAGAACCGGTATGGCAAGCAATATGCTCCCCAGACCTCGCAGCGCTGATTACAGAGACACGGACTTCGCTAAGGCTGCTGCGTGAAAACTCGGTCCTCACCATGGAAGAGCTCAGAGCTGGAAAGCAACCACCTCCGATGCTTACTCTGCATTTTGATTGGCAGGCCCTCGAGTCGGCTCACGCCTTGGCTGAGCAGTATGAAACAACGGCAAGAAATTCATCTTTCTCGCGGACGACAGATGATGACAGCGCCGCCTTGCCGGACGTGACGACGAATACTCTTACCAGCATACCGGACCCGATGGCCTTCCAGGATTTCGATTTCGATCGTATATCTCCTGTACTTTTGCAAGCAGACGAGTTGATCGATGAGCGAATACTGGCATGCTTTTCTCCCGAAGTGCAACAACAAGCCGATTATCCCATACCATTTGATCAAGTCTGGGCTCTGTCGCTTCGTCCTATCGTTGCAGCACAACATCGCTTACTTTCGTTCTCTGCGCTGCAGATTCTCTTCCAGCAGTGTCAAGTACGAACGCACTTCGATCTCTTGCGGCAATTCCAGCTGTTTGGCAATGGCTTGTTCACCGCCCGCGTCAGCGTTGCACTCTTCGACTCGCAACAATCCAGTGGTGAAGGTCGGAGACGAGATGGCAATGTTACAGGCCTTCGGCTACAGAACAGAGATGCGTGGCCACCAGCCAGTTCCGAGCTTCGGCTTGTGCTTATGGGCATTCTATCTGAGCACATGCCTAAGCACGTCGGTCCGGAGCTTGAGGATGCCATATCCTTTTCACTGCGAGACTTGCCTGAAGCGGAACTGGAAGCATGTCGTGACGTTGACTCGATCTACGCCCTGGACTTCCTGCGGATGCAATACCGACCACCAAACACGCTGCTCCAGACAATTATCTCACAGGACGGTCTGGAAAAGTACGATCGTATCTTCCGCCACACCTTGCGCATCCTCAGGCTGAAGAGCGTTGCTCAAATGCTGCTGCGGGAAGTCAGTTGCAGGAACGCCTCGAAGGTGACGCCACAGGAGCACCGCTTCAGGATAGAGACCCAGCACTTCATATCCACGCTGGCAGACTACAGCCACAACATTGCCATCGGGTCCCTCTGGGGGTCGTTCGATCGTGCGCTGGCCGAATTAGAGCGCAAAATATCCCATGACGACTACGAGGGTGCACTGAAGCTGGGGCGGTCGTTGGAGCACATCAAGCAGCTACATGAGCAGACCCTCGACACGATCCTGCGAGCGTTGTTGCTCAAGGAGAAGCAATCGAAGGCTCGAAGGTATATCGAGCAGCTGTTTGACACCATTCTGCGCTTTGCAGCCAGTCTGAGGCGGAAGGATGCTGGGGCTGACGACCGACACGATACGGCAGAAACGACGAGACGACATTATGAAGATTTTGAGACGTATCGGTCGGGCTTGAGGGAAGCCCTGCGCGGCGAAGAAGGCGTTCTCGAGCATTTGCTGCTCCGACTTGATTGGCGGGGTTGAGAGACTTTGTACAATTATATTTGTTTCCTTGATACCCCTTCGTATAGCGCTGACTATCACCGTTCCCGTAATAGTGTTTCTATATGTGCCCTACTACCTAGAACCCCACATAACGAACACGGATAGCCTTTCTGTCATCGCGCGAAGAATCGTGGGTCGACCGTTGTCCAGCTTTGTATACACAACGGGTAATCTATGCTAAAGTCCGGACCCCCCCCCCCCCCCACCAGAAAGTGATGACTTTCCGACTGCCCTTTCTGGACACGTATTCGCAATGCAACCACTGCCGCTGCCATTGAGGCGTCCCCCCTCTCGGACCTTTTCTGCTATATGCCACAGCGGCCTTGAGAGTTATATCCCGAAGCCCCGACTGGACTATACCTCTTCGGACGGATACGGCTAGGCGCCATTACCTTTGGCTTTGAGGGTCTGCTTGACCAGGGCCCGACTCGTCAGCGTTGATTTGCAACTCCGTGGGAGAGGCTGAAGCATGGACTTAAAGACATCAGGCCGAAGGGGGCCAAGGTTAAGTCCGGAACATCGAATGTACATGTTTACGTTGAATATGGGAGTATAAGTATGGGCGAAGAGGGGTGGCTATGGAACATGAACCGGTGAATGAGAGTAGTCCTGCATTCAGGCGAATCCAACATGGCAGCATCAACTATGCAAGCGCTCCGGCAGCACAAGCAGTACGAGCCGCTGGCTCTCGAGGAAATACCTATCCCGACCGCTGAGCCTGGGTCGGCGGTCGTGCAAGTCCTGGCTGCAGGAGTCATCTCGTACACGCGCGACATCTACGATGGCACGCGCAAGTATCCGTACGTAACGCCACTGACGGCCGGGAGTAGCGCCGTTGGCCGCATTCACGCTGTTGGACCCGACTCGACTGCGCTGCGGCAGGGTCAATTGGTGATCTTTGACATTACTGTTCGGTCGCGCGACAACCCAGCCGACATATTCCTCAGCGCTATCAGTCAGGGTTTCACAGAGGGGAGTCGCAAGCTGATGGGCCATTGGACGGACGGGGCGTACGCGGACTACGTCAAGGCGCCCTTGGAGAATGTTTTCGCTTTGGATGAGGATCGCCTTGTGGGCGAGCTGGGATATAAGATTCCCGAGCTGCTGAGTATTTCTCGCATGCTGGTGCCGTGGGGTGGCCTTTTCGACATTGACCTAAGGCCCGGTGAGACGGTCGTTGTGGCACCTGCAACAGGTGGATTTGGTGGTGCGGCGGTTCTCGTAGCGCTCGCGATGGGCGCAAGGGTCATTGCCATGGGCAGGAACACGGAGACACTGGCCAGACTGCAGCAGACGCTGGCCAAGGTCTATCCTCCGGACCGCCTCCTGACGGTTCCGATCGTGGGCGACATAGATAAGGAAATGGCAGCACTGAAGAAAGCGGCGGGTACCCGGCCCATCGACGCCTTTTTCGACATCAGTCCCCCGGCAGGAGCCAAGTCATCGCACTTCAAAGCCGCCATTCTGTCATTGAGGCATTCTGGGCGGGTCAGCTTGATGGGCGGGCAGCAGGAGGACGTCGCCTTCCCGTACCACCGTGTCATGCATAGAAATCTGCAGATGAAGGGAAAATGGATGTACGAACCAAGCGATGTACCCAGATTCATTCGCTTGGTAGAGGCGGGAAACTGTGTGCTTGGGGAGCGCGCTGGACTGCCTCCTCCCAAGGAGTTTGCACTGGCGCAGTGGAAAGAGGCATTTGACCACGCGTCGGAGCAAGCAGGAGCGTCTAGTGCTATCCTGGTGCCTAACAAGAGTTCGAAGTGATGCCGTTGTCGGTAGAGCTCTACTGTGTAAGTAGTACCTGGTAGGTATGCAAGGGGGGCTAGCTAAAGCCAAGTCGATTTTAGGCGTCTGTTCTGGGCTCAACTGTGGGGTGCCTGCCGAGACCCGGACTACGGCCTGGCGGCTGCTTCCCCGTCCATCTTGAACGCCTGAGGCGATCCAGACCTCCTCTCATCATCTTCATCCCTTTATCTTCTTCAATTTCGGCGGTCGTTGACTCTTGTGTGTACACGCTTCGCCATCCGGTGCTCTGGGCCGTGACTATTCCGCCGTTCCGGGGATCTTGGTTTGCTTTGGTCACTACTTGCGGGTTGCATGACAAAGAAGCTGGCCCGAGAGCCGCAGTGCAGCCCTCGTTTCATCACCTCTTCTAGCCAGCTACACAACTCGGGCCTTCCAGTTAGTCTTCCACTAGGAATCAGTATTGTATCATGTCTGCCTCGCCCGCCGTAACTGCAGCACGTCCGTCAGGGCTGGTCGACTTTCGGAAACACGCCGAATATCCCATCGTCCTTGGCGACTCACTCAAAGACGACGCCTCAGCCGAGCGACTCATTGACCTTCGTTTCAACTGGCAACCAAAGGCCGGCCTGGAAGACTATGACAGTCAATTCTCCATGGGCAAGGATGGCTATAGCCTACAGGTCACCGACCCCGTTACCTCGGACTCAGCTTTTCGATACTCGGGTCACGACCGCAACAATGGCGATGACATGTCTTCCTTCGTTCTCATCTTCGACAGGAAGCGGTCGGCTTTCGTGCTCGAGAATGTCGCTCATTCCATAGACCTCAATCTCGAGTCTGCAGCTTCTCAGTCCAAGGATGACATCCGACGCCGTCCAAGACTACCCGATGGTCCCCCGAGACAGTCGTCGAGTGGAGGCAAGAAAGCGGTCGATGATGATGAGCCCGATCCTTCTAACCCTTTCGACTTCCGTAACTTTCTCGATGAGGCCAAGGTGACTGCAGAGAAGACTGCAGGCAGCCGCAGTCCTTTGCCAGGCTCTCGCACTCCGCTGAGCGGTTTTGCGAGCCCTGCAGCCGGCCCAAGCCGTTTCACTCCAACTACCACACCAGCTCTACCACAGAAAGAGGCGCGGCCTGTCCAGAGAAAGCCCAAAGCCGAGCCTCCGGCTAGGAAGCCGAAGACTGCACAGAAACCCGCCAAGCAAGTTCCACTATCGAGCGAGAGAATCTCCGACTCCGACGACGAATTGAGCGATAGTGTTGCCGTCTCCAAAGAGTCAAAGCCTGCTGCTGTAGCGAACAAAGGTCACACTCGCAATACATCTGCCAGCCATGGCCAGTCGCCTCACATTGTCGTCAATGATGGCGATTTAGAGATCGATATGGGTTCCCCGCCTACCCAATTACGACACCGGAAGCGCCAAATTGATGCCGAAGCCTTTCGCAGCCATACCGGGACGCCCGTCATTGGCAACAGTCCGCGCCAACAGACTCATGCTGCTCCTGACATTGAGATGAAGGATGTGAACGGCCAGGACGAAGATGGAGATGTTGAGGAGCTTAATCTGGACAGTCCTCAGGCCCTGGCTACTGCGGTCACGATACAAGAGCACGCGCCTACGCCGCCGAATCAGGCGGCGAGTGAAGACGACGAAGTCGCCGAGCTTGAAGATCTACTTGGGGGCGACGATGATGAGCATGATACCAGCGGCCAAGGCGTTGGTCTTGGCATCACCCGGCCTGCAGATGACGATAGTGAAGAAAGCGAGGAAGAGTGAGGGCGAACCGAGCATACGAGAGTGGTTTCGGCTATTTGTCAGGTCCTCGATGCCATCGGCGGGTACTCAACCGTCAGACTGAAGATTCAAGCGACGCAAAACATCTGTGGGAAAAGTAGCTGCTTCTACAGGCCGACATGCATTGTCTTGAGCTTACTACCAGCAGTAGCAAAAGAAGGCTCCAACACATCAGTCAGCCTTCCCAGCCTTGCTCGAACGCCCTTTTCGTGCTGACGCAGAGCGTGCTATTCCCCCAATCCACAACAATCCACAACTTCATTGATCGCTACCACATGTGAAGAAGTAAGGGGCAATGAATGGGCGAGAGACATGAGCAGAGGCGATTTGGACGAAGCTGACCAGATAGCACCCACCACCTTGACCACTCGTCAACCTTTTTCATCAACTCGGCCAGGAATGCGAGACAGCGTGATGCTCAGAAGCGAAGCGAAACTGGCTACACGCACCTCGGGAGAAGAGGGGAACTGGAGGGACGGAAGAAAGGCGGCCCGAAATTGCAATGGTAGCCAGATAGGACAGGAAAGCTGGACTGCACGCATGTGCGCTGAACAGGTGGGCCAGATAGAGAATTAATGAGTGGCATTTAGCCAGGCAGACGAGTACTCAGTACCGATAGATAGACAGACAGACACACAGACAGACAGACACCCAGGCTCTTATCGCATTTCCAACATATATCTATCTACATTGATGATTGACGAGTGCTGATTGATGATGGCCGCGGTCGCTAACTCGCTCTCCGTCTTGACTCTTCCTTCTCCGGCATCCCTACCCCTACCATCACTGTTCCTCCTCCTCCTTTCGTTCCTTTCTTTCATCCTTCCAACTCCTCTCTGCTTTCCTTGACCCCTGGCGGCTCCTCGCATCGCGTCCTGCCTCAGCTTTGAAATGTCTATGTACAACGGGAGAAATCAAACGCCAGAGTCAAATTCGAGGTCCGTTGGCGATGTGGTTGCGATCCGCTACTGTTGTAGATCGTTCCATCGTCTCGTCTCGTCTCGTTTCGTGATCGCACATATCGCAAGAGAGACAGGAAAAACGCCGGCCGCAAGTAATTGAAGAACGGAAATTGCAGACAAACAGCATTTTACACGCGGACGCTATGCAGAGCATGGAATCGCTCTCCTCATCTCACGGCTTAGGCTACACGGCTTAGGCTACGGCACCGCCGAGACGGTGGGTGGGCTGTCTTATTGCACACCAGCCCATCTTACAGCAACGCCTTCGCACCATCTCGAGAACATGCCTTCAGCCAAAAGCTTGGTGTGGTCCAATTGCCCGCCGACTTTGATGGCATCGATCTCGGCCTGCGTGCGAGCTTCGCGTTCTTTCCGGGCGCGCTCTGCTGCATCGTCTGCTCTGGCTTTGGTGGGGCTCTCTAAACGGCTGCCTCTTCGCTTGAGCACTTCCTCCTTGCTGAGCGCGGAGACTTTTGAGGGGGACCTCGATGGCGAAGGGGCAACGCCCTTTGATGGTGACCGAGAGGGGGCTGGCGAAGTGGGTGTTGACGGAGTCGAGGTCTTGATATGCGATTGTGTTGATTGTCGTCGGTGGTGACTCTGCAAGTGAGGGTTGTTCTGCGCCATGACTAACTTAGAGCTCGATGGCTTTGTTGGACTTGCGAGAGGAGTGCTAAGGCGGCTCCCTGGTCCTCTGAATGGCTCTTTCTTTGGACTCGTTGACGTCGTGGACGCTGTGCTTGCAACACTGGAGACTCGACTTGCAAGGAGGCTTGGCGCCTGGCTCATCGCTGCTAACGGCGGGATCAAGGTCATCATCTTCTTGTCCTCTTTCACACGTGAAAATATGGCCGACATGATCGCGTACATGCCTTCCGGATCGGCAGACTCGAGATCGCTGAAGGACTCGGCCAGCTTGGCCACTGCTTCTCTTCGGCTCGCATCTGCAGTATTGTCAAGAACCTCCTGGCAGGAAATGCCGATGGCTTTGCTATACAGCCGGCGGCCCAGGATTGCCTCCTTCGACGAGTCGGAGGCTGTAGATGACGTTGAGCTCTTCCGAGTCGCCTCAGCTAATGTAGAAGCTGTGGAGAATCGTGAGTTCTTCGTTGGTGACGAGGATGCAACGGGCTGAAGCGGCTGCAATGAACGCTTGGACGGCGAAGGAGTTGGCGGCGGCGGCATCATCTCACTATCGTTCATGAAAGGGTTCGAGACGACTTGCAGCTGTTGTAGCTGTGGCTTCGACTTCTGTGGCGTGTGTATCACACTTCCGGTATCCAGCTCCTTATTTTCTTCCTGAACTTCTGCAGTGGAATTCTGTGATTCTCCATATGATGAAGTCCGCTTGAATTGCCTTACAGTACTGGGACTGTTACCGAACGACATGTTGACTCCCAATGGATTCCTTGGCTGGATGCTGGATAGTCTTTTCTTCGTGTTCTGCTGATAGCCAGGCGATTTGGGCTTCTCTTCCTCATGCTTCTCCGTCTCGGCAACCCTTCTCATGGTGCCTGTCTGTAGCCTTTCGAGGCTCATCCTAGACATGTTTTGCGAGAGCTCGTCCTCAAAGGGATCAATGCTCGTCCTTTCAGCTTTCGTTCTCCTTGACGTGCCCATGTTTGGCGCTGGAGCTGCTTTGATTGTGTCGAAGACCCAGTCATCATCGTTTCCATCAACTTCGAGAGTTCGAAGCGTCTCGGCATAGTATTTGAGATTCTTCTCGGCGCCCTTGTTAGAATCCCACTCCTGTTTCTTGAGGATCAGCTCCTGGAGAGCTTCCACCTTTCCCGCATTTTTGATAAACTTGTGCCTGAGCAACTCTTTTGCGCTGACCCGTCGATCGGGATCCTTTGTCAAACACTGCGCAACAAAGTCTCGGAACTCTTTGGACCAAGTAGGACCCTCCAGTCGTGGTGCACTTTGCTTGGGAATCTGGAACAGAACTTTCATAGGGTGAACGTGAGCATGTGGGGGCTCGCCATTCGCCAGCTCCATTGCGGTGATTCCCAACGACCAGATGTCGGCTTTGGAGTCGTGACCCTCTTGCTGAATCACTTCAGGAGCCATCCAGAACGGTGTGCCAACAAAAGTATTGCGCAAGCTCTTGAGGCCGACCAATTGAGCGGCCACACCGAAGTCGGCTAGCTTAACGCGACCGTCTCGACCCAGGAGGACGTTCGCTGCTTTGATGTCCCGATGTAGCTTGCCCTCACGGTGTAGGTAGTCCAGACCGATAAGTAACTCGCGGCAGATGATAGCGATGTGTGTCTCGGGTATGCAATGAGGCGGAGGCTTCAACAGATCCGCACAAGATCCGCCGCCCAAATATTCCATGACAATCCAGAGTGTCTGCCGTCGAAGGAAGGCCAGCTTATATTTCGTCACATGTGACGATGCACATGACGACAGAACTGATAACTCGGACAGGATATCGGAGAGGTCTTCTTCGGAGGATTCGAGGTCAACCTGAACGAATCTGTCAGTGTGCATATTGCCGATAGTGGAGTTGGTCTTACATGTTTGACAGCCACGATCTCGCCGGTAGACCGCTCGATGGCTTTGTAGACGACACCAAAGGAGCCACTTCCCAGCTCTTCGAGCATTTGATAGCGGGCAGCCAAGGTCTCACCATCGCAATCGTCGGTCTGCATCTGGAGAGTCGGCTCGGCGTATGATGACGTGGGACGGTGCAGGACGCTGGTGAAACCGTTCTGAGAGGACTGCGACCAGCTGTCCGAGTGCAGGTCGAGCATCGCAGGTTTCGTTCACTGCCTGTCGAGGCAGCGGCCGGCTAGTTTTCCCTCCTGACTCAGGACTTTCTCGGCGTGACGTGATGTACAAGTTCGAAAACGAGGAAAGATGCTGGTAAAAGTGAATGCGAGAGCAGCAAATCTATCCAAGGGCGCCAGGAAATGCGGTTGAGTGTAATGATACAAACAATGCGACGACACGACCCCAATGATAATGACAACCTGCTGCAAGTGGAGGAGAAGGCATCAGGCGGTAGTAATAATCTGGCCAGGGCTATGCTCGAGGATTACCCCTGAGGATAGTGCGGTCGGAAAGCAGTCGGGTTAACGGCTACGGGAGGGTCACTAAGACATGTTACCGGCAGCAGCAGTAGTAGAGTGCTTCGCTACCAGATCTCATTATGACGGTGGGTGGGGGGGCACGACGCAGATGGCAGCAGAGTTGACCTTTGGCCACGTCAGGTGTAGCGTGGACGAGAAATGGGTCCGTTGCACGAGGCAACCACTCGTCTAGACCAGGAAGAGCAGCCACCTCCCTGTTGCCAAGCCGCGCCAAACTTCCGGGTCGTCCCTTCAGACGAGAATACCCTGCATATTGCACTGCCACTATCGAGTACTCGGTACTGTTTCTTTCGGATTGAGACTCAAAGAGAAGCTCGAGCTAGCGAAAGATCTCCCTACAGACTCGAATGGACATTGTCTGCCGTGTTTCGAGAAAGTGAGACAGGCTTCTACAGCCGTCGAGACTAGGGGTGGAGCAGGTACAAGTACAGGTTTGGACGATCTTCCACAAGACGCAAGCCCAGGGTGGCGTCGTTGCCCCATCAACATCGCTCTCCCGGTCTCGCCCAACCTCGGTAGCACTCCGCCATGGGTCCGCGCCGCCGGTCTTGGGTCGGAGATGAGTTTTGACGGGGTAGCCACCGCGTTTGACAGATTCGACTCAGAGTCACGAGTACTCCGTATACGAGTGATATCCTTCATTGACGGTGGCGACGACAACGACGTGGATGTGTGGCCCGCGTGATGTGATCGAGGTGGAATTCTGGATAAGGAATGCTCGTTGCAGCCTATCGAAGTGACAGGACCGGACATCACGGATCCGGGGTTGGGGAATGATGGGTAAATTATTCTGCGGTGGCATTCATCATTAGGTATATCCGTGAAGGCCGTTATTTATATGTACTATGCGTTGTCCTCCTGATCCCATTCTCGAATGAGATCACTGCCCGTGCGGTTCAGCTTGCTAGGCGTCAGCTTCTTCAGCTCTGGCCATGGCAAGTCCTCGCCTGGTACCGAGCTTGAAAGCACGTCGACCTTGCTGTCACCCTTCGTGACGACGGGTGACGGTGATTCCCAGCTGTCCCAGTCGTCGTCGTCTCTGAGGTCATCGAGTAGGTCCGGCGGAGTCTGCGAGTCCGTGCTGTTCTTGCTCTGCACATGGCCACTCTTCCCCTCCTTTTCCTTTTTAGCCTGCTCTGAACCGGGAGGCTTGCCGGGCGTGTCGAGGCCGAACTCCTTCCAGAACGAGTCTTCCTTTTTCTGTGCATCTGTCTTGACTCCCGACTTACTCTTGCTTCGAGTTGGTCGACTTGGCTGGCCATTCATACGCTGCTGTTGCTGCAGACTGGCTCCGTGTATGGCCTCGTCACCGACTGTGGCTTGCCGTATATCTTCGAAGAAGGTCCACAGCCCGTCTCTGACTCCTTCCACAACGAACTTGCCCTGCTTCATCATATCAACCGCAGCGGGTGGCAGCGACCGGCGATGTTGCGCAGCCAGGTCCTTGTAAGTCTTGCCGAAGCTTGCACTCATTTGCAAAGCATCCGGTGAGATCAGACCATCCAGTGTGGGCATTCTCGACAATGATGGCTTTTGTCCGATGGTCAATGGCTCCGGTCGTGTCGGTGAGTCTTCGCTACTCCGCACGCTGCCTTGTTCGGCCATGTCACTGACAATATTGGCCAGTTCTTGGCTCTTCCGAGGCGTTGTTGGACTCAGCAAGCTCAACGTCCGAGTGTGCCGTCCTTCAAATACTTTCCTCTGGCTGCCCTGCCGTCTGGGAACCCCCCTGCCTCCTGGTTGCATCTCGACTAAGGCCCGCCGCCTCCGCCGTTCCTCTTCTAGCTCGTCGCCTTCCAGGTGGTTCGGGCTGCGTGGCACTTCATCGAGTGATACAGGCACTCGTCTGACTTGCTTGACCTCCTCCCTCTTTTTCGTTGCTTCGTGTATAGCCCATTGCTTCTTCAAACCCGTGAGCTCGGCCTCGGCTTTGTTCAGGTCCTCTCTTATCTCCAAGACCTTACGCTCCTGAGAAGCAATCAGCGTCAAGAAGTCGGTATTACCGCTGCCTGGCGATGGAATGGCTTCAGTACCGGCGTGGAATGATACTGATTTGGTATGTGGCGACCCGCGAGCTGATGATTGTGATGGAGATGCCGTTCTCGGAGAGGAGGCCTGGGAGGTTGCATTCGTTGGCAGTAGAATGGGGAAGTTCAGCGAAAGTCCCTTGGTGTGTCTTGCGTTTCTTCGAGGGCTTGCAGTACTGACGGGACTGCTGGTGGGAGGTAACGCAGGTGATGTCTGCTGGGTCTCAAGATCTGCAGTCGACATGTTGCGTCTGTAAGTAGACGTCGTCAAAGCGTCAAACGTCAAGTGTTCGTGAATACGTCGTTGGGGTCAATGAATGGACGCTACGGCAGCTCACTGCTGGTAGCAATAGTTGAACAAGAAGTGCAATGTCAAATCGTCATGTCGTCAAATCGTTGGTGACCACGGTCAAGTGAAGGTTGAAGTGTTGACCCGTTGCCAAAAGAAGAACTGCAGGTACCACGGCACATCTCCTGGGGGCGTGCGTCAGTGGACTCTCGAGCTTGGTTTCGTGGCGACATCCCTGTTCCTGGCGCACAAAGTGGCGCTCATCTCGCGCTGCCCAGGCGCAATCTGGAGTGGCCAATCATGCCCAAGGAATTGCGGCGACTCTCTATTGACCGTAAACCGCATCTTCACCTCCTGTTTGGGACTTCCTCAGCGTCGAGAACAGAATTGCACATTCAGCATATTCAGAACTTCAATTCAATTATGTGGTGGCCATGCGTATGAGCTAAATGCTTGAGCTGCCACCGGACCAACCAAGTCAGAGGCGATCTGGTTAGTAGCAACAAAGCATCCCTGAATCAAGACATAAGCCAACTCATGTCTACCTATGCGATTTTTTAACATCAGTACACAAAACATGTTTATGTCCCTGAGGATTGCTTTCCCAAGATAGGTTAGAGTAACTCACGTAGTCTTGCGGGAGAGAAGATTAGTTGTGGAAGGGGCTATTCGCTCAAGTTCTCAATGCTCCTATACATGAATTAGGGCCTGTTCCCATGCTCTATGATACCCATCGCATCGCATCATGATCCAGGTCTGTCATTCGGTGCAGCCGTTGTAACCGTGCATGTCCTTTCATGCCGATGTCCCAGAATATCCGTTTCAGAACGCCGCGTTATATGCCATGTCTCATTATGTCACCCTGTCTTCTTATCGCACTAACCACCAAGCGCCTCCTACCATGCCCGAAATGACCAGCACGGTTAATATTCCAGCCCCTGCTCGGTCAGCCGTTGTGATCTTCCTAGCATTGTCGTGCGGGAATGTGGGCGCGCTGGCGCCGGCGTTAGGATCACTGGAGGACTTTCCACCGTTCTCAGCCGTTAGCGGCACCATATCGTCTCCGATGATGTTGGCGCCTACGACGGCGAGCGCAGTCATCTGTGAAAGTAAGCATGGGTCGCAAACAGCAATGGTTAATGAAACGTGCTTACCTGTTGGCCAACACCACTGCTACCGTCCCAGGTGCTGGAATACCACTGCCTGCCGCACATGCGGCCGTTATTGCCTCCTATGCACTGGCTCATCGCGGCCTCCGCGCTGGTCTTCAGCTTTGGCATGATTTGATCCCTAAGTTGGGGGACCAGTTGCGCTGTGACAACCATCCAGCGGGATAGATAGGCCTTGAAGCTGCTCTGATCGTTGTTGCATACACTCGTCGGCTCACACTGGAACTCGGTCATGACGTTGCCACCAAGATTGGCGCCTTGTACTCCATCGATTGTCTGGGGAAAGAATAGTGAAAAGGCACCCTCTAATATATGCTGGGCTCGAGTAGCCCATACAGCGTCTTCGGTGAAGTTGTAGAGGTAAGCAGCGCCCACCAGCATGGTTCCGTAGTTGTAAGTCCAGGCGTGACGTTCGGTGTCGATGCAGCCATTGTTCGTATCAGTGTTGTCCCAGATGTAAAGCATGTTCGGTCCCTCCTCAAAAAGAGGCGATTGAGCCATCCAATCCCACACCTTTCCGGCCCAATCTGCGTAGGTCTGGTTGCCGGTATAACGTGCGAGACGAGCCGCAAGCTGAAAGTTTCCACCGTTCGAAATGGTGTTCTTCAAATTGTAACCAGCGTTGAAGGAGTATACCTGCCAGCGCAATCCACCTTTGCATGCCTTTTCGTCCCATAGATTGGTCTGGAAATTGAATACAGCTTGGGCAAGTGCTAGCCAAGACGGGTTATTACCACCAGCGTCAGGTAGACCAGCCTCAGCAGCATCAAGAGCGGCAAAGGCCCAGAAAGCCTGGTCGTCAACACCCATATTCTTGGATTGATTGGGGGGGTTGAAATTCTCCTCTGGGCCACGTTGGAACTGCAGTCCTTGTGAAACGACTTGGTTGTAACTGTCATCGCCAGTATATTGCCAATAGTTTATGAGAGCACCAAACATGGCACCAGCCTCCCACCAGTAGTAACATTCTAACGAAGCGCAAGGGCCTGGTAGAAGGCCTGGTGTGCCACCAGTCTCGTTTCCGTGGTAGTATGTCATCATGTCGTGGGCGAGAAGCGATGTGACTTCCTTGACCGAATCGACACTATCTAGGTTGAGTTGATAGGCAGCATGAGCGAGAGAGGAGAGGCCGGCCAGCGGCGCCAGCAAGTTGGAGGACTTCATGGCTGCGGCAGCGTCGAAATAGCCGCGACACCGGTCGAGAAGATACGTTCAAGTAGAGTAGTGACTCAAACTGGCATCGAATCTAACGCGAATGTAGAGGGATGAGGAAGGTCGTGTATCGGTGGCAAGGGGAGTATGCAAACAGTTGTGATCGCGGCTGACCAAAGCTAGCGCGAAGCGACAGAGTCCACCTCTATGACGTTGCTAACACTGCTACAAGATTGCTGGTTCGACAATTCAAACGAGCGTCATTGCCAGTCGGCGAATAATGCTGCGAATCTTGAGAGGCTGCAGGTAATGAGATGAGAAGATTTTAGGTCAAGATGGTAGAGAGTGAGATTCACAAGCTGAGAGATGCAAAAAGCTGGCATGATGGATCGATCGTGATTCGATGACAGCAGTAGGCGGTTGGTGGGCAACCGCAGGAGCTGCAGGATCGAGAGCCACCACCATGGTTTAACCATCCCTGCCCAATCATGACCCCATCTATCCACTCCATTCTGTCTGCTGGGCCCCAGCCTCTGCAGCCGCATGTTGCACCGGACGGATGTCTCAGTCCTCTAGTCTATGACTCCGTTACTTACTTTGGTTTCGACGTGGTTACAAGACTCCTTGAAATCGTCCTTCACAAGACATTCTCTCTGTGCTTGTCAATGCTTAGGTATGCTCAAGGCGTCAGACTACTTGGCGAGAGCCCATCGCAGATCGAGAGGGGGTCCCACCCGCCTAAAACGAGCCGCTCGGGCCACTGACGTAGGCTCGGCGCAAGTCGCCGCACTCTTGAGACACAGGAACCGCGTTTTTAAATGGAGTACTCGAAATTCTTAACTACACAATTTGCCTTGCATTGAGCCACAGGATGGCTGCCTCCGTTTGCATCACGTCGCTTGAACGCTCATTTGACAAAATTCATGCCCACACGGTCCGCCTGACTGTCCATAACTTAGCTCAGCTTCATCGGTCCTTCTTATCATGAGCGCCATAGTGTGGGCTCAACTCCTCTTTGATCGCTTCGGGGACCTCGCCCGCTGATGCTATATGGTACATGGCTGTGCCGAGACCACTGCGCGCATGCTTAGTGTGCTTTTCTGCAAGCCGTGCTTCCATGCTCTGGTTCTCGTTGTTGTGTCGGTTTTGTGATCCCGACCCTGAGGACAGTCCTGTCTCGGCTCGAAAGCGCCCTTGCAGTTCGCCTTCTACAGCTGAGTGCGATGGAATGTTCGACATGGATGAAAACGACATTCGCCTTTGCATCAGTCGCTTGCCCTCCTTCTGTTCCTTAGCCTCGAGCTTCTCAGAGGGTAGGAGCACAGCTCGATCGAGTTCGTACGGGAGACCACGATGCCGGCCACGTATCATCATTGCTATGATGACCAATTTGGAAATCGTGTGAAATTTGGCCGAGAATGACGCATTGATCGTGGGGTAGCCCAATGACAGTCCCACTGTACCGTAGGCCGAAACGATCTCAAACAGTACCGAAAACATGGTGAAGGCGTACTCGTTGGTGTTCTCCAGGTTCCTGCCTTCCACGATAGCGATGATGAACAGTCCCAGGAAAATATACCACAGATCGAAACTCAGCTGCTTGCGAACGTGAGCTCCGACATAACTGGGTTCCTTGCTGTCACCTTCCTCCTCTTCATCCTCGGGACTGACGTAGATTCCCAGGCTTTTCTCCTCGTACACGTTTGTCCTTCTCATAGAAATGGCGATGGGGAAGACTGAGATGTACATCATGATCAGGTACGACACCTGAATGGCTGGATGTAGAGTTGCCAAGTTGACCACCGAGAACCCGGCCGTGCGAGTCGCTGCCGCCTGGAACAGTCCGTCCACGATGCGGTAGCCCACCGGAATGGCGGTCACAGTCTCGTCGTTAAGATCAAGGATGATAAAGAGGATTAGGTCGACGCCGTTGAGAACGACTAGGATCGCGAACAACCACCATGTTGCTCCCCTGGGGAACAAGAGCGTGAAGCACCGGCGAGGATGATCCAAGAGGAATTGAAACTCTTCCCAAGCACCACTGCCAGCTGGCGTCAGCTTGGCCAAGGCCCAAATGACAAACCGAAGCATGCACGGGAATCCAGTATTGCCAATGACAATCAGGAACGTCATGATGAGTAGTGGGAAGACGGCTTGTTGGAAGGAGATCATCGAGTCCGGCGTCAGAGTCAGGCCAAGATCGTTGAAAGCCGATGCTGCTGTAAAGATGCCCCACCATGGCCGGCCCTGTGACACTGCTGTGGGCACCGATCCAAATCTAGTTTGCATAATCCAGGGTGTCAGGCAAATGATGCCAAAGAGATGGAATCCGAAGAAGAATCCGATTAGGGTCCAGGCAAGTGTCTTCAACGCACGATACTCGATACCGCCTAGCTCTTCACGTTGATCTTCTGTGAGGTTAACAAAGAAAGAGTTGCGGCCAACTGTGGGCTGCCAGCTGAGATAGGGCATGGGCTGCTCGAGAGATTTCGTGGTGTTGCTGCGGCGGAATGTGCTCAGTCCCGTGTTTGCCCTTCTACGCAAGCCACTTGGATTGTCTCCCTGATCTTGGCTCTGATAAGTATTAGACCTCTGCCTAGAGGTCGCCCGCGGAAATGTAGAAGTGTGCGTTCGGTTGCGATGAATTTGGGGCTCGTCGATGGTAATATGTTGATTGAATCGGGGCGCAGCCTGGTCGGTAGATGTAATTTGGTCGTTGTGAGGATCCAAGTTCGTTGTGACTCGGCGCATGATTCCGCCCTGGGCATCATCGACGCTTTCAGGTCTTCCTCCGCGTTCAAATTCGCGAGGACTAGGAATCCGCAATGTTGAGTGGTCTTGAGGATTTCGCTGCTTCTCCAGAAATTGGATATGTTGCTCAGGGCTCAGCTGAGCAGGACTTCGAACTCCTTCATCGTCTCTGACGTACAGGAATTGTCCATCACTAGGCTCATCGGCATGATCCGATGTCTTGGGATCGGAATCGTACTGCTCGTCCCCCTTGGCGTCAGGTGTAGGAGTTTCGGGGATTTCATCCTTATCTCCAACACGGAAAGTTCGGCCAGTATGGCGCAGAACCTGGATGGCTCTACCTCTGACACCAAGCTCTTTCCTGACTCTTTCAGGATCATCCGGATCAAGGTTCATGGTCTTTGTTCTGGACTTGGAACGACGGAGGGCCCTGGCTTCGTGAACGATATCCTTAAATCGTCTCTCGAACCAGTACAGGCGGACAAAGACGACCGAGGAATGGATGATGATGGGGTTGCAGAGCATGGCGCCGATATAGAAGCAAACCTGCTGACCAGTCCGAAGTGTGTTGACGTCAATAGTGTTTAGTCCACTCTGGGTACAAGAGCCTGCGGCAAAGAACAAGGCATCAATGTACGGTATGTTGCCGGCTGCAGCGACGAGTCCTGAAAAGAAAAAGGACATGCCAATGATGTAGAGGTAGTGAATTGTGATGAAATTGAACTTCCTCTTTGTAAAGAGATCGGGAATCTGCCTCTTGAAGAATTCCCAGACATCTTGCCATGTCTCGAAAGCCATGGTGAGAATGAGGATACAGGTTTGGCGTTGGGAAATTTAGGAGCCGTAGGTATACAATCTCGATATTAGTTAAAGATGAGGTCTGGAAGGGGGACGACTGCGGAGGTGCTTCGAGGCACTTTGTATGGCGCGACCGGTCATCGTGGGCAGAAAGGGCGACTCGAGACGTTTAAAGCCATAGTCACCAAACAAGGGGACGCTTTCGGAGGTCTGAAGGGAAAGGACAAAGCGGATGATGCGGTAAAAGGTCGATGAAGGACAAAACGTTGGTGGAGGCAGTCTGAGCAGTGGCAGTGGCGGTGCAGACTCGCCCGCAGTTCAACGTTAGGCGTTGTGATAGGATTGCGAGTGGCGGTTTCGAGGCCATAAAAGCCCCGAAACTCTGATGAGAGAGGATGACGCCGCAGACCACGAACCTTGGCATATGCACGTGTCAATGGGGGTTTTGTGCTTCCTTGCTCATGCTATCATCCCAATGTGCTGCTATTCGGTACTTGGAGGCTGGATACTGACCGCAAGTTTGAAAGTGGCCCGGACAAGCCAACCGCATGCTGAGCACACACTGGCCTGTCTGTTGATGAGCTGGCACGTGTTCCACCCGTTGGCTGCCTCTTATCGCTCCACGATCACCGTTTGGGAACGACTCAAGCTCAGTATTGTTCGATGTAGCGCTCTTGTGAAACACAGTGCTTACTGACCAAGGATTCGAGCGAAGCTTCGTCGAGGGTGCTGCATGCATCCGCCCGAGGAAGCTAACGTTGCGATCCGACACCGCTTGCTCCACCCTCTCGGGTTTTGAGTCCTTTGTCTTCAGATTGACAGGTCCCAATGCAGTAAGTACATCGCTGAGATACAGGTTAGCCATTCACGACTATTGGCATGGTTGAATTTCCTGTCAGATCAACCGCGACTTGTTCCGAGCGCGTCAAATTACCGGCATTTTACTGTATACTACAACCCGCTTCATGAATTTCCCACGTGGCAAACTACACGTGACAAAGTGTTATACACTCCTGTCTCTGCTAGGAGCATCTTTTGATGTCTACCCATACGCAATTCACCTCGACTCCGGACATGTCGTTCAGATTGACCGCATCGTTGTCACCAATCATGCAGAACTTCTCCCCTTGCCGCATTCTGCGGCTCTAGCTGTCCTGGATCATGCACAGTCATTGAAAAATGTCCATTCAGAGGTATATTCCACTGAAGCATGCAGTTACTATGCAAGATGTCATCAACTTCCACAGTCCGCTGTGCGCCAGCGCAAGGGAATCTCTTCGACTTTCCAGCCAATCATTCCATTCGAGTCGCTCGGTTGAATACCCATCTTCGGCTATAACGGCACACTCGGCCTAGCGCACCATAAAGCCCGGACTTGGTATTGCGCTTCAACCTCCTTTTGCACCGACGATTTTCAGAGTGTCGCCGTGACAGATAGATTCACCGCCGTATTGCATTCGATACAGGACAGCTGCACGATCAATCGACATGACGCATCTCGTTGACCTACGGATATATCCACAACCTCTCTAGCCCCCCTGGCGGTAGCATTGCGTGGGATATACCGAGCTTCTCGGCAACCGGACTCACCATATCGCCCTCCTACAAATCTCCATAGCCGACATCGAGGAGCAGCAGATATGCTTGCGAACAGTGACAGCGAGAACGAGGGCCATGAAGTCACCAAAGGCAACGAGAAGGTGTCCCATCTACGCATCGTGGCTTCTCAATCGTTGGTTACAAACGCTATTCTCAACCACAAATACCATGGCTCGGGAACTTTGGACGATCCATACCTCGTCGAGTTCATCCCCAACGACCCGCGTAATCCCATGGACTTCCCTGACTGGAAGAAATGGTGCCTGATCGCTACCGTTGCAATGACCACACTGGCGGTGGCCTTCGTATCGACCGCCTACACCGGCAGCATTGTGCAGATTATCGAAGAGTTCCAGTGTAGTCAAGAACTTGCAACTCTTGGGCTATCATTGTTTGTCTTGGGATGGGCTCTGGGACCTTTGATCTGGGCACCGCTGTCGGAGCTATGGGGCCGACAGATAATCTTCTTTGCCACCTACGCCATTGTCACTGCTTTCAACGCAGCTGCCGCTGGAGCACCAAACATCGGCACCTTGGTAGTCCTACGCTTCTTCGCTGGAACGTTCGGCGCAAGCCCTATGACCAATGCGGGAGGAGTTGTGGCCGATCTATTACCTGCCAACAAGAGAGGGATTGGTATGGTGATCTTTGCCTCGGCCCCTTTTCTCGGACCTGTCATCGGTCCTGTTGCCGGGGGATTTGCCTCTGAAAATATCGGCTGGCGCTGGGTTGAAGGTATCATGGCTATTTTTACCGGAATACTTTGGGTGGTAGGGGCCTTCCTTCTGCCGGAGACCTACGCTCCAGTAATTCTGCAACGGCGCGCCACCGCTCTTTCGAAGCGCACCGGAAAAGTGTATGTTTCGTCCCTTGAGTATCGCCAGGGCAGAGTCACTCCCAAAGCCGCGTTTCAGAAGGCAATCGTTCGACCCTGGATCTTACTGTTCCGCGAACCAATCGTCCTCTTATTGTCCATTTATATGGCGATTACGTACGGCACACTCTATATGCTGTTCGGGGCCTTTCCGGTCGTCTTCCAGGATGGAAGGGGTTGGTCCCAGGGTGTTGGAGGCCTAGCCTTCTCGGGACTGGGAGTCGGTATTGTCATTGGCCTCATGTATTGCCTCTGGGACAACAAACGATATCTGCGAGCTGAGGAGAAAGCCGGAGGTGAAGCAGCACCCGAAGTTCGGTTGCCGCCAACCCTGGTATCTGCTGTTGCTATGCCTATCGGCTTGTTCATCTTTGCTTGGACGAACTATCCAAGGTCAGCCCCCTCCCAAATTTGCTGTGCGCCGGTACTGACGTGGTGCGCAGTATCCACTGGATTGTTTGCATCATCGCGACCGTTCCCTTTGGATTTGGTATGGTCACTGGATTTTTGTCCATGATGAACTATCTGATTGACGCGTATACCATCTATGCCGCATCCGTTCTTGCGGCAAGTACGGTCTTGAGATCGCTATTTGGAACCGTCTTTCCTCTCTTCACATCGTACATGTATGCGGATCTTGGCGTACATTGGGCATCATCGATACCAGCTTTCCTGGCGCTGGCGTTTGCACCGTTTCCTTTCTTGTTCTACAAGTATGGAGAAACCATCAGGATGAAATGTAAGTATGCTGCACAAGCTCATGATGTTATGGCCCAGCTGCGTAAGACAAATACCCAGATCGAACGCGAAGAGAGGGACAAGGATTCCGATGTATAACTGGGAGCGCACCCTTCTAGGTGACAGTGCATGGCATGGGCACGCGGGCCGGTTATCCTGTACATCTGCGTTGCATGTTAATGGGACATCATACAGCACTCAATTACATGGTCAGTTCCGACGTCATGAGAAATGATGGTGATGTAGAATAGATACAAAGAATCTTTTTGGGCTTCGTTACGGGGTCGTCAATAACATTCACTGCCTGGTGCCAAGCCTAGCCGTCAATGGCGGGGGCTGGGAAAAGTGGGGCATCCACGCAGAGCTGTCGCAGATTCGAAGCGCAATCACCAAAGCGATTGCCCCGACTCTATCGAGCTCAAGTTTGCATACGGTTCAAGCGAGGAACTCGGAAGGCCGCGACAATGATTCAAGATGCCGCCCAGTGCCTTGGATACGGGATTCGGACATGCGCAACAACGCTGCAGAATGTATGCACGTTTGACCGCTAGTCCAACCTTGAGCTGCAGCCCGCTGGAAGCCGACATCCCACTATGCAGAGTCGAAGCCATCATATATGAGCTGACAGCACACCACCCGAAGTTGGTGCAGATTCGATGCTAACTACGGAGTAATTTCTCCTCGAAGCCAGCCTCCTCGGTAATGACTCGATTGCTGATCTCACAAGTTGTGCTGTCTTAGAAAATCCGGTGGCAGGGAGGTGGTTGGTAAACACCATTTTTACTAACGCAAAAGCCCAACACGTTGTCCACCCAACCATCCATCTTCTCATTCCTCTCTCTGTGTACATACTCATCGAAACCAAAGAATCGAGAGGCTTCATTCCGAAAAGTCGACAATACCGACTGACCCACCGTGCCCTCGAGACTCACTTCACTGGCCCCCCACATGCAACGATAAGCCCGGTACCTACACCGTTCGCCGTTCTTGGGTGAGCTCAAAGGCTCTCTGAGAGCAAGGGCTCGACGAACAACAATCACAAGAGCCATCAATATGCGCTCGACACTGGTCGCCTTCGCGGCGTTTACGGCAATACTCCCGACAGTCACTGCCTCTATCATACCCAATCTCCTGCGCTCCTTTGAAGATCTACAAGACGTGCGCAAGCGATGCGATAATCCCTGTGGCTTCTACGGCCAGGTCTGCTGTCCTGACGGCAGCGTCTGTTACACCGATGACAATAATGAAGCAGCCTGCTCTGCCGGCGGATCCGGCTCGTCTCCTCAAACAGCAGCCGGTAGCTGGCAGTATATCACCACGACCTACGTTATGACCGACCTCGAAACAGTCACGACCGTACTCAGCACTTTTGTCCCCAGTGCTACATCAGGCGGATGCGAATACTCGAAAGGCGAAACGCAATGCGGAGATAAATGCTGCGCTGCTGGCGAGTTCTGCGAGTCATCGGGCAAGTGCAAAGACGCAGGCAGTGGCAGCTCTGGACTCTACAGCAGTATCTTCACCGTCACCACTGTCACGACCAACACGGCCGAGCCGCCACTCCGACCAACCAGCGATACATTGGTTACCATCACGGCCACCGGCACTGCTGGGGAGATTACCACAACGCAAGGATTCATCAGTCCTACGGCAACGGGTGGTGCGATTACCGCTGAGCCTCAGAATGGCGGTGGTGGCGGTCTCAGTGCAGGTGCCATTGCAGGCATCGTTATTGGCGTAATTGCTGCTCTGATTATCCTCATCCTCATCTGTCTTTGCTGCTGTGCCAAAGGTGTGCTCGATGCTATCCTCGGTATCTTTGGCCTTGGTCCCAAGAAGCGGAGGAGGGAAGAAGTCGAAGTCTACGAGAGTCATCACCACCACGGCAGCAGACGCGGGCGGTCGGCTTCGGCAGCTGGCAGACGGACATGGTTCGGCACTCGGCCAAAGAAGTCTTCGGTTGTGGAAGAGAAGAAGAGCAGTAGCTGGGGAAGGGGTGCTGGAGTTGCAGCCTTCCTCGGTGGCCTAGCGCTTATTCTCGGACTGAAACGCAGAAGAGACAGGAAGGACGACAGGAGCAGCACTGGCTACGGTAGCTCATACTACTCGGACTACACAAGCAGTGAGTACAAACCAACCCACGAATGAATGGACCAGACTGACTTTGCATAGGTACCGAAAGCTCCTCAGATCGAAGAACGCGAAAATCCTCAAGGTCGAGATCAAGGGCCTATTCGGCGTCAAGGGCATCGAGAAGATGATCTACCAACGAACATAATTCTTCTTACTTCTAGCTTGTGCATTATATCTTGTCTCAGGACTGCATGATATCACGGGATACGGGAGATGGGCTAAATGAGATTGCATAGAAGGTAGCTCTAGTGACGTCCACCAAACTTCAGATACGAATGTGAATACTTCGAAGACATCACATAATGTGCCCAAAGTGCATCCTTTCACACCTGTGCTCCCATGCCCGCTGAAATGTCACGCTAATGCTTAGGTGAGGCAGCATGCGGCAGCCTTGCGCGGGTGAAAGCGGTTTAGGTATAGCCAAGACCGGCGGCTCTAGCACGGAGCGCAGGGCAGCAAAGGCAAGGTTCATTCCCCATGACCTTTCACCTTGGGAGCCTGCATTCTTTGTGTCCTCTTGATTTGTCTTCTACAGCGGTAATACTTCTCCCGGACCATCAATATTCAACCTGTACAGAGCTGTGTTTTCGAACTTTTCGACGTGTACTTCCCGATCGAAACCGCCACACTCCCACCGACCGCCCGACATCGCTCCCTTCACGGACTCGAGGTGACTCGAGAATGAGCAGTAACTGACCGCCACCTGTTACGCCTTTACACGATGCTGCAAGCTCAGCATCCCTATCAGTCACAATACTCCCAGACAGCCGATACTTGGCAGCAACATGGGAACCAACATAACCCCCATCAAGGTTTGAACCACGCCCAACAGCAAGCCCAGACAGCCCAGCAGCACTACACGCGCATTGCAGTCAATCAGAACAATACGCCGAGGGAAAACAACAGCAACAACCAAACCACAAACACTTCCCTTGGAGCCATGAACGATCAGAGCGGTAATGGCGTTGATCAAATGTCCGAGGAGAACCGCCGGGTACTGCAGTGGGTAGCAGACCTCATGGAACCCTCCCGAAGAGAGACTGCTCTTATGGAGCTCAGCAAGAAGCGGGAGCAGGTCCCTGAATTGGCTTTGGTTCTGTGGCACAGCTTTGGTGTCATGACTAGCCTGTTGCAAGAGATCATCTCGGTCTACCCGTTGTTGAACCCTAGCCAGCTCACTGCTGCAGCCAGCAACAGAGTGTGCAATGCTCTAGCTCTCCTACAATGCGTTGCTAGTCACAACGAGACGCGCGGGCTGTTCCTGAATGGTACGTCTCTTTTCAGCTTCTCCCAGACGAGACTGACATTACTACAGCGCACATTCCTCTCTTCCTTTATCCCTTCCTCAACACCACCTCCAAGTCAAGACCATTCGAATACCTTCGTCTCACCTCATTGGGTGTAATTGGCGCCTTGGTGAAGAATGAGCCGTCTTCCAGCTCGTTTAATCCGAATGGCACGCCTGGCGCGAATGGCCAGAGCAATAATTCCTCGCCTACTATAACGTTTCTCCTCACCACCGAGATCATTCCGCTCTGTCTTCGTATCATGGAGACAGGCAGTGAGCTGTCTAAAACGGTGGCGATATTCATTGTGCAAAAGATCTTGCTCGACGATACCGGCCTCGGCTATATCTGCGCCACTTACGAGCGCTTCTATGCGGTGGGTACGGTGCTCAGCAATATGGTTGTGGGCCTCGTCGAGACTCAAACGGTGCGCTTACTCAAGCACGTCGTCCGTTGTTTCTTAAGGTACGTGCTGCGTCCCCATGGGATTTTGCCCCTGCTCACGCGTCGCAGACTCAGCGACAATAACCGCGCTCGCCAGGCTCTACGACAATGCTTGCCTGAGCCTCTGCGTGACGCGACTTTCTCCAACGTCCTGCGTGATGATGCCGCTACGAAACGATGCCTGGCGCAACTGCTCATTAACCTGAGCGACACTGTCACCGACACACAAAACGACCAGTTTGAGTGAAGTCACGTTCTTTCTACCAGCTTTGACGATTGACGATACCCTTTTGGTGGCATGTGATCATGTCGATTCCATAAAAGCATTGCGAGGCGGAGACGAGTCTGGTTCTGATGAACGGTTTCTTTTCAGCAAAGGTGCAGGACGGGGGAACTGGGCTGCCGTTTCTAGAAATCATATACCCTGAGGTCGACGTACGCGAAGCGAGGATCGCCGTTGACGAGCGCTGTGACAACAATGGGCATGAAGCATTTGGGTGGTTAGCTGGTCGAGGTGGCAACCAAATTACTGGCTGGAGCCTTGTGTGTATGGACTCAGGTGCATTGAGGAAGGGGTTTGTTCTGATGGTATCGGGAACATGGACACGTGGCTGCTGATTGCGATCGACCTCTGGCAAGACTGCACGCGATGGTCGTTTTTTGCAGTGGGAAGAGAAGACTCGCCTCAGCCGGGCGACGATGGAAGACGGATCTTGGAATTTTTCTAGCATCATGTAAATGAATATCTCCTTCTGCTAGATGCCACATTTTGTAAAATTGCAATGGAGTAGCCGCCTGCGACAACGTATGTATACCAGCCTCGGACGGAACCAACGTGCGATTTATCAATTTGTTTGGGCACCATTGCCCTCAACCGGCACGAGCGTCGTAAATCCAAGTCACCGAATTAGGAAATTCTCGGACCCTATCGGACTTTACGCGCCTACTTTTGTACCATCCCAAAGCTTAGCTCACCCAAGCAACGGCAACGGGCAGATTCGAGCCACCCCGATCGGCGGGGGCCCATGCACACGCTACACTCATTCGGAGGTACACCACTGCTGTCAAGGCAGGGCCAAAGAGGGCACTCCGGCAGAAAGCAAACGGCGGCAAAGCTCCTCAATGGTCTAGAAGTCCGGCGAATAGGACTAGAAACGCTGCTTATCTCCGACGCCAGACATGAACTTTGCACACATCGGCTGGCATGCTATTCCGTAGATTCTCGGGGTGGGGGATCATGGCCGAGTGGCCGGAAGTCCCTGAAACCCGCGATGGGTGAATTTCGCCAATAGTAGCTGGGCAAATGGTTGATCCGCGTCGCATCCATCTTTGCCAGTCGGTCGGAGGAACATCATCGATACGCGTGTGGCGTTATGCCCGGTTGATTTGACCGATGATGTACGGTGGTGTATAAAGGTAGGGAGGGAGGAACAGCTCAATGTCATGGTCGGTCGGGTCTCACAACAAGTACATCTGCTGGCAGGTTTGCATATGCACAGAACCACTGCACTGCACACCGAAAGCCTTTAGATTCAACGGTATGTATGGTAGTTCCTCCAGTGCACGGCAAAGACTATGGCTGATGGATGGCATCAAGACTTTCGTCATACTTTGAGACCTGCGAGCCGGACGTACTAGATTATTGGCTGATCGTGGATAGAAACTACGCCGTATATAGGTTGACACGGACGGCTTCAATATCGAGTCCGCCAACCTCTTCGCAACCACGCAGCAACCAGTATGGCTACAGCTACGATTGTCGACAAGCCTGTCGGTGCTATCGGCTATGGGTAAGTGGACTTCTCGCCTGAATTCCTTGGGCGCTGGGGAGCCACGGTTCAACAAGTGTTTCTCTCTCTGACCGGAGACCTGGCACTGGATGTATCCCCCCTCAACACTCCCTCCCAGTGCGAGGACATTCCACTAACTCCAGCCAACAGCCTCATGGGTCTCACTTGGACCATGACCAATCCCAACCTTCCCCCCGCTGCTGAGTCATACGAGCTCATGAACCTTGCCCTCGCACAAGGAGCCAACTTCTTCAACGGCGGCGAGATCTACTCCAATGCCGACGGCCGCAACTCCTGCGACCTTCTTCGCGAGTTCTTCACCGCCAACCCAGGCGCCGCGTCCAAGGTCGTCCTCTCCATCAAAGGCGGCACCAAGAGTGCCACAACCATGGATCCCGATGGCAGCGAAGCCAACGCCCGCCGCACGGTGGACGACTCTCTCGCCAAGCTGGGCGGTACCAAGACCATCGACGTTTTCCAGTACGCGCGGGTGGATCATTCGACGCCCATTGAAGAAGTCATGGGTCACCTGAAGAAGCTCGTCAGCGAGGGCAAGATCGGCGGCGTGGGCCTCAGCGAGGTGCGCGCCAGCACCATCGAGCGCGCCGCCAAGGTCGTGCCCATCGCGGCCGTCGAGATCGAGCTGAGTCTGTGGACCACCAACACGCTGCGCAACGGCGTGGCCGAGACGTGCGCCCGCCTGGGAATCCCCATCGTCGCCTACGCTCCGTTGGCCCGAGGCGTGCTGGCCGGCGGCGCAGAGAAGATCCTCGAGCAACTGAAGCAGCTGCCGGAGAACGACTGGCGCAGGCATCTCCCCAAATTTCAGGACGACGTGGTGCAGCAGAATCTTCGCCTGACTAAGGAGGTCGAGGCGCTGGCGGCCAAAAAAGGCGTGAAGCCTGGCGTCATCGCCATCAATTGGGTCCGCTTGCTATCTGGCCGGCGCATGCAGGTGCTGGATGCCGATGGTAACGAGAAGACTGTGACGATGCCCACCGTCATACCCATCCCCGGCACGACCAACAGGGAGCGGTTGGTGGATAACTCGACAATTGTGGACCTGAGTGAAGACGAGATGAAGGAGATTGATGCCATCCTGGAGAAGAATCCCGTCGTGAGTATAATCCGTCTTTGTTTCTCTAGCTGGTCCTGGCCCGCGCACGAAATCTAGTGTAGCTAGTTTGCTAACAAAGTTTCTCTTCACTTCTAGGCTGGTGAGCGGATGCCTCCTCGGATGGCCCATCTCGCAGAGGGTTAAGACGACGAAGGCCATCGAGATTGTGCGGCCATCCAAGGGACGAGGTGTGAAAAACGACAAGCACCTGTAATGGGTCGCCGATGTCTTCGATGATGTACGCGGAGGAATCTTCGCGGGGGCATGCTCGACACGAATGACGCTGAAGGGTCAGCTGAGACCGGAATTGTGGTCAAGACGAGAACGCCTGTCGGTATGTATCGACAAATTCGCCGCTTCTTCTATAGCAGTTAATGCTTGATCCACTCGTCTTTGTTCGATCCTGTCACCCAGCGGACGGGGGACGGCGTGTGCCGACCTCCCCATCACTTCACGACGATCGTATTGCATCGCAGAGAGTATCTTTGCTGCACTCCCAGAAGAGCTGCTTGGCGCCGAAGTGCAGAATGCGGTGAGATCGGAAACGTTTCTAGAATACCCGGGCTCGCCGGGCCAGTGGGGTTTGTTGCAATAAGTCTGATAGGAGGCTGGCGCCGTCGAGCACGTGGTCCGTCGGCACAGTCTAGTGGGGGGCGTTTGTGGCCGTTTTACTGCAAGTCATACGTATCGGTTGAGCTCGTAATCTGAGTCGTGTTGCTGAAACAGTCCTTTGGAGCTATCGGTGCCGCCGGTGGCCGAGATGTTCAGGTAGCTGTGGAAATAGAGAAATAGACTTTCTGCATTAGTGATGCCTCGATCTCCTAAGTGAATGGGTCGTCCTCATCCAGGAAGATACACAGGGAGTCAATCCAGATGTAACGCTTGCGGATCCGCCAGGTGACCTCGATAGCGTCTTGAAATGTTAGGGGAAGGCTGCATACATCAATCTCGGTGATCAAGTCCTGATACGTGGTCTTTGGTAATTTGACAATGTCTCAATGACTCCAGCGGTGACTGAGGGTAACAGAGCCGCCATGAGGACGGGCCTTTGACGATACAACAACGCGAACGGGCTTTCCGACTCGAGTGCCAACGTCGACTAGCCTCGTCGGACACCAGGGCGAGCCTAAAGCAGAGTTACAGTCTCGCTGCTGCAAGGTACATTCATGCAGCCATTTGGTGACTAGTGCGCACGACGACGATCAGTCCGGCCAATTGCTAAATTCGTATGGAGTGTAGTAGGGCTCAATGTCTCCAAGGAGTGTTAGCTGGCCGGTATGTCTTGCAGCTGCGGTCACTGCACCTGGGCCCTGCCTCTCTTAGGTAAAAGGACGCGACCGGGGTCTAGTCCGATACTGTGGGATCAAGGGACTCTGTTTCGTAGGCTGCAATCAGTCGCAAGATAGACAGAGAATCCAATGGAGACGTGATAGATTAATTAATGGACCCGACAGAATTTTGAGCGGCTCCTGCGTCTGTAGCTGAGTGCATAACGGGCACTTTGCCTGTAAGGAGCGTTCGAGGCTCTGGGCATCAGCATGGTGGTCAAAGTATTGGTCGTTAATTCCCCGAATCCGAGGGCGGAGGCCCTTGTGAGCCGTCAAACATCCGAGACAGACGCTACAGAGCACCGGTAAAGGCATAGCTACACAGCATCAGGTGCGTGATCTATCAATTCCGTCTCAAGTGAGATGAAGCCAGAGCTGAGCACGAGAACGAGGCGATAATGAAAGGGCGACCGTCGCTGTGTAGTTGCTGGCAAAATCTTGGCGAGAGCGAGACCAACGCCAAGGCGGCCAACTCGACGTTCAGTGACGAGAAAGATCCTCTAGTTCTCACGTCTCCATTCTTCTTCATGCGATTCTGCTACTCTTGGTTAATGTAGGTATTGGTGCAAGAGGGCTATGCTCGGCAACAGCTGCTCGAAGGAGCACTCCGCCACTTTTGACGGCACAAATCTCCGCAGCGGGTGCCACTCCACGCACCTGGAATACTTGGCACCGGGGATGCTTTGCCGGTCTGACCGTGTCGCCCAAGATTCAACGCCTAGGCGCCCTTTGATCATGTGCGAGTCCTCGACCCGAGAGGCACGTGTGGTTGACTCCAATTCGGCATGTGCTGTGTTGGCCGGACAGAGCTATCATACTCCCGTACACTCCTAGCTGTTATCCTCAAAGATCGACAATCAACGTGGCCCATGCAACTCTTGCGGCACGAACGACATCCGGAGACCGATCATCACCAGTACGACTGGTGTCCGTCGCATGGCAAACCCATGCTTACATGGCGGTGGGGTGACGCACAAGTTGCAGATGCAGCGGAACATACTGCTACTCTAGCTGGTTTAGCCAAGAGGCAATTGGTGGCTTCTAGACGATACACAAGTCCGGATACCATTCCAGCCCGCTCGTTGTTGGCGATGATGTTCAACACACGTGGTCTAGTGCGCAAGAAATTACCCCTTTACCAGTCCATTTTGCGTGGTACCACCAGACACGCGACACAAAGTTCACCAAGCACAACTCGGATTCGCCGCCCAAGAATTTACTGAGCAGCATCCAGACTGCAGGGCCAGGTTCATCGATGGGCGACTCGACTTTTGCCATCCATGGCGGACGCCACCGAGCGACAGTGATAGTCCCTTGGCCAAGCTTGGCCGCCCTCCTGACCAATCACAATACGGAAAAAGGCTCTTGTGACGAATGCCGCTCCGGCGGCCAAGACTGAGCCGAAGACTTTTCAACAGTCCGCTCCTCTTGGTATTCGCGCTGCATCGAGATTTGGTGTGCTTGATATGACGTCGTTCGTGGCCGGTTGCATTGCCGCTGGAGTACGCGTGCTCCCCAAATCAAACAGGGTGGATTGTGAAGAAAGTCACTGGCCCGCAAAAGCATTGGCAGCAAGGTCAAGAACTTCGTGGATCTTAAATATGGACCCTCCCTCATTGCGACGGCAGAGTCTTCTCTTGAATCAACTGATCAGCCTGCTCTCCACGTCTTGGAAGTGATTGACAGGTCTTGGGTGGGTGAAGCATTAATATCTGCTTCGTCCCTGGTCATCATCCATCCCCAGACTCTTCCCCAGATATTGCAGCAAATCCATTCACCATGCCTGCGCCCAAGGTCGATAGCGAGGCTGTACAGCATGAGGACTTTACCCCCCTCTGACGCTCCTCGCCTCAATCCCCGTCGCGGCTCCTCCGCTTCCTCTTCCACCGTCAACGGAAGAGACGCAAATTACACCAAAGCCGGCAATGAGAGCACCGGCGTGCAACACGCTGAGCGTCGAGCTAGCACAGGTTCCGGCTTTCGAAGTCGGCAGCCATCTGTGGCAGCCCAGCTGACGAACCCCCTGGCTGGTATGACTGATGAAGACTGCCTACGCGATGTCGACTCCTGGGTTGAGCAACGCGGTCTGCAACATGAGCGTGAAACCTTCCGCAAAGGTGCTTTACTCGCCCGTGTCATCAACACAGAGGGTGCTTTCGAGTCGATGGATTTAACACAAGAAGAGAAGGAAGTTCTACGCCGGGAATCGACCCACCGCTGGAGCCAACCATTCATGCTGTACTTCTTGGTCGTCCTTTGCGCCGGCTCAGCCATTGTACAGGGAATGGATCAGACCGCCGTCAATGGCGCCCAGATCTTTTATTTCGAAGAATTCGGCATTACGAACGTGTGGATCCACGGTCTTCTCAACGGGGCTCCCTACCTTTGCTCCTGCTTGATCGGCTGCTGGACCAACGCACCGCTCAACAACTGGTTCGGTCGTCGCGGCACAATCTTTATCTCTTGCACCATCTCGTTCATTTCCTCTTTCTGGATGGCTGCCGCCAATACCTGGTGGAATCTCCTCATTGCCCGTTTCGTCTTGGGGTTTGCCGTCGGCGCAAAGTCCTCCACCACTCCCGTCTATGCGGCCGAGTCCGCCCCAAAGACGATCCGTGGTGCCCTCACAATGATGTGGCAAATGTGGACCGCTTTCGGCATCATGCTTGGTTTCATGGTGTCTGTCGCCTTCGAGAATGTCCGTCCTGTCACGGGCAGTCCAACCGAGCCCTGGCGCTGGATGTTGGCCTCGACTGCCATCCCGCCCATGATTGTCATGGCCCAGGTCTACTTCTGCCCCGAGTCCCCTCGTTGGTACATGAGCAAGGGCAAATTCGACAAGGCCTTCCACGCCTTCTGCCGTCTCCGCAACAACAAGATCCTCGCAGCTCGTGATATGTACTACGCCAACAAGCTCCTCGAAGTCGAAGAGTCTCAGCGCGCCGGCAAGAACCTCTTCAAGGAATTCTTCACCGTCCGCCGCAACCGACGCGCCGCCCAGTCCTCGTTCTTCGTCATGTTTATGCAGCAATTTTGTGGCGTCAACGTCATCGCCTACTACTCGACCATGATCTTCCAATCGTCCGGATTCGAGCGCTCCGAGGCCCTTCTCGTCTCCCTCGGTACCGGCGCCGTCAACTGGCTGTTCGCCATCCCGGCAATCTACACCATTGACACCTTCGGTCGTCGCAACCTGCTGCTGACCACCTTCCCGCTCATGTCCATCTGTCTCCTCTTCACTGGCTTCTCCTTCTGGATCGACGCTGGCCTGCCCGAAGGTGAGACCTCCCAGGCCCGCCTCGGCTGCGTTGCCACCGGTATCTTCTTGTTCATGGCCGTCTATTCGCCCGGTGAGGGCCCCGTACCTTTCACCTACTCGGCCGAAGCCTTTCCCATCTACATTCGTGACACCGGCATGTCATTCGCGACAGCCACTTGCTGGGGCTTCAACTTCATCCTGTCCCTCACATGGCCGGCTCTGCTGGAGGCATTCGGCCCCCAGGGCGCCTTCGGCTGGTACGCCTGGGTAAGTCACGCCCCTCGTCAATTAACGGCGAAAACCATACTAACACGCCCCTCCAGTGGAACCTTTTTGGGTGGATCTACACTTACTTCCTGCTTCCTGAGACCAAGGTTCGTCTACCCTTAAATACCCGGAAACTCCCACACCTAACAATTCTACAGAACCTCACGCTCGAAGAACTCGACACCGTCTTCAACGTCGGCAACCGCGAGCACGGCAAGTACTACCTGGACAAGCTCCCCTGGTACCTCAACAAGAACGTGCTGCGCCGCGACGTCGAGCCTGTGCCGCCTCTCTACGAGTTTGGCGAGTACAAGCAGCGGGCTGCCAGCGTGCAGGCTGAGGCGGGTCAGCCGCATATCGATGAGAAGGGGAACGGTGGTGTCGTGGCTTAGATCGATGGGTTCTAGGAGGGGGCGTGCAGAGAAAAAATGACTGTTATCGTAATTTCGCCTGGGGCTATTGAAATACAGAGATGGTTTGCGCGCGAGAGAGAGACACACGCCCGTGCGATGAGTTCTGTGAGTGAAGGAGGGGCATCAGAAAGCATACAACCATCGACCGATGTGGTCGTTGCGAAGAGTTTTGTGGCTCGCTCTTTACCAGGCGATTGATGGTGTTGGTGAAGCCGGCTGCTTGCTGTTGCGGGAGCATAGCGGGCTGGTTTAAACACTTCTAGTCGGATACCCATTGTTATATAGTCAACGAGATACGACACCAAATGCATCGTTTCTTTTGGAGCAAAAGCTTCTCGATAAAACTATGCTAGGGACATCGTTTATATTCGTCACACGTGACAGGCAGCTATCTACTGCATCGGTCTCTACGCCATGCCCTGCCATGCCACTCCACCAGCATGCCTGCGTTCGCTTCATAATACACGCGCGGTGCCCTCGGTCGTAGATCCGCCCGGTGGCCACGCAGCACACAGCCCATCACACGTAACCTGCGGCATCATGTCAGTATTACAGTTTAGTAAAGCAGCACCGGCACTCTCCGCCAGGTTCTCCGAGCAGTACTCACCCTTCCTCGCGCCCTGGAAGAAAAATCTAACCACCAAAACCTGCAACAAAGCCATCCCCACCATCATCGCCACCTCAATCATGCTAAACTGCAAAATCCTCTTCTCCGTACTCCTGACCGTGCTGAAATTCCGATTCTCTCTGGTCCTGAAATACTTCTGCATCCTATTCACCGTGCTTAACTGGCCCGACACTTTGAACACCAGATCCTCCAACTGGTCGTGCTGTTCCGCAGGCGCGCCGCTTTTCTGGGGCAGCAGCGACGATGCCGTTCCCGGAGACGACTCGGAAGTGATTTCGAAATCGACGTACTTGTCCGCGAAAGTCGACATAGTGTTGGAGAAGCAGAAGACGTAGGAGCCGGTGGATTGCGCGGTGAAGACGTAGTCGCCTTGTCGCTCTTTTTCGCCCGAGAGCACGATCTTGTCGATTGGGGAGGTTACGCTGTAGTCGACGTCGAAGGAGCCGCCGGATTGAACCTGGAGAGAGGGAGAAGGAGGAGAGGTTAGTCTTGGTCGGTTTGTGGGTTTGTGGGTATGAGTGAGTGAAAGAGAGATGCTGGAAAGGAATGTGCGCCTCTTTGGTTCACCGGAGGAAGACTCACAGCGAAGTAGAAGGCGACTTTGCTGTTCTCCTTGGATATGTCCTCGTAGAAGCACGCTTTCTCGTTGGCGGCCAATTTGTAGGTTAGAGCCGTTGCGGAGACGAGGGAGGAGACGAAGGGAATGAGCGCGAGGGCGGAGGTGATGAAGCGCATCTTGACGGGTGTCGGTGCGAGCAGTAGGACTGTCTATTAGCTGCCTCGACGCGATGGGAAGGGGAGATTGAGAGGGCAATGGGGAATCTGATCTCAGGAGATACGGTGCATGTGGCTCCTCCGCGTTGGCGGAACTTTTGTGGCCGCTTGCGCCACCGTACAGGCCGCTTGGCAGCCCCTGGATGGGGATCTATTGTTTGAATACTTATATGATACGAAGGTATAGCATTGGGCAGGAGACCAGAGGTCAATATGGACTATTGATTGGCTCTCATTTCATCTAACATGACCATATTCAGGTCTTGAGCAACGTACCGCCCTCTGCGTGGAGCACAGTTCCGGTCATGAAGTTGTTCTTGATCGCACATAGATACGCCTCAGCACAGTCTTCTACCGTCCCGACTGCGTTGACGAGAGTAGTGCTGGCAAAATATTGTCGCATATTCTCCTTGCCCCCCATCGCTTCAGCAGCCAAATCCAACAGTGGTGTCTGAATCGCCCCAGGTGATACCACATTCACACGGATGGGAGCCATCTCGACAGCAAGGGCTCTGGTCATCACTTCCCTTCCTCCTCCAGCCGCAATTTGCATGCTCATGGCTTTGAAGGGCCGAAACGTGAGGACACCGCTGGTCATCGTGAAGGAAGAGCTTGACTCAGGCTTGATGTATTTCTGGACGACTTTGGCAAGAAGGATGGGGCCGATGACTCGTGACTTCTGAACCTTTGCCAAATCTTCCGATGTGACAGACTGGAGACCGTGGATCGGACTACCAGTCTCGCCCGCGGTATCGACAACGTGATCAACTTTGACTGTGCCTCCGTCTGTAGCATACCCGAAAAGCCTAGTCATTTCGGATTCAGCATCGTCCGCAGCAGTGTCGCACGTGTGTCCCCGAATATCGCCCTTCGCATCAGGATAGGCTTTCTTTAGGGCTGCCACAGTCGAGTCAACATTTTGCTGTTTTCGGCTCGCGACCACAACCCTGGCGCCGTGTTCGACGCAGGCTTCTGCCACAGCGAAACCAATGCCTGAGGTGCCTCCGATGATGATGACAAGCTTCCCCTCCAGCTTGTTGATGTATTTCAGAGCCATTGATGTTGTATTGCTTTTGTCCAGGTTGAGTTGAATACAATACGACTGCTTATGTGTGAGCACCTGAGGGCTTTATAACTCTGCAAGCCACCACTGATGCATTGTTTCAATGGGCATAGGCAGCCGTAGCCTTGGAGTTACGTATGAGTATCGTTAAGCCCGGTCCATGGCTACAAGACAAAGTTTCGTATTCGCCCGGGTCGGACCAAAAGTCCACCCGGATGCCATCCAAAAGAGTGTCCAGTTTTCTGTCCAGCTGTGTGGTTGTGCACGAGACCGTGACGCTAATGAAGGCGAATACGAGGTGTAGTGGAGTTTCCGGATGTGCGACTATACCCCAACTCGTATTGCGCCGCTTAGTGAATACGCAACGTGGGTACGAAGTAACACGATGCAGATGTTTCCCTCGCTCTTGTCAAATATCGGACATCGGGTCTGTACAGCCCTGGCCTTTGATGACTGGTCGCGGCGAATTTTTCCTTTACAATACGCTCATTTGAGGAGATTCTGCTTCACGACTTTGGCCATTCATTCGTCTTCTGTATGTGAGCAGTCTAGCCAGTAGAGTTGCGTGAAAACGGTCGAGGCTGTTCTTCAGCGGTCTTCTGCTGGGAGTCCTCGGACAGCTCTTACCGAGGAGCACCATCAGGTTGTAATGACAGATCCTCCATTGTTGGCGGGAGCCGTCATATCTTGACCACAGGCGTCGCCTTGCCAGCCTCGGGTGTCTGAGGCTCTTTGTTCTTGACAATATCTGGTTTCGAACCCTTGAGAGGTGGAAAACTGAAGGGAGCGCTGGTGCCCTCCTTGCCCGGTTCCCACGCACCGACCCTACTGCCGAAAAAGCCCTTATCCCAGATAAGAGCACCAACCCATGGCTGGACATTCCAGCTCACCTGGAGCGTAACATTGGATCGTTCGCTGATAACACCAGAAGGGTCGGTTAAATGGTATTTTGGCTTCTGGTTCTTGAGCGAGATCAAACCCGGTTTGACCAGCTCTTTGGTCTTGGGGGTCTTCATATTCTTCTTGGATTTTGAATACTTGGACGTCTTCTTGCCAGCAAGCGGATCCCAGTATTGTGTCTTCACGTTCTGAAAAGAGTATGGGCTCTCGGGAGCAGAAATGATGGTATCCCAGATGACGGCCTCGGAAACCCCCCCAGCGCCACCAGGGTAGTTGGCAGTGACGTAGACGAAGAGCTGCTTGGTGTTCCAGGTAAAGAGGCTGGTCAGGTCGACATCAAGGTCGAAGCGTACCTGCGCATACTCTTCGCGCTTGTTGGACGAGTAGTGTGGACGACCCTTCACGACCTCGACTTTTGAGACTGCGACGGTTGCACTGGGGAATTCGACGACCGGAGGCCATGGTAGTACACTCAGTAGGGCAATGAGGCCTGCGGCTATAGCGGCGCATGTGGTAAAGAACCCGAAGGTATTCTGGAGGCGGTTGAGGGCGGTATGCATAGCTGGAAGATGGATCGGGATCGGGAGAGGAGTACAGAGAAGCAGAGAATGCAGCCAGCTCAATAAGACGACACTGAGAGCTGTCACGGCGCGGTTATGCTTGTAGGTAGATACTGGGTAGAAGAAGTAAGAGCCACTTGTCCAGTGTCGAGTCAGACATTCAACGCGCGACTGTCCACGCGACTCGGACACGCCAAGGATTGTTCTCCCGCCGACTCTTAAAGCCATTTTTCATAACGACTGTCTTCTCTTTCTCCTTCTGCAGGACTTCGGCCTGGCAGCTCACATTCTCTGCATCTATCTATTGCTTCGAGGTGATCGGGACCGATGCAGACGTCTTGTTTGTGTCATCGTCCCAATAATGAAGTCCGAGAAGGAACCACCTGTCGTTAATCGCTCGCCCTACCTTATTTTCATGTATGAGGCGAGTTTCATATCTAAGGTGATATTATTCGGAACCCTGATGACCGCATTTTGAGGCTCTCACGATCCGTGCTTTCCGTTCGGCGTTGTCTTCTCAAGAAGCTCAAGAACGAATGCGCGTCACTTGGTCGAGGCGGTCGCAGATCTTGCTGTCTGAAGCCGCTTCCGGGTGGCGCTGTGCATGTACATGTGGAGATTGGGACTGTATTAGACCATGAATAAGACCATGCAGTGAGTTTTGGACACCGAATTCGATTTCATTTGGTACACTATGTCAACAAGCAACATTGCTCATTCATCATTCTACTCCCATCCAGTCTCCTGCTTCTTCGCTATCGGCGGATGCCTCATCTCCATCTAGAAGCATGGCATTTTCCTCACCTGTGTGACCATTCTCAAGTGCCTTGACGCCAGTTGCTTTGTTCCTCATCGTCAAGAAATCAATCTCAAAGCCATTGCGCTCGCTCAGAGTTCGTACCGTCTTCCCCACCCCTTCCACTCCCTTCAGCACTGCCCTCAGCTCGCTCACGAACTCGCCCTGGTGCTCCTTGATATACCTTCCGTGCACGCCGATAAGTTCCGTTACCCACAGGAGATGGAACTCGAGGTGCGGCGTAGCCTCGAGTTGTTCGCCCAGGAACCGCAGCAGGCGCGGGAGATAGACTCGTGGTAGCTCACGGATCACTAGCGGTGTGGATGTCGGTGGAATGGACTCGTAGACTTGCTGAATCAGGGACTTGTCATTGAGGCGGAAGCTCATCACCAGCGCCTTCAAGTATTCTGGCTCCGCCACAGATAGCATAGCCTTGATGTTCTGTGGGGTGACGTCGATATCCAAGTCGAAAGGATCAAAGTCCTCCATACCGGTATTGTCGAGGCTGTACACCAGGAGACCTTCAGTGCTTGCGACACAGAAGCTACGGCCGGTGGGTGCAAATTGCGCGGACGTCACACGCACTGCAGGAGTTATGGTGCGGCTAGTAGCGTCTTTGCCACGGTTGACGCCCGGAAGGCTGCGATCAATACGATCTTCTAGGTCGCTGTTCTCGCCTTCTGTGTCAATCGTGTCGCGCGGCATACCATTGGACATGATTGCTGCAGAGTTCAAGAACTCCTGCGTGCCGTCTAGTGAAAGATTGATGGAGACGGTGAATTTTTTGACGAGCGTGAGTGTACTGATAGAATACAGACATACATACTTGCTGTTTCCGGCCGCCAGCAAGCATGTTCCGTCGGCGGAATAGCTAATAGTATTGAAGGACTTTGTGCCAGGTGTGGAAGCTGCGGTGCGCCGGGACGTAAGAGAGCGGCCGCCACTGACATCGCGTCGTCCATCGAAGCCAGACTCTTGGACTGAAGTGTCGAGATTCCAAAATGTGAGCTGGCCATCGAGGGTTGACGCGGCAATTTGACAGGAATCGGGGCTAACAGTTACGCAAAGCAAGTCGGATGTAAGTTGCAGGGCTTCGGAGCTCTGTGAGCGGTCGAAGACATTCCATACTCGAATTGTTCGGTCCCAGGAGCCGGAGATGAGGTAGCGACCATCGGGCGTGAATGCGAGAGTGGAAATTGGCCCTTCATGGCCTGAAAGCTGATCCAATAAAGCACCAGTCTGAACTGACCATAGATGAATGTCAAACGAGTCATGTGATGCTGCGCACACAACCTCTGCTGATGGGTCGATGGCTAGACAGGCGAAAGACAAACGAGTTGGTGCCGTAAAAGTGCGGAAGTTTCTGTAGCGTAGCATGTCCCACGCTCGTATCGACCCGTCCAACGAAGATGTGAACAAGACATTGCCTCTTTTTGAGTAGGCTGAACCGGTCACGGCTGAACCATGCTCTGTAAAAGTCGCAATGTGGAAGCCAGAGGCAATGTCCCATATCTTGATGAGCCCATCGTCTGAACCAGTGATGATTCGCGTGGAATCTGGAGAATATGACAGTGTTGTCATGGTGTCGAGGTGCGAGGATTGTTTCAGGATATTTGACTCGGAAGTGTGCTCCCAGACGAGCAACTGCCCGGTCTTCGCGGATCCCAACGCCAGCCACTCGCCCGACTTATTGATTGACACAGCGGAAATAGGCGAAGACGCCATCGACAGAGAGTGGATGTTAGAGAACGAGGGCAGCTCGTATATTGAAAAGAGTCCACTAGCGAAGCAGACAGTAAGAAGGCTTGTGACAGGGTTGAAAGCTGCACATTTCAGCTTCGCATTTTGCATGAAGAAGTCTTTCTTGACTATTCTCCATCTTTCTTCGTCGTCTGGATCCGTCATCTCTTCATCGGCTTCTTGTTGTGCTGATCTTGATACAAACTCCCAACGAAAGAGTGCACCATCCTCACTGACAGTGTATATTAGTTCTTGATTTGCGGAAAACCAAGCGGCCCGCACCTGCTGCCTGTGGCCTGACAGCACAGTGGGCTCGAAGTCTGCCTCTGGATCCAAACTCCATAACCGGGCAGTGAGATCTCTAGAAGAGCTGATGAAGAATCTCGAGTCGCCTGACCAGCTGAGATGCCTCACCTCGTCAAAGTGGCCGCCATAGTCTCTGTGTAGGACGAATGGCGCAAACTCGAGTTCTCCTGCGGCATCCGTCCCTGGTGTCCTCGGTGTTTTCCAGGCTTGAATACGCTTCCCCACGCCTGCAGCGAAATGTCTGCCACTCGGAGAAAAGGCGAGAGCAGAAACAGGGCCTTTGAAGGAGAAGTGATAGATTGAGATCCGTCGTGGGAATAGTGTAAGTATGGCGCGACCATCCTCGTCGATGGTCAGCAAGAGCTGTCCATTGGAGGTGAGGTCAAGGTGTGTGATGTTCCTTCTGTGCGCAAATGGAAGGGTATATGATGTGTTTTTCGTCAGGTTAAAGACTGAGACTCTATTTCCTACCGGCGAGAGTAGAGAGTTGCCATCGGGAGTGAATACAAGGTTGCCCCGGCCGTAGACCGTGCCGAGGAGGTTTGAGAACTGTGCAGCTTATCAGTCAGGCAGCACAGAGACATTTGGAGTGCTCCCATACCTTGAACTCGGTCTTCATGCTATAAGTGAGCCATGGCTGGTCCTGGCGCAAAACCACTGCCTGAGAATTGGAGCGCAGTCTTTCGAAAAATTGGCCGGCACGGAGAAACTATTGACAGAGCGGATCTGCAGCTAGCTCCCCAGATTGTTCTTGGCGAGTAGTTGGGCTCAGGGGTTCGTCCTTGCCGTGTCGGTGGTGCACTTTTTTGCCAGCACGACCGCGAACCCCTAAACTTGCAGGTCCGCACCCTCACCGTCGGTCAATCCTCCCTTCCACTTCAACGTTTGCACAATCACCATTTTCCATCACTGGTTGTTTCTGGTCCCGGTGTCGACACACTAGAACTTTCACACTCAGTTCGACTCCATCACCATGGCTCCCGCTCCCACTTCAGATTCGTCGGCGTCGCCTATTGGCATCGCCAATCTGCCCAACCAGCGACACAAGATTGTCGCAAAGCGAGGCGCTGCTTTCACTATCATGGTACAGTGTCTTCTAGCAGCCGTGTTCGTTGCATACTGACTCCCTTAGGTTGCTGGCGAGTCGGGGTTGGGAAAGACCACCTTTATCAATACTCTGTTCTCTACCACAATCAAGAACTATACCGATCACAAGAAGCGGCACGCCAAGCAGGTCGACAAGACCGTCGAAATCGAAATCACCAAAGCTGAGCTGGAAGAGAAGTTCTTCAAGGGTAAGGCTAACTCGTTCAAGAAGGCTGCATCTGCTCACACCGTTAGTTCGGCTGACCGTCATCGACACCCCCGGTTTCGGCGACTATGTTAACAACCGTGACTCGTGGATGCCTATTATCGAATTCCTCGATGACCAACATGAGTCCTATATGCTCCAGGAGCAACAACCCCGCCGAACAGACAAGATCGATCTGCGTGTCCACACCTGCCTCTACTTCATCCGCCCAACCGGCCACACCCTGAAGCCCCTCGATATCGAAGTCATGAAGAGACTCTGCACACGCGTCAACTTGATCCCTGTCGTTGCGAAGGCCGATACACTATCACCTGCCGATCTCGCCGTGTTCAAGCAGAGAATCCGAGCCGTCATTGAGGCTCAGGGCATCAAGATCTACCAACCACCCATCGAGGAAGATGATGAGGCTGCTGCACAGCATGCCCGCGCCCTCATGGCTGCTATGCCTTTCTCCGTCATTGGTAGCGAGAAGGACGTCAAGACTTCAGATGCGCGCATTGTGAAGGGTCGTCAATACGCGTGGGGTGTTGCCGAGGTTGAGAATGAAGAGCACTGCGATTTCAAGAAGCTGCGGTCCATTCTCATCCGTACTCACATGCTTGATCTCATTCACACCACCGAAGAGAATCACTACGAAGCCTACCGTGCTCAACAAATGGAAACAAGGAAGTTTGGCGAAGCCCGACCAAGGAAATTGGACAACCCCAAGTTCAAGGAAGAGGAAGAGGCGCTCCGAAAGCGTTTCACCGAACAGGTCAAGGTTGAAGAGGGGAGATTCCGCGGCTGGGAACAGAAGCTTATCGGGGAACGCGACCGTCTGAACAAGGACCTCGAAGCCACCCACGCCCAGATCAAGCAGCTTGAGGCCGAGCTGGAGCAAATGCAAGGCAGCGCAGTGAGAAGTCACGGTCGTCGTTAGACACGGCGTTCATTGGGTGCAGGGCAGGCGGTGATTGGGACGCTGACGACAACAGCGCAACTTGAGCATGATCAAGCTGTGGGGTGTGACTAGATCACTGAAAGTTCGGAACTGGTGTCCCACTTGCAAGTGATTATGGCATTCTGGATGATATCGGCCCCCAGACTGCATTGAGCCTACACCAAACATCCCGTTGCTGTTGCGAGTTGATGAAGGAGCGAGCGATTTTTCTTGACTTTTGCGCTTCTGCCTGCCTGGCTATGCTGTGCTCGTATGGCCAAGCAGTGGTATGAATAGGTATCCTAATGTTGATAAGGCTCACTTATGAAGTGCTTCTATTGTGCCGTGCATCTCGTACCGGGTCTCGCTTTCTGTCTAAACCGTCAATGCAGTCTACTGATGAAATGGAAGCCTCCACGATATGCCACTTGCTCTAACATGCTGACAATGTTGCCCTTACTCCTCAATCAACTAGAGTCGCATGAGTCGCCGATGGTGTACAATTCCCGCCCCAAAAAATTACGTTGCCAACCAGCTCGCCTAGACCGATAAAGAACTGCTAGGTCTACGCTCACGAGCGAGAACCTACCGCAAAGGCATCGTTTCGTTGGCACATCCTGACGACCTTGCTAAACAGCTTTCGGCCCGCAGAGCCGCAACAGCTTCGGCCTCTCACTTCGTGGACCCGTTTCGCTGCACCTCCGCCAACTGCCGCCCAATCGCCCCATTGACGCCCCTCCCGCCCGTCGGATCCTTCTTCTCCTTGGCCTTCAACTCTCGCACCGCCTCGTCCACATCCGCGAAGCCTTCGTCTTCCTGCACGTTCTCGTCCTGTGCTTCCTCCTCGTCGCCGTCCGTCCAGGCTGAGTCCCCGCCGCCCATCCACCGGCGCATCTTGTGTTTCTTGAAGTCCTCAAAGTCCCACTCCCGCGGGTCGAGCCATGTTGGCCCGTCGGTCCAGATGTACGTTTGCGCCGTGACCATCTCAGGCTTCTTGGTCGAGGTGGGCGTCGTGTCTGCCGCTTTCCCAACCCCTGCCTCAGGCGCCAGTTCATCCAGCGCCACACCCTCCAGCACTTCCACCTCCACAGTCCCCTTCGTGTACTGGCTCCCCTCGAAGACGTCCAGCCGGAAGACGTCGCCTTCTGTTAAGCCGCTGACGACGCTGCCACGCACGGTGCCGCCCTTTTCGGGGATGATGGCTGGGTAGTCAGCGGAGGCGACGCGGTGCCGGCGGTAATCCCGCAGCAGGGCGGGGCGGATGGTAAGGTAGCGCATTGCCGGGTGGGAGGTGGGGTCTGGGGAGGACGTGCCGTATATGACGCGGTGGAGTACGGGCGGGGCCAGGAGCGTGCCGTAGAAGAAGAGGGTGTGGTCGCCCATTGTGGCGGAAGAGAGCACACGCAGGGGGTGTGAGCTGGTGTGAGTGAGAGGTTGGGTGATGCTAGTGTGAGGTTGCTTCGAAGCCGAGTTCTACTGTACTGAAGGAAACTTGAAAAGGACGTGGGAATTGTGGTAGGCCAAAGGAAGGTGTCTAACTGTGTAGGAAAGCGGAGGGCAGATTAGAAGATGAAATAGTGCAAAGCAATGTTCTGGTTTGTTCTGGGTTTGTACAACGAATCGACACGCGATATTCAGACGGATATGTTGACTGCAAGCAGCCAGGGCGCGGGACAAATTTAAGCGGGGCAAACATGACACCGATCTCTTATCACTTGCAGGGTCTACGATCACCAAGGGACATGGGGGATCAGGGCCAGGCGTTCTAAGATGCCTAGGATCCCGGACGGGCAGTTTTGAAACCTTCAGTTGCTCGAAAGTTGCATTCACGGTCAGGAGCATCAATATCGAATTACCGAAGACTTTGGTAAGGCAAGTTACAGGCCTATGCATTTGCTACAGATAGGGAGTTCGTGCTGTCAACCAAACCACCCTGCATATCAGTCAACGCCATGGTGCTCTCATGCCATCGTCACTGTCATATCCGGTGCCCGTGTCCGTGCCCCATCCAATTGCATTGCACTAGAAGAGCAAACCACCTAGCAATGCACCACCCAACAGGCCACCAGCAACCGGCAATGCCAGTCCTCCGCCATATCCAGGCCGGCCATATGCATAGTTGGGTCTGATAAACCTAGCATTCGGTGTTGCATATGGTCCACTTGTGTACGGGTTGTAGCCGATACCATTTCTTCCATACCCGCCGTAGCCATATCCGGGTCCAGAAGGCGGCTCGATGTAGATATCTCTTCCATCACGATCTTTGGCAAACCACTGCGGCTGGCCTGACATCTGTGCACGCTGCAGCGCGGCGCGATAGCGGGCGTGCATCTCATAGTACTGACGGTCCTCCTCCGCTTGCCTGGCTCTCTCAGCCTCTCGCTCCTCGTGCGTCATGCCGGTGAGCTTGTCCTTCATCCGCTCACTGAACTTCTTCTTCTGCTGCGTCTGGTGGGAAGCTGATTGTGAAGGCCGGTGCGGGAGCTCGGCGGGGAATTGTTCGCGAGGAGGGGCGCCGGATGACTTCTCGGTCTTAGAGTCTTTGCTCCCACCGAAGCCCTCGATGTGAGTCCGTAGTTTGTCCTCTTCGGCTTGCAGGCGCTCCTTCTCTTCGGATGGCAGTGCATTCCAGGTCTCTTCATCGTCCATAGGGTGCACCCATATTGAGCGGGGTGGATTGGCGTTTGTGTCGACGAAGAATTGGTGCTGCTCGTGCGTATCCCATTGCCTGACCCAGCCTCGCGGCAGCGGTCGCTGCTCGTCTTCCATGCTCTTTCTGCTTGCCACCGGTGCGGCGGGAACTTCTAGATGACTTGACTGCGTTGGCTGCGACGCGGCGGATGAGCCGGTAGCTTGCGCGTAAGATGGGGGAGCATCTTTGGGCGCCTCGGGTTTGTCGTTCGTACTCATGATGAGAGTCTGTGAGTTGTGCTCCGGGATTGAGAGGCGAAAGTGAGAACGAGATATATACTGCCACAGAGTCTCTGCTTTAGAAATACCTAGAACGCTAACGAGGGGAGCAAGGAGGCGGAGGCCTGATGGGTCAGCCTTAATATCTTAATGACGACGCCGACGATGTGATGTGATACGCTTGTGATACGACAGTGGCGTTTGCAGTTGCACAGCCACACTCCACCATTTCCCTATGTTTCCATCATCGCAGTTGCTCTCCCGAATCGCCACTCGACTCCGCGCTCATACTTCCAGATGATTCGCTCGCAGCTGTATACTGCTGCACATCATCGGGTGGAAAGATCTCCCGCAATTGCCGACGAAGCCAATATTGGAATGATTTACGAAGTCAAGCAGACATCAGGTCGAGGTTGGATGACTGGTCCTATGGACCTAGAACCAACCAGCCATTACTAGCTCAGTAGAATGTCCCAGAGTGTCCTTCCTCTTCCCTGGTGCCCTCCCACGAACTCTTGGCCGACCACATTGACGAGGACGATGTCCTTCCGGAGATCCTCCAAACACAGCTCCTCTTTGCTACCTCGAGGGTAGCATCTCCGCCATTCTCCCCAGATTGCAAAAGCCTCCTCGCCCCATGCTCTGAAGCTCTCGCTTTCGATGATGGTTGGTGCAATGATTTCCTTGCCCCTGAAGACGCCCCAGGTTACAGCGTTGATACCATTTGTGCCTGGTGTCTTCTTGGAGGTCGGTTTTCCTTGTTTCGATTCCGCGTTTATGATAGTGTCGCTGGATTCGTAGATACCAAGCGCATCGGTTTTCATCCAGCTCAGCTGTTCAGGTGATGTCTCAATTAACTTCTTCCTGAGCAAGCCTTCCCATTCGCCTTTAGAACAGAAGAACTCGACAAAGGCCTTTTGAAAAACGAAGCCCTCAGCCCGTGGACCCCAGCCGAACACTTCGTTGTCACTTCTTACACCATCGACCGCAGGCTGACTCGCCAATGTCCAATATCGCTTCCGCTCGATAAGCTCCAGAAGCTCATTTCGGATGATTTGTGTCTCTGCTCGCAACGACCCAGGCCCATTGACACCTGCATTGGGATCCACTTCGTCACTCCACGGCACTGATGTCAGCGCTCCAGTGATCAGCTTAGAGAACAGATTCGTGACATCCCTTGGTGTTGTTGGGTTTCCCCACAACTTGCGAGCTGTGGCTGGCCCGACTTTCAAACTTGGTCCGTAGCCATCGATCTCTCCGTATGCTGGTGAATGTGCTGGACCCCATCTGCCATTGGGAAAGTCGTCCCAGGTTGCTTCTCGTCCGAGCGATCCCTGACCTTCTGATATCAGCAGACTGTGCTTCCTTGTCGGATCTGCGGCTGGTATGCCGGTACCCCTATCGAGAGCTTCGTGTCTCGAGCCGTTCGAATCTTGAGATTGCGCGGTACGAGGCCGTCCGGGGCTTCCCGATAGGCTGTCAAGGATGACTCTGTTGTGTGGCTGTGCATTCACTGAGCTCGCTCTTCTTCGGGAGAATCGGGATGGCGGCGGGGCGTGAGCATTCGTTCCATTGGTATGGGCACCGTCCTGCACCGCATCTGAGTCCGAACTCTCATCAGGCTCGGGCTCATTCATATGCGGGATGAGATGGCAGCGTTCGAGAATGAAGGCCACAGACTTCTCCAAGTTCAGGGTATAGAAGTGCAGGCCGCGTGGTAGTCCCGCCGGTTGCTGCAATCCCTTGATGCCTTCCACCAGCTCGCTCAAGATGTCGACACCAACCTTCTTAACGGCCTCGTCGTCATCCTTGACTGCTTCTATTCGCCGGGCGATATCCTGAGGAATCTTCGCGTGACTCAACTTGGTTATCCGCTTGACGATCTGGTAGCTCTGGATAGGCATCAGGCCGGGAATGATTGGTATCCGCTCGAATGGCTTCTCGCCGCTAGCGGTCTCGTATGTTCTTAGTCTTCTTTCGTATTTGTCGTATGCATCGAGATCATAGCTCAATTGTGTCATGATGAAATCGGCTCCTGCCTGCGTCTTCTCCACCAGGTATGGCAGGTCGTACTCAACGCTCTGCTTGCCTGCTTCAGGATTGCTCTCGTCCGCATGCCCCTCGGGATAACCAGCCACGCCAATGCTGAAGTAGTCTCCATGTCTCTTACGAATGTACGTGACCAAGTCAACAGCCCATACAAACTCGTCCTCGCCCGTGTCACGATTGCCCGAAGCGTCTTCCTCTCGATACTCTTCTCGCGGGGGATCACCTCTGAGGGCGAGAATATTCCTGATACCAAGCTCCTTGCACGCGTCGAGCGTATCATCCACCATGGATTTGCGCATGTTGGTACATGTCAGGTGGAGCACTGTGGGCATTCCCAACTGACGTTGACATATTTCGGCCAGTTCCAGGCTCTTGCTCGACGTTGAGCCACCAGCTCCCCATGTGACTGTTACATATAGAGGCTTGAGAGCCACTGCCATTCGAGAGAGCCGAGACTGTAAGTTGTTGAAGCCCGCTTGTGTCTTCGGTGGAAAGAACTCCAATGAGAAGTAGGTCTCGCCCGGAGGCACCGAAGCAATCAGCTCGGGTAGCCGCTCGTTCGCCATTGTGCTCGTGTACTCCAGGAATTGGGGTCTGTGTGAGGGTAAGAGAGCAGACAGGACGAGAACGAGAGTGCGTCTTGAAGGTCAAGATCGCAATGTCGAGCCCCGTTCACCGGCCCCACGTATAACTTTGTTGACAAAGATATCAAGCAGCGTCACTGGCGCCTTCCAACAAGACGGTAAAAGGTCATGTTGAGATAAGAGCAAGGTGTGGAGCTCTTAACCACCGCTTTATCACACCGATCACAATATGCAAGTGACACAAAATATCGAGAATGGGCATTATCCTAAAGTTCGCGTGCTCTTCCTACGCCCCGCATGCTTTTCACGCGATCGGCAAGCCCCACCATGCCGCCACAGGCGGCCTGTAGCAAGGATCCAATATCCTCTTCGAGACATATGATGAGAGGACGTCGCTTTGCTAATTTTGTCTCGGGGCCCTCTTTCTACTGTCGTCATGTCTGGAGTTTCTCCCCGTGGCGTGCTCGTCGTCGTAGAAGGGCTAGACCGTTCGGGCAAGTCAAGTCAATGTCAGTTGCTCGTCGACAGCCTGAACAAAGCTGGGAAGACGGCACGTTATGTCAAGTTTCCAGGTGAGCTAAGAAGTAGTCATTGTGTTCGTATCTCATAATCCTTCAGACAGGACAACAGCTACTGGGGTTATGATCAATAGCTACCTGACAAGCAACGCACAGCAAGACGATCATTCCATCCATTTGCTATTCTCCGCCAACCGATGGGAGGCCATCCAGGGTATCTTACAAGCCATCGCGGATGGGGTGACTGTCATCATTGACCGCTATTCGTTCTCTGGTGCAGTTTACTCAGCGGCAAAGGATAACCCGGATCTCAACTTGCAGTGGGGTAAGCTTCAACGCCATGCGAAACGTGCGAACTCAGCTGACTGTTGGTCACAGCTTGGGCATGCGAGGCAGGTTTACCAAAACCTGATCTTGTCCTCTTCCTCGACTTATCTTCTGAGGAGGCAGCGAGACGAGGAGGGTATGGCGAGGAACGCTACGAGACAGAAAATATGCAAACTAGAGTAAAGTCGCTGTTCGATGATCTTTTCACTCGTTTGCCAGAGCTGGAAGTCAAGCGAATCAATGCCGGACAAAGCATTGACGATGTTGCCGCGGACATCATGCAAGTCTTCGAGAAGGCTTCGAATTCAGACGTTCTGGCTTTACCATTGCAGAAGCTAGGATTTCTGCCCAGTTGATGATCGTTGCTCATCACTCTCGGTCATCATCACTGTCCTCAATGACGATTTCGAGTCTCTTGGTCTTACCCGGAGATGCATTTATCATCTTGGAGATCATGGTCGAGAAAGATTCCATGCTAGTAACCGATTGGGCGTCAATATCCGAGATGGGCCTATCTTCGCCAGAGTCTTCAGCATCGAAATCTTCTTCATCCTCGAGGTCGTCCTCAGATTCAGTCTCCAGTATCTCTGCTGCGGACACTGTTGACTTCATGCTCTTACTCAGGACCTTCTTGACCTCTTTCGGGCCACGAGTTCGTAGCGACATTTCTTTCATAAGATCGATCCAGGACAATGACGTTCGACAGGATGGGCAAGTGCCAGTCTTCGGAACGAGCAAACCAGGAGGCGAGGATTGAAGAAAGTGTTTTGATAAACAGGTGACATGAGAGAGACTTTGGCAATGCGATCCGGGACATATTGTGACCAGCTCGTGTTTCAAGTTCAAAGGCTTTGAGCAGACGGCACACTTCTGCTCATCACCTTCGTCGAGGATAAATTGGCCCTTCTGCAGCACTTGCGCCAACGAGGCATAGGTTGGATCAATGCCGTCAATACCACCTTTTCCAATAAGATCCATCTTTCTTCGTTTTGTGGGCCGTTGACCTGATGTGATCTCTTCCACTTCCTCTTCTGATCTGTGTGGCAGATCCAAAATCACTCTAATGCTGGGATGCAACTGCTCGTCAACCCTTTCGCACCAGGTTTGCCAAGCCTGAAAGACATCTTGGTTGAAGAAACGAATCTCGAGAGGCCATTGAGAAAAGTAAGGAGCTCGCAGCAGGAGGTGCAAATTGGAGAGCTTCTCAAGGAGTGAGGTGCTGGGTCGGCCAGGTTTGCGTCGTGTCTTGCCGGTCTTTGCGTTAGTCTTGGTCCGGGTAACGGCAAAAGAGATGCGCTTGTCGTTGTCGATGTGACGGCTGAGATGAGGGTTCTGCAGAGCCCATTCGAGCTGTAGGGCAGCAATGTTGGAGGGGAAACCAGACACAATGCAGACCATCTCCCATGGCCTCAGACTAGCACGTGATGTCCTGACCGCGCCACCTTTGACCCTCCCATTGTGCTGACCAAGACGACGAACTGGGTGCGGTGTTGAACCGATATATGAACTTGCTCTACCATATCAATGAGTCGATGCACTTTCAGATAAGGACGAGGTAAAGGCCAACTTACTTGCGGACTGTCGATTGCAACAAGTAAACACCGTAGAATGCCGGTATGGCCTTTAGATCCATTGGTTCAAGTCATTGACCAAAAGCCGATCCGGCGCGACGCTGGGCCAAAAAACGCCGATGATTGCCTCTGATGCTTTTGCTCCTCAAAGTTTGAAAGCGACGTACGCCACGAATACTACCATAGTCGTGATGACTGAGGTGAAAACAGCCTAGACCCCAACGCCGGCGGGGAATACAAAGTCGGTCGATGATTGGCTAGCGAGAGCCAGAACAGCTGCAGGCCGAGCTAGTGGGCATCAAACCTCAATACCAGACCTTTTCTGCCTCGCTTGTCTCTGTAGGTAGCCAACAAGTCTCGCTCTCTTGCCTGCAGAGGTGATAGTGTTACAAGACTGTGTAGCACACCGTAGAATGCTCACGCGGACTGCAATGATAGTTTGTAGGATGCTTGGGTGGGTCAAAATTCAGAGCGTAGGTGCCGATGGTTTGGGGCAAGTTATAGGAGCTTGGCCACGGAAGGAGCAAGTTGAATCGAGCGCCGCTGCCGCCCGCGTCTTCTGCCTGCGGACTTGTCTCCAAACCACCTGACCTTACATTTGCACCCCCATCTCACCTTTCTACACCCGCACGATCTTTCATCGACTCATACACTCTCATTCTCCTTCCTGCCGCATGTGATACACTGCGAGAGGTGCTGCGCTCGGCACGTGTATAGAGCAGCCCCTTCGCTCCTTTACATCCTTGTCGCAGCCATTGTATCACGAGGCTAGCACTCTATCCTAATCGTGCCGCTTCACTCCTGCGCGCGCTGACTTTTGCTGTACCACTTCCGCATCTACATACCGAGATCACCAATCTATCTTGTCAGGCCAGCCGAATGCACACTCTTTTGCATTTACTGCTTCATCTTACATCTATCTGAAATATGGTGGCTCCACCTTCAACAGGACCAGGTGGGAGTGCCTCTGGTCTGCCAGTAGGGAAGCCAAAGGATCCAGCCCGCATGTCTGCTCCTATCCCGCCGCAGATGCCTCCGCCTATCCCATACAGTGCCAGAAGGGCAGCCGCATTAGATTTGAAGACTGTCGAGCGCAAAGGTCATCCATCGTCCCGCCATTCTCCTGCCCGCTCAAGGCCGCATGGCTTGCCCGAAGCCCCTACCTTTAGACCGACCGACGTCGAATTCCGCGATCCTATGGCCTATCTACAAAGCATATACGAGCAAGCCAGTAAACATGGCATCTGCAAAATAATCCCACCAGAGGGCTGGAATCCTGACTTCGCAGTCGATACCGAGAGGTTCCACTTCCGTACACGGCGACAAACCATCAACGAGACGGATGGCGGCAATAGAACGAATTTACAATACCTCGATCAGTTGGCCAAATTCCATCGCCAATATGGTACTCAGCTCAATAGATTCCCCAGCGTCGACAAGCGTCCACTAGATCTCTACAAGCTGAAAAAAGCCGTTGAAGTCCGAGGGGGCTTTGAGAAAGTCTGCAAGGACAAGAAATGGGCTGAGATCGGACGAGATCTGGGATACAGTGGCAAGATCATGTCATCGCTATCGACATCGCTTAAGAACTCGTACCAGCGATGGCTTCATCCGTACGAGTCCTGGCTCACTGCTTCCAAAAATGGTGGTCAGCCTATGGATTTTGAATATCACACTGCAGCTTTCTCGCCTTCGGTATCACAACATCAATCGCCCATGCAACATCCTCACTCTCAATCAGCTCCCCCAACCGAGTCACCGGCTGTGCAGGCGTCCATCGCTTTGAATTCGTCCGTTCACCCACAAGATCAGAGCATGCAATCCTCGCAGATGCCACACCAACCTCCTCCACGACCAATATCGTCCTCGGGCTTCACTGCCGTCAATTCTGGAGGCTTTCCTGCCGTTAATCAACCTGGAGGATTTGTTGCTGTCAATCAGCAGCCACCGCCACCAATCAAGAGCGAAGCAGGTACGTCAATGCCGGCTGCTCCGGTCTACGGCAACGGCTTCCAGGCCGTGAACGGTGCACCAACCCCTTATCGGATGCCTGACGGTAGTCCGATAGCTAATGGCGTTTCGAATCCGCTGAAGCGTACCATGAGCCACGAGAGTCTGAACGGAGAGTCTGGCTCTGATGGTCTGGACGAACAGGGTCGTCGAAGCAAGCGTCCAAGGAAAGAAGGCGGACCTATTCCCGGCAACCACATTCCTGCCATGCGTCCATCTACGCCTCAGACAAAGGCAAGATCAACATCCCGTAAGAACGGCGACAAATGCGAACGGTGCGGCAAGTCGGAAGATCAATCCAATATCATGGTTTGTGAAAGCTGTGAGCTTGGCTACCATCGCTACTGCGTCGATCCGCCTTTACCGACAATGCCAGACTTCGAATGGAACTGTTCCAAGTGTCTCATTGGTTCCAACGACTATGGCTTCGAAGAAGGTGGTGTGTACTCACTTAAGGTATTCCAAGAGAAAGCCAATAACTTCAAAGAGCACTACTTTGCCACCAGAATGCCATTCGATCCTGTAACAGGGACCAACAGACGTCCAAGCGAGGACGATGTTGAGCGGGAATTCTGGCGCCTGGTGGAAGATATCACCGAGTCGGTCGAGGTTGAGTATGGTGCAGACATCCATTCGACGACTCACGGCAGCGGCTTCCCTACCGTCGAGAAGAATCCGCTCAATCCATACTCGAGAGATCCTTGGAACCTCAACGTCATGCCGTTTCTGGAGGAGTCTCTCTTCCGTCACATTAAGGGTGATATCTCCGGCATGACTGTTCCCTGGCTCTATGTGGGCATGTGCTTTTCAACGTTCTGTTGGCACAATGAGGATCATTATGCATACTCTGCCAACTACCAACATTTTGGCGCCACCAAGACGTGGTATGGCATTCCAGGAAAAGACGCGCATGCCTTTGAAGCTGCAATGCGTAAAGCAGTACCAGAGCTGTTTGAGAGCCAGCCAGATCTGTTGTTCCAATTGGTAACCATTCTGCCCCCAGATCAACTGCGAAAGGCTGGTGTTGAGGTCTACGTGTTGGACCAGAGGGCGGGTGAATTCGTCATTACCTTCCCACAGGCCTACCATGCAGGCTTCAACCACGGTTTCAACTTCAACGAGGCAGTCAACTTCGCACCGGCTGACTGGGAACCCTTCGGTGAAGCTGGCGTACAGCGATTGCGCGAATTTCGAAAGCAGCCATGCTTCTCCCATGATGAGCTGCTATTTACCGCCGCAGGAGCAGATACAAGCATCAAAACAGCCAGGTGGCTGGCACCTGCTCTTCTGCGATCACGAGATCGAGAGCTTGCAGAACGAGATTCCTTTGTCGAGAAGCACAAAGCGCTTCATCCTCATCCCGACTGCGCATACGATACATTGGCACCCGAGCCGCCGTCAGAATGCGGCTTGATCATCACAGTCGAGGACAAGGAGCTTCAGGAGGAAGAGTACCAATGCCACTACTGCAAAGCATACACCTTTTTGTCACAATTCAGGTGTCACAGCAGTGGCAAAGTCAGCTGTCTGTTGCATCCTGAGGTTATGGACTGCTGCGGCGAACCGCCCGAGCAGCGCCTTAGGGGCTCGACTCACAGTTTAGTCGTACGATTGGCCAATTCAGAGCTTGAGGACCTTGTACAAAAGGTCTCGGACAAAGCTGGTGTGCCCGAAGCCTGGGAAACCAGGCTCGAAAATCTACTCGAAGACGAGCCCCTACCACCATTGCGAACCCTGCAAACGCTACTTTCCGAGGGCGAGAAGATTCCCTTCCCTCTAGCAGGCCTAGACGATCTCAGCGAGTTTGTCAAAGAATGCAATGCTTGGGTCGATGAAGCCAATTTATACACAACTCGAGGGAGTAGACAGAATAGGCGCAAGAGTGAGAAGGCGATGCGACGATCGTCCGCCAAAGGCAAAGACGGCGATAAAGACGACAGTCAGCTCACTCTGGAGCGTATGAAGAAGCTGATTGAGGATGGCCAGAAATTGGGCTTCTCCGCGCCTCAACTGGACTTGCTTATCGAGAAGCTCAGAACTATGGATGACTGGCGACTCAAAGCGAAGCCACTGTGCTCAGGCAGGTCACAAGCCAGCCTTGAGGAGCTTGCAGCGATGCTCGAAGAGGGCCGAGGTTTCATGGCAGCAATGCCCGAGTTGACGGGTCTCGAAAAGCTTCACAATCGCCAACGATGGTACGAACAGGTTGACACTATACGCCGAGATATGTCGAATCAAACCTTGGATGAGTGCAAGAGCATTCTCGAGCAGGCGAACGAACTCGACATTGATCCTCGTGCGCACGATATCTGCTTCATGACAGATATTGTACGGCAAGGTGATTTCTGGGAGACCAAAGCCAAAGAGGTCATGTCAGCTGAAGATGTGCACTATCCACAACTCGAGTCGCTTCATACGCAGGTGCAGAATCACACTTTTCCGGTCAACAAAGACACTCTCGCGCAAATGGATGCGATCTTGGCCAAGAATCGTGAGGCCAAACGTCAAATTATCACTCTTGTTGAGCGAAGCCATGATCCAGACTTCCGCAAGCGACCCTTCTACGTCCATGTGCGAGACGTTGTCAAAGGCTTAGAGGATCTCAATGGTAAGCCTCATGGAACAGCTGATCTGGAGAAGGAGCTACGACGGCATGAAGACTGGATGAGGAAGGGCAAGAAGCTATTTGGCAAAGCCAACGCACCTCTTCATATTCTTGAGCAGCACATGAAGTTCGTGGAGGAGAAGAACAGCTTTTGTTTCGACCTGAACGACACCTTTCGGCCACCCGTCGAGCCTGCCTCCCGCGAAGCTAGCCCTGCCGAAGGGCAAGAAAAGGGGCATCTAGGAGACGATGAAAAGCCTGTGTTCTGCATCTGCCGCCAGCCGGAAGCCGGCCTTATGATTGAATGCGAAATATGTCACGACTGGTTAGTCAGATTGTCGTCGTAATACTGTCACAGATGCTAAATTTTGTTAGGTACCACGCCAAGTGTCTGAAGTTGGCACGTGGTAAAGTCAAGGAGACTGAGATGTTCACTTGCCCAATCTGTGACTGGCGAGTCAAGATTCCCCGCGATGCTGCACGTCCCAAGCTGGAAGATCTGCAAGCATGGCAAGACGAATTGGCCGAGCTGCCGTTCCAGCCAGAGGAAGAAGAGCTCCTTCGGCGGATTGTGGACAAAGCACAAGGGTTCCGGGACTTCCTTGGCAACTACACCAACGGCACCCAGATTTGCCGGACTATTGAGGAGATGCCAGAAATGCTCTTTTATCTGCGCAAAATTGAGGGCGCGGAGGTGCTTCTAGCATACGAAACAAATCTGTTCAGGCAGGAGCTGCACAAATGGCAGCCTATTGCACCCGAGCCACCGCCAATCCTCAATGCCAGCTTGTCGACACGAAAGCCACGACCGACCAAGCAGCAGAAGCTGATGAAGGAGCTCGGCGTCGAGAAACCTGAGGACTTGCCTCCCCATTTGCGCACCAAAACTTACACGCGGCGTAAGACTCAAGACGCATTCGCTCCACCCGGAACACTGATGCCCAAGCCTTCGACACAATCCCCGGCGCCTGGATCGGCCTCTAGTCCCGGACCGTCTCAACAAGGCCAAGGCAGATCAGCAACACCTGCTGGCATGCCTCGAACAGCATCAACTGGCAATGTGCCAACCAACGGCGCCTTCGGTGCTGGAGTGATAGGTGGTACGAACCCAGACACTTCGTTTGATAACGACTACGCGTCTGGTGCTCCCGAACCTTTCGCTGCGAATCCGCCATCCCCAATGTTTAGCCCTACCCAAGAGGCACGCCCTATCATGACGGGTGGCTTGGCAGAGGGACGCAGCAATGATGGTGGCCACGATCCATCCTTTCCTACCTTCAGACCAAGCCTAGGCCTGGATGGAGATGATGACATTCGGAACGGTCTCGCAAATGCGGAAAATCCTGGTGTGGGAGCCAGTCCAGGGCCACCACCACCTGCCAGCGAATATGATAGTATGTTCATGGAGATGACGGATCCTGACCGCGAGGTTGATGCGGAGGTCACTAACGCTAACGAACCTGTTCCAAATCTTGAACATGAGGCTAGCCACGCAAGTGAGGCACTAGAGATGATGACGAGCAATGGAGGCGGTGACGAAGATGTGGGTTTGGAGGATGATGAGAGTGTCGAGAAGCAATTCGATGACTTCTTGAGCGGCGCTGGTGGAGAACAAGAATAGGTCGAGCGAGAGGGACATCACGGTGGTCTTTGTGAGCTTCGTTATTGATACCCAACATTGATGCATGGCCCGGCGTCGGAGACGAATTTGGTCATGCTGGGCTTATGCACATGGTTTGCACGTCAGAACGATTCGAGTTCGTCTTATCGCTCTAATGGAGGTAATTGTCTGCTGCCTGCGATCCATAGAGGCTCAGGCATTCCGCTTCTACGTAAAGGGATGACGCAGCAGTTTTGGTGGTCTGTCTGAGACAAGTCCTAGAATGATCACCAACTCGAATGAATCTTACCATATGAGCAAGCCTTGGTGTTTTGTACTCGGTGAGCCCTAGCAAGAGCATGGTGCGGATTGTCGTGGTTCTGAAGACTTGAGATAGGCTCTTGTCACCATGGGACCTTTCTTTTAGTCCGACCACTTTCAGCACGAGGTCAGCAGCGACCACAATATCAAGATTGCTTCCATAGCACGGGGATTTCTGCTTGGTATCACAATACTAACGAGCGCCAGAGGAGCGGAACAGGCTGTCAAGGTATGGCGCCGCCACCTCGGAGGGAACCTAACGAGGATGGCAGTACGGTAAGGTTGAAGCCTTGGAGCGTTACTGGAGCGGAAGCGTGAACTCGACAGAACGTAACGGAGCATAGCAGCATCAGAAGATGGCATAGACGACCATGGACCAAGGCAGTTAGACATGATACTAGGAGACGCAGGTCATGGGATCTACAACAGGCGTTGGAGATAGGATCATCACACAGTAGACCTGTACAGACGACTGTCGCGACAGCCAATAAGTAGTGAAAGCCTCTTGTTATCTATATCCTCGCCTCACCCGAGAGCCGGCGTCTCTCACCTTCAATTATACCATCCCGCTCCCGCCGCCACACCTGCTCAACCACACTCTCGGGCCCCTCCTCACCTAGCACATCATCAAGATACGCCATAACCGCAGCCCTCATAGCCACCATCCTCGCGTGCCTTCTCTTGACATCATCGCCACCAAGATCATGCAACCCATCCACCACGACCTGACTCGCCCTGTGCAACCTCCCAGCTCCCTCCTCCACCGCGGCCTTCCACCTTCCCAACAACGCCGCCTTATCCACGTGACCCGGCACATGCTCATCCGCGCCACTAACCAGCACCAACATCTCCCTCTCCTCCTGCCCGCGCCCCATCCGCCTCAGCACTCCATCCCCCTTCCCGACAACCCCAAAAGTCTCCCTCAACCTCCCCTCCGCGGCATCACTACTGAAAAGATCATCCTCCCCCGGTCTCTCAGGACTCCCAGGGCTCGCCAAGCTCAAGAACCTCTCCACGCTCAAGGGCACGGGCCCAAACAGCGGGATCGTCGCATGCATAGGCAGCAGCGTCGTGCGGCGCTCACTCTCCTCGGTGCGGTCCGCGAAACGCAAACATTTGGCCCAGCGCGCAGTGTGTTCGGGGGAGGCGTCGGGTCCCGGCATGGCGCCCTCGCGATCCGAGACGGGGGCTTGCAGGATGACGCCGTCGATGCGCGGGCGGTCGTGCAGGGGGCCGGTGGTTTTGGTTTCGAGGTAGAGGTACGAGAGCAGGTCCTGGCAGCCGGTGCTGTGGCCCATGAGGACCACCTTGCCGCCACCGCCGGCGGCGGCAGCAGCAGCAGCAGCAGCAGCAGCAGCAGCAGCAGCAGCAGCAGCGGCACCTGTTGCTGCTGTGCCGTTCAAAAGTCCCTCCCCCAGCCGCTGCTCTACTGCCAGTGCCGCCACCGGCACAAAGCGTCTCCCGCACAAACTTCACAGCAACGCACAGCTCCTGGACGTCCTTGGCGAGCGAACTGATGCCGAAGCCGCGCATGGCCGACGAGAGCTGTACGTGGCAGACGCGCCAGCGGGACGAGTCGCGGTACAGGCTTGCCAGGTCGCACGTGTAGGGTGGGGTGAGGAAGTTGTCGAACATGCCGCCGACGAAGATCAGGGTGTTACGAGGCGCCAGCTGCTGCGATGTTGCTGAGGGTGATGCTGACGCTGCTGCTGGGTTGGTGTTCAGGTGCTCGAAGAGCAGCAGCGAGCGCGTTGGGTGGTATGTGTGTAGGGTGCCTTGCATGCTGGGCAGGTCTTGTAGTTGGGAGGACTGTAGGATGTTGAGTGCTGGGCTTGGCACTGTGGTGGAAGGAGTGGCTCAGATGACAGTCTATTGCTGAGGATTGCGCCGATGATGGGCTACGTGATCGAGGTTGGGGTTGGAGTAGATGGCGATAGATATTAGTACCAGAGATAGGCCTTGTTAGCGTTGCTCCCAGCGCATCACGTTGCCAGAAACCATGTCAGACGCGATGTCGGCAGGGATCTGTGCAATCTGGATCTTTAGTATGTGCTGGCTTGGCCGGCTCGGAAAGACATGGAGATAGATGCCCCTCATTTGGATCAAGGACGCGGGCCAGAAGGGTGGTGTGGAAAAAGTGTCGCCTGATACTTGCGTGTCATTCAACCTGTCATTTAATCTTCGCGTTTTCGCACAAGGAAATGTCCTCGGCCTCACCGTCTCCTCGCAATGGTGGAACTTGCTACCTGAGCAGTGTCTTGAATGCGCGGGCTGCCGCGTTATGTGTAAAATTTTATTTTCGTTTTGAATGAGCCCTCCCTCATACGACACGGGATGCTGCAAAATGCGCAGGATCCCTCGAAAACCTGTGAACGCCAACAAACCCAACAACCGGTTGGCCCTCATTTGTTCCATCGCTGATCATCATGTACACTGCATGTCTTCCTATGACCTTAATCGTAAAGTCATTTTCGTCGTTGGAATCTTCAATTCCGAGCTCAGTTCCTCATGCCATTCACCTTGAAGTCCTCGATCTTGGCTTGATCCTCTGTCACAAGGGATTGGTAGTACGCCTCGGCGAATTTATGTGCCGATGATTCCGGCTTCGGCGCAAAAGGGCTGCGGTAAACACTTGCACTGGACTCATGCTTCTTGATGTAGTAGTTCGCGATCTTGCCCCAGAAGCCGCCTTTTTCCTCGTACTCAACCCTCCATTCAACCAACTGCTGCGGAAGAGCCTTGTCATTTATGGGATAGCCACTAGGTGACACCGGACGAGGTTGAAGACCTGCGATTAATTGAGGGAACGGTTCGGCCATTGGTGGCTGAGGTGCAGGTGGCGGTGCGTTAGGCTGCGCAATGGGTGTAGGTCCATTTCTGTAAAGCGGGTCGTACATAGACCGCCGCGGAACATAGCTGCTCATGGCTCCCATCATGTTGCTTGTGAATGTTGGCTTCTCGAGCATTCCGGCCGAGACAGTCCTGTGTAGCTGCGGTTGCATTGGCGGACCCATCGCTCCTGGTAGCATAGAAATGCTGTGACTACCCGATCGCCTGCCAGCACGTGACCCTGGAGGGCTGATCTGAGTAGCATTGGGGTTGATGAACTGAGGCGGATTCTGCGGGTCAGGTCCATGCAATGACGACGAGCTGGACGGGCGGAATGAATCACCCTGTGCGACAGGACTGGCCATTTGGTAGGAACTGCCAGGCCGACTTCCCGGCGGTGAATTCTTCTCGGCCTCTTTCTGTGCCTTGATCTGACCAGGACTCTTGAAGGGATAGGCGGGGTTGGAGATCCTCCGCTGTCGCTCAACTGCTGCCGATGAAGGTGCAGGTGGTTGATTGGCAGCAGCACGAATTCTTTCGATACGTGCTGTCTCGACCCTGATCCGTTCGGTATCGTTGTGGTGGCCAACGGATGCCGAACGATGGTGAGAGTTGTACGGAAATTGTGTCTGAGATTGCTCCATATAGCCCGGGAACTGACTGAGCGCTGGGAACGGCCCTAAATCAGGCAACGGAGACACATTGTGTCCCGCGGCTGGCTGAATATGTGGTGACATTGGTGTCATCCAATTTTGACTGAATGTCGGCTCCTGTGATCGGCCCTGATTGAAGGCGTTCTGGTATGCAGGATATTGGCTTGGATACTGGCTCTGAGACCATTGGTCCATACTGCGCGAGCGTTGAGATGCATCCAGCTGAAACTGCCTCTGCCTCTCAGCCGCTGCTTGATCGATGCCAATGTTCCCTTTAGCGCCGCCTGACAGACGTTCTTGCATGTCCAATTGCTGGGCTTTGGCCTGTTGCCTCTGAAGAATCCGCGCTTGCTCATTCGCTTTCGCCTCAGCCCCTGTAATTAGATCCCGATACTGCGCGCCTTTTCGCTGTGTCGACTTGTCTTGATATGCAGAGCTTGACATGGGAGTTTGTTTACCCAAGGACGAAGTGGTTGGATTTACCTGCGTCAATGCAGGAGAACGCTTGGTGTAGGCCTGCTGAGGCCCGACATTGATGATCGGGAAACTAGCAGCTAGGGACTGTCGTCTTGGTTGAGAGGGCGGTGCCATGATCGAGCGAGCAGGTTCTACCGTATCAAGGAAGACAGAGGCAGCGTCATGCACACGGCTAGCGGCGTCCGCAGTGTATTGGGCTTTCGATTCTGTTGACAGCTCGCCCAGATAAATCCAAAGCTGCTTCGGCTTGGACAGATCGACCTTCTTCTGTAGCTTGTTGACTGGAGGAACGGCGGAATTGAATTCGGCCCATTCCGTTTTCGGCTCTTCGGTGAACGTGTCGCCTTCGCTGGGTTTGCGCTCGGAGTCTGGAAACTGGGCACTCTTGCCCTGCAATTCTGCTGGAAGATCTTTGGCGTTTGCCGATGGCTTCTGCAAGCACGACGTGGCGCTATCAACGAACAGGATCCAGGATGCGTCAATCTCTTTCACAACTTTGAGATCAGGAAGGACCTTAACGACAGCTGAATCCTGCTCAAGATCGTAATCTGCTGCGATAAGGCCTGCCTCAATCTCGTCGGCATGCGTTGCCTGAAACTGGATTATATCTCCAGCTTTCAGTTTGCTCAAGTACTTCAGGAACTCCCGATTGTTCCAGCAACTGTTCAGGTGGTTGGTAGTCGACAACTCGCTCGTAATTCGTGTGCGCTTCACAGAGCGATGTAGACGACAACGCCAGTCGAACCCGATGTCTCGATACTCGACGCCCTCATGCCAGACGGCAATCTCGCCCTTGTCGACCTGAACGCCAGCTTGCATAGCACACGTCGCGTGATAGGATTTGGTACATTTGGCTGAAGAGCACTGAAAGCAGGAGCCCTTCTTCTGGCGACACTCGTAACACTTGAGCTCCAGACGAGCCTTGCTGATGTTTTCGACGTTGGCCACAATGTCCTTGCCGTCGACAGTAGCAATATATGTCTCTGGAGTGTACATTGCGCAAGTTCGATGGGCTTTCTGGCCGTGAGATGTCGGCAAGAGCTCCTCCCAGGAAAAGTCGTTGGGACAAAGGCAACAGGGCTGATTTCTGCTGACTTTCCGTATCTTGATGATTTTCCTGGCCTTCTTGTTGGGTCCCAAATCTTTCGCTGGGCGTTTGCGCTTCGTTGCAACCTTGATCTTACCCCGATCACTGCTCGGTGGGGTTGGGAGGTCTGTAGGCTCTTCCTCATCTTCATCGTCGGTGACTTCAACCTCTTCGAACTCAGGGGTTGGTTCGCCGTTCATCTTGCGAACGAACCAATCAACATCGATAAAGACGCTGTCGGCTTCACACTGGCACTTTCTGGCCGTCTTGCCATACTGCAGCCAGTTGGGGATCGCAAAATTGACAGACTCGGCACAGTTGTACCCGAGATTGTATCCAGAGTGGTATCCTATTGGAAAGGTAATGACGAATTGGCCTTCGCGGTGGACAATTTTGTTGACGGTAACCCCAAATTTGGACTTGAGGATCGAAGGCGATACCAAATAGGTCTTGTGTCGCAAAAATTGGTCACAGGTCTTCGCATCCTCGGTCCAGATGGATTTCATGGCAGCTTCAAACTTGGGGGCGTCCTTCTGAGAAATGCTATACCACTGCTTAGGGGCTCCAAAATGGATGTAGTTGATGCTGTAGAGATCCACATCCTCGAGATGCCAGGCAAAAGTCGCCCGCCACATGCCTAAATAGAGATAGGCAGTATTGACGCCAGGAATGGGTTGGCCGAGTAAGTCGAGCAGATTAGGCAGTTTCGCAACGTTCCACTCCTTGGTATCGTCGTCGAACAAGGAGCCAACCATATCCGCGCCGTACATAGGATTGCTGAAGTTTAGAGATTTCCAGTACTTGTCTTCAAGTTCTTCGCATCGTTCGGCAGTCCACTGGTCATTGTCATAGACACGGTAATCAAAATCTCGGAAAGACTCCTCGTCGACTTCGTCAGCGGACACGCCTTGATTGCGCAACCGCCTAGCAGCCACGGTGGTCTCAGAGCCCTTTGCTGAATTTTCTTTCTTGACGGCGCTCTTGGGAGGTCTGCCTCGAGGTTTCGAGCCAGCCTTGGATCCACGTTTGCCTCTGGCAGTTGTGGAATCCGTAGCGTGATCGGCCTCCTCTTCATCACCATTGACTGAAGGCGTAGGTTTGACGTCGGGACTTGTGGGGGTCGGAGGGGCGTTGATGTTAGAGTCGTTTTCCACCGGTTCCTCTTTGATGAGGGTAGTCTTGGGCGGTCGACCGGGCTTTCGCTTGGTTCCGGGAGGAGCGGGCGAGGACTCGGCTTTCTTTCTTTGCGATCCACGGCCAAGAAGCTTGTCAGCGTTCATACGCTTCTCACCGCGTCTGGCAGGTGGCTGGTTCTCGGTTGCCTCGCAGGTGGCTCGCCACTGAGGCAAGTTGTAAGATCGCATCTTCTCCATATTGCGCTGCGTATAAATGCCTTGAGCACCGTGGAATTCTTGAGTGATCGGATTCTTGATCTTGACAGTCTTGACCACTTCGTCCAGAGCCTTGCGAGCGCGTTTCCTGTACCTCTGTCAACACATGTGCTTGAGCTTGGGCAACCAGAGCTTACCATTCCTCGGGCGGGTCAATGAGGACAATACCGGACTGCATGCCGTACGGATCAACGCCTTGAACATACTTCTCGAAGTCTTTGAACTCATCCATAGTCTGCACGTGTTATCAGCATATGTCCGGCTGCCGTTCTGGAGATCAGCAGGGTGGAGTGACATACCGGCTGGAAGACGGGAATGTTATTTTCATAGTGATGAGGTTTGACCTCGGTGTGTTGCTCGGCCTCTGCACCGGCGCGAGCTGCTTCTTCGAATCTCATACGGTTCTCTTCGTCAAGTATGTCGTCGCCGAGTTCGGAGAGGGAGGAACTCGACGCTGCGTCATCGGACTCCTTGTGACTAGCCTCGTCGGTGGTAGGAGGTGTATGGACTTGAGGAGGGAGAAGGTGTTCAGGCGCCATTGTCTCGCTATCAACAGCAGCAGTACAAACCCGGGCGCTGGGTGGCATGGTAGCGGCTGCCATGGCCGGTGTACGGAGGCGCAGAGAAGGCCGTTCAGGGTTTGGAACGAGAGTAGGGAGGGGGAGCAAGGGTCATAAGGAAACTGTAGCTCAAAATGAGCGACAGCGTCCTCGATTGAATGCGTGCGCCCCAGATACACGAGTTAACAGTCGAAGACAGGAGGGACGTCACGGCTCGAGCGCTCAGGGTGGTGACTGCCCACCAGCGGGTTGAGGCGTCGGTCGGTTTTCGCTACCTAGCGTGGCTTGGCACCCTAAATAGGGTTAGGGCTATCACTGACTTTTGTCCCAGCAGTTTTCCAGATAGGACGAGATAGAATTTGTTTTACATGCTACGGTGTTCATAAAGAGGAAACCTGTCCTCAGTCTGTTTGCCTGAATACACCCTACGTGAGATAAAATCTGCCCAGACATGCCCGCCCACCTGCGGTCGGAACGAGTCGTGGAAGATCCTCGCTAGCGGCTATGCAAGTCATTGCTGCAAGGCACCATAGCCACTGGTGCACAGATCAACCCCCTCCAGATTGCTCAGACCCCCACAACGGCCCTGCAAATCCTCCGAAAGGTTCTCGCCAGCTCGGCAACGATCAGTACTCTGTCAAAGCGAGTTTCTTGCCAACTGCCTTGCGCCTCTGCGCAATCTGCTCTGCTGGCTGAGGTTCATGCTTCTTCTTGAGAGCTTGTAGCAGCATCCCCGCATCGAAGAAGCCATCTGCAAAACAAGGTTAGCATTGCACCAAAAATTTCGAGACCTTGACTCACATCCGCCCAATCCATCATCTTCGACTTCGTTCGTGTCGATGCTTGTTGGCGTCTGAATCCCACGTGATTCTGCATCCGCCTTTTGTGTGTCTGTCTTGATTACTCGCCCACGGGACTTGAGCCTACCATCGCTGCCCATCTTCTCCTCTGCTTCTCTCGCCCTGGATACCTTACTAGCATGTGCATCTTTGCCCTTGGTTGACTTGAGGAGACGCCGGATTTCGTTGAGATAGCTCTCGATGCTGTCAACGAATCTTTGAGTCTGTCTGTGCTTGCTACTGGCACAGATGGAAATTGAGTCATCCTTGATAATGTAGCCAATACCAAATCCATCGGCGGATACTGGTCCAAATCCGAAATGACGAAGAGACGGGTTACCGCAGTTGGACGTACTCAGCACAGTGTTGTTGATCTTTTCCCAACCGGCATCAGTGAAGAGCGCGGGCATCTGATGTAGAGATGGCGCGGGCGATCGACTCAAACTTGCATCAGTGGGAGCTCTGGACCGAGTTGCGGACTCCTTCTCTTCAAGACGCTTCGGGCTGCCCATGTCACTCGTGTCGGCTGGGCTAGAGTAGCCATTGGAGCTGAAACCTGTGCTGCTCGCAGCTTCTGCACCCTCTTCATTCACCTTGCGCTGCCATACGCAATAAAGCGCGTACATGTGGCGATCAAATCCCTGCGCTTTGCTGCATTCTTTGGTGACGGTGACATGCTTCTGGCATGATGCTCGCAGGGTATCGATCTTCTGCTGGGGCGATTTGTCTGCCCAGAATGTCTTGACAAAATCGGCACTTTCCGGAGTGACAGATCTTATGGCCTCCGTACGTCCGTGAAGGAAGATCTTGGTCATCGCGGGCTCGTATGTGTTCTCGATTCGACCCCACAAGCCGTAGTAAGCGGCCTGGAACGCCATTTGCACGAAAGCATCAGGTGAGAAACCCATGGACGTAATGAAATTCTTGCCGTACGTCTTGAATTCCAGTGTGCGGAACTCATTCTGGTTGATCAAATCAGCCAGTCGTGTTTCTGCAAATCGCAAGGCAATCTGGAGTTCGGGGATCATATCCCATTCCAGCTTGTGGGGAGTTGTGCTCACATCTCCGAAGCTTTCGGGGTCTCTCTTGGATGGATCCGCACTGTTGGTTGCCCACAGAGTTGGTGCTAGACCGTTGATAGACCTCGCAAATCGAAGGATAGTGTCGGTATACACATCGCTAGCAAACCGCAGGACCGTATGGCCGTCCACACCTGTATGCTCGAAATTGATACCCGCGCTACCGTTCTTACAAACGATAATCTGCAGCTTGTCGTACCACCTGTTAGTACAGGTTCCCACCTGCACGCCTTTGACCACTTCATTCGTGCCGCAGAGCATGTTGCCGCAAAGTTCAGATACATCAGCTGGCTCAGTGTAGTCGAGACATACAACGAACAGTGCAGAATCGACTATACTTAAGCACTCAGCATTGGTTGAGCCTTCTTCGCGGGTGAGGACATCACGTAAGCCGGACCAGATCTTTCGATTCTCCGTACTCAACACACCAATGGCGCCCTTGGCAGCTTCCTGAATCGGTGTCTGCTCAGCATCATCAACAATAGACTGTAGGTTCAAGGCGACATCCTTCTCGGTCATGATGAGATCGTTATTCATATCCAGTACATCGAACCAGTAGAACTGTCCCTTGCACATGACAACAACGTGCTTGGAGTCGGAGTCTTGTCCGATGATACAGCCGTTGTCTGTAGGAACACGCGCGGTGCCAAACATTCTCGAGTATTGAAACATGTCCAAAGGCGTTCCTCTGAGAGTGTCGGGTGGTAACTCTTCCTTTCGAACTGCTCTTACGAAGCAGAGAGATGATATGACCAAGGAGGCTGCACGATTGACTTGGTTGTTCCTGGCTGGCGTGGGGTCATCCTCGAGAAGGAAGAAAGGGTTGAGATTGAGGACAACCGGATTGTCGTAGTTCAAGTAGGAGTCATACCAGAACTGTTCAAGATAGCTTGTCTTGTCTGAAGCATATTTCTTCAATTTGTCCTGCAGGTCCTTGCCGTCATGCTGCACAAAGTCACGGACTGCGGCTTTCGTTTCTTCATGCTCTCTGGAAGACTGTAGAGGTGCCAGCGCTTCCAGGTACTTTTTGCCGCTCGAGTCCAGGTCTGGGATTGGGAGCTTGGGAAGCTTGTCTTGTGCGGCGAAGGTGATACCCGGCTTGACTGACTCTTTCTTGACAGTAAATGGATCTTTCTCTTCCTTGGTGAAGGCATCGGTGGCCTCTTTCGCAGCGGCCAGCGACCGTTCGCTGTCCGGAGGGCTCATGTTGTCGGGATGGTTTGAGGCTTTGATCGTTTCGTCAATAGACCCTGGCCGTCTGAATGCTCGTTGTCCTGTAGTAGCCGACGGCATGGTCAATATCTGAATCATGCGTACAAGACGGCAACGAGAGTGCTAACGTTGAGAAGGCGCAGGGCAGAACGGTAAAAGTAATGGCAATCCTGCAGGTAATAGGACGGCATTTGGTACCTCAATGAGCAATTAGGGAAAGCAAAGGAAATGTGCACATGGTATAGCAGGTCAGTACTCAGACGTGGTATCTCGACACGGCATTTAGTCCAAGATGGTCCAAGGGAAAGCCGTGCGTCGCGTGGATAAATGCACTCGCGCAGAGGAGGGGTTACGTCAGGGCAGACGGAAGATAGAGCCAGAGCTCAGCATGTGCAGACTGGGGAAGCGTCACCAGACGTGGGGTGGAGGTCGGGAGAATGGGGCTCGATCATCCTCGGCCACAGCGTGTTCCACATGGAAATGAGCTGAAGCGTGCTGCGAGCACGGCAGACGTAGGAACGTGAGGCGAGAACCGTGAGGCATGGCAAAGTTCGGGGGAAAGGAGAAACGAAGAAGACTTGGAAGACTCACTTGGATCGGACGAGAAGAAGCTGATGCTTGAGAAGTGGACCGGCGTCAAAGTCCGCGCTTACAGCTGCCGGAGCGAAGAGCGACCTGCAGATAATTGCAACCCAAAGACCAACAATCCAAATTTGACCTCTCGGATGAATGTACAGAGTTATAAGTGTCTATACAGAAGAGCAGCGGCAATGCGGGACTCAGTCCAATGTTATAGTCGGTGTGCTTGCAAGTTCGCTCACGAGCTCACCATCAGTCCATGTGACGTAGCCTCGAGTTCATTTGCGTGTCTTGGTAGGCGGAGAACGGAGAAGAAGATCCCATCTTTCCATGCCTAGACCGCCCCCGACTCGGCATTCGTCGCCCACGGGGCTGCGGAGTTGCTTGCCGAAGGGGAAAAGGGATAGGCGGTATTTGAATTATGATGTTCATCGATTCCATCACCCGGCATATCTTGAGTACTGCCTGAAACCCATCAACCACGGGGTGGTCCTTGTTCTCTCATGTACAGCTCATCTTCGTTGAGAATCCACCCATCTCTCCATACTGCAGTGCCCACCCTGAAGGTGTCGGTCGCGTGCGTCGTCTCACAAGGTAATCATGTCCTCGCCGTTGGGTTGGAGCACGTTGTCGGTATACAGGTCTGCGAGATTACCTGTAGCTTTGCATCAGTCTCAGGCTCTTGTCCGGCGAGTGATAGCTTACCAGCAGGCCTGTAGTTGCAGACGGTGAAGTGCGGGCTGATATTGTTGCCTGTGTTGGCCAGACCGCCGGGGCAGTGGACGGTAGCACAACCGACCTGTGAAGTATTCTTCCACACGATCTGGGAAAAATGTCCCCACTTCTCGAACAGTTCCATGTTCGGCTCACTGCCATATCCAGGATACAGGTCGAACTCACCGTTGTACATATAGTTGGTAATCATGGCAGCACCACGAGAGGGAATGATACCAGCACCGATGTTCTGTCCATATCCACCGCCGCCGGTCTTTGTGTCGTGAGCGTATACGCAAGATTCGCCAATCTTCTGAGCGATGTCCGCAAGCTCATCGGACCAGGTCAGAGCCGTAGCGGAGTGGTTGCGACGATGGCTGTTGTGGGCATCAATCATGTTCTTGGCATAGTCGGACGGGATATAGCTACTGTCGGATGAGGCAGATTCGCTCGGCTTGCTTGAGGTTGCCACGGCAGAATGGGCAGCTTGTCGGTCATGTCGCGCGGCTGTGGGCTCTGCGAAAAGGGTTGTGAAGACGGTGGTGTAGACGTTTTCGGCAACCATGTCGGTCTTGATAGCACGCTCGTTGAAAGAGTTGGTGAGTACGCCAATGATGGCCGAAGAGATTATGAGGAAGATTGCGAACTTCATTGTGTGAGTCGAGTATGAGGATCAACTGATGGTGCGGCTCTTATGTCGGCAGATTCGTTCGACGAAGTCTTGCTAGGTGACAACAACTGTTGTCCGGACAGATTCGGCCGCAACGTGACACTAATATCGGTCTATGCCACTGGGCTGACTATAGATTGGTGTCGATTCGGCCGCGGTTTAGAGGATGTTAACAGTCAATGTGGTAAAGGAGTGATGCAGTTGGCACCTCAAATGAGTGAAGGGCGTGAAACTGGATGGCGCTGGCCTACGGATGGACTAATCTCAGGGGTACTATCAACCGAGCAGTGAGCAAAATCCTTTTTCGTGTCGTGAGGCTGATCAACGGTTACTAGGTGGTGGTGGTGGAGGGGTCTCTTGCCAGTCACTGTGGCTGCCGTCTGCGCCGCCCGAAAAGACGATTCCTAGTAGCTGACCGTTGTGCTTCAGCCTGTGCACGATCAAATCTGGTTCGAAACAACAGCTCCGAGCCCGATCTAAGCACAGCACTGGTCCTGCGTCATAAATTTGTCCGGCCGTGTAGGCCTTGTTCGTCAACGAGAGATTACTTGAGACGGTGCCAGCTGCGCCTCAGGCAGCGACGAGGAAATGTACGCTCCCGCTCCTCCCGGACCGGTGACGATCGTTTGGGGCGAGTTCATAGGAAGCAACGACCATGTCTTTTTCACGAAGCCTCCATCTGCCTCGAGCGCTAGATTTCGCTGCCGCGTGCCACGATCTATGTACCACAGACCGCCTGATCGAAATTGCTTCCTTACTCACCTGCATCCTAAGTCTTGTTGCACCAATACATCGTCCAATAACCTTGCAACTCGATGCTAACGCTCCTTGCGATATCGCCGCGAGTCCGCAACCGTAAGACGTTCAGTCTCTTGGGGCAAGACAAGGCTGCAATGCTGTGCAGCTAGCAATAACTTTACGCACTTAGATCCTCGATGCTCGCATGGCATTGAGTCCCTTGAAACGACCATACTTTCTCATCATCGATGTATACGAGCTCAAGCTTCGCACGCCGGACTGAGCAATTACTTTCGAACCAGCTCTACCCGTCCCGCCGCGGTAGCAGGCACTAGTGCTAGCACTTGAGCACTGCACCGATCCTGGTTGAAATGGACATGGCTGTCCCGCACATTTCGGAAGGCCGCATGTGGGTAGGCCAGATCTCAAGAGCGATGTCACTCATCTCATCAGTGTCAAACATGGAGGATTCCAGCCTCGTCAAGATCTGTTCTGGTTGGGCTGCTCTTGATGCTTCTATCACATACCACCACAGCCTTGCCTGTGGCCGAGTCAGCTGGCTTTCTACCCTCCTTCGGAGCGCACGCATCCCAGCTTTCGAGACCATTCGTAATGACCTGTAGAGTGCTGGCGCCAATGGTCAACTTCCGTAAGCGCGTCCACAGCTGTAGTGCATGCTCCTTCTTCAGACCTCGCAGACTAGCCTCGTGCGCGACCTAGATTCATGACTCACCGCATCAAGGTCTTTCCATTGATTTGAGCTATTTGTTCGTTGTTCAGCGGCTTCGTCCGAATCTCGGGCGGTCAGAACGGACGATAGCCACCAAGCTTTGACCATTTAAATTGTGACCCGACCCCTCACCACCTCGCCATCACCTGTACACCTCGAGAACCCCCCCGGCGATCAACTAGACTCTCTTTCCCACAATGGCTACCTTATCAATCACTTCCCCAAAGATCACGCTTTATACCAACCATGGTAACAGACTCTTGATCCCAGACCCTTGACAAGAGCCGCCTTTGTGGGCTCAGCCTATACTAATTAGCAAATCTAACACTCAACTCCGACAGGATGCGGTTGGTCTCAGCGTGTTCACGTTAGTCACCACCCGTCTTACGGAATGATTGTCCCTCTCACTCTACAAGATCACCCTCAAAGAACTCGACCTCGAGTATGAGGAGGTTCTCATCGATCTCCAAGGACCCCGACCTGCCTGGTATCTCGAGGTATGACCCACAGGCTTCAAACTCTACCCAATCTAATGGCATCCAGCTGAATCCTCGAGGTCTCGTGCCCACCTTGCACTTCCAGGCCGAAGGCGTCGACGAGTACCTGGTCGAATCTGGTCTCATTGTCGAATTTCTGACCGGGTTGTACCCTTCACACCTCACACCGCATGGGGGCAATCCGGTAGCAGATGCTGCACAACGCTGGCGTCAGCGCTTCTTCACCGATACTTGGTTCGGGAAAGTTAACCCTCTTCTATTCAAGATGACCGGTACCTCCGACGAGGCCGCTCGTCTCTCGATCGCCAATGACATCACCGAGCAAATCGGCAAAGAAATCGAACCTCTCTTGGCCAATGCAGGTCCCTATTTTGGTGGTAGCTCTGTGATCACCGTCGTTGAGGTAGTTCCAAAGGTACCTGCAGGTGTTCGGTGCTGACCTAGCAAGGCTATGACCATGCCCTTCGTCATCCTCATGTACGATTTCTGCGACGATGTGGTCTGGCCAAGCATCTTGTTGGAGAAGGCCAAAGCATTTCCCGCATTCGGAAAGTGGATTGAAGTAGGAATGAAGCATGGAAGTGTATTGTATCGGGTGGCTAGGGAGAGACGCAAGGAAGCTGTCTTGAACATGCTTCCCCAAGTGAGGCAGAAGTACGCGCCATGAGAAGTTGTCTATGGATCCAAGGGGATCTGCAGTTCGTCGGAACGAGGTTACCTGGCAGTTGACATACCATGGAATCACACACCATACAGTGATTCATCCATTCCTTCAACTCGAGTAGGTAGATCAATAGATATGCTAGCAATACAGAGGGAGGTGGACGGCTTTGCGCTGCCTTGCCCGACCAACTCCGCTCTCCATCCCTGATTGGCAGGAGGGCTACTCGCGCCAAGCCTCTGGCTCAAAGGTATCAAAATTCATTCTTCATCTTCAGCAGACGACAAGTAGCCCGAAACGCCCGTCCGAATCTGATAGAACCTCGTACCGAACGTCCGTTATTCAAGATGTCGTCCAAGCCTGTCATCAGCGTCATTGGCTCACTAAATGTCGATTTCGTCACACTCACACCACGCGTACCTGCCGCTGGTGAGACGTTAACCGCGACATCACTTGCCGTACACCCTGGAGGCAAAGGTGCTAATCAAGCCGTATCCTGTGGCAAAGCCTCCTTTGCAACAGAAGCTAACCAGGATGTCACTGTGGAAATGGTCGGATGCGTGGGCAAGGGTGATCCTTATTATGCTTCGCTCCTCAAACCGACTCTGGAGCAAAGTGGTGTGGGCACCTCAGCAATAGAGGAGCTCGAAGGAAGTCAGACAGGTACTGCCACGATCCTGGTAGAAGAGAATGGTCAGAATCGCATCCTCTTCGTACCAGGAGCCAATTTTGATGGCATGCGCGATTCGGCCAAAGCTATTGCGGCCTCCACCCAGCCAACTGAGCCGAGCGTGCTGGTGATGCAGGGCGAAATTCCAGCGGACGCGACTTTCAAAATTATCGAACACTTTGGCAGAAGCTCGACACAGGTTGTACTCAATCCTGCTCCGGTATATACCGACGGTGTTCCTGCATCGGTCTTGAAGCACGTGGATTTCCTGGTGGTCAACGAGACCGAATGTATGCTTCTCGCGCAGGCTATTCCTGACGCCAAAATCACCGTCAAGGACGAGGAAGACATGTCATCTGACGAGCTCAAGTCCATCGCTGCCACATTTCATCAGACCATCGGTGTCCGAAATTTGCTGGTCACGCTTGGGGCCAAGGGCGTGTTCTATTCTACCCAGGCTGGGCAGCAGGATCTTGTCTCTGGCCTAAAGGTACCCAAAGTCGTCGACACTACCGCAGCTGGTGACACGTTCGTGGGATATTTTGCTGCAGCATTAGCCCGGCACATCGCCAAAGAAGGCTCTGCGGACGGCTTCAATATTGCTGCAGCCACCCTGAGAGCAAATGCAGCTGCCGCTCTATGCGTCCAAAGAAGTGGAGCAATGCAGAGTATCCCATTTGGCTATGAGGTCAAGTAAGCGAATGGCTTCCTATTATCCACGAGCCACCCGAACAGTCGCCAGCTTTGTACTCCAACACCACCCTGCTTCCATTGCTGTCTGCTTCTTCACCCCACTTGCCTCAGCAAACCAGCTGTAGGTCTAGCACATACCCAGACACGCACAGATCTTTACTCAGGTACGGGGCTTGTTTGATGAACTTAACATCTTGCCGCACTCTCTCATCCAGACCAATACTACCACGCATGCCAACCACCATATCTATTTGACAAGCAACATCTCTTACTGTCGATAAGTGCCGAATGTCACTTCCCCAGCACTCGCCGCGGCGGTAGCATCGCGCTCCCGCATGCGCTGATGAACTTCGGCATCAGTAACGAGTAGTCCTCCGCAATCGGTATGGTGGATCACCATGACTGCGTTGATGTTGCCAATGGTATCCATAACCTGGAGGGTCCTCATGCAGTCCATGGCTCGGCCACCCGCATTTCGACTGACAGACGCCTCCGCAAGGTTAGTGGAAACTCGTGTGCCATGGACGTACCTCATACCCAGCGGCCCGGACTTTAGGAATGCTTCAAAAATGATTCCTGGATCAAAGCAAGTCACTACCGATGGTTAGATATGCACTGAAGCTTTTGTCGACTTACAAATGGCGATTGTCCCTCACTGCTTTGCGGTTGGTACAACGACGGCGAGCGAAGGAGGTACCTTCCACGTCTCCGCCTGATCCCTGCGAACATATTAGCACTCGAGCGACCTCTGGACATGTGTCATCGTACATGTTCCCCGCCAGAAGAGCTCCGCCACGTTCGTGAGTCATGCTGGAGTCTGGCTTTGGTCGCTGCTTGTGTACAATGATGCGAGACTACTCAGTCTTTATGTTCTGCATATCTCTAATCTGTTCGAGGATTCTCCCCAACCGTCTCGCCCAATCTCAAAATTTTTGCAACTAGGAAAAGACTCATCAGCTATGGGAAGGGCGCGATTACTGAACAATACCTTTAAACGCATTGCCGCTGGTTGACACAAGCAAGTCACAAAGCTGGTATTGAGCACAGGATTCCACTTCAGGCAGAGACTCTTTTGTCGAAGAAGAGAAGATTCAGCACAGCTCATTGAAGTAGAATATGCTGTTTCGTATTCACTGTCGTGCACTATCTGATGTGATTTACATTTTGACCCTTCAAAGTTTGCTGGGCCTCCACTTCGGCTGCCTCTTCTCCTTGAACGCCAGCAGGCCCTCCTTGGTATTCTCACCACTCATCAATCCGTCCCTCCACCGATCGTCGGCGGTCTGGAAAGCCCTTTCCACACTGTCTCTCTCCCACGCCTCACGAATGGCCGCACGACTGACTATGATGGCATCGGGGCTGATGGCGGCGACCTTCTCGGCTAGAGCAATCGCCTCCTCCACCACGGTTTCCTGCGATTTGGAGACTTTGTTGATTAGTTGGAAATTGAGTGCCTCCTGAGCGGACAGGAAGCGGGCGGTGAGGGCGATTTCATTCGCCAAGGGCAGGGAGGTGTTCCGTAGGAGTCGCGGGAGACCGCCGGCACCGGCGTAGATGCCGCGTAGAGCTTCAGGCAGGCCGAACGTTGCGGTGGGAGACGCCACGATCATGTCGCTGAGAGGATGGTTAGCAATCTTCACGTGTACAAGGCAAGCGGCAGGACCTACCAGTTAAGTACGATCTCGAAGCCGCCACCTAGGGCAAACCCGTTGACAGCGGCAATGATGGGCTTCTTGCCCACCCGTCTGCTGATCCCAGCAAAGCCACTGGGCGGATGACCCGCCATGCTCCGGACCATCTCGACGATCTTAGCGTCCTCGCTGCCGGCGGCACTAGCCGAAGAAGCAGCTTCTCGCCGCTTTCCCAGCTCGATGAGGTCCTGGCCAGCGCAGAAGGCCTTTTTGCCTTTCCCGGTGATCACGGCGACCCGCAGCTCGGGCTCGGCGTCGAACCAGGAGAAGAGGGCGTGCATTGCCCAGTGCACAGCGAAGGGAATAGAGTTCATGGCCTTCTCGCGGTTGATGGTCACGAGAAGGATGTGAGGGGTTGGGAAAGCGAGGATGAGAGAGTCATTCTGAGGCGGCTGCTTTGAGAAGTTTGGTGGTGCCATTGTAGCTAAGTTTGCACTCGTTCTAGGACTCTGACGCTGAGTCTGTGGATGGTTGCTGCGGTGACTGCGTGGACAGTGACTTGGTGCTTTGATGTGATATTCGATTCGATCAGCTAGCGCGACTTGAAAAGATCGTTAAATAAAGTCGATATAGACTTACAAGTTGTAGGCCCCTCCATGGTGGTATTGGAGACGTGTAAGCCGAGCTACCGAGGCATTCGACAAGGCTACTTCGCAGCCTTGACATAACTGCCAAGCAATCGGCTAGAGCCCACTGGGATTAGCCTGTTCTGCTGTAATGAACGTCGACTTGACAGTGAGAACTTCGATGAGCATGCATGGACTCTGCGCCCATAGACAACACCAGTACGCGGCCGTATCGATCGAAGCGGCAACGGCCTTGCGATCTGTGCCGCGTGAGGAAGGTTGGTTGCCAAATCGAAGGAACTGGGCCATGCCTCCTCTGTCGCAAGAATGGCACTGAATGCTCCTACAAGATGCTACCCGTCAAGCGCCAGCGTACCGATGAGCCCGGGTCTTCTACGACACGGCCGAATGATTCGGTCCCACCTGGGCAGCCCGAAGAACCAACCGATGACCCTGCAGTCGCCACTCCGAAAACAGATTTTTCGCAGTATCTGCGGGACTGGCAGCCCGAGCATGGAGCATTTTCGCCTATGCGACCGGAACTTCCGGTACCTTTCGGAGACGAACATGTATTTGCCGAAGCATTGCCTGATCTGGAAGGTGACGATCAACCCTGGCTAGCAGATTGGCTTGCTACTGAGGGCATGACGACTTCGGCTGGTATGGTCGGTGCTGCCCGGACACAGATGGCAACCCCGGGAGTCCACGAACCGCAGTCGCCGCTCCCAACACCATCGCTCGACCTCTTGCGTGGCGTGAGTCCTCAATATCTCGGCTTGTCTGGTCACACTGATCCTCACCTATTACGACATTTCCGCTGGGACGAGGATCACCAGAGGAAGTATTTCAAGCTACACTTCCGTCGAGCAGCTTTGCATACCGGCCTCTCTGGCCATGTCCAGTCTCCGGACCTTCGAATGCAAGGTCTTGCTGTCGACACCCCCCTGATGAATGGCACTCTCCCTAAACCCGATGGGCAGAATATTCCAGTTCAATTCATGCTACCCGTAACTGATATCACCGAAGAGGAGAAGAAAGACAGTACTTTCCGATCCGAATCATCGGCGGAAGACCTCCGAAGTGAGCTTTTCAATCTGATCAACCCCGCAGACGGCCTCAGGCTGATCCAACTTCATTTCCGTTTCGTCTACCCTTGCTTCCCCGCCGTTCTGAGGCGACCATACACTTCTGTTGATGATCTGGAAGATATCCCGACTCACCTACTTGCCGCTATCTACGCTTCAGCTTTGCCATTCGTCGACCATGACCATCACCTCTTCGTCCAGAATGTCTATCGTAAGGCCCCGGTAGATGAGGTCTGGCACATTGTACTGGAAGAAGTTCTTCGCGAGTCTCACTCACCACACCTGTCTATCATTCAAGCTTCATTGCTGTATCTGCAGAAGTTGCCAAGGTCTAGCAAGGCTGGTCAGGACACGCCGTTCCGTTGGTCATTTATGGCGGGCGTTTATGGCCTCGCCTGCGCTCTGGGATTGCAGCTAGACTGCAGCGACTGGTTGATACCGACATGGGAAAAAAGGCTCCGCAGGCGCTTATGGTGGCTGGTCTTTTTTGAGGAAAAGTGGAGGTGCTTACTGGTCGGTCAGCCATCCTTAATTCACGAAGACCATTGGGATGTGAGCGATCTTAGAGATGATGATTTCTTGGATGATTTCCAGGACTCGGACGAACCAATCGGCAACGATGCAATGCCAAGCGACGAAGTCAATGGATGCGTCCAATTTCGATGCCTCCTGAACCTCTCGCGGATCGGCGACGAGATCTACAAAGCTTTCTATACTCTTCGCTCTGCTCGAGAGTTGCAAAACGATTTCTCGAACTCTCTCCACAAAGCGAAACCGCTCCGCCAAAGGCTACAGTCATGGTATCAAGCATTGCCTGCAAGCTTTCAAATGCGAAAGCGACGCAGATCAAACGAAACGCTCCCAGAAAACGAAGTCTCTCCCGCGGCAATTCATCTTGCTTATCTGAGCTTGGAGTTGCTTCTCTATCGAGCCATTTTGCGGCCACTCGGCAAATTCAGAAAAACAGGCAACCCAGGTGCTGCGGCTACAACACTTATACACGACGATACTAGTCCAACAACGGTTGGCACGTGGCCCGATGCCCACGCTGGAAATCTAAAGGAAGCCATGGAGGCAACTTATGCCGCCGCGCACAATTGTGCCAGGCTATGGAACACGTTTGCCGCCACTTTGGATGCGAACGACTTTGGAAGCTTCTGGTACTCTTGGTCACGTATTGGCTTCGCACATCAATCAAACTTTGTAGCGCTGCTCATTGCTCAGGCACCTACTGACGAGTTGAGGCAAGATGCGATGAAGGTTGCGGATACGTGGCGGAACACGCTTCGTGTGCAGTCGAAAAGCTTTGATCAGATGAGTCTAGGTCTTCTGAGGCTGGAGGTTATGTATTGGGTGGGTTTCGACCAGCTATTCGAGGAAGAACGACAGGATATACCTCTCAACTCACATTCAGGACCAACATAACATCATTAGCGCCGACGCCCACAATCCGTACGCCAGCCGTCTCAAAAGACATCATGCGATGCACCTCCACCTCCGTCCTCACGCCGATAAGGATCATGACTGTTCAGGACGTGATTATCGCACCTGAGCGGATCGTCTATAAGCGGATTCATGGAGTTATACGATCGAAGCTCGATTGACTTCACCAGCTCCCCACGGTTCGCAATGTCTTCGATACATCGAAAGCCTGAATACGCGACATCGTGGTGTGAGGCGATGCTGGGACTGAATACCGCTTCGTGAACGATAGGCTTGCACTCTTCGAAATTCGGTTCTGTTATCTGTGGCTGAATCATTCTAAGACCCGCCATGGAGTTGCTGGCGGTTCCGCGCCGTTACTGAACACCAGAGTGCTCCGAGTTGTGTGATCCCAACAAGATCGTGAGGCAGGGTTACCCCGAGCAAGGCTGTGGCCCCCATCTGGTCTTTTTTCACGTGACTTGAGTCGCTCTGATAATACGGGGCCGAAGCTAGCTATTCGGAACCGGTCTTCGTCGTCCGCTATTCGAGTTCGAGCCTATTGCACCGGGTCTTGGTACTCGGACACGATATGAGGCTGTACATTGTGGCCTGAGGCACGCCATTTGCTGTCAATGACTTCCGCTGGATATCCCTACTTTACCACCAAGATCACTTACCCGATACGGCAGTCCCAACCGGATGACCTTCAAGCACAGCCGGCCGGGCACCTCAACTAGTAGCCGTGCCGATCTCAAGCGACTGCAAGCCAGAACATTTATTGTGCTGAATTTGATCTTCACGGGGCTGAAGTCTCGAACATCACAAGGGCCGCATTTCGCAACCGAGGCTGATGCTCTGCCGCTGTTACTTGTGTGGTCCTTTCGCTGTGGGCTTATGAGGATCCAATCATGCTACAGGCGCTCAATGGTGTGGTCTTGATCATGATTGGCCTTCTTGCTATCCAACGGTAGCGGGTAGCGGCACTGTTACGCGATGTGCTGGTGTGTCTTCAGGCCCACCATCCACCGCCTTGGCAAGGCCCGAGCAGATCTCTCCGCTATCGAGGCGCCAAGAACTGGCAGCTGAATTGGTCATGTTCACTGCCTCAGTATAGGCTATCTCGGGAGTTCATAAGGCAACGCACTACTTTGTCCTCCATTCCATTTATCATACAACTTTGGTAGAACAGCACTGGTGTCCCACTCAAGAAGGAATCGAACTCCAGTAGGGTTTGCTCAATCATGGTATTCCACGGCGGCTTCAGCAAAGGTTGTAGAACCTGTCTTCAGAGACGGATTAAGGTGCGTTGAGCCCGTGATTTGAAATTCGACAGTCCTAACCCAACGATCCAAGTGCGATGAAGGCAAACCTTTCTGTCAACGATGTGCCAAGTCAAAAAGAGAATGTCTTGGCTACCGAGACGAGAGCACGATGCTCTTCAGAGATGAGAGCCAGGCTGCATCGGGCACTGTACCTCGCTGGCAAACTCGACACGCCCGACTGAGCCCACCAAACAACGTGCGCAAATCCTCTCGTTCTCCGTCCATCGGCGATGGCCTAGATGTTAGCCATCACAAGGGTGCAGAGCAATTCGTTGAGTCCGGCTTTCTTTCTGCGTTGGAGTCGGATGCAGCCCTCTGCGCTGTACCAGCGATCACGGCGGTATTCGAGGGCAAAGTGGCTGCTGACTCATCGCTTCATGCGGTCAGAGAAGCTCTCGCTTTTGCCCTGAGAGCAGGTCGAGATAGAAGTGACCAAAGTCTCGTTCACAAATCTCGAATGCAGTACGGTGCGGCGATCTCCAGCCTTGCCCAGGACGTGCAAAAATTGAATCATACCAGCGGTAACGCAGGCCTATTGGCCATCATGCTGATGCCTCTTGCTGGTAGCTCGATGGAGACTGCTCCCAACTTGGCATGGTGGGCCGCTCATGTTCGGGCTGCAGAGATCCTAGTCAGACAGCGGGGTAGGACGATGGGTGCGGACAAGGGTTCCGTGCAGGTGTTGCTCACTGTCAGGTCTTTGGCTGTGCGGCACCTTTCATCCGTGGCAAGGGCTTTAGCTGACGTTACCAGATCCTGAGGTGTACGGCAACAGCGAAGCTTTTTACCGATTTCATAGACGATGACGATCCGAACTTGTTGTCCTGGCACGATATTCCCACGGAGTTCACGCTCAATCCAGCTTACAATTTGCTTCGTCTCATCACACCTGTTCCGCATCTCAGGTACGACGTTGAGGCATTGCTCACCAAACCAGTGTCGACAGAAACCAACTTGAGAGCTCTTAGCTTGATCGAGCGGTGTCAGGAGGTGGACCAAAGGCTGTCTTTGTGGGAGAAGAATCTCCCCCGGAACTGGAAGGGCACCGAGGTTGATTATCGAGCTCCGCAGGTCTTGTCTGACGACCCAGACCTACGTACGCTGCTTGAATGGCCTAATGGCGGCACAGTCACTACCTACCGAGACCAGTGGGTGCTGTTTCAGCACTGTACCCTTAACACCTACAGAGCATTCTTACAGTCGATGATTTTACGGTGCGGCGCGTGGTTGTTTGGCTTGCCCATCGAAGCACAGCCTCCAGCCGTGATTGGTGCCGCTGCAGGCCCGTTGCACGTGCCGTTAATGGAGGCTCGCGATAATCTACTCGACATTCTCGACTCTATCTGCCGTTCTGTACATTATGTGAGCTCCTCTGTTCCGCTGATTATCATTAAAGGCTAACAGGAGAAGCATCTAGGTGCTACGCCCAGTCAGTTCCGCAAGCCATCGATTCGAAACGTCCATCAACTGCCACATCCTGTTGGCGGTCCGTTGTTGCTCGCCCGTCACCTCTGGATCGCGAATTCCATCATCATCGCCGACCAAAGGCACACAGCATTCGTCAAGACCGCCTTACGTATTCTCAGTAAGCGCTTTGGCTTCGGCATTGCAGAGCATCTAGCGCGGAAGGACGAGATGTGTCCAACTCCACTATTCTCGGTTGACCCGAAGCATTACTCTGCCGAGGATGAAGGGGCTGTATCTCGAGATGACGCCGGCATTGCCGAGTCCACCACGGCTGAGTTTCAGGCTCTCGCGGTGTAGATGGGTCAGTTCTTCGTGTTGCAAGGGCGGAAGCGAGAGGTAGATATAGCGTTGCAGCAGAATTGTATCTTTCCGCAGATCGACTGGGTTCGGAACCAATGATAGGCTGCCTGATGGTCGCCGTGGCTTAGACTTTTTTGACGAGGTACTGCTGTTTATGGTTAGCGTAGCGAGCCCAGCAGCTTATCGGGGGCAGTGCTCTCACTGCCTGCGACATCAATAGAGGTCCTCTTTTTTCTGTTGAGCTCTACACTTCCTCAGAATCGTTCTAGTTGTACACTGCACTGTATTTGGGCATAATTGCAGTCTGTGGTCGCATGACGAGCAGGCAATCCATTAGGCGCCGCATCCTGAAGCGGAATCCGCTTGAGAATCCAGAGCCTGTAGTGAAAGCTTCGGATTGGGACTTACGCCGAAGGCGAAGGCATGCGTCCCAGCGCTTCAAGAGTATAAACCCTTCTGCGGGCGATTGTAGCTGAAATTCTCGGTTCCTGCATAAAGCCGTTGGGAAGGTCTCTATCATGGTGTAGGTTTGACCATGGCCATACCTCCCGGCTGCCGGTGGGCGCATGGTTTGTGGGGGCTTGATGAGGAGGGGTCTGAGGTTGCTGGGGGCTTGGTTGAAGGCGTATACATAGGAGGCTCTGGGATTTGGTAGACTCTGTGGCCTAAGACCTCGATCTCGCTGGGAGCTGATACGTCAGCAAACTTCGTCTAATCGCAACCAATATGTCTACTTATACAACTCCGCCACGCCCAGGACATTATTTCGATCAAACCGATACCTCAGTCGCAGGTACCAAGTCGCCAGCACGCCCACGGCTTTACGCAATTCTACTCCTGCATCTAACTACGCCAAGTACGCACTCAATCCCAACGGCACGGCCAGCTTTCTCAACGGCTCCGCCATCCCGATGAGCAGAAGCGCACGATTCCGGTATCGCCAGCATGGCGGATGAGGCGTTCGGCGAATCAGGAGTCTCCCGCGTGCAATTCCCGCTGCAGCCGCCGCCGTCCGTCGGGTCTGAATGGCCGAAACATATCGTGCAGAAGCACCAGCCCAGATGGGCGGTCGTGCTGGCGTCTAATCTCAGTACGCTTGTTCTGCTCATGAGGAACGAGCGGTCAGGGGAAGAGGCTGTTAGTTCTTATTGGTGAGGATTTGAGGATTTATTGCAAAAGTACATATGGTAGAACCAAGACAGGCCAATGGCTGCAAGCGGGAGTATTTCCTTTTTGTCGCAGGTTACCATCCATGCATCCGTTTGATTTCAGAGTTCTCTCGTAATCAGATGCCGATTTGACCGGCTATTGAAAATGGCCGGGCTTGGCCGGCAAACAACCAACACATCCCACTCGAATGCCGAGACATCCATCTATCAGTATCAGTATATAAGCTGGATCGGGTCATAGACAGCGCACAACTACATTGGGAATTTCCAAGACCGAACAGTCAAGCGAGCAGCAAACATGACAGGGGCACCGTATAACGTCGCGGTCATCGGCTATGGCCTGTCGGCAAAAGTTTTCCATATCCCATTCATTCAGGCTGTCTCGGCCTTTAAGCTCCACGGCATAGTACAGCGGTCGCCCAAACCGGGGAACGATGCCGGCAAAGACTTTCCAGATGTCAAGATCTACGGCTCAGTTGAAGAAGCCTATGCTGACGCAGACGTCGCTGTCATTGTCATTACCAGCATCCCCGAAACACATTTTTCCATGGTCAAGTCATCCCTAGAAGCTGGCAAGCACGTCATTGTCGAGAAGCCGTTTGTGCCGACCAGCGGAGAGGCGGCCGAGTTGATCAGCATCGCCCAAAAGGCTGGGAAACTGTTGAGCGTCTACCAGAACCGCCGGTACGATTCCGACTACAATACGGTTGCCAAGGTCATGAAGCTGGACAAGGCGCTGGGTGATGTGGCGGAATTCGAGTCCCATTTCGATCGGCATCGGCCAGACCCACCTGCAGATACGTGGAAGACGGCGGATGCGCCTGGGCATGGTGCTCTATATGATTTGGGATCGCACCTGATCGATCAGGTCCATCACTTCTTCGGCATGCCTGAGAGGGTGACGGGCTTCGTTGGTAACCAGAGACGGGGCGTGAGCGGCGGACCACCGGACTCATTCACCGTCATGCTGCATTACCCCGGACTCCTGGCTACCGTGAAAGCTGGTGTTGTCAGCTGCGAGGTGGAACAGCTGCGCTTCTGGGTTAAGGGCACAAAGGGCAGCTTCAGGAAGCTCCATCTTGATGTTCAGGAAGACCAGCTCAAGGCTGGTAAGAGACCTGGCGACGAGGGATATGGCGTTGATCCGGAAGATCATTATGGTAAGTCTGCCACAGGGTGTATTTTGGACATGGCTAACAATGCAGGCACGCTCACGACGATTGTCGATGGCAAGCCCAAGCAAGAAGTGTATCAGACCATCCAAGCACCGACGTACGTAGGCTACTATCGGGACTTTGCCGAGGCGCTGGACGGAAAACGAGGTGTTCCTGTCCTGGCGGAGGATGCTAGGGATGTGCTGAAGATCATTGAGGCGGCCAACAAGAGCTCTAAGGAGGAACGAAGCATTCGTTTGTGAGCTGGATTTTCAGCAGTGTCACGATGAGGTCGAGAACAGCCAGGTGCAGTAACGCACTGATAGCGAGTAACGCGTGATTGCAGGCGAGCTTAGCTGTACCGGTACCCTCAAATCTGAGCCCTACAATCGACAGTGCCGCATCGCTCTGATGGCTCCGTCCGCAACTTCCGCTACGGCGCCATGGCACGCGCCGTCGAGCTGGGGGGGTCAGACAATGATCTCACGGTCTAATATTTTTTTGGCTTGCGCGCCGGTAGTGTTGCTGTCGTGCAGATATTTCCAAGTTCTCTCCCACATTGCCAAGCTGCCCTCACAAGTTATGTGGGGTTCGCGTACAGGAACGTCTGTTGATCACTTGCTGTCGCTTCCCCGCAGACGACCATGCCCGAGTCAGTGACGCTCTTTCGTACGTCAGGTATTGGTCTTTTCCCGGGACTACACCTCATTGACGATGGTGCAAAGGAATGACAAGCCCAGAACCACATGGCGCAACCCACCGTGGAAGATTCTTGCAGATCATGCGACGAATATTCGAACACCGACCGACGACCGACCGCCAAGAAACTCCGCGCCTAGCAGGTCTACTGTATTCCTCCGCGACTGATGCTATGCCGTACATTTTGCTCTCCAATCACAACTGGTCTGCTCCGAACCGTTCTCAAGCTTCTGCCTTTGCCGCTCGGCACTAGCTTATACGCCGCCGAGCACAGTCACGCACCCCACTAGATTTCTCCGCAATAACACCTTCGACGGTCCTCCCAACGTTCCCGCCCTCTTTGCCGACGATCGGGCATGACCTGTGCCCAGAGGTGGGCTGATTCCAAAGAGGCAGGATGGCCGGTCCTTGCGGTGAGGCTCCGTAAGGTGTCTCGGGTATATAGGACGACTGGCTGGGACAGCAGCATATCGATTTGATTCAGAAGGTCAGCAGCATCCATCTAACGCCATGGTCGCCCCTAATTCATTGCTGGAGCGGTCATCCGCTGTTCTTACAGTGCTCTGTGTTATTGGGTTGACATTTAGCCATCCGGGCTTCGGCGACCGCGTGGCCAGAGACGCTAACTCCCCAAGGAGCATACAGGATGGCAATGAGCAAATGCCATATCGAGATGCTTCCTTGAGCATCAACAATCGTGTCGATGATCTTCTGAGTCGTATGACATTGGAGGAGAAGGCTGGGCAAATGTTCCATTCCTCGCTGTCGCCAGGACCAAATGGCACCTTGGACACGGGCAACGTCACCGAGAGGCGAAACAGCACCGAGTTCAGGCTCAAGACTCAGTATCTCACACATTTTAACCTGGCTGGCAACATTGTCAATGCTTCCGAAACGGCCGAGTTTTACAATCTTGCTCAAAAGATGGCTTTGTCGACACGGCTGGGAATCCCCATCACTCTCTCTACCGACCCCCGTCACGCCTTCACCGAGAGTGTTGGGGCCAGTTTCCAGGCTGGCAAGTTCTCTCAATGGCCTGAGAGTCTTGGGCTTGCTGCATTACGGTCGCCAGATCTCGTTCGACAGTTCGCAGATATTGCCCGTCAAGAGTACTTGGCTGTGGGCATCAGAGGGGCCCTTCACCCTCAGATCGACCTTTCGACCGAGCCACGGTGGAGTCGAATCGCAACGACCATGGGTGAGGACGCCGAACTTACGAGCGAGCTAGTTGTAGCCTATTTGGAAGGCTTCCATGGAGGTGAGTTTGGCAGCAACTCGGTCACCACGGTCACCAAGCATTTTCCTGGTGGCGGACCCATGGAGAACGGCGAGGACTCTCACTTCGTCTACGGCAAGAACCAGACCTACCCAGGCGACAACTTTGACTATCATCTCATCCCGTTCAAAGCTGCTATCGCCGCTGGTGCAAGACAGATGATGCCATATTACTCGAGACCCATAGGGACCGAATACGAAGAGGTCGGGTTCAGCTTCAACAAAGGCATCATCACTGACCTTCTTCGCGGCGAGCTGGGCTTCGACGGCATCGTCTGCTCCGACTGGGGTCTCATCACAGACACCGTAATTCGTGGCCAGGATATGCCTGCTAGAGCCTGGGGCCTCGAATATCTCAGCGAGACGGAGAGAGCCCTCCGCATCCTCCAAGCGGGCGTCGACCAGTTCGGTGGGGAGACCAGGCCAGAACTCATTGTTCAACTGGTCGAGGAGGGCCTCATCCCCGAGTCCCGTCTTGACATATCCGTCCGCCGTCTCCTATCCGAAAAATTCGTGCTCGGCCTCTTCGACAACCCCTTCGTCGACCCCACGGCCGCCGAGCAGATCGTCGGCAAAGACGAGTTCATCAAGGCCGGCAATGACGCCCAGCGTCGCGCTTACACCCTCCTCACGAACAAGAACGACATCCTCCCCCTCAAAGCCGCCACCCCAAAATTCTACGTCGAGGGCATGAACGCAACCTACCTCGAGAACCGCGGCTACACCGTTGTCACCGAACCGGCACAAGCCGACTACGCCATCCTCCGGCTCCGCACACCCTACGACCCGCGGCCCGGCGGCTTCGAGATGAACTACCACACCGGCACCCTCGAGTTTAACGCGACCGAGAAGGAGCGACACGCCCAAATCTTCGCCGCTGTTCCCACCGTCGTGGATATCTACCTCGAGCGCCCGGCTGCTATCCCGGAGATCGCCGAGGGGGCGGCCGCGCTGCTGGCGAATTTCGGCAGTGGACCCGAGGCGCTGCTGGATGTTGTGTTGGGCGTCGATGGTTATGGGCCGGAGGGGAAGTTGCCCTTTGATCTGCCGCGTTCGGATGCGGCGGTGGCCGCGTCGAGGGAAGATGTGCCGTTTGACACCGAGAATCCGGTGTTCAGATTCGGGCATGGGTTGACGTACTAGAGGTATGCTGGTGCGCCTGGATGTATATAGGCTGTGTCGGCCGGACTGAAATGATGCATGAGGTTCACGATTGTCTATGGGACGATGTTGAGGTGGTCCTTTAGCTCGCCCAAAACTATGGCCTAAATGGTATTCAAATTCTTCACTGCTGTATGCTGGTCCCCAATCCTTCTCGTCATCTGCGAAAGCCTGGTAAGCCGCCGCACTTACACGCATCCTGAGAAGCTCCTCCCCTTCATGTGAGAAGTCTGCCTACTGGCTTCATGAATTTGTTATGGTGCTCGCCGTCGTACGAACATCTTTCTCGAAAGCAGCTAACAGAGGCTCAACGAGAGGGTCTGCCGGAGGCCAGACCTGAGTTCCAAAGATGCCACATACACCTGCTGTGCGATCGATAAACCAGAACAGATTGAGTGCCCCGCTCCAGATGAGACAATTCCGCCGGCGGTAAGGATGAGAATCGCCATCGATCAAAATGCCACCTAGCCCCCAGTCGTATTCGTTGGGTCCTGTAAAGTCGCCAACCACTGGGGAAGGATCGACCATGAAGGATGTCAAAGCCTGCTTGCTTGCAGGACTGAGCTGGGGCTGGAACATTAACGCTGTTGTTTCCTTTTTGAGCAGTCTCTCGTCGTCCAACAAGAGTGATTGCAGGATCTTCAAGTAGTCTGGAAGGCTTCCATATGCACCCTCACCGCCAAAGCAATCCTCCAGTTCTCCTAGGAGTGGTGCTAAGCCGGGAGGTCCATCCACCACTTTCCCCGTGACATCGCGGATACCTTTGCGTAGCAATCGTCCAGCCATATGCAGGTGTCTGGCAGGAAAGAAGGTGATATCGGCAATGCCCAGAGGCTCGAAGATGTTCTTCTGCATATAGCCCTCGAGCGTCATGCCGCTGATGGCCTCGGTCACTTGTCCAGCATAGGCTATGCTACTGCCGTAAGCCCAACCTTCGCCGGGTTGGTAGAGCAGCGGTGAATTGAAGCGGGCATCAACAGTGGCATCTTTTAAAACGTCTCTCGGCGTATAGGAATGCAAATACTGCGTGAGCATTCGATCGGCGAAGTCATAGCCTGCGCCGGAGCTGTGCGTGAGAAGGAGACGCAATGTGATGGGGTTCTTTCGTTGCTGGAAGATGGGTGATCCGTTCTTGGGGATGTCGATAAGGACTTGCTGGTTAGCCAAACCCGGGATCAACTGAGAAACGTCATCGTCCAGTCCAATGAGTCCTCCCTCAATGAGTTGAAGGGCGGCGATTGTTGTCAACAGCTTCGTACATGAAGCCAACGTGAAGATGTCGTCGAATTCTAGCGGCTCCTTGGAGTCTACGGTGGTGTAGCCAACCTGTTTCGCGTACTTTAATCGACCCGACATGTCGGCCGCCAAGAGGACAGCGCCGGGGATGACACCCTGCTCAACTGCTCTGTTCATGCGGTCCTCGAACTCCGTCATCTTTGTCTTGGATATCTCGTGACTTAGCTAGACGTTGAGGAAGATTCGCTGGCTGAAGAATCGGATTTTGATGATTTTTTCGTGGCATTTTGTAGCTATGATGGCTTTTGATAGACTGCGTTGTCAGTTAATTTGTCATCGGAAATAAACAAAAGCCCGTGTGAGGACGAGCTAATTCGACACAACACACCGGCGAGCTTTGACTCAGCATTTTGACACCGACAACTCACCACTCGAGGTTCTGATCAACAGCTGCAGCCTCTCTGAGCCAGACGCGCACAAGCGATGACCCAGCTTGCCGAAATCGATAGACAGATCTGCCTCTGTCGAACGAATGCATGATGTTCGCCGGCACCGAGCTGAGTGGCTAGAGAGAATCCTGTTCATTTATCATTGCAGGCTTTGGGAGAACTATGAAGCTCAATGAAACGGTATCGCAAATGTCAAGTTTTGACATGAATGATTCGCCTGAGGCTCGCTCTACGAACCGTGAACGATGCTCGTATGATCCAAGATGCTCTCTCTCGACATCAGTCATCGGGCAAATGCTTGCGGACTTCAGGCTGTGCTCTTACCATTGATTCACATACGCTACTAAAGGCAGGTCTTCTGAGACTCTCATCTTGCCCATGATTTATCCGAACTTCATGCCGGATGATTCAGGCAGCAAGACCGGCGCCTGGCTATTTTTTAGCGACGAAATGTCTTATCCCGCGCGAGGGGTGGAAGGGCATTTACGCCTCCAATCCGCGCGCATCCCTCGCTTGCTAAGCTGCAAAATGACCTGATACGGCTCATGTGCTGACATATCGTCCCACAGTGCCATCATTCACACCATGACAAGCCCGAGTGGACTGGAAGATACCTCGGTATAGCGACGTCGCTTGGATCTCAAGAGAGAACGTGCCCAATGAAGGGCTCGAGAGCTGTCCGGCTCAATTCGAGAAATGGTGAGACCATGTCGGTCTTAACTTGAACAACTTGCAGGACGGGGTTGCTACTCGCCATTTAGCCTGGCAAGCCCGAGCACGCTTCCTAAGTCGATTTTAGACAACCCAGGCTCTGGGTACAGGTGTGGTTGCGGTTGAGGTCGTGGCCATCGCGCCAAGCCAGGATTTCCTGCGTCTGTTGTACCTGCTGACCATTTGCATTCGTTAATCTCCGGCACCTCCAGCTTTTCTCAGCTTTTAGCCTCAAAGGCTGGCCAGGCGGGCGAGGGTCGAATCCGGGCCTTGCCCCAGACTTGCAATGCTTGATTCTCTCCGAATGCTTGAGCAAGGGGTACAAGGGGTCCGGGCGACAGCCAAGCTCTTGGCGAAACATATCTTCCGCTGGCAACTCTCGATCCACAATCTAAGCAGACCTCTACTCCCGGAAGATCTGCTGGCCCTCCATGCTCATCAGCATCGGTTATAATTCCGCTCTGGTCCTGCTCCGGTTGGTGACAATATATGCCAAGCCTGCCTCCGACGAGACGCAGGGTATTTGCTTTGGCAATACCTGTACCTTGGAATTAAAGTCCTGAAGGGACAGTGATCTCTGCACGTGTGTAACGTGTTCGTCTGGGTATTTACGTTCTGCCCGGTTCAGATTGACGTGGTGTACCCAGCCCTGTTTCAGAATGATGAAAGGGTCGGCGCCAAGCCAACTTGTCTGCTGGCGATGATTTAGCCGGTGCCTCGAAGCGAGACCCAACAACCTAGGTACCTCCCTGTCGTAGGCTTGATTCCAGACTCACCATCATCTGTCAGTTGACAGCTTCATGGCGGCAAATTTCAAAGCTGCCTACTTCCAACAGCTTCGACCATGGTCAGTAAAGTGATCCTTTCAGGCTCATTTGCTAGACTCGAATACATAAGTCGCGTCGATCGCGTCTTTGACCTTTCGGCATCGAGTCAAACACTTTCTGATTCAAAATGGTTTCATTCAAGTCGCTTCTTCTCGCTCTGACCGCTGCCACTGGCGTACTTTCCGCTCCTTTTGACTTTCTCCACGAGCGGGATGACGGCAACTCGACCGAAGTTCTTGAGAAGCGCCAGACTACTGCCAACTCGGAGGGCTACCACAATGGCTACTTTTATTCTTGGTGGTCCGATGGTGGTGGCCAAGCCACGTTCACAATGGGCGAGGGTAGCCGCTACTCTGTGAACTGGAGGAACACTGGCAACTTCGTTGGTGGCAAGGGATGGAACCCAGGCACTGGCCGGTAAGTGCTTTTTTCCGGCTCCAGATGTGGCTAACCGGTTAGCACCATCAACTACGGCGGCTCCTTCAACCCTAGCGGTAACGGGTACCTCGCTGTCTACGGCTGGACTCGCAACCCTCTGGTTGAATACTACGTCATTGAGTCCTATGGTACCTACAACCCAAGCAGCGGCGCCCAGTACAAGGGCAGCGTCACGACCGATGGCGGTACCTACAACATCTACGTTTCGACTCGGACCAATCAACCTTCCATCGACGGCACAAGGACCTTTCAGCAGTATTGGTCTGTCCGTACTTCCAAGCGTGTTGGTGGTAGCGTGACCATGTCGAATCACTTCAATGCTTGGGCTCGCAATGGACTCAACCTTGGCCAGCATTACTACCAGATTGTGGCTACTGAGGGTTACCAAAGCAGTGGTTCCTCTGATATCTATGTACAGACCAGCTGGTGAGTATCCTTTGAAGAGCTAGGATAACGCTAATCGCTACAGATCACAGATCGCTTTGTCATGCCGAGGCCCAACGAGGTTGTTCGGACCTAGGGATCCCTCGGCTCCTCTGAAGGTGCTACCGATTTCAGTATTCTGGCTCCATTTCTCTTCTATTTACGCATGCAATGAAAAAACCCTGCCGGCACAACCATAATCATCATGTTCCTTGCATCGTGAAATGCAACCCGTCGAAGCCAAAAGCAGGCAGTATTGTACATATCGTGGGTTGCTATCCAAAACGCCTAGGTGCTCATGCTCACGCACGTCTCAATCCTTCCCCTTGTCACAGAACGACCGCAACAGCAAGAAACACCGCGCCAGCAGCACCCCAAAGCGCCATCGCCCGGCTAGACGCAGCACCATTCTCCTCGTTGCCATCTTGAGCCCGCGCTTCGATCTCACACTCATCATCTCCATCCCCAAAGATCTCATCCGCGACATTGAAAATTCCGTCGAGGAAGCCATCATCAAATTCGTCAATAGCATTCGTGATCCTCGCCCAGTCAGAGCCGCAGCCTGTGGCGTCACCTTCGATGCTGGTGTATTGCTCCCGAAGCTCGCTGAGAATGGAGGATGTGTCGTCAGGGTGGTCGGCGAGCGCGGACGTGGCGGAGGCGACGGCATCAGAGAGTGAGCTTTCGATCTCGTCGCGGTCTTGTCGCACCATGAGTGTTGGTGCGGGAGTGGTTTCGGGGAGGGCGTGGGCTAGAGCCGTAGCAGAGGCCAGGAGGGCCACGGCGGAGATGTGGGTGAGGTTGTGCATTGTTGTTGATTTTGAGTGGTTGTTGATGAGAAGTGTTTGGCTTGTTGTGCAGCATCTTCGTTGAGGTGGGCGCGTCGATTTATAGACGAAGCGCTCGTTTAACTTCGTCGCACTAACGGCAAGGCGCACTTAGCCATCAACAAGCAGTAGGTATGATGATGCTGTGCTGTTACACGAGGCTGACGCCTTTCCGCAGGCTTGGCATCGCTGCATGCATTACGAAAGCGGCAGGCGCCCTGGCCAAGCCCACGTCATGCATCCCCGCAGATCTGCATCGATCAGCTTCTGCTGCCTAGCTACCGCCCTACAAGGCATTTTCTTTGCGGCGTACTGTCGTATCGACACGTGCTGCCTTGTTCGGGCCTAGCTTCCGAGCTCCGCCACCTTTGCAGCAGACATAAGGGCGGCGAGTATATTTTTGGTAAGTCCTCCCTTCACCATTGCCAAGGCTGCGAATAAAGACCGCAGCGAACTTTCAATGTTTTTATCGGCCATGACAGTCTTGCTGTGAGTATTGGCAGCACCTCTGAATGTAACTCAAGGCTTGTCACCTTCCCCTTGATCTTCATCTGGACGTCAATATCTACTTGCTCAACCGTGGGGACAGCAATCGCATGGCCTTGACCCGAAGGCCTTCCTCGCTACGACTTCAGCTGAACATTTCGCTCATCTCTACGTGAAGCCCCAGCCGATCCCCGGCCAAATTTCCAGGCCAAATCTCCCCTGGAATCCGCCGGGGTTGCCCTGGGGTAAGTCTGGCAGCTGGCCAAGGCTCTGTTCTTTTCTTGTCAACGGAGTACTCAACGAGAAATCTCGTTGCGTCTTCAGTCTTGGTGTGCGAGTGCTCTTCGTGCCACTTGTGATTATTTCATGATACTTTCACCCTGTCCAAATGAGCACTAAGCCACCAACAACATCGTCAGCGCCGGCACAAAGAGCGATGAGGGAGCTCTTTCTCTCTGCGCTCTGGTGTAAGCAACCCATTTCTTGCCTAATAACGGGCACGAAGACGCAGAGCGCTGGGAGCTGATGTCGTACAAATGATATGTTCGTCTGTGAACACTTCCAAAGAGGCTACTGCGGCTATCGCGAGGCATGTTGGTCCTCGCGCAAGATATTCGCCCTCTACTCGGATGACAAGACCATGTGCACGCTTCGGGAACGAGTCACTCTTCCTCCCACGGACCAGATCCACGACCCGGCTCAGTCGGTCCTCACTCAGGTGGCGATCGACGAGCATTTCAAGTCACTTCATATAGACTTGCTCCTTCGCAATACGCCGAATTCAGCATCGCAGTCAACGATCTGAACCAAGGTCGGCTCTGAGTGTACTGCGTGTTTCAAGCCTCGATTACATCCCAACAGGCCAACTCTCCGGCGAGAGCAACACAGCCGCAGCCGTATCGGAATCCCCTCGACCTTGCGATGAGGTAGTGTAGACGTTCCCAGAAGCACGACTTTCGGGGATGTGCTGGGGCGGTCCGTTTCGCCCTATCTTCGCCTTCCATCTCCATCTTCTCTTGGGGATGGGGGCTCGAATTCTTCTGCATTCACTCCTGTGTGACTCGGCTTCCCACCGACATCTTTGCCGACTCCACTACTCGCCAACGCGTACCTCGAGTGAGCAACTATATTCCTCGCCGGACACGCCATAGGTAGGTACCGCCACTGTTGTCGTACCGCATTCCAATCCGACTACCTGAGGCCGAGGGCAGGATATTGATGTCACCACCGTCGAAGCTCATCGGCGACCATGAACGGCTCTTGGTCCAACTGTCAGTCATTTCCCGTCAATATTACTTGGCGCGTTCCACATTGCTATCACCATCTCCTCAGAACGATTTTCCTTGTCGTGGACCCCTTACTCCAAGTACGCAGAACCATGACTTCCTCTTAGCAGCCAGTGATCGCGGTTGCCTTCCACATCCGCTAGAGCTTCTGAACGCCTGTCATGCGTTGGCTGCCATATCGTTGTCGGGCCTTACGCGCCACGTCCTTCTTCCTCTCTGTTAGGTATTGCTCCTCGCCCTCTCATCCCTCTTACCGCGTCGGCTCGACTCTCCTTTGCGGTGGCATGCCCAGCTGCGTCGTCCGCCGCAGACGATTCCTCGATCGGCATGCGTTGACGGTACGTAGTCTGGTGGCCTGTCTGTGACTCAGGTATGGCATGCCGCTGACAACCTCGATCTCAGCTCATTTCTCCTTACTCTCACCCGTGTATTCCACAATCCTGTGTGTGATCTATCTCTACCTTCATTCGCGATCGCTGATTCGGGTCAGTGCTTGCCCAAAGCGTCCCAAGCAGAACCTCGAATCTCGAATGTCCCTCGCGTCTCCACTTCAACAACAAACACCCAGGCCTTGCCGTGCTAGCCATGTGTTCGTCGCGTTCGCGGCCTTCAAAGTCAGCAATGATCTACTAGGTAGCGGTCGCAATCGTCGCAAGCTACTGTACAATTGAACCGAGCATTTCAATTATCATGGACTCCTTGAGAGTGTCCAGCGTTTTGTTCGTGGCTGATGGGTACAATTTTGCTCAAGAACCCACGTCACTATGCCAACGACTACCTCCACGTGCGCTGGCTGGTGAGCATCTGCCGGACTTCGATCACCACCAATGTCATCATGGCAGCAGCAGCAGCAATGTCAACATGGGGCATAGGAGTGCCTGATACCATCTTCGACTGACTCGGACGTCTTGCTGCTGAATGGCCGCGTCATCGAGCAAAGACTTAGAAGTCGTTGACACATTTCTGCTCATGCTACCTTATATGATGAAGGAAATCCCTTGAGGTGCGGTGGTGTTGGACAAAGCAAGGCAGGGTCCCTAGTCGATCGGGTGTAAGACCACGGATCGCTGCAGGAATAAGTACCTAGTACTAGGTATTGTATGACTCTGCCCAGTCACCAAATATTTAATGGACGTGAAAACATTAGGTGAGTTGCTCAGTCGAGTTTCAGCTTGACAAGGCTCAAACTCGTCGCGATTCTGCGCTAATAAGCCAGCTAGCTTTTCGAGGCTCCTTGGCGACACGGAAAATTGTCTCGTGACGCTTTTCGAGGCCCATTCTGGACACCAACAACACGTCACATGACACGTGATTGATGAAACATACATAACGCACAGTGTCGCGGCGTCAGAGTGTACCTAGTAGCAATGCAGCCGCTTATTGCGACATTCTACTTGAGACATAACGATCGCTAGGCCTTATACTGAGTAGCTACGAGGTCGATGGGATGTAACACCTAGTATGCCGCAGCAGCGACCAGCAGCACCCAGCAGCGTGACACTAAAACGCCAGAGTGCTTGCAATACCTTATCTAATCACAATCTAGAAGTCGCTGGCGATGTCATCTGATTGCCGGCGCGATTCACCTGCAGGTGATTAGCGCATGATGACGGTGATAGACTGGCGACATACTACGTGCTTACTGTATTCGCGACCACCGTGTTGACAATGGTGGCATGCATAATGCACGCCAGTGGGTGGAAGTCATGCAATGGTGGTGTTTGACATTGTGTCGGCATGCTAGCCACGTGCATTTGTTCGGCGATGATGGAACAGGATGAGAACTGGGCTCGATGGGCACCATGATGGCAATGATATCGCAATGACAATGCAGCGTATTGTGTTGGCGATGTAGAGCTGGGCCAACGACATACAGTCGTAGATAGGTATCGACTGCGATCCTTGCTTCGGTGAGTGTACCCGCTTAACCTTATGTCTGACATGGTCGGAAGCAGCAGTCAAGTAAGGACAGCTAGCTGAATTAGACAGCGGTAATTGTGCTTCTAAATGCAACAAGGAGTAGAATTTCGTATGAAAGGAAGAGGAGGACAACGATTTTGATGTTCGCTGATGACAAGCATGAGTTTGGTGCGAGAGGAACCATTCATAAGCCTGACAATGCGCTCAGCTTGTGCCTCATGATGCTGCATCGAGGGAACAGTAACGGCATTTTGATGTACGACGGTTACCTGGTCTATGGCAAATAAGGCGATTCACAGAGGCAATGTGTCTATTTGTTTTATGACTATCGTAGAGTGAGACGCCGCCGCAGCTTTACTGTCATTGTCGTCACAAGCAGTAAGGCAAGCCACGGCAACTCGGGAGTCGTTCTACACCAAGGTCATCCTGGTCTACCTCCCGGTTTCATTCGGGGGAGCTAACCCATTTTGTTCCGGTTCTATTTGCCA